ATGGCTTCATGCCCACGCTCGGCTGCCTTCAGCAGCGCCCCGTCGAGGTATTCACTCTGGTGGTTGGAGTCGCGACTAACATGAAGTGGAATTCGCCAGGTCTGCTCAGAACCCTGTTGGGGTGCGAGTCGCAGCCCACGATTTTGTGCATCCGGTGCCGACCAATCGATATCAGCATCAGCGTCCAGCAGAGCCCGCACTACATTTTTGTGACCACGTTCGGCTGCATCCAGCAGTGCCCGGGCTAGACATATGCTCTTGTTGGCGCCAGCGTCGACTAGAATCCGCACTATACCTTCATCACCATTTTCGAGTGTAAGAAGTAGTGCACGGTTGAGATATCTGCGCTCGAAATTGACATCAGCATAGACTATTAGAATTCGTAGGGTCTGCACATGGCCCCCTTGGGCTGCGATTTCCAGCTCACGACCCCAAAGATCTTGTGACCGCCAATGGCCACCAGGGACAAGCTCAGTCACCTTCCTATGAATTTTCGCTAGTATAGTGACGCAGCAATTTGCCCATCTTGGGGTTTCCTTGCCATTCTCGTAGAACAAGTACGCGACCTGACAAAACAAATAAAACACGGCAGGGGCGTATTCAGTCGTAAGCCAACATGACAAGCTGCGTTCTGGTCGTTTTGGTGAAGGAGTTCCTGCATTTAGTCGATCCCACACAGGGCGGCATGCGTCGTACCAGGGAGCAAGACCATCCACCTTTGCGTCTCGGAGATGAATGAACCAAGAGGGGTCTGGGAGATGATGCATAGCATGTCCTTGTGCGTATCTCACCAAGTTGTCTCTTCCTTCAACGAAGTCTTGGTCCCCAACTTTGCGGAGCAAGGATCGGTGGTACATTCCCATCGGCCAGCATATGGCACGAAGGCATATTTGCATCAGGACTCTAGCAGAGTCTGCGGGAACTAGAGAGTGTTTCCAGACTCCGCATTTCACCTCTGAGCTGCAAATGAGAAACTCCTTCGCAGTCTGGTGGACGAGGTAGATCCGAGATCGCTCGATGAAAACAAACAGTCCACACCATCCTGGGAGGTCCTTCTCGAGTCGCGTCTTTCCGACCACAGCCGATTCCAAAGAGTCAATGTCCTTTGACGTTGCGAAACCGAGGGCTAGAGACATCTCGGAAAGACTGAGGGCCCGTCGAGCACCGATTATGATGTGGAAGATGGTTCGCACTTTACCGCGCTGACTTTCCCGCACCCTGTTGAGAATTTTCTCGTACGCGTCGTCCACCGACTTAGGGAGCGTTGCGATTATGGAATTGATCGAGTTCTCATCATGCTGTATGCTGTCTGTGATGTCTTCGTAAATGCCGTCGATAACCAGGGAGAGCCATAGATACGTCCGGTTTCGCATGTTCAATAGCTTTTTCTCTAGGAGCGCAGTCGCATCTGGCGACAAGGACGCATTTTCTGTCATCTCAGCAACACGGCTGCGGATGACCGAGTCGATCTCGGCGCGGATTGCAGTGTTTTCATCTTCGCCTCGAAGGCGAATTATCGAAAGTGAGGAAGAGCATCCCTTCATGCTGCGCTGGAAACCTACCTGGATGCTATTATACGGTCGGCTCGTAACCAGGATCTTCAAAGTTTGTGTCCGAGGTTGTGTCATCCTTGCATCTGCAAGAAAGACAGCGAGTTTCTCGATAAGGCGGTGTCGATCAGTATCCCGGCATTCATCAATGGCGTCTAACACGCAGTAGACATCGCGTGAGTTGGAGTCTGCGGTCGCCGCGAGGAATATCCTCCATAGCTCATCCACCTCTTGCATTAACTTGTCACCATTTCGTTGCCAAGCAGGTATTGCGTGAACGAGAAGATATGGCTGGCTTGTGAAGAGTTGGTGTAGAAGAGCACAAAACGCAGCTGTCAGATTATCCTGATTCTGATATTCCTTAAAAAAGAAATAACAACATGTTCTTCCCGCTGTTGTCTGCAGTTCGCGATCGACCAGAGATTTCGATAGGACGGACTTGCCACAACCTGGATCGGCAGTTATCCAGAGTAGATCGTCACCCTTGTTCTCTTGCCATTCTCGGTACATGGGATTGTTTATAACCCAAAGGCACGTGTTATCAGCTCGAGATGGGTTGACATTTTTCTGCTCTTCATACGAGCTCAGTTTGAAGGCGCGATGGCACTCCTGATATTCTGTGTTTTGGAAATTCTTCTCATGCCTGTGTAGCTGCTCTGTGATTTGTTGAATTTTGGTTTCGATGGAAACTGTTGGTATATGGGAATTAGATCCACTGCCGGAAACAAAGCCTCCAATTCGGAAACGATGGCAGAGAACATACTTTGTCCTCTGTTAATAGGGGTTGGGGGCTGACATACCCGCAAGCTGTTGGACTGTTTGCTGGCGGTCAAGATGCTCTGCTGTGACGTAAAGCAGTAGTTCTTTTGTCCACGCGGCCGCCATCGCAGCAGCGTACGGATGCCATTCGTCACTTTTGTGAGAATCGGCGTAGTCACATATTCCTCGTACCGTGAGGCAGGGGAAAATATTCGCAAGGCCGGCAGCTTCCATCTCCACACACAGCGCACCATAAGATGCCCGGAGGTCGTCCCGAAAAGCAGGGTCTTTCACCACCTCGTCTCCAGAAGCTATGATGCCATAATGGATCTGGGGACCAGAGGCTTTTCGACTTTGGCGAGTGATTTCGTGGCTAGGTAGACATTGATCGCAATTGTCTTGGTCGTTGGGGTGACGATAATTGCTGTCAAAGAGACGATCTTTGTGCTCGCCAGGAATATCATAAGACGGATCCCGCTCGATTATGTCGGAAAGGTAATCTAGCATCGGTCGAGATCGATCTGATGGAGGCTGTGCTCGTAGCGTCGTGATTGCAGTCAAAAGTGCATATGGAGGCGCATTGAGAGCGCCCTTGAGCTCGAAAGCACCTCCATGTGTGGCCTTGCCCTTGCTGTACTGTACAACGCCACCACTGCCTCCACTTGGTATGCTAACAACAACGTCGCCGAGCCTGATGTCGACACTCTTCTTCAAGTCTGGAATCCCTCCGCCGATTCCAACCAACAGAATGAACTTCAAGTATTCAAATGTCCTAATCATATCTTTCGCCACGTGTGCTGCCGCAGCGATGCCATCAATGCCCGCAGGAAGGCAGGCAATAATGACACTGTGACCATGTACACATCCAGCACGGTATGTGTTTTCGTCTCGACCTTTTCCTGTGACAATGCCATGGTCTTCATCTAGCAATATTATTGCTGCCTTCATCTCCACAGGCAAGGCACATATCCACCCGATGTGGTATTCATTGTGCGCTAGGCGGGGCATGGCGGTCGGTTTCAGTAGCAAAATGGTGCCATATACGAACAAGATCGTTTTCGAGAGAGCCAACGCTTGAGGGACGCGGTGAGTCTATCGGACAGGGTCATGAGCGTGAGTTCAGGTTAGTAGGGCATCCGTTGCGAAGTGCGAGTTGGGACTGTGCGAGTAGTGTCAAAGGGCACGAAAGAAGGGATCAGGCTCCAGTCTCAATAACCGCCTGATCAGGCGCAGCGCCTGGATTCGGTTCACTTGCAGTGCCATGATCAGGCTGTCAAACATTGCACATTGCCGGAAGGCTCGAGTCGTTGGTGGTCTTGACGAGGCGCAAGTTCGCGGAGCCTGAGGAGAACGAGTGGCTGGGGTGGACTGACCAGGCCTTGGCCCTGTTCTCCTTCCCCTCAGACTTAAGCGCTTGCTTGCTGGCCAGTCCAGCTTTCCCATCAATGTGATCCACTGCCAGAAAGATATTCTTAGCATGAGTTAAGCGGGCAAGAGCACACGGTGTCTATGGTCTATGTCGAAAGCCAAACTCTGCATATGAAATGAACTGGCCCTGGCCGCGCTCTCCGAAAAGATAAGTCTTCCACTCCTTCCGCCAGCCTTGGCTATGTAGAAAGGTAACGCTTCGCATTCCTCCTACCTGCTGTCCCATTTTGTGCCCTTGAGCATCTTCTCCTTCAAATGATCGTCAGCTTCTGTCGCCTCGGCCTCGACATACCCCTCGTCTGTGCCCACGTACCCTTCCTCGTCGACATAGATCCCCTCTGGGATGAATCTCCTCATGATATTCTTCACCCAGTTGTGAGGGAGGCCGAGTTTGACCGACTCGTCGATCCCCCTATTCATCCGTCCGATGTACTCTTGCACAATTTTGCCAGGGGTGGTGCGGAACTCGTCAACATACACTAGGGCCCGGATCGTGGTGGGTGGATACGATCCCATCGTGTCGGCGCCATTGACCATGTCAGAAGAAGACGAGTTCGAGCTGGAAGACATGCTGATGCCGTACTCTGCCGGATCCTTCAACCACTTCGTCACGGTGATGGGCAAGTAGTGCTTGTTATAATCCCAGCCGCCCTGCAAGTACTGCTTGACCACCTGCGTCTCCGGGTCCGGGTTGATTTCCGGCTTCGGGTTTCTCGCCTCGTTATGGCCTTCGTACATGTCCAGCCGAGCCTCGTCCACAGGATGCATGTTGTACACCACGCCCCATACCGTGTTGTGGTCCGATGCGGCGTTGGATTCGGGAAGGGCGACCACGTTGGCGTAACCGCGTTCGCAGATGATCCAGGCGTGTGAGTCTAGGCGCGCGATGCCCACGGGTTCGCTAGAAGAGGGCGAGTGCGGTAGCCGAAGCGACATCTGGTATGCTGAGAGGTTGGATCCATAAGCGAAGTAGAAGGTGCCGGTTTTGGAGGAAGTCGAGTTGGGGTGATGGACTGCTTGCTCTTGAGACATTTTCCCTTTGCTTCGGACGTGATACTCCTTCTTCCTTTCGCCACGACCCATGCAAGTGTGTCTTTTGTGACTCCTTCGGATCTGTATCCGATCCTGACTTAAGTTGATGCTCCTTCCAGCTTCAAGTCTGACTGGTAATTTATACAGATCAAATAGACGATATCCAAGACGGAGGTATCTCAACGAGTGCTCTCAGCTACGCCAGACGATGCCAGATCTGTCATATGCAAGTCGTCTGCAGCCGACCGAGTGAACTGTGTCAAGATATGCGGGATATCAGTATCGGACGGGTGAAGATATAGTCGTATCGGCGACTCCCCCGATCTATTCGCAGGAGAAGTGAATGAATATATGTACGTAATCACCTTTCTAATCGCAGTGATATTTCGTGCCAATCATCACAATAGAGCAGCAGAGTCTATACACGGAATGGTTTTAAGAACAAACTGAATAAATGTCGGAGACGAGTGACTAGCGACAAGTGAAAGCACTAGCGAAGGCGTGGGATGGAGATGTGCGATTTCGATCTGGACTAGAAATTTCGTAGTGACTCGATGACATAAAATGACGACGCAAGGCTCCGAGAAAGACTTGAGTTGATTGGATAGGGATCCAGGAGCAAACAAGTTGGATGGCGAGAGGCATGATTTCCTCAGCTCCAGATTAGTACATTAATGTTCAGAGGACAGAGGTCTATCTAGGGGTCTATTGGATATCTCGTCGACCATGATTAGTACCACAGAAGTACTTGGCAAGCTGACCATCCTGGCAGCCAATGTCAACCAACGTAGACGGCATACTTCATAAACTCCTCGTCCTTCCTCAGTCTATCCAGGTCCTCCTCCCTCAAACACAGCGCCGCCGCAATCTCCCCGTCTTGCCTCTTGGGCATCAGATAGAACAAACTCTCCACCGGCACAAATTGCGGCCTCCGAACAGCCTCGGGCTTGCCCAGTCCCAGGCCGAAATCGAGATCATAGCAGTAGTCATACTTTGACCAGGAACTCAGCATAATGTCTGCAGAGAGGTCCAGCGTTGCTGTCACATTGACCTTGTTGTTGTCCTCCGGTGGTGCGCGGTGAAGCCATGTCGCAAGGGCACGGGTCGCGTAAGCTAGGTTCGAAGTCGAAGGGTCCACGGCTTCTCGGAGTTTCGAGGCGATACTACCTAGATGTGCATCAAGAAGTCCTTCGAGAGGACACGTAGTGTAGGTCATGTTCTGGACGAGGCCCGGGTATGTGGCTGGAATACCTAGGTATCGCCGCGGATCGATTGCCCGTGCAAAAGTTACCTCTCTAGTGGAGTCGAGGCGAGGACGACGGGCCCGGGTTACAGATACCCAAATGAAAGCGCTCAGGACGTCGTCGGTCGACACGTAGGCTATATTGCCGGTGAGAGATTGCATTGCCAGCGACTTCAGACTTTTAAGGGACGCCGCAGAGAATATAAAGTATGCCCAGCTGCATTTTGGAGATTGAGGCTGAGATTGTTCAGATTCGCCGTCCGCGGCGTTTGATGCGTCTTGGTGTGCAGGCGGCTTTTCAATCTGATAAGAGAGTTCAGGCCCTGGCCTATATGACTCGTCCAGGAGCGGGATAAGGTCGCGTCGATCGAGGTTGCCCGTGGAAATTTCTTCGGCTGTGAATGGCTCATTGCGACAGGCCTTTGACAGGAGGTACATGATTCGAGCCATGCCAGTCATGTCCATTGTGTTATGCTGCGTCACAAATGTGAGCAGTAGACCGCCAGTGACGAAATTGGCCTGCACCAGAAAAACCGGCGCTGGTCCGTCTGTGCCCGCAGCCAGCGTGTTGACTGGTGCAATTATGGACTCGTCCAGCATGCTGAAAGGGAAGTTGGCTTGACGAAGGACATCCATGGACAGTGTCGAAGATCCATCCCTGAAGTCTTTGACCACCAGCCGAGGCGTCTTCTCAAAGGGCTTGATTTTGTAGAGGTTTCGGGTGCCATCACCGGCATCTTCGCGCAAAACCTGGCCTGCTACCCATGGGAAGCTGGCAGCTAGTCTCTCCAGCCCTTGCGTCAATGTGCCGATAATATCTGACTGTGACGAGCCATCGCTCATCCGGAAACAGAGACATAGCTGAGTGTATAGCTTGTACAGCCCTTCCTGTTGTCCAAAGATATCGAGATGATCTGCGAGCTCTTCCATATTTCACAATTGAGGTTGTTATGTGGTTTGTTACCTACATTTCTGGCAGGCGAGGGACAGTATATGTATGCAACATAATTTGTCCGTAGCCTTGATGTGATGTGTAGATGATCTGGACAGGTCTGTAACACGAACGGGGGTCCATCTGCAAAGCTTGATAGCTATCGGCCTACCCATTCAGGAAAGTGGAAATTCTCAGTCAATTCACCATTTTCCGTTCGGGACGGACGAGCTTCTAATTGACTGCGCCTCCCAGCGACGTACCCGTAGGGCGCCCAGCCCGTCAAGTCGGAGTATTTCCCTCGAGGAGACAGTGGCACTCTACAGAGCTATGATATCATAGATGGATGGAAGTGTTAAGATGGGAATATAGGGGAGGGGTGACTGTGGAAGTGAGGATGTTTCGAAGAAGCTAACCACGACTTGTATCACTTACATAGCTAGGTATCTTCCCTAGCTAGTCCGAGTAAGTGGTTGCAACTTATAAGGCGCTTGGGATGCGAGGATCCTAGAAGAAAGTATCAATACGCGGGAACTTGTAGAAAAATTGCGACAAGTGGGTGATGCGCTGGAGCTGTTGACTGCCGAGGTCTCGACTCTGTCTTGGTTGTATCTTCAGTGAATAGTGTATTCTACAATTGTCAACGCAAGTATCAAACCTATCCTCACCTGCAATATCATGACGGGAGACCAACCGCCAGCATCCTCCACCTCAGATTCCGCAATGTCTCCCCTCCAACTACCACCAAATCTAAAGTTCGGCCCCTTTTCCGTAGCAGCACAGATCTTCCACCTCTCGCCTTCTCGTCTTTCCTACGGCCTGGTCAACCTCAAACCCCTGCTTCCAGGCCACATCCTGATCTGCCCCGTACGCAGTGTTCCGCGTCTCTCGCAACTCACCAGCGCCGAAACTGCCGATTTGTTCAACACGGTCCGCCTCGTGTCAAGGACCCTTGAACGCGTGTACCACGCCACTTCTTTCAACGTCGCGGTCCAGGATGGAGTCGACGCAGGCCAGTCCGTGCCGCATGTGCATGTCCATGTGATTCCGCGACAGAAAGGAGATTACGACGACAAGGGTGGTGGCGACAGGGTTTACGATGCGATGGATGGAGAGGAAGGGGATTTGGGTGCCGCTTTCCTGGAGATGCGAAGGATCAGAGACGAAAGGTCGAAATCGGGAAGGGAGGCCCTGGGCGGGCCAGACAGTACCAGGAAGCCCAGGAGCGAGGACGAGATGAGGAAGGAGGCGGAGTGGCTGAGGCAGGAGATTGAAAAGGATCGTGTGCAGGATGAGGATTGACGGCATCGCTACTTGGGTGTTTCTGTAATGATCGATTCTTGTATTAATAACGCAACTGCTGGTGCATAGAGATAGAGTCAAGGTCCAAACACGCCATCTATTGTTCCCTGGGTATCATTGGTCTCTATGGCATCCAGGACGCTTTCCAGCAAATCGCTCTTCTGTCGCAAAACACATCGCGTCACTCATTCTCATCATCATTTCGCATGTCCATTCATCTCGCTCACTCCGTTGCCCAACACCTGGCCTTCTCCGTTGCTGTAGTATTCGTCCTGTTGCTCCTTGATTGTCGCCGCCTTTGTGGGTTCTCGAGGGGCCATATCTTTACTCTTCCACAGCTCGGCTCTTTCATCCAAGATCTCCTGTGCCCACGACTTCATCTCTTCCAGACTGATTCTCCTCGCCACCCAACTGAACTCACTCAGATCAATGGTACAATTGTTGGCACGCTCGTACTCCACCATCTGCAGAATCAGTTCCAGCTTGTCCACATCATGAACGAATTTCGACTCCAAAGTCTCACTGTCTTCGTATTCTTGCCAGGCTGCGCGCAGATCCTTGCCCGGAATGCCACCGTGCACCTTTCCAAGTAATGACTGGGCTACCCAATCCATGGTCTCAGCCTCACGTCGGTTCTTTTCCACCTTCGGAACACCATCAACGGGCGTCAGATCCCCAACGAGCCCCTCGGCCATGTCGTGGACCAACGCCATCTTCGTACACCTCGGGATGTCCAATCGCGAACTCAGTTCTGGCGGCGCGAGCATGGTGATGAGGGACATGCGGTACATGTGGTCAGCTATGGATTCGCCCGTTGAAATACCAAATCTTCGCCATCCTTCGCGCTTCTCGATCTTTAGGCGCTCAAGGTAGTGGAAGAAGGGGACGGGCGACGACGAGTCTTCGGGTGGTGGATTGGGAAGATCTTTCAGGACGGCACGCACGGACCACGGGTTCGGCTTGGGTAGCAGGGATGTGTGTGAGTTTCTGAGGGTGAATGAAGGTTGAGTGGGTGGAACTAGGGATTGTCAGTGTTGAAGCGTGGGTCTGTAGAGGAATACATACTTTCGGGTCTATCTGAAGACATTTTGCTGTAGAACGAAGCAATGTGGTTGTCAAGGAGATGAGCCAGGTGGAAGATGTGGATAAGGAGAAGATGAAGACAACAGAAGCAGAAATCCAGATACACCACCCAGTTTAATATGCCGTGCCTCTAATGCTTGTATATACAGAACAAACTTGCAGCACAAAAGATGGCGCTTGAAGGTATCGGAATGTTTGTTGAGCAAACACCAAATGAGACTTTTGGGTGTTTACCAAGCGACGTTCCCCCGCCAAACAGGTGGTTACTGCCGTCCCGTCCGCAGCCGCCAAGCAAGCTGAAAAAGCAGCCGGCTTATCCACCCTGCTCGCCTGTTTGGCAAAGAAAGTGATGCCGCCCTGTGCTCTCCATAGTGGGAAGGTATACCGATGCGAACAGCCTTACCGGCGTATTCGGCAATGCTGTCGCTCTGTCCTTGAGAGGTCAATGTGCTTGATCCAAAGTTTCTCTCGACACCAGCAGAGCGAAGTGATCCTTATCTCAAGCACCAGCGCATCAACCTCGTCACAAATGGAGGGAATGGCTTTCAAGCTACATTCCTTCTCTTTCAATTAGCCAATCTCGAGCACATTGGGCCACAGTGCTCCGTAACACTCCGCAAACGTGAGAGTGGTAAAAAATTGTTTCCGCTCCCCCCCTCGAAAATGGTCGGGAACCACTCCGTATTTCGCTGAAGTAGAGGATAAATCTAACTTTGTACAGTCTGCATCTTGTTCTATATATACCCTTATCATGCAGATTGCAAAGCATGCAGTACCGATCCCTGCCCTTGTGCATAGGTAGGTACATATTGAGTCCTATATATATTGTCATTCCTCGCCGCCAGAATCCATCGTCTCCTCTATCAATACCTCCTGCCCTTGCGTCTATGGCCCAAGGAGCAGTAACACCGGATGATGCTCGCGCTTGATTTTTCCACGCCTTCAGACGTTTGGTCATCCGGTGGGTGGTGCTTCGGGGAAAGGCCGAGGAAAACGTTCGGAGACTGGGTCAGCGCTACAACTGAGGATACCCGTGGACCTTATCTCATGTTCTAGACTGGAATTCATCCAATCTAATCTGATCTCATTTGATCATCTAATCTGATAACTTCCGAAGAATTCCATCCAGCTCCGCTGAACAACTGTTCCTGGTCGAACAGTTGTATCCCTTAATGCAAATGTGGTATGCATGTCCGATAGCGCTTGCTGCTTGCGGCCAATTGCCTGGACACTAGAAAAGAGGAAGAGTTTTCGCTTTGAGGGGTCCGTTCTGATTAGCTGAGGTAAATCGCCTATGCTTGCTCGGGAAATCCTACCAGTGCCCTCTCGGACAGTCAGACCCATGGGCCCTGAGAAGTATACTCCTGCGGTGCTATGGAACTCTACAGTGGGTGGACTGTCCTTGACACCATAATGGAGTCTGTCAATTTTTCCTTCGACTCGAATCGACTGGCACAAAAGGAGCGGCATTGGCCCTCTGATCCAGCTTTGCTGCAGGCTTCTGGACATTCTCCCCCGTCGTTCACTTCGACACAGCCATTACGATCTCAAGTCCCAGCGCTTCACCACTGCCGATAATATGCAGCGACAACAGAGGTCGTTCCCTCTGCTTCTTCTCCTCCTCGCCGGAGCTTGTCATGTCTTAGCAATGTCCGGACCCGAGGTGGTTGCCACCAAGGAAAGCTCGCTCCTGCCACGAGCTGTACCCGCGGCGACAAAACATCGGTCTGACAAGGTCCACGGTATCATCATGGGCACTACGGTCATCATCATATTCCCTTTCGCCTCGATCTCCTGGAGACTGCTCGACCGACTCGTGAGCGGGAGAACCCTTTTCAGAATCCATGTATGCTGCCAGCTACTGGGCCTAGCGATGCTCATCACTGGGTTTGGCCTCGGGGTTTGGGTCTGCATTATCCACGACGAGGTGCGTCCAGAAAGCCGTGATGGTGGACAGATGTCATACGATTCGGATGGCACCTTTCTCATCATACTCCACACGTCTTTTCACACTTTGTCATGAAAAGTAACTGACCCACAGCTATAGGTATACAATGATGCATGGGGCCATACTTTCCTCGGCACCATCCTCACAGCCCTCTTCATCCTCCAACCTATGATAGGGCAATGGCACCACTACCTCTACATATCTCGTACTCGGCAAACCAAACCCTGGATCCGTGTTTTCCACATCTGGATGGGCCGACTGTTGATGGTTGCGGCAATTATAAACGGCGCCACAGGCATCGTACTGGCTGCCAACACCCCTGGTGGCGAAAAAGGTTACAGTTCCGCGGCTGGCATTGTCGGCGTGTTCTACATTGTGATCCTGCTGCTCTGGTACTGGAACAGAAGCAAGCAGAACCTCGAAAAGGACAGTCAGGACATGACAATGGAAGGAAATGCTGATGTGGAAGGAAAAACGCTTCCGAGTGTGGGTGTCAGCCAGATATAGGAAGCTACAGCACATGTTGGTCGTTATCACAGAGGGCTTTGAGAACAGGATCGACGCTTTGAGGGGTGCTGTCCCTGGTATACAAAATCAGCGTCAGTCAGTATTAGCATCGGTGACCCGGTGCCAAATCCTGGGCTGTTTTGCGTGAAGTGGTTTTGCGACGCTCCGAACACATAGAAGAAGATGACAAGGGAAGGCATTTAACATACGAGTCGATGTTTGGGAAAACTTCAGCAGATAACTTTGGCACACTCGTTCACAATGTCGAACATAGCTCCGGAATAATGGCATTTAGCGTTCTTGTTCGTGCTTGTTACCCGGATAGACTGACGGGACACTCACTCTTCGTGTTTGCTCGACCCCAGCCCGGCTGGAGCGACTAGTCAACTACCTAGGTAGGTAGGCCCATTAAGCACGCTGATCTGTTGAGGTTACAAAGTGTTGACTCCACTTGAAAGCGGTGGGACATGGATTCCAATATACCTGCCTCCCAACACTCAGACAATGCGTATCGCATCCGCTGTCTTGGGTGCAAATGCTATCGCCTTGTTCGATGCCGTTTCGGGCAAAAAAGCCTCGCCCACCAGCACATACTGCTCCTCCGCCGTCCCTTGGCCCTCCACTGAGAGCTTGCGCAGGACATATGGGAAGCTAGCCCCTCTGAAGACAGCGATCGCATCACCTGGCATGGCATCTCCGGGCAAGAGCACGGGAGTCTTCTGTCCCACGCATATCCCCACTCGTCGACCGACTCCGTACTTTTTCAATGCAGCTCTGATAGGACGCAGCGGATGCAAGCTGCTCGGTTCAGAGGATGCAGGAAGCAGGTAACTCTGCGCCAACTTCAGATTCAGACCAAGGTATTGCATCTTCAATCCGTCCTCACGCTCGGGGAGAAGGGTGGTGTTGTCGTCCTGTGAGTAGCGGAGATGCCTGCTGGCCATGCGGTCGGTGGACAGGAAGTTGACCCAGAACATGTCCTTCTTCTCGTGAAGGCCGTATGTTGCCCCGTACTGGTGTCCGCCAACATCAGTGTGTCCAGCTTCGTGTGCCTTCTCGACGAATTCTTGCCATGACCGGTATACGTCGTCGATCTGCTCCGTAGTGGCATTGGGCGGCACGACGGTATCACAAATTGTGGTCACCGTGTCAAAGATGAACCCTTTGATCAGCAGCGTGTCATGCTCGAATTGAACGCTTGGCTCTGCGATCGAGATGTGGTGTCTCACGTCATCGGCTTCGAAGGGGCGATATTTCCAGTCGTCAATCAGGTTCGGCACCCAAGATGGCAAGTCGTGGCGCCGTTCATAATTCTGACAAGCGCCCAGGAGCCGTAACCCCTTCTTCTGAGGCAAGATCGCGCGGGCAGCCGACTTCAAGACTTCGGGAAGAGAAAGTCGATAATCCGGTCGCAGCAGGTAAACCTCCGGGTCTGCCATTCCCAGCATCGAATAGACCTTGTCTCTCAGATCCGTGGCTTTGCAGTGGCGGGAATGAAGGAGGAGCTCGTGTAGTGGCACAAACGAGCGGCCTGAGTGAGAGGCTTTCCTCAAGGTACGAAGGCTTCGCGCCTGGTGGTAGAAGCTGAAATCAAGCGTGCCGTCTCCTGGTTGCTGGTTTTCGGCACCCAAGCACAGCGCGGGAAGTTGGTGGCCAAGGCTGTCTGCATACTCAATGGCCATGACAGCTTGCGATAATACGTCGAACCCGATATTGTAGTCACCCCAACTGACCTGTGTTCGGGATCCTAACGATGCCTCTTGACGGATCCCTGCAAAGACGGATTAGCTCTAGATCTCATCCACTCCAAAGCGAGGCATTCCCGATCTCCGAGATGGGACGACTTACAACTTCGTAGCCACCAGGGTTGATCCAGTAATAGACGCAAAGCATGCCAATTCTTGCGCACTTCCTCTTCTGAGAGCTCTGGATATTCAACCTCCTTCTCCCCAGGGCCTCGGGCGGGAGGCCGGCCAATCTTGCCAACAACATCCATGGCGAGTGCACTCCCTTCGATGGCATCGCCAAGCCAGACATGAACAGACTGGGCACCCTTGTAGATGCGGCGCATCAACGAAACTTGATTACCTCGTTCTTCGATGTCCTCTTGATTGATGCCTCCGACAAAGTCAGCTTGATCGTTCATCCACACTCGAACGCAAAAGGCTTACAGATCTGGTCAATCCACCAGAGAGTCATTGGAGAAGGTGCCCTGGCAGTCGCCGCTTCCTTTGTGGCTCTCTTCCTCATCTGGCGCAATGCACTCTCCAAATTCCTAGTGACCGGAAAGACATGACCGTCGACGATGACACGTCCGTCCATCTTGGGTTCCCCCCAGCAGTATGACATGGCATTGTACTGCTTCAGTCGCGCAGTCTGAGGTGCCTCGAGACTCAAGAGCTCCAGAGTGCCCTTGATCTCTTCCGAGTCATCGTCTGCATTGTAAAGAGCGAGCAGGCGAATCTCTGCTTTTTCAAAGCTGAGCGCTTTGTACACATACGGCGCGTCAGAGACCTGAGACCCTGGGGCAACTTCAGATTGTGAGGTGGAAGAGACGTGGTTTGGCTCTCCGTTCACTGGCCCCAGCTCACTTGGTAGTGAGATGTTCAAATGCTTCAGTATAGTGTTCACTGCGAGGTCGAGCCGGTCCAGCTGTTGTTCGATGCCCTGTAGACGATCCCAGATGGGCGCTACCATTGGGTGCCTTTCGTAGTTAACCCCGAATTTGTGAGCCATGATTAAGATAATAGAGAGATGGCTGGGGAGGCCGAGTATGAGAGCACGACGAGGTATTCGCCAGATTATGGCGAGCGAGACCTGACCAGCTTCTCTTCGATGAAGGGGTGGATCTGAAGGAAGTGGTCGAGATCCCAGGAGAGTTATATTGTAGTGACCTCGTATTATTTTCAGTCTGAAACGAGACCTCGTATAGATACCAGCCCTGTGAAGCTCCTAACAGATCAATGATAGGTCTCTGTGCATCTCAAGCTCACAATCCGACTCTCCGTTGACCCCTGACAGCGAGAAAAAGGGGGGTTTTGGGGCAAGGCTCACCCAAACCAGGGGGAGATTAACGGACGAGGCTGAGTATTAGCCTGAGGAGATGCCCAGACCAACAACCACTTGCAGCCAAGTCTCTCACCAACACGCCAATCACTCGCAACAAGCCCATGCGCGCCATGCTCCTCGCGCTCAAACCGGCCTGATTACTTGACATGGATACCTCGTCGTCACAAACCCAATGGCATCCTCGAAACAACGCTGCAATCTTCATCCGTGCCTTGCACCTCCTCGACCTCGACCTTCTTCCGGACTGGCCCAGCATCTCAGAATCGACACTCCTTCATCCAACAAAAGCCTCCAGCAACACAAGTAGAACGACACCAGCCCAACCACAGAAGCGCACAAAATCCCTCGAATGGGCACTCTACCACCTGTTCCGCCTTTATTCCCCTTCCGAAGCCGCCTCGAGGCTCTCGCCGTATTTTCCTCCTGCAACGCCTATACTGTCGAGGGATTTGAGGGCCGGGTTATACAAATGGCTCACGGAGTTGAAGCAGAGCGGCGTGTTGCCCAGGGACACGGTGCTCCGGAAGACAATGCTAGATGAATGCAAAGGTGACAAGTTTGAGGAGTTGATTGCGAGGTTCGCAATGCTGGTTGTCAGGAAAATACTATCGCGAGGTCAGAGCGAAGCCAGCAGTGGCCACGTCAAGCGGCAGACACATGATGTTGGACGCACTAAGAGGAGCACCGAGGCAGGAAAGCACCAAGATCCAGACTTCTTGGTGCCTTTGGTCCTCGCCCATCGGGTCTCTCTGCAGCACTCGCTCCGCAAACGCCAGGATCTCAAGGAGAAGGCAACAGCTTACGCGCAAAAATTGGCACAGATACAAAAGGACATGGCAAGCGACTTACATGATATTTCTCAGCACTCGTCAAGCCCCGATAATTCCGAGAACCTGCTATCTGCAACCGATCACCGGTTGCTCCATGAACGAATCAATCTTGCTTTTGCGGGTGATCGTCGCTGGGGGAGGTATATCTTCGAAGGTGCCCCTTCTTCGTCAAATTCAGCCTCTGCTCGAGACCTGCCAGAATGGCCCTTTGAAGGACCCTCCCCGTTCGCTCTCAAAGACGACGAGGGAGAAGAGGACGCTAGTCAACCAATGCGCCAATTGCAATCTTTGGTATCTCAGCACCAGGAACGAATCGCTCGCCTCACAGCCGTACGCGATTCTCTGCTCTCTCCTTCTGAATCAATAAACGTGTCAGAACGGACACCGAATATGCGTACACCATACTCGGCAGAAGCGACCGTGGGAAAAGGAGAGTCTCGACCCCAAGCAAACAACTTGTCTCATCGCCCAAAGCCACGGTTCAACCGGCACCAAGATCTCGTATTGACTTAACATTCCTCCGGACATACCCTTTCACGCCTCAGGCCGCGCCACTTCGACTTCAGCACGAATGAATTTTCAGCTTATAGACCGACGAACCCGGGCCATTCGTTCGTGGGAAGACCCCCAATTAGATGGCTCGCTACAGAAGGAAGGTAAGACTCTCACCACACCATTCAACTTTACCAGCTGCCACTTTCCTCACGTCTTCATTGCTGACCTCTCGACTTGTCCGTTCGGCGATGAATAGAGCATTGAGGACCTCTAAGAATCGGAACAGGACTCTACTCTCGTTCACCAAGTCGTTATCCCGACGTACCAATCTGCTGTCAGATTTTGCTTCTACGATTGCATTTGTCAAAGTGATCTGATCGACGCGCACTGTGAAGGTCCAGTACGCGTTTCTTATTGTACGGGATGTGAAAATCGTTCAATTGGATCGGTGCTGTCAAGGGGTATCATATCTGACACGTTTCAAGAAAGGAAAACAGATGGCACTGACGGCAGGCAATATGAACAAGAAAAGTGACAGGGGCAGGGACTGACCTCTCTGCCTCGTCTCCCCTCGCAACGTCCCGGATGTGTGAGCTGGCCGTGCTCCTGTCAGTCCTTCCTCTCATTTGGTTCGAGGTTCTTGGTCGAGCAAGACTCGTGCTCACGACATCTCCTTCAACTCGCGTGAATCTAGTCTGATTCAGCAGCCGGCACCTCGCACCAGTCCTCACACTCTGTCTCAAAGCCATCTTCGCTCTCGCCCTCCCCTTTAATCTCAAGAAGCAAGTCGCACTACGACCAAGCTCCTAGACTAGGGGTTGTGCTTTGATCCCGTCTGTCCCAGCCCCAAGATTCCTTCATTACATCTCTATCTGGCATTCCACCGTCGAAGTACCCTTCATCCACATCCCCGTCATTCTGGTAGTCCTGAATTTCAACCTCAACTCGACTCCCCAGTGCCTCCTGCCCTTCCTTGATCATAGCCTGCAATTGCATATTGAATCGGTTCATTGTCGCATCTTGCTTGGCTTCCTTCCGACGCATTTTCTGTTCGAACTTGCGGACCTCGGGAGACGGCTTCGGTGATGTGGCGACTGAAGCGGATGACTGCCGACGAGAGGCGGAAAGCGAGGACCTGTGGGTGCTGGAAATGACGCTCGGGCGCTTGGAAGGTTTGTCTGAATTCTGGTCCTGGTCGATGGCAGAAACTGCGGGGACTGAGCTCCAAGATTGATACTGTGATGAACTGGTGGTGCTGGTGTTCGCGCCCATCGATACCCGCGGCGACGCATATGAAGCTGACGACCTAAGTGTTGATGATCGAGGTGTTAAGCGAGGACGAGATGTAGGGTGGCTTGGGTGGCGCGGAGCAGGTGATGGTCGAGATGCGTAGAGACTTGCCGTGCTTGCTCTCGACTTCTTGCGTACAGGACTAGATTCCGTCGATGGTGATAGCTGGTTGTCATTATCAACCACTACCCAACTATTGAAGCGGGAGATCGACGGAGAATCTTGATCGGGTATGACGGTTGGGGTCGAATTGTTCTCCTGCCTGGGTTGAACAGACAGTCTGGACATGTAGTCCTCGATGAACTCGGGACTATCGCCAGGGAATCCACCAGGCACTGGGGTCCGGTCTCGGTCTAGACGCCTTGAGTAGTCGCCAGCAGTGTCATCATTACGGAACACATCATTTTTGGGATCGAGTTCTGTCCATACGCTGGAAGAGCCCATGTCTGCCGGTCCAATGTCGAACTTGTAACCACTGCCTCCGCCAGCGTAAAAGCCACTGAAGGTGGTATTCCAACAGAAATTGAAGACTTTGCCCGCGAGACCACCAGTCAAATCCCATACTGTCTTTCCCCAGCTCTTCATCGGTGGCGCCGGAGGTGACAATCTCCGTTTATTACTACTTCGAGACCGATCTGGGGCTGGCGTTTGGGGGAAGTAGGATTCTGATGACGGCTGAAGGAGTGATGACTTTTGGCTGTTGTTGAACCTGTTCGGCCTGCAGTCGATCTCATAGTCGAACTCGTGGGTGTCTTCCTCTTTCTGGATGTTTAGTGCAGTAGGCGTATCCAACCCGCCTGCGATGCGGTAGTTTGTGTTGACGAGCGGTGGAGGACTGAGGGCTTCTCGCCGAAATGTGTCATCGTAGACTACTGACTTCGTGTCAAGTCGCGGTCTCTTGCGGCTGTATTGCCGTTGATCGTCTTCTGGTGTCTGAAGGAGGGCGCTTCCCGTCGCTAGTGCTAGTGGTCTCAAAGGCCGTGGTTGCGACCAGGCAGACGGTGATGAGGAGTCCGGGGTAGGGGTGCTTCTCTCGGGGGGTGGCAGGAACGGTGAGGCTTTGAATCGTGCGCAGTGAAGTTGTGAAAAACGATTCTCGGGCAGATATGAGCCTGGCGCTAGGCCTGAAGGTTGTTCCATGACTGCAGTCATTCTTGCCGTTGCGACAAGCGTCAAGCAGGGATCAGGCGCACGCGGTGCGGGTCGGCGTGATGGTGTGTGCACGTCGTAAAGGAGTGACTATTAGGTAGAATCACTTGAGACTTGAAGATGACATTGTTCGGTGCGAGAAACGACGACGATGACGATGGTTTCAGATCCAAAAATGTAGAAAATGATGGAGGCAGGTGACGGGAAAGAGATTCAGGCTGCGCGTGGGATAGGATGGGACGGGATGAGCTGGCAAAGGAAGATGTGATGTCGTGGTACAAATCAGACTCTCAGACTCTAGGCTCCAGCTGCGCGGAATACGAGAAGCGCAGAAGTTGCAGCGCATACAGAAGCGACGAGTGAATGCACGGGGAATTGTGGGCCTCATGGCGTCATTGTTTATGCTTTGCGGTTGGCGCGGTGATGATTCACTCACATACTCGGTACAATCCCCTCTTAAGACTCTTCACCCCAACGTCTTGTGCGACTACGAACCGACGACAGGTGTCTGTGAAGCAACCTTTACGGACGTGCATTAAACGAATCTCTCAGGGGATCAAATAAGTTATTACAAGAATTTCCTTTTCAAACATGCAAGAATCTCAAGAGCAGAACAGGCGTGAGGATTGATTGGTCAGCCTCGAAGACTTTCTCAGCCATCATCTACAAAACGGTAGACATAATAACCTGTTTACCTAGTACGTATCTAGATTGTTCAACTAATCTCTTTCTTGCCTATACAGTAAGGGGTTCTTTGCTATCCATTCTTCTTTAACCCTCCCAGATCCTTCCTGCCGGGAAGATCTGCCTCTGGGTTAAAGCCTCGTTTGTGGGGTGACATGTCAGCCACGCGTGAGGCGTGGCGTGACGAGCGACAAAACTCGCTCCCCACCATGCCATCTCTTCGATACTCGACAATTGTACATGAGCTACTCTCTACATCACAAAGTCCGGTGCCCTAGGTACCTGGGTAGGTGTCTATCATACACAATAACAGAACCCCCAATATAAGACTCGTTTGCCACCCCTCTCGCCCGTCCGCGCATAAAAACCGAGTTAGCTTCCACTACACACCACACCCACCACCATTCTATGCAGCGGTCCTACTGGAACAGACTCGGTCTAGTTCTCGTGTTTTCTACCCTTGCAGCTCTCCTCTCTATGTTGATTGGCCATCTCCGAATGTCATCGTCGATAAATCAATCCACAACCACCGCGGCGCATTCCCGGGTCGTCGTCGTTGTTGGTTCGGGTCTCGCGGGTCTCTGCGCCTCTTCCGAACTCGTGGCCAGAGGTGTGCCGGTGCACATAGTCGAACGCCAGCAGAAGCCGGGGGGAAATTCGATTAAGGCGTCGAGCGGCATCAATGGCGTGCCAACCAGGTTTCAAGCCCAGGGGTCGGACACCGTGGCGGCATTCTACAACGACACACTGAGGTCGGCTGGTGCGAGTTTAAGTGCCTCAAAGACGGAAGCGAGGCAGAAGCTCATTGCTAAGCTGACCACTTCTTCTGCGGAGGCGATCAATTGGCTCGTGGATGAAAAGGGCATCGACCTGTCTCATGTCGCTCAGCTGGGTGGCCATAGTCATCCTCGAACACATCGTGGAGCAGGACCCTCGCCACCCGGGGCCAGCATTGTGCTGACACTGCTGAAACAGCTTCAAGCCAGTTCCCTCGTGACGCTCCAGACCGACACAACCGTCACAAAGATCCTGAAGTCGGATGGGGGCGAGGTTGTAGGAGTGCAGGTGTCCCAAGACGGCAAGCCGGAGAAGACGATCGAAGGGCCGGTGATATTCACCGCTGGTGGCTTCGCAGGCGACTCGTCGGGTCTCCTCGCTCAGTATCGACCAGACCTCGAGGGGTTCCCATCCACCAATGAAGCGCTCCCGGGATCTCAAGCCTTGTTGACGGACCTCGGCGCACATCTGGTCGATATGGAACAAGTCCAGGTCCACCCCACGGGATTCGTGGACCCGAAGGAGCCATTCAAGCGGACAAAGTTCCTGGCAGCCGAACTCCTCAGGGGCGAAGGTGGGATCCTCCTCCGGCAGGGCCGGAGGTTCATCAATGAGTTGAGACTGAGGAAACAAGTTACGGATGCCATCGTGGCACAACAGCCTCCAAACGACTTACAGCCTACCAAGCAGTGGGAGATCCAGATTATGTTGGACGAAGCCACGTACGCGGTCGCAAAGTCCCATGTCGACTTTTATATCTGGAAGGGACTGATGCGGAAGTCAACAATATCAGAGCTGGAGCATTCAGATGCGACTCTAGAGACGATAAAAGAGTATGCTGCAACTGTGCAAGGCAAACAGCCCGACCTCTTCGGTCGATCGTCATTTGGGCACTGGGCGCTGCAAGATCCAAGGCCAGACTCGACGGTCTACGTCGGCACCGTCACCCCAGTCGTCCACTATACCATGGGGGGAGCCATATTCTCGCCCGAAGCAGAAGTCCTGGATGGGGGCGGAAACCCAATTAAGGGCCTGTGGGCTGCGGGAGAGTCTACAGGCGGCATCCATGGAGAGAACCGGCTCGGTGGAAGCAGCCTGCTGGAGTGTGTGGTGTTTGGGCGTGTTGCAGGTCGAAATGCTGCAAAGTTCTTGGGAGCGTAGAAGTCTGCAAACCGGCCCAGTAGTCCAAGAATCTGAGTTTGAGGGTGTACCTAGGTATGTATCTGTTTCGCACCAATGGCACATGAGGCTTCCGGACTGATTGAGACATGCATGGTCTCTTCCCTCAGCCCACACTGACTAGACCAAGACATAGAAGGGTCCTAGAGGCGCAATGACCAATTGAAGACATGTGAACCAATCGATGACTAGCATTCGTGAACTCACACCAGACAGAGCAACCTACAGCAGCCGTAACTTACTGCCTGCACAAAGGACAACTTGCCAATTGGTCACAGTGAAGGCAGTTCGACTACTCGTAGTTCTCCAAATGGTTCTCAGCTTCGCTGCGAGGTAATTGGGCTGAATGTGCAGGCGAAGCAGCAGATGGTGAGTTGGAGAAAGCCACAGAGTCCAATCATGTGCTGACAACTCAGCGAGATGATGGGATGATGAAATATTGCCCGACCAAAGAGGCACACCTGAGCCAACAAGACTGCAGCAGGGCATGGGCAGGGGGCATCCAGCTCAAGTCTGCGGCTGGGGCCTCCTGAAAGGGCAAGAGCCGCACAGTCTGCGCTTGCCGACCTCGTCGCAAGGTATGAGATGGGCCTGCACAAGGTAGAAGATGTAAGAGTACCCGCAACTTTCTAACCTCATCGTCTTAAGTTCTCTTCAATGTTTCTTCTTGACAGCTGGACAATGTCTTCCAGCAAAACAACAAAGGTTCTGCCGGAGAATTGGGAGGCGTGCGTCGAAAGTCGCAAGGCTGCGCAAAAGGCAGCAGCGGAGGAAGAGCGAGCTATACGGCAGCAAGCGATTGCTCAAGAAGCCAAAGGGGACCTGTCAGGCGACAAACGAGCGTTTGACAGACCGCATACTCGTCCTGAGCCAATTCCAACGAAGTTGCCTTTGCCGTCGAATGAGAACGACGTGCCTGTCCCCTTGTCACTATCTCTCAATGACGATTTCACCGACGAATCCCCGATATCCAGCATTTCAAGGCTGCAAGAAGAGCTCAGAAGAGAAAGGGATCAGCATGCCCTCTGCCAGGAAAATCTCCGTGATGCCGAGTCAAGAAGGGACAAACTGGAGAACGACCTCGAGGTGGCGAGGCGCGAACTTGAGCTCGCGACCGAGGCAGTCCATGAGAAAGAGTATGAGAGGCATCTAAAAGTGAGAGACCGTCTTAAGGAGCAGTTGAAAGATGTCCGGGGAGAATGCGATGAGCTGCGCCGGCAAAGGCGGGAGTTAGAAGCCCGAATCGACGAGCTCGAGAAAGAGAATCGGCGGATGAACCAGCTGGGCCAGAAGATCCAAGGAGAGCATGAACCATTGACGCAAAAAGATGTTAACGTGAAGGAGAGCTTGAAGAAAGAATCTCTGCAGTCGGCGCCGTCGTCTTCCCGACAATCGAAGAAGACGAGTGGGAGGAAAGTCCGCCCCAAGCCGCGCATGGTTGAACGCAAAGGTGTTCGACTCTTGTTGTATCCTGCGGCAACATAGGAATTAAGAAGAGAATTGTGGAATGAGACGGACGTGACACAACACATTTTCCAGTGAATGAATCTGATGGAGTTATGCAAGTCGACGGATCCTATCTACTCGATCTGTCTACGAGTACCAGTACCTCCCTAACAACGCCCAGGAATAAGCACTAGTAAATTGACCAAGGAGCGCGATATAGAATCTAGGATGACTTTTGTCACAGCCAAGGTGCTAGTAGTAGTGACCCTATACCTACAAGAGGCCCTATAAGGCAGGATCTATGTACATTGACCAAAGAGGGCTGGTGTTTTCTTCATTCATCTCGTGCTTTTCTACTATTAATCTATCTAGTATTGCTCTCCCTCTTCCAGAATTACAACATGATCGAATATGGTAACAAATCTTTAAATCTCCTTCCTCTTCCTACCTAATGAGTATGCTGGACCGAGATCGAATCTTCTACTTGCATTTCTCAAGTTTCTCTTCTCCTCGTTTCGGATATGTAACAGACCTTGGGTCAGAAGTAGGAGCTTGTTTCACCTTGTTCCATGTGTTCCATCAACCAGAGCCATTATATTATTTTTGAAAATGTAGCAACAACGCGGTGAGGCTAAGCAGTGCAGACGCCAGAAGGAGGAGCGGCCGCAATTGCTCCGTACCCAAGCAAGCTTCATTCCCTGATGCGATGTCAAAAAAAAACAACCCAGAATTTGCATAAATCTCTGCTGTTTTGGACCTTTCACACTTTCTCAGGGTTGAGTCTTGCTTGTCTCTCCTGCCACTCCTCATAGTCGACCACGTCCGCATCCTTGTTCTTGGTCTCGGGGATCAAGAAGAAAGTAATGATAGCGCCCAGGACATTGCACGCGAAAAATATCCACAGGACGTTCGCGAGCCCGATGATGTTCGGTCCGCTAAGATAGTTGAACAGCAGGGCAGACAGAATGGCACCCAGCTTGCCCACGGCGGCACTGGTGCCGTGCGCCAATCCACGGACCCGCGAAGGGTAGACTTCGGCGGGGACAATGAACGTGGTAGCGTTGGGGCCGAAGTTGAAGAAGAACTGTGATCAAACTACAGTCAGATCCAAGAAGGTTTGTTGGAGGAGGGATTGAGATTGAACGAACCTGGGCAAAAGCGAAGCAGACGAACTTGCCTGCAGTCCCAAGGTGTCCATAGTCGCCAGCTATGACACCAAACATCAAAGCGACGATCAGGAACCCTTGGATCTGGATCCACTTCCTGCCGAGTTTCTCGACAAAGTATATCGTGAAGAAATATCCGGGAACGTAACCGGCCGCGGCAATGATCAGGTTTCCAATAGCGTTCCGCATCAGGAGGTCGTACTCGTTTTTGCCGGTATTGAATCCGATCTCGTCGAGGAGGACGGATTGATTCAGATTGGTGCCGTAGAAGGCGACATCCAGCAAAAACCATGTCGACGTCGTTCCCAAGAGAACCTTGAGGTTCTTCCACTTGCTGAAGTGGATGAAGAAGGCCTTGTACTTCGTGCGGCCTTCGGTGCTGCTGGTGGGAGTGAGCTTGTTTGCATCGTCCGTCGTCGTCGTATCAATGGAAGCAGGGCCAGCATCGGTGCGAACACTGCCATTGCTGTGTGAGTCTAACTCCGGCCCGTCGGCTGCAGATTTTGAGGAGCCGTTATTTTCGGCCCCGTTATGGTTCGCCACGGCCGAGTGGTTCAACTCTCGAGACTGTAAGTACTTCCTACCTTCAGGCATTGTGAGACGGAAGTAGAGTGTGGCAAAAGCTGGAACGAGCCCAAGGCCCATCTGAATCCTCCAGACTGCATCCAATTGGTTGTAGTGCCCTTCGGCACCCAGGGCGTGACTAAAGGATGCGAGAATGATGATCGTTGCAATGGAGCCGGTGAGTGTGCCCTGGTAGACAGGATCGAGTCAGCTGAAGTCAAGAGAGAATGTGCTGAGCACCACGAACGAAACCCTTTGCGTTACACCGGCTCTGGAGCGTGAGCAACTTACCCAACCTTGGTTGGAAAAGATCCATGCCAATAGTTGTCCACGCTTCGGCAGCAAGGACCTCTCTGAGACGATGGACGCCGACATGGGATAATCTCCTCCGATGCCTACGCCCATCAGGATTCGGAAACAAAAGAGCCATATCATCTTCAACGTGGGTGTCGGTATGTGGTTCGGAAGGCTGATGGTGAGGATGGTGCCAATTACCACCACGATTAGTTCCTTGCCGTACACAAACTTGCGACCGAAGACGTCGCCCAGAAATCCGAATGCAAGTTGTCCGAGGATATTGCCAATGTTTGAACCAGCGTTGACCAGACCTCGGAGGAGAGGAGGGTAATGCGGTTTACGGCCATCCAGCCCTCCCCAGTATCTAGAAGATCATATCTCAGTCCATGGACGAGTGTTGAGAGTGTGGAAGGAGGAGCGGAGATGCTTACTCGTAGAGCCATACTGGTGTCACCAGGTTAATGATGAACAGATCATATGAATCAAGAAAAAAGCCAACCCTGGTAATATGTTAGCAGCAGTCTTGTATGTTAGAGGGAAGCAGCAAGCCGTACCCAGTGATGGCAAACAGCTTGAGGTCGCCCTTGGTCAAATTCCACCTGTTCTTCTTGGCAGCAGCGGCACTGACTGACCTCTGTTGATACTCTTCCTATACACAACGATGATGAGTCCAGGAGATTGGAATGAAGCCGGCGTGGAGAGCTCACAAACGTCACCGGTTTGCCATCATCGTCTCGGCGCGCGTAGCCATCGTCCTCCCACTTCATAGTCAATCACGGAAAGTGAAAATTCAAGCGAAAGCCTCTCAAAGGTAAAATGGTAGTATGTGTTGGGAGTTATAGAGCGCCAGCTCTGTTCGTATCGGTGATCTGATGGATGCAAAAGTCGTTTTCTTGTCGGCCTTGGATCTTGCCCAGGAACTTGTCATGACTTAGTCGCCCTTGTGGATTAGCACCTGTACATATAGTACCTACCTAGGTAGCCAGCTACAAGCAATTGCCGCGATACATGTCCGTCGCCACAGGCGGTGATACCATGACCTCGAAAAGAATTGCTCCAGGACGGTCAAAAAGCGCCATTGTCCCCCAGGGCAGTCGAGGCTCGCAGTCGACAACGACGACAGCATTGCGAACGTGTCGTGGGAAACCCAACTGATTGAAGGACATTCAAAAGCTTCTTTGAGCTCGAGTTTCGCAGTGTTGAGCCTATGGTGTGATGATTTAATGAATGCAATATAGAGAAATGTAGAGATTCCGGCGAGGCTCGTGAGGTTGCAATTGTTTATGGCACAAGGCTGAACTGCCGATGCCAGCCGGTGATGTCGGAGGGTCACTGTTCTGAGCCTATATGCCGTACTCTAGGGGTGGCCAATAGTCCGGTGGGCTGCCCACCTATTCACCTAGGTAGGCTCGCCTTATAACCACTTAAACTGGCTGCTTCTTCCCCGTGCTCGTCTTTTCAACACTCGGGTTCAACACCTTAGTCGGCCCCTCTGGCATGAGAGGTGTGTCGACCTGGCTGCTTCATAGCCAAAGTTTACATCACCCCATTTGACCGTGAATGCTCTGCTTCATATATATCTGGTTCCGGAGTCGCTGTTACTCCACTGATCGTTACGAGGGTTCTGCTAGCGTGTCCTTGAGTTCCATGTGCTTTTGACTCGTACATTGATCGCTCGGAGTACCCGGCGCATGACAAGACTCGACTATTATGGTGAGATTTCGGTAATCAATTACTTCATCCTTGTTTTTGGATTGCGCATTCATCTGAGATCGACTCATATCGCGTGCCACTGTTGCCAAAAGGTCATATCATGGACGCCAAAACCTCAGACGGGCAGAAGGCCCCAGGGCTTGGGGTCGATTGATGCGCCTGATGAGCGACTTCAGCACCCGGTCTCCTGCAGAATAGTCTCCCATCGCTGCTCATTTAACCTCAGGACGGCTCGCATTCCCCCTTCTGCTTGCCCCTTTAATCCCTCCCCTTCAGTAAGGACGACCTGGTCACTGATATGCTTCGCTTGCTCTTCCCGCATCTGGACCAGACTAAGCAGATCCGTCAACGCACTCTCTTCCAGCCTTTTTCTCAAATCTGCACATATTCTCTGTCGCCAGTACATCAGTCCGTTTTTGTCCAGTCCTCGATCAGACAGGTTACGCAGCGAACTCTCTACCTTGTCGCTAGTAATCCCCGAAGAAGAAGTCGATATCCCCAGCAGGACATCGAATATGTCAAGCATGAGGAAGATGGTATAGATGTTGGTAGGGTTATGCCGGCCGACGAAGCGCTGTGGATTGACGAGGAAGTAGATCCGAAGCACGTTCACCAGCGCTTCGTCAAAGGCCTGATACTTCAACCCTTCGAGAATGAGTCTCATGGCCATTTCAGGGAATTTGCCCGTCGTGTAGAGGGCAGGGTAGTCAAAAAACCGGTCCGACTTATCCATGCCTGCTGCAGCCTTTTGAAAGCCACCCGAGCTTCGCTTTTCCGGCGATAGATGGCGAGCAACAGATTCGGTCCACTTATCAAACTGGGCTGGGAGACTGGGTTGCTCAGCGGCCAGGTCCGTCGTGGCTTTGTTATCCGAAAGGCACTTGGAGCAATTGCAAGTGAAAAAGTAGTCCTCCATGAGCTTCGCTCTCCTGGCGCTCGCTGACGCCGTGGGCACAATGTAGCAGTTGAACAGCTCCTCGTCTTGCTGAATGTCTCTTAGAGGAATAACCCGGATAAATGTCCGTCTCTCATCGTCGGAGAGCTGCGTCGAGCTCATCCAGCCGCTGGTCATGGTGTGTTGGGGTCTGTGGACTGCCAGATTGGGTTCACAGCTGTGGTTGAATTTGGCCACGAGAGGCTCAAGCATGACTCCTATACCTCCCTGGATCGGAGTCGGCAGCTCAGTCGCGTTAGACTTCATGATGAAAATCAGTCGCTGGATCGTCTCGATGCTCATGCTCGACGCCGCCAGGTGTTTGATTCCTTCCGCCATGTCCGTAAGGTTGGACCGTCCCCGCGCCGCAAGGATCTCTTCGTGCGAAACCAACTGCGTGATACGGCTCCATTCGTCACTCGGCACCTTATCTCGGTCCTTGAGGAGCACCGCCCGCAGCACCGCCCTAAGGATAGCTGGGGGCAGGTTGTTCTGCACCCGTTTGAAGATTTTGCATTCGTACTTGTGGTATGCATGCCACGATTCAACCTGGCAGTTTCGACTGCAGAAGCGCGCAGCGTGGCAGCCGTTGCAGATCTTCAGTTGGACAGTTGCGTGTCCGTATCCTGGTATGGGCAGCGGACTCTCCGTGACAACGAGGCAGTGGTAGCACGTCGTCTGCAAGAAGTCCGAATCGATCGCCATCATAGTTGGGTAGTTTAATGAACAGATCGGCTCCTTGACAGACAAGAACTGTTTTGCGAATACTCCTTGTCCCTTGCCTGGTATCTGTTCGATCTTCAGCGTCTTTTCATGTTTGCTGTCGATGTAGGACGCTTCTGGAGCCTTGCGCTGTTCAATAAGCGAGTCGATAAGGGCATCCAGTTCGGCCATTGCCTACTTCCCACCACAATCGGGGTGGGTGTGGCTGCCCCGTTTCACAAGGGAGCAAAGAAAGTTCCTGCTTCGAGAAAGCCGCCTTAAGGATGGACCAAAATCAGTTGGGCTCTCGTGATACCGATTCCTGACGAGGGGTGACGATTAAGATTGACCCTGTTATGCAATCGAGACATGCGGCATTAGTAGCATATTAGCAAATGATGAAACTCGATGCTCCTTAGGTCGACCTATGCCAGGACTGTTGGGCAATTACTGCTAGGTTTAGCTGGAAAAAAATGTGCGGCGCTCTACATGTGCGCCAATAAGAACTTGGCTTGCCCTATTGGATACGGAGAATTACATATTACAAGCCTCTCTCCCCTGGGTTAACCATGGGGCGGCGAACCCCGTGGAGATGATCTGCTAGAACAAATGGTAATTATGTCCCTGCTCAAAACCTCAACCACAAGAACTGGTGCGGTTTCATATGGATTCCCGCGTTCCGCAAGTTGATCATATATCCACTCACCAGATCCTTCGTCTCAGCAGGCATTCCCATGAACCTATCCCGTCCGATCCACTGGGCTTCGTCCGAGAAGTTGCAGAGACACAATACGCTAGAGTTTGCGCCTGGTCGTTGATACCCAAGGATGGCGGGATTGCCCGTGTAAAACCCAATCGCTCTTCCTCCTGCAAGCTCCTCTGTGGTCTTGCGCAGGTGGATGAGATGCTTCATTCCCGCATATATCAGTCCTGGGATGGTGTTGACGTCGTGTCGCTCGGCATAGCGCTGTTCGGGATACCAGGGCCGATTCACCCATCTGCTGTCATCCATCTTAGCGGGATCGTTGAGGTAGCTATAGTCGTTGAGTTGACCGACTTCGTCTCCCAAATAGATGAGCGGGATCCCGCCGGTACTCATGGCGATCGAGTATGCGAGCAAGATCCGCTCAATGGCATGATCTTGCATCGACTCCAAGCCGGCCAACGAAGCCGTGGAGCCAGATATCCTGCAGTCGCCGGTCTTTGGATTGTCCTGAAATGGCACGCCTCGAGCAAAGCTCCCGGGGTGGCGGTTCACGAAGAACGCATTGAGGAACTTTCTGTGATTTCGACCATCCTGGCCAAGTTCTTTTGCGTCTTCATCGGAGAATGTCCAGCCAATGTCGTCGTGAGATCGGACGTAATTGACCCAAGCACAGCCTCGAGCGATATTGTGTCTGCGCTCAATCGCCTGGGACAGCATCGACACATCTCTAGTTGCCAGTGCTTCCCACGTCAGGGCCATCTGGAGCGGATTATAAGATAGTTGGCACTCGTACCGGTCAATGTATTGTACCACAAAGTCGGGATGGACAATGGCCTCGGATTTGAAAAGCACTGACGGCGCCGCAATCCGACAAAGGGCGTTGAAAGCTCGGAGCAACTTGTGAACCTCTGGCAGATTCTCACAGTCTGTGTTCATCTGTTTCCACATGAATGCGACGGCGTCCATCCGGAAGAGGTCGACACCCACATTGGCCAGGTACAGCATCTCCCCAGCCATGGCCCTGAATACGGCTGGATTCGAGTAGTTCAGATCCCATTGAAAATGATAGAACGTCGACCAGACAAATCGGCCGTCCGGAAGTTGGATGAAAGAGCCAGGATGATCATCCGGAAAGATTTCGCGCGTGGACCGTTCAAATGCTGAGGGAACATTTCGATCAGGGAAGATCCAATACATGGCGGAATGCTCAGGATCGCCCTCGGCTGCTTTCTTTGCCCAGCGATGCTCATTGGAGGTATGATTAAAGACCAGATCAAGCACTAAGCTGATCCCAGCCTTCCTCAGCTCAGTGGCGAGATCTCTGAGCTCCTCGATAGTCCCTAATTCGGGCTGCACGTCTCGGTAGCTAGAGACAGCGTACCCTCCGTCATTGAGAGGCTGGGGAGCCAAGAAGAGAGGCATCAAATGTAGATAAGTCAATCCCAACTCTTTGAAGTAGGGGATGCGCTTCTTAATACCAGCCAAGTTGCCAGCATAGCGGTCAACGTAGCAAACTCCTCCCAACATCTGGTTTGAGAGGTACCACTCCGGGTCGAGTTCTCGCTGTCTGTCAACCTTCTTTAACTCAGGGGTTCTGTCCTGCCAGCTTTTTCCACACATAGTTATTAGGTCGACGAGCTGATCGAGACAGTCATGCCGATAGCCGTATAACTCGGCAAAGATGGCAAAGATGGTGATAAAGTTCGCGTCGAGCCTAGCAGAGAAATCTTTGTCCTTGAGAATCGAGACACCATCTTTGGTCTTTCCCAGCTCGTGGAGTATGTATGCTTTGGCAGCGCGAGCCTGCTGCTCAATAGATAGACTATTCATCGAGGAACAGGGAGACACGGAGTCCTACTTTTTCGGCGGGCCGGAGGTTGCAGTACAACTCGCGAGACTCCAAATACAGCTGTGTGAAAGGTGAAAGAGCAGAGTAATGAAGGAAGAGACATGCTGCTTACCTTTTGCATATTTGAGTCTTTCAAAGTCTGGAATCCCATAGGTTTAGACGGCTGGAAACCATTGAAAATATCCAACCAGCGGCTCTTCTCTCGGCCAAATTGTGCTTTTGCTAAAAGTTACGCCGAGGGAGCGAGCGATGATGTACTTGGTCCGGCTATTTTAGAGCGACTGATCTTCAAGGAGACTATTCTCAAGGATCAAGACTTCGCGCCCACGAGCCCACATAGGTTAGTGTAGACAAGCGCCAGGAGTCTCTCGCCTACTTGGGTAGTTTTGGAAGGTTGAGTTCTGTATTTGAAACAATACAAGAGATCTATTATGCCTCATGCAGCAGCCCTGAGGCTCTTGGTTACACAAAGCCTTTTCTTTCCCTCATCCCCTGAGAACCTAGCCTATTCCACCAGTGTGAGCACCAGAATGAACCAAATCCCAAAGCGACTCCAACCCAGCAATCCCATACTCGCGCTATTTTCAAATCATTCGCCAAATGTACAATCCCAACCTGTCACTTCTCCAAGCTCTTCAAAATGCGGACACAGCGACGGCAATCGCCTGGCTTTCGCTGTGGCTGATGCTGACATTAACGTTTTTGACACCCGCTTGTTTCGCTGCCTCGAGCGCTGCACCGTGGAGGGCAACTTTGGGTGCTCCGTTCTCATCGGCCAGGATCTCGATGTCCGACAAAGGAGCACCAGCACCCTTGCTGCACACACCCAGAGACTTGAAGACTGCTTCTTTCGCACTCCATCGTCCTGCAAATGATGCCTGAGGAGACGGAGCCTTGCTGCAGTAAGCCCGCTCCTGCTCGGTGAAATTTCTCTCAACAAAAGTCTCGTTCTCAATGTTAATGGCTCGGATGTCCTCGACATCAACACCAATCTTCGACCCTTCTGTGGCGTTGGCTTGCGTCAGCGACTCCAGCATGGCCTTTGTCTCCAGGGCATGAGGGCCTGGGGTTTTCTTAGGCGAGGAGGGATGGTAGATCAGCTCCCCGGACTTCTTGTCGGCGACTACCCGCTGTTCCGGGTTGAGGAACACTTTCTGCATGATCTCGTCCGGATATGGCGCCTTAGTCTTCGCAACGAACACAGTGTTGTTGATCATGCCGTTGTGGAAGTACCTGTAGGCTCTCTTCTGTCTGGCTTCAACCTTGACCTTGTAGCGCTGGAACTCAGCCTCGTCCAACGTAGCATAGAGGTATTTGGGGTGAATGCCAATTGCTTGAGCGCCCTTCTGACCAAAACCAAAGGACGTGACAGAGAATGCTTTGATGCCATCGGTCTGCAGTGATCGGCTTGGATAGACTATGTAGTCAAATTTCTCCATTACCTGATCAACGTTGTCGGCGTTCCGGTTTCCAGGAACGAGACCGCTGTTGAGGACTTGTAAGCAGCCGTTGAACATCCATGCACCAGCCGCACCCTTAGGATGACCAGTCAAGTATTTCTGGAAGATACCAAGCATGGCATTGCCCTTCTTGCGGCCAAGATGCGCCATTTGTTTGCAAAGAACCTCGGATTCGTTCTTGTCGTTCGCAACGGTCGAGGTACCGTGGAAAGAAGCAACATCAAGGTCATCAATCGTGAGACCCCAAGTAGCCAGGGCACCGCGGAGGGGAGCAATGGCAGGGTCTTGTTTCCAGAAGTTGTTGCCCAAGCTGAACTGTGCCTCCTTTTCTTGTCGGATTGCCTCCCGCTCGATGTGTTCGGCACGCTCTTGCATGTATTCGGCCTCATTGAAACCAAAGCCAGCTTGAGCCTTCATAGCTGCCACCTCCTCATGGAGGTACAGAAGTTCAGACTCTTGCCAGTTCTTGATCGCGCGTCGGCGGAGGTCGAGCTGTCTCTTGCGGTAGTTGATGTCAAGCAGAGGCGACGGATATTTGCCGGGGTTTTCACGTGCGGTGGTCAACACACCTTGACCAGGAGCCGGCACAGATCGACCAATTTTGTCGGTGGCAGTCGAGACAAGGCCAAGGATGCCATAGATAGGTGTTCCCATGTCTAAAGCAAGGCGGGCAGACATGATGATTTGCATACCACAGCCTTGGGATTCCATGAACCCGTTTCGAGTAGTGGTGGTAGGTCTGGACATCTCCTTGGGAGTCCGGCCATGCGCAAATTCATCTTCGGCATTGCTAGTCGCCTTCATGTTCGCAAACTCGTAGGAGCCTTCTTCTTGGAAGTCATCGAAGCCACCGACAAAGCAAACACGAGCCTTTCCTTCCACAATAGTCTCGTACCCGATATCGATTGACTCAACAGCTGTTGCACAAGCACCCACGGGAGTTTTAATTGGACCAGTCGACGACAACAGCAACATGTTGACCCAGGCGGCCATGGTGTTGATGAAAGATTCCTGGAGAATATCCTTCTGAACAGGCTTGTCCATGAAACGATCTTTGTACATGCCACGAAGTGCAGTGGTACCACCAATACCGGAACCGACGCAGTTGCCCACCTCAGACAGATGCACATATTTATAGAACTCGTACGGGTCGGTAACACCAGCTGAAAGCAGGGCTTCGGCTGTGCACACAAGAACGAACAACGTGACCTGGTCCACTTGCGATATGATGTCGTCCGGAATACCGTAAGTCTTGGCGTTCCAGCCTGTGGGGATTTGACCAGCGACAAGGCGATCAAATCTGAGGGCTTTGGGGATAAGAAGAGTGGCGCCTTTCTTTAGGCGGACACTGTACTCGCCGGACTCGAGCTCGAAGACCTCGACCTTGTCGCCGTGCTGTCGTTTGAATTCTTCGGCAGTCTCCTTGGACGATTCGAACTGGTCGAGATCCTCTTCGATTTGGATTTCTTGAAGTAGCTGCTTCTTCTTTGGATCATAACCGTTGAACAACTCAGGCTCAATGAGACGAATGCCCGAGTGGTCGAGGATGTGCTTTTCATATTTGGCTTTGACATCCTTGTCGTCGACAGGTTCGCCAGTCTTTGCATCGACCCAGCCAGAGTACGATTTACCCTTGAGAGGGCCATTGTGATTCTTGATCAGGCCCATCATCCAGGCCATCTCAACGCAGCCCTCCAACGAGAACTCGCCATAGGCTTCCATTTCCCATCGTGTGCGGGAGTTGCCCCAAGGTCCGACCTCAGAGAAGCCGGTGACCACAACCACCTTGTCAAGGTCAACCATGCCCTTGAGCTTAGCGCTCAGAGGCTCCACCTCCTTCTGCCAGTCGGGCAGCTCGGGGAAATCGAATTTCAGGTTGGCTCTTGGCTCAATGGTAACTTTCTTGTAAAGAGCCTCACTGTCCTCACCATTGACAATTTTGTTCTCCAAGGCAGTCTCCTTGGTGACGGCTTGTCGGATGGCGCTGGTCTCCATGATCTCGGCGCGAAGTTTCGTCATCAAATCCTTGAGATCTGGCAGAAATTGTAAACCACCGTTCAAGTCGGCAAAAACGGGTTCCTGTTGGCACAAGTCGACAATGGCAGGTGACATCAGGCCAAGCAGGTTGAAGGCCATCTCCTGTTGGGAGAAGGTCCGGACACCGTATTTCTCAACCCCGTCAGCAACGATGTTGTTGCCACTCATCAAACCAGTGCCACGAGTCCAGCCAATGACTGCGCCGCAAATTGTGAGGTAATCACCCCAGCTCTCAGAAGACCAGCGGTTGAAAAGAGTCTCCAAGGCAAGCTTGGACTCGGAGTAAAGACCGTCGTTACCGAAGGTACCGTGATTGGGCGAGAGTGGAAGCATGACTTGAGCCGGTCGAGTGTTGAAGCCGTTCTCGAACTTCTTCGATTTGACGTATCCAAGAAGACGGATCAGGTTAGTCAACATGATACGGTGAGCCAGCTCAGACTTGGAATCGATGCTATCGATCTCGCGACCATTCTCGGGGATAGCTGCGAAGGGCACAATGTAGTCCAGATCCCAGCCAAGACCCTTCTTGATGTCGTAGATATAGTCAACCAGGGCTTCCACGTCCTGCTTGCTTCCTTGGTTGAATGGCACCACGACAAGCTGAGAACCGCGGCCACCGAACCGAGCATACATTGATTGATAGTACTCGGTAACCTCACGCGAGTAACGACTAGTCGTGACGACAACTTTGGCGCCACCACTGATCAGACCTTGCAGAACTTCGGCTCCGATGGACCCTGCACCGGCACCAGTCATCAGCGCCATCTTGCCCTGGAAGGTCAGGCCTGATTTTGCAGCATTCTCCAATCCTTCAAGGTAGACGCCAGTCAGCTTCTTGCTGTACTCCCAACCGTGTTGTTCTTTCTTCTTGAGATGGAGGAACGGAATCGTCTCGGTCTTGCCCTGCTTGACGTTTCCATTCATAGTGGCTCGTGGCAATCCGTTGCGACCAGGTCTCTTGACATCGCCATTCTCCTGTGGCATAATTTGTGACTCATTCATCGCCAAAGCACGGACAACATCCTTGTACAAGGAGTTGAACTGCAATTGCGAAGCCTTCGATAGCTTGTGCTGCTTCCGAATCAACTTATAAACGTTACGAAGGTCGTTCTGCACTTTGGTCCGATTGCTGTATTCAGAGATCTTGCCACCCTCTGCCATCTCACGCACATAGTGCTCGAGTTTGCGGGCACTTTGACGAGGGACCTCTTGGTAATCGAGGTTGCCTCGAGCGTCTATAGTGGTCTGAGGACCAGTAGGGACCATAACGTCCTTGTAGACCGGTGCTTCGTTCAAAACGTCCTTGCAATTCTCAATGAGCTGCTCTCCCAGCTCTTTGGCCAGTTTATAAGTCTCACCACGCTCGGTGGGGCAGTTGTCGATGTGATATTGCATATATGCGATGAGGGTCGGGTTTGATCGGTTCATGATCCGAATGCACTGGCTGACGATTTCTCGGTCAACGGCCTTGAGACGGCCAAAGATGATGTCGTAATACATGCTAAGAGCGTCCTGTCGAGCCCAGTTCCACGAGGAATCGTAAACACGGGCTTTCAAGGGGCTGAAAGAAGGCTCAATTCCCGAAGCATAAAATTCGCCGTGTTCGGTGTTCCACAAATCAAGTTGTGCTTGAAGAGCCTTGTTGGCCTCTTGAGAGCCAACGAAAGCCTTGTCACCGGCACGCAAATCCATCTTGAGATAGCGGGCCAAGAGCTCGAGTTGCTGTTTGAACAGAGCTCGTTGATCCTTGGTCAGAGCATCGATAGCAGCAGGATCCATCATCATGCCAGCACCAGCGCCACCGGCTGCAGCACCGCCGGCTGAGGCAGAGGAGAGGCTGATTCCAGCTGTTGCAGCATATTTCTGGGCCACATCACTGAGATAGGCCTTGGCATCATTTTCCGAGCCTAAACGTGAAGCTGGCTCCATTGTGAGTGCAAGCAGAAGAACACCGTCTTGTCTACCAGGCCCCAGGCCGAAGCTGTTCTCGAGGTGTTTTCTGACAGCTGTGATATTGAAGCCACCGGGCATCTTGGAGGCAACCAAGCGAGCGATCAGCGACTGCGACTGCTTGCCCAGCTGGCCATTGAAAGTGGACTGCATTGAGGCACCGAGCTCATCCAGAGGAGTGTCTTCTGGCTTCTCGGGTGTCGAACCAAATTCTTTGCCCAGGTCTCCTAGGATTTCGTTCTGCAATGTCGATTTCCCGCCGACCAGGTCCTTTATTGCCTTGCTGAGAGGGATATCTGCGAGTGGTTTCTTGAGCTTCTGGGCCACCAATGCTCGCAGAATGTCGACGGCTCCCACTGGAGCATCTGGCACCGCAGCAGCAGGCCCGGCGCTGGCTGCTGGTGGAGGGGCCGAAGCTGCGGCAGCGGGAGCAGCAGCAGGTGCTGAGGGCGCTGGTGCGGATGACGAAGCTTGGGCAGCCGCTGGAGCAGCCTCTTCCTCTACCGGATCGACGTCATAGTAAATTTCTTTCAGATCCTTGTTATACGCCAACACTTGTCGTGATAATGAGGTGGCAGCATCGTAGGTCTCGTATTTGGAGGCAAGTGTTCTCTTGGCCATACCACCGAGAGTGTCTGCGGGACCAATTTCAACAATTCTTTCTGTTCTGTTCTTCTCAAGGATAACATCTTGGGTCTCGATCCACCTGACTGGCGAGGCAAATTGATATGCCAGGAGCTCGACGAGGAGCGTGTGAGCGAGCTCTTGCTCGACTTCTGGACGCATGTCGGCGGTTTGTGGTAAAATCAGGGAATATGGAGAGTGCTCGTCTTTTGAGTCTGAGGTCGGATACACAGGTCGACCCGTTGCCCGGTGCTGGATGAAGTTAATCAGAGCAGGGCAATGGCGAACACAGGTTGTTCAAGTGAAGGAACTGTGCTCGGTCTAACAATCCAAATTTGTAGCTATTATGGGATGAAGGAGAGGATGGATGGGAGGAGGAAGGACTGAGTGCGGAGGGGCCGTGAGGAGGGAAGGTGATGAAGTTTGTGAGAAACCTCGATCTTCGGTTGTCCTGTGGCTCCGGAAGAGAAAAAGTAATCCGCAACAAGATGGTGATAAAGTCCACGGACAAGAGGGTTGAACAGGATATGGAGACGGAAGAGGACAAGCGGCGAGGAAGGTGAGTTATGGCGATTTCGCTTTGGTTTTGGTTGGGATGCGATCTGTCAAGGTGCGTACCTGGTATGGATGCTGTGACCAACTGCGGGCGGAGATGGAGAAAAAAATGACCGCCGCTCAGCAGCAGCAAGAGGCTCGGAGATCTGTTGGCGGTCGGTCCAATGCACGAATCAGCCTGATAAGCTGGAAGCATAGCATCAGCAGTGTTTGTTGGAGACGGCGAAAATGGGAAGGTTGAGAAAGGAGTGGGAAAAGAGTGGGCACTGTGGGTAAGCCCAGGTTGACCGGCTGCAAGTCTGGCTCCCCCACGAAAAATTTTGGGAGGCGAAAAATGTCTAGGCTGGGATTTTCCGCAGCCTAGGAACCACAATAGGTCCCTACAGGAACCTACAGGAACCTACCTAGGGAATTGGAGAAGCAGCTGCACAGCTACGTAAAGTTGAGGTAACGACCCTCACTTGGGTGTCACTGGTGAGCTTTATTGAGAGAACACCGTATCCTTTCCTGCTCGTAGAAACAACAAGCTCACAGATTAGTGCGAGTACTCATCAGTTTAATCTTGCTGCCTGCTCTACCTATCCACCAGTCCAGGCCGGCTTGATTAGTATGAAAGCTGTTGTCTGTGTTTTCCTTTCCTCCGTCAAGAGGGTTGAGAAGCAAGCGATGACGCCCGTTGCACCCTGTCCCTGCAGAAGCGCGTTGCCCACCAAAATTTTAGCTTGGCCTAAACACCTGAGGGGCCGCCATCCGGGGATTACCATTGGCTCAGATCTGGTGAGGGACCCCCGGGAGCAGGGATCCACAGCGCCCCGGCCGGCGTGAGGCTGGGCTTGGCCGGCTTTCGATGGGCGTGGATGGCCTAGGAGGGCCTAGGATGAGCTGCGCTTTGGGGTTGCTGAGAACTGAGGGTTCGTTTGGGGGGGGCGGCGAAGCGGGAAAAACTTTTGTGCATCGCTCAACAGAGATTCACAGCTTCGGCCATATTCGTATCGCAAAGATCACCAGATCCATCCAACATTGAAGACAACCCCAATACATACTGCTGTTCAGTGTCCTCCGTTGCTCCAGTTGCCACTTTTCCCGTTCCTCAATAACTAATCCTACCGTCCTATACCAGCTGGACTCGCTTCCTGTTCCAACATAACCTCTCGACAAACACTCCTTCCTATCTTCCTCACTCATTCCCTTCGCAACATACCCAAGCCTCTAAGTGGCATTAGCTTGCTCACTTCGATACTTTACACTCCCTCACATCATCGCACAGAATAGAGGCATTCCATCTACACGGCAGCAATCATGTATTCCGGCGGTGCGACCGGCACTCATACTCCTCGATCTTCCCAGAACCTGCGTCCTCTTATCCTCACCCATGGCTCTCTCGAGTACTCATTCCTGATACCCACCGGTCTCCATTTCCAGGCATCACAGCTGAAAGATGCGTTCAATGCCTCACTCCCAGAACCCACAGATGAGCTCGCTCAAGACGATGAGCCTTCATCGAGTGCCGAGCTGGTCGCCCGCTACATTGGCTTCATTGCCGCTGAAGTTGATGATGATGAGGAGGCCGCTGGCTTTGTCGAAGTGCTCAAGGTAGCTCTGAATGAGTTTGAGCGAGCTTTCATGCATGCGAACGATGTACATGCTCTGGCTGCCACCCTCCCCGGCATCACAGCAAAGAAAAATCTTCTTGTTCAATGTTATTACGCCGGTCGGGCAGCAGTGGCACGACCCATTAAACCCCACGATTCGGCTCTGCTTCGAGCGGCAGATGATGAGGAGGCCAGCATTTTCACCGTATTTGGTGGTCAGGGAAACATCGAAGAATATTTCGAGGAGCTGCGAGAGGTGTACACCACATATCCATCCTTCACTAAAGATCTGATCGAAACTTCGGCCGAGCTGCTGCAGACGTTGGCCAGAAGTCCCAAAGCAGACAAATTTTACACCAAAGGCCTGGACATTCTCAGTTGGCTGGCCGATAAGGAAACCCAACCAGACACCGACTACTTGGTCTCTGCGCCGGTCAGCTTGCCGCTGATCGGACTGGTTCAACTTGCCCATTATCAAGTGACTTGTAAGGTCCTGGGTAAGACGCCCGGCGAGGTCAACGAACGCCTCAATGGCACTACTGGCCATTCCCAGGGTGTAGTCACGGCTGCCGCTATCGCTACTGCAACCTCGTGGGAGAGCTTTGCAAAGGCCGCCAGAGATGCCATTACCATGCTCTTCTGGATTGGCATGCGGAGCCAGCAAGCCTACCCTCGCACAAGTATTGCGCCTTCGATCCTGCAAGACTCGCTCGAAGCTGGAGAAGGGAATCCCACACCTATGCTTTCGGTGCGAGATCTATCCAAGAAACAACTCCAAGAGCACATTGACGCCACCAACGAGCACCTGCCCAAGGATCGACATATTGCCATTTCTCTGGTGAACAGTGCACGTAACTTTGTTGTGACCGGTGCTCCAATCTCTCTACACGGTCTGAATCTTCGACTCCGAAAGGTCAAGGCTCCCACTGGTCTGGACCAGAACCGCATTCCCTTCACAGAGCGTAAAGTGCGCTTCGTCAACCGGTTCCTGCCAATCACTGCTCCATTCCACAGCCCTCTCTTGAGCGAAGCATACAAGCATATCCTCGAAGATCTGGCCGAGGTTAGGATCCCTGCTTCTCGCCTGACCATTCCTGTGTATGACACGAACACTGGTGAGGATCTTCGCGCCCAGCAAGATAAGGATGTGGTCCCAGACCTTGTGCGTATGATCACCCAGGATCCTGTTCACTGGGAACAGGCCACGGTGTTCGAGGGTGCCTCCCACATCATCGATTTTGGCCCAGGAGGCATTTCAGGTCTCGGAGTTCTCACCAATCGCAACAAAGATGGCACGGGAGTCCGCGTGATTTTGGCTGGTGCCATGGATGGGACCAATACTGAAGTTGGATACAAGCCCGAGCTCTTCGATCGCGACGAAGAGCATGCAGTCAAATATGCAACCAACTGGGTCAAAGAGCATGGACCAAGACTTGTCAAGACTTCAGTCGGCCAGACTTATGTCGACACCAAAATGTCGCGCTTGCTGGGTGTGCCACCTTTGATGGTTGCCGGCATGACTCCCTGCACAGTCCCGTGGGACTTCGTTGCCGCGACTATGAACGCCGGCTACCACATTGAATTGGCCGGCGGCGGCTACTACAACGCAAAGAGTATGACCGAAGCGCTGAACAAGATCGAGAAGGCCATTCCTCCTGGACGAGGCATTACGGTCAACTTGATTTATGTCAATCCCCGTGCTATGGGCTGGCAAATTCCGCTTCTCGCCCAGCTCCGCGCTGACGGTGTCCCTATCGAAGGGCTGACGATCGGTGCGGGTGTGCCGTCGATCGAGGTTGCTCAAGAGTACATTGACACCCTTGGGATCAAGCACATTGCCTTCAAGCCTGGCTCCATGGATGCGATTCAGCAAGTCATCAATATTGCCAAAGCTAATCCCACATTCCCTGTCATTCTGCAGTGGACTGGTGGCCGTGGTGGCGGCCATCATTCTTTCGAAGATTTTCATCAGCCAGTCATCCAAATGTACGGTCGTATCCGAAAATGCCAGAATATCATCCTGGTGGCAGGCAGTGGTTTTGGTGGCTCTGAAGATACTTACCCGTATCTGACCGGTACCTGGTCGCGCAAATTCGGCTATCCGCCTATGCCTTTTGACGGTATCCTCTTTGGTAGTCGCATGATGACGGCGAAAGAGGCCCATACCTCTCTCAATGCAAAGAAGGCCATTGCTGAGGCTGAGGGCGTCGATGATACCGAGTGGGAGAAGACATACAAGGGACCAGCCGGTGGTGTCATCACTGTTCGATCAGAGATGGGCGAGCCGATCCACAAGCTTGCGACCCGCGGTGTCAAATTCTGGGCCGAAATGGACCAGAAGATCTTTAGCTTGGACAAGAAGAAGCGAGTTGCAGAGCTTAAGAAGCAGCGCGAGTACATCATCAAGAAGCTCAACGACGACTTCCAGAAAGTTTGGTTCGGTAAGAACTCTGCTGGCGAGACGGTTGACCTTGAGGACATGACCTACGCTGAAGTGGTTCGACGCATGGTCGAGCTCATGTATGTGAAACACCAATCTCGCTGGATCGAGGTGACACTCCGGAATCTCACCGTCGACTTCATCCGCCGAGTGGAGGAACGCTTCACCGTTGGTGCGGGAAAACCATCCCTTATCCAGAGCTATGCAGAATTCGAGAACCCCTTCCCTGTGGTGGACAAGGTTCTGGCCGCTTATCCCGAGGCTGAAACTCAGTTGATCAACGCGCAAGATGTCCAGCACTTCCTGCTCCTGTGCCAGCGACGTGGTCAAAAGCCTGTGCCATTCGTTCCCTCGCTGGACGAGAACTTCGAGTTCTGGTTCAAGAAGGATTCCCTTTGGCAATCCGAAGATCTGGATGCCGTTGTCGACCAAGACGTTGGCAGAACCTGCATCTTACAAGGACCCATGGCAGCGAAATACTCAACGAAAGTCGACGAGCCCATCAAAGACATTTTGGATGGTATCCACCATGACCACATTAGAGGGTTGATTCAAGACTTCTATGGTGGACGCGAGTCTTCTGTCCCAGTCATAGAATATTTTGGTGGCAAGATCATCACTTCTGCGGAGAGCGTGGTGGAGCTGGACGGTGTCACTGTTATTCCCGACGGCTCTCGGACTACATACAGGCTCTCAGCATCGGCATCCGCCACACTACCAGACACTGAAGCTTGGATTCAGCTTCTTGCTGGCAAGAACTACTCGTGGCGACATGCCTTCTTCACGGCCGATGTTTTCGTGCAAGGTGCTCGTTATCAGAACAACCCCATCAGGCGCATCTTGGCACCAACCCGAGGCATGACCGTTGAGGTGGCCCATCCCAAAGATCCTTACAAGACCACGATCACCGTCAAGGAGCCCAGTCAATCTGGAAAGATGGCCAGGACACTTGACATTAGTCTGTTCGGCAAGAATGAGATCCTAATGAACATGTGGGAAGAGAGGACCGCGGAAGGAGAAGCTGTCGCCCTTCCCTTCAAATTCATTTACCACCCAGAAACTGGCTATGCGCCAATTCATGAAGTTATGGATGGTCGCAACGATCGCATCAAGGAGTTCTACTACCGAATCTGGTTTGGTGAGAAGGATGTGCCATTTGACACGCCCACTACGAACGTCTTCGATGGTGGCAGAGCGACCATTGTCACCCAAGACATTGCCGATTTCGTTCATGCTGTTGGCAACACTGGTGAAGCTTTCGTCGACCGTCCGGGCAAAGAGGTCTTTGCACCCATGGACTTTGCGATTGTGGTTGGGTGGAAGGCTATCACCAAACCGATCTTCCCTCGCGCGATTGATGGTGATCTCCTCAAGCTCGTCCACTTGTCAAATGGCTTCCGCATGCTCCCTGGTGCCGAGCCATTGAAGGCCGGTGATGAGCTTCACACATCTGCCCGGATCAACGCGGTGCTCAACCAAGACTCCGGTAAGATGGTCGAGGTTTGCGGAACCATCACCCGCAGAGGTCAGCCGGTGATGGAAGTGACCAGCCAGTTCCTCTACAGAGGTACTTACACGGATTACGAGAACACCTTTCAACGCAGACAGGAGACGCCAATGCAGGTCACTCTCGCTACGTCCAAGGACATTGCCGTCCTTCGATCCAAAGAGTGGTTCCACCTTGATGAGCCGGATATTGACCTGCTGGGACAGACTCTGACGTTCCGTCTATCAAGTCTGGTCCGGTTCAAGAACAAAACTGTCTTCTCAAGCGTTGAGACGGTCGGCCAGATCGAGCTGGAACTACCTACCAAGGAAGTCATTCAAGTAGCTTCTGTGCAGTATGAAGCGGGGGCCTCTCATGGTAATCCAGTGATTGATTACCTCCAGAGGAACGGTCAGACCATCGACCAGCCTGTCAACTTTGAGAACGCGATTCCTCTTAGTGGCAAGACTCCTTTGACTCTCAGGGCCCCAGCTTCGAACGAGACCTATGCTCGTGTATCGGGCGACTACAATCCCATTCACGTGTCGCGGATCTTTGCCAGCTACGCCAACCTTCCTGGCACTATCACGCACGGCATGTATTCCAGCGCTGCCGTTCGAAGTCTGGTTGAGACATGGGCTGCTGAGAACCATATTGGCCGTGTCCGAAGCTACCATGTCTCTCTGGTCGGCATGGTCCTCCCCAACGATGACCTGGAAGTCAAGCTTGAGCACGTCGGCATGGTCGCTGGTCGGAAGATCATCAAGATTGAGACGACCAACAAAGAAACTGGCGACAAAGTTCTCCTTGCCGAAGCTGAAGTTGAGCAGCCTGTGTCATCGTATGTGTTCACTGGTCAAGGTTCGCAGGAGCAAGGTATGGGCATGGACCTGTACGCACGAAGCCCCGTGGCTAAGGAGGTGTGGGACCGAGCCGATCGTCACTTCATGGACAACTATGGTCTTTCCATCATCAATATTGTCAAGAACAATCCTAACGAATTGACCATCCACTTTGGAGGCCCACGCGGCAAAGCCATCCGTCAAAATTACATGGCCATGACTTTCGAGTCCATCAATGCTGACGGCTCTGTCAAGTCCGAGAGAATTTTCAAGGAGATCAACGAAAGCACCACGTCTTACACCTACCGCTCACCTACCGGGCTGCTGTCTGCGACACAATTCACGCAGCCAGCCTTGACGTTGATGGAGAAGGCTGCCTTTGAAGACATGCGCTCCAAGGGTCTCGTCCAGCGCGACAGCAGCTTTGCCGGTCACTCTCTGGGAGAATACTCCGCCCTCGCTTCAATTGCAGAGGTCATGCCCATTGAGAGCTTGGTGTCTGTCGTGTTCTACCGCGGGTTGACCATGCAAGTCGCTGTCGAGCGTGACGAGCAGGGACGAAGCAACTACTCCATGTGCGCCGTGAACCCGAGCCGTATCTCCAAGACGTTCAATGAACAGGCTTTGCAATATGTGGTAGAGAACATTGCCGAGACCACTGGCTGGTTGGTGGAGATTGTCAACTACAATGTCGCCAACATGCAATATGTGTGCGCTGGCGATCTTCGCGCGCTTGACTGTATGACAAATGTGCTCAACGTTCTGAAAATGCAGAAGATCGACATCCAGGCCTTGATGCAACAGATGTCTTTGGACGATGTGAAAGCCCACCTGGTTGAGATCATTGGCGAGTGTCGCAAGAGGACGGAAGCCAAGCCGCAGCCGATTGAGCTCGAACGAGGCTTTGCCGTCATCCCACTCAAGGGCATTGATGTTCCTTTCCACAGCACCTTCCTGCGATCTGGCGTCAAACCGTTCCGTTCTTTCTTGCTGAAGAAGATCAATAAGACGAGCATCGATCCGGCGAAGTTGGTTGGAAAGTACATCCCCAATGTGACTGCAAGACCTTTTGAAATTTCTAAGGAGTATTTTGAGGAGGTCTACCGATTGACCAACTCACCGCGGTTGGCGAAGATCTTGGAGGACTGGGAATCATACGAGAACGCGGGAGATGCAGGGGTGAGACGCCTTTCTTCGGTGGCATAAACATCCAGAGCAATGTCTTTGCTTCTTGATGGGGCGTTGTTTTCTTTTCCGGAGGTGTTACCGGAAACGGTGCGAGGATTGCAAAATAAAGTGCCTGGGAGGAGTTGAATAAGGTTTGGTATGGGACAGCATGGTTGAAGTACAATAGCATTAGATTTCTTTTCCTTTTTTTGGTGTACCTACAGATAGTGGCAAGGACTACAAGTCCAGCGTACCCTCCGGAGATAATGAAAGCGGCATTCATTTCTCTAAATCGATCTTTGAGTGTTACTGGCTCTTCTTTCTTTTTCTTCTGCTGCTGCTTCTTGGTGCACCAATAATCGGCAAGCCACAGCCGGCGTGAGGATTTGAACACAATGACACTGGACATGCGCAAGTGGTGGCAACCAGGACGGTGCTGCACGGCAATGAGCCTCTACAATGTGCCGAGTAGTATTTAATAGTCCGCACGGGGAATTCGGTGCCTCGTAGGGAGTATCTATCGCTACGCGATCTCGTTAAACTAGCGATATGCATGTCTGCGTAACAGGAGGATGATTCTCGAATTTGAGGCTGAGATTGCGTTACTTAGATCACGAGTCTCATCTCCACCGGTTTAGGGAAGGAGCTGAATCCTAGCTCTTGCGCGAAGTTGGGCTGGTTGGAGGGATCAATGACAACGGCGACGACGCTGACTGGCTTGCTGACAAGGGCGCCTCAACGCCGCCTCCTACTTTAATTGTACGAGGTACCTAGGTAGTTGAGGTAGCCACAGCTCTGTGACAGGGCACTCCCCTCGAGTCCAACACGAACTTCACCTTCAAGTGTGCAATAGGTGAAACTAGAAAAGCAACAGGATGCAAAGGGAGGCTTTGTCTATCAGTGGAGAGAACAAAAGCACTCCAAGCATCGGTCCCGCGCCGTCAACGGGCTCGACGGGTACCTGGCACCCACCTGGAGCACAGAACAAAGGAAAGGACCGTTCAGGGGCTAAAAGATGGAGGGGGGACGCCTATCAAAGGCTTTTATTCGCCTGTTCTCGGCACGAAACCCATTCCCCCCGCTTAGGCTGGGCCCCTGGGAATAGCCCTGGCAATGGGGCCCACGCCCTCCTCCCCCTTGGTGCGTGCCTGGGTGGGTGTGAGGTGCCCCTCCACAACTTGCCATCCGGGGCCTCGAGCTTCATCACAGCTTCGAACCCACCAAGCATTTTCTTTTGAATCTCCTCTTCCCTGTTCATTCACCATGGGCACTAATGCACGCCGATTCCTGTCCTGGCATCTGCTCCACGCATCTTCTCTTTCATGGCCCAACCAGATCCCTCTTCCTTGCCTCGAATTGGCTCTGTGCAACCGTTGCAATCACTGGCCCAGCTGCGCATCACGGTTTGGAGGCAACACCGCACTTTAGAATGGTAAGGCTGCCATGGGAGGCAACTGGCCGCGCCCGCGCCTGTTCGACCGCGAAAGGGTCATGGACGTTACCCTGGTCATGAATCGTCTTCCGTTCCGTTGCTCTCATCCAAACTCTTCTCTCCGTGTTTCTTGTCCCGACTCGTTGCTCTTCGAATGCGTTGCGCTCCAGCAGTGAACGCGAGGGCGCATCTGCGCCATGAGTTGACAACCTAGCCCACTCCAGCATTTGCTTGCGCAGATTCTCACCTGGGAGGAGTCGGCCTGAGATGGATATCTCCTCACTTGTTCGAGCTGGTACGTTCCTACTTCATGGGAGACGCTCACTGCTAATCTCTCCTGACAGTCATCGCTGCTTTCGACGATGCCACGAAACTGGTCCAGCGTATCCGTGACCAGAGAATGGACAGCGATGGCATGCACCTGCCCGAAGAAGCCACTCGCGACCTGTTGGAATCTCTTGCCCTGGGGCCTATCATTGTCCGTGGCCACTTTGAGCATGACATCAAACGATTCGGAGAGCCATACGCCTGCGGTGATATACAAGCGAGGGAACAATTGAAAGATGTCTTGATCAACTTACAAATGTCTCTGATAATCAACTTGAGGACAGTCTATATGGATGGGATCGAACTTGATTTCCTTGCGCTCCAAACGGCTTCGGACGATTGTCGAGTCAATGCTGGTGTCTGCCTGGGCCAATTGTCCCAACGACTGTCGGACGCAATGAAGGCACAGGCATTCTACCCCCAAACATTGTCCTATTCGTCATCCCCCGGATTGCTGCCTCCTCTCTCTCCGTCCCTGGGTTATTCGAGCAGTCGAAGCACTCACTCTTCTGCCGCCTTTCCTGCTCCTCGCACTCCTGACGCTGTGGCGGAGCAATTTGGTCACCTTAGCATGTCGCCATCATTCCGTCCGCCAGTTTCTGAAGAGCGAAAGTTGTCAGTTAGTTCTGGAGGCTCTCAAGAGCAGTATTTACATCTTCTCTCCGCCACCACGGCGGTCCATCGGCCGGCCGCCGAGTTTCATGTGAACGTACCCTCAGTTGGAGTTCATAGGGTTGACGAAGCTGACACCAGGAGTTTGCGGCGAAGATCATCTCAAGCTTTGGCACCGGATGACAACATCTTGCTCATGTTTCCTCAGCCCGGTGGTCAGCCCGTTTTGACACCCCCGGCAAGTGCACAAGATATTGATCGAGAGTCAAATATCTCCACGGATAAGAACAGCCACCCGCCTTCGTCACCTGATCTCTCCCGAGCATCTAGCGGCCATCAAAGTCGGAGTTCAAGAGATCGATTTGGACCAGATGATTATGGGGACCATGTCGCCCGGGGAGATGGTAGGCAATTTAGCAATGGTACCATTTACGACATGTACCAGCCGACAAGTCCAGAAAGGCAGGCTTCTGCCTCTTATTCCTCGAGAGCACAAGCTTCCAACCACAGCAGCCTTGAGCACGTGCGATACCTGCAAGAAAATAGCAGGCCACCAAGACGAGAACCGAGATCTGATTCACTTGGCGTTGCAAAGACAGTGAATCGACAAATTCCTCGACGACCAATTCGTTTCAAAACTGACACTATTACAACGTTGCCGCGAGAATTCCTGTCTCGTCCGTCTGTGTCTGGCCCCATTCCGATTGAGCCAGCTCGTACGCCGCCACCAACTGGCCCTCTCCCGCCGACCCCCGTTCAATCCCAAACTCAATCTGTGGCTCCCAAACTCCAATTGCCCACACCCGGCCGTGCCCCTTCGGTCCATACTTTGGCCTCGTCCACCGCTCCCTCGGTCACTCCCTTAATAAACACTGGGCCCGTCGTCCTTCCTACTGATAAAAACCTTCTCGGATTCTGCAAAGGAGCGTTTCGCCTTCAAGCCGGCCTGGAGCGCAAGGCATTCACCATCGCCAATCGCCCTCACGGCTTGTCTGGAATGACTGCATACTGGCGCTGCGAGAAGTGTAATTTCGAGGGACCTGTCTATAATACGGTAAACACCTCCGACGACAAAAAGAAGAGGGGAAAGCCCGAGAGAATCTTTGATCCTAGAATCCGTGTGTCGGAAGGCGGCGGTATCAGATATCGTTGGGCTTTTCTGGCGAGATGTCATGTTTCATTGAAGGGGATAGCACTCGCCGATACACCTTCTAGTAGGGACGGAAGTTTCGGAAGCTTTGGTTGCATCTTTTGTTGTGTCGAGGGGAAAAGTCGGGGCTGGTTGGACTTGTCAAGGACCGCGAGTAATGTTACCGGGTCAACTGCGAGTATCAAATCAGGGCATGGGAACAATAATGCGACAAAGACGGAGGGCGTGGCGCAGGCGACGACACCTATCTTTGGCAATGTGAGCAGTTTCATGCAACACCTTGAGAACGTCCACCGACACCAGGATGGTTGGCCGAACGCCGAGATGGTCGGTCGATTCCGCGTCGTGGTGGATAGGACCGCACCAGTAGAAGAGGCTGGATGGGAGGTGAACTTTGTACCATTTTGATCAGGTGTTGCTCGAGGGGGACGCAATTTATTTGAATCTGGTCAGGGCGGCTTCGTTTCCGGAGTGCGAGGGGAGGTACCATTTGTTGCGGACTGTTTCTACGTTGGGAGCTAATCGTCCGGGCATGTTGTTGAGATTTGGGACGCTTGAGAGTCTGTTGTCCATGGACTAGGCTATTCAAGTATCAGGAGACTTCAGATCAAGTAAAAGATGCCCCTTACACAGGCCAAAGTTTGATATCTTTCTTGCCCTTCGAAAGTTCTATCCTGTTCCTCAGCCTTGTCACGGCGTGCTGGACGTGCCTGCTGCCACAAACCCTTGCACTGTTTGCAACCCAGCACCCTAGCTAGTTTTGCTCTCCCTCTTCGATCGGTCCTATTGCGTCTAACATATACTAGGCACCCATCTTCGACCGTTCATTCAGTAGCCGAGGCGAACAATGAAGCCGTGCAGACGCACAGCCTCCACGTGCATGTTGTCCTTCTCGAGTCTGCCTTGCGAGGCGGCTAGATCATGCAGGACACTATGCACTTCGCTTATGCAGAGAGGCTGCCAATCAGGCAGCATCTGCCTTGGGCACGAGGACGTGTCTTTCTCAACCTCATGTTATCACCATGATGGCGACCAACTCACATCCGCGACTCTTTGATATACCTTCGACTGCTCAAATCACAGAAGTCAACCCGAGGACCCTTTGTTACGCTTCGAAGCGACATACCAGGCCGGAATCCGGCCACTTTCATCTAGAGAAGCACCGCCAGCCCCCCATATTGGTTCAGCCGCACCGGGAAATCCATCTCTTCGGCCATCAATATGGAAGCTATCGCCGCACTAAGTCTCGCATGCAATATCATTCAAGTGATAGACTCAACATCCAAGGCAGTAAAGGCTTGTGGCCAGTTCTACAAGTATGGGACGACCGTCGATATCGAGGATTTGAGTTATGTAAGTGATCAACTATCTCAAACCTCTGACGCTCTCGACAAGGCCCAGTCTCTCCCACCGGGAACACAGCTGTCCAAAACCGATGCCGCACTGGTTGAACTCGGAAAAAGGGTGCACGATTTAGCGGAGTCTCTTAGCAAGGAGCTCAACTCCCTCAAAATTGCTCCCGGTTTGGGCCGCAGAGCTGCACTCGTCAAGACGTTTCACCTGAAATGGCGAGCTTCTCGAATTGATGAGCTAAAGAGGAAACTAGACGGACTTGTTCAGGTTCTAGACAACAAGATCCTTGTTCAACTGAGGTACCCTGAGCGCCTTGAGCATACAGAATCTCGGTCACTAATGTTTCCTGATCAGTGAAAAGTTGAGCTTAACCCTTCGCAATCAGGGAGACATTTTAAAGGCGTTGAACGATAGACAAAAGGAAATTGCCCAGCAGATCATAGAGGGTGCTACGACTGTGGAAAAGCTTGTCTCTTCACAAGGTGCGCAGGCAAGATCTCACGTTACGCAGGAACATCTTGTCACCAGGAGCCGTATCGACCAGATCGATAAGAAGATTGACCAGGTTGTGGATACTCAGCTTCAAAAAGTCGAATTTGACAAGTTCATGCAGAGCCTCCATTTCCCGGGGATCAATTGGAGACAAGACACGATCGAAGAGGCGCATGAGAAGACCTTCGAGTGGATATTTGAGAGCCTCGAAGACACGCCCGAACGTTGGCACAACTTTCCTAGCTGGCTACGAAGCGACCAGCCACTGTACTGGATTCTCGGAAAGCCGGGCAGTGGTAAATCTACCCTGATGAACTTTCTGGTGCAAGATAGCAGGACCCTGAAAGAGCTGGGATCTTCAGGACAGCCAACGACTATACTGTCCTTCTTCTTCTGGGAGGCCGGTGTCGAACTCCAAAAAGCCCTCGTCGGCCTTCTACGGTCACTGATTTATCAACTCCTCAGAGCTATCGATTCCAACCAGGCACTCCAGGTCTGGTCCGATGTTATCCAACCTCACAACCCTCCATTGCTGACCGTATGGACTAGCAAACTATTACTTCGCCTCCTACAAATGATTGTACAAGCCGTGGATCAGCGCTTCTGTTTTTTCCTTGACGGGCTTGACGAATTCCAGGATGCTGTGGACGGAACCGAAGCTATCAGGGCTCTACAAGATGTCTTGAACTATCAAAATAGCATAAAGTTGTGCATATCCAGTCGACCCCAGAACAACCTCCAAGTGTTGTATCAAGGCTGTCCGAATCTTGTCATCCAGACTCTAACCGAGCATGACATCCGGCGTTATGTCGAAGACAAATTACTCAAAACTCCCCTGACAGATCAGCTCGGAGCCGCACATTCGACGCAGGCATCTCGACTCGTGGATGAGGTCGTCTGGAAAGCCGAAGGGGTGTTCCTCTGGGTTACCCTAGCTGTTCAATCGTTGTTACGCGGAATCAGGAATGAAGACCACTGGGAAACCTTGCAAGAACGTCTTGACCAACTCCCGTCTGAGATCTCTGACCTTTACAAACACATGTGGAAGAGGATGGCGGACGATTATCCTATATACGCAAAGGAAGCTGCACTCTATCTCCAAATTATCCAGCACTTCGGACCACAAAACCTGCTGGAAATGACAATCATGGTTGATGAAGATCTACGCCCCATCTTCTCCACGCCAGCAGCCACCTGGGGAGTTAAGCAACTTGAGGCTAAGGTGGATCATGAGAAGGTAAGGAAAAGAGTCACTGTATGTTGTGCTGGATTTCTCGAGGTGACGGACGTTCAACTTTACAATCTGGACAGCGAACTCAGAAAAGTTCAAAAAAGGCTTGAGTACAGTACCCTTGAGTTGCGACCTGAAGTTATCGACCACCTCCTGGAATGTTTTCGTGCACACACATCAACAAAAGTGGACTTTGTGCACCGCACGGCTGCGGAGTTTCTCAATACTTCCGACGGCCACGCATTGCTGCAAGCTCAGCTATATACGAAAGAAGAGCTCGTGGTGCAGCTACTCAGGTCAAATCTCATCTCTGTCTTTCTTGCTCCTCCTCTCTACGCTTTATGGCTTCCCCTCGAATTTTGGGCCGCTTATCTTCCGCATTTAGAGTCTGAAGAAGCTTCCACAGAATTCTATTCAGAAGCCGAAGTCATCTGTAGGAAACTTTTCGCTTTGGACCTGTGGGATCTGAAAAGCGTGGAATCAGACCTCATTGTTAGAGGGCAGAGCGATGAAGTAGATTATATCAAACTTTTCCGCGACTTCAGCACCCCTCGATACCTGATGAACAGGCTTAACGAAAAGGGCGTCGCGGAAAACAAGGCTTATCTCACCGAGTTGCTTTCATGGTGGGTTGAAGGTGCCTTTATTTGCTGGTACTTGCCACGCGTTATCCAGTGCGGTGTGCTGCTACTTCAGCTTGGGGCTGACCCCAACCAGGTGCTGTGGCCTGGAATTTCTGACCATCAAGCTTTCACCATATGGACAAATGCTCTGATTTGGCCATCACTGTGGCTGCGCGCTGAGACCCCAAGTGAACTTGAAAAAGGAAGTTATGTGGACCTAATCACGGCAATGTTGGAAGCTGGGGCTGATCCAAATGAGAGTCACGATTGTTGCTTCGCAAGGGACTCGGAAGAAGATGGGTGGAGGTCAAGTTCAGAAGCGACCTTGTCAACCGCTTTCATGTTGTCCAAGTTTAGCGCTTTGGACCTCGTCACAGGGTCGGGTCATGTCCTTGCGGAGAGAATTGAGAGCCTTCTCCGCGGGGCAGGGGCAGCAAGCGCGCGAAAACAAGTCCTCTGCTTTCAGCCGCCGATGTCGTGGTGGGTGTCTACCAAGCACAGTTCGAACCCTCCTTTTTTCCACGCCTACGTCACTACTGCATCTTGGATCAGGATGCAGCCTTCGATCAAGCGCAAGGGTCTTGATTATTTCCGAGCATTACACCAAGACGACTCTCACGTCTTTAACAACGGCTTAGATGCATTGCACGCGGCCGGATGGACGGACGAGGAGATGCGCACGACCCGTTCCCTACAAAGGCTGTGGGAGGAACTTCAGCAAAGCGGTGACGAAGGTCAAGATGGTCATGAACAGCACTCTACAGAGGGAGAGGATGTCGAGAATTAGTAGCGCAGATTGCAAGGCTCACGAAAACACAAAGAGACTTCGACAGCCTCATTGCGGGAGTTGTTCTAATCAGGCGAGGAGAACTTCCAGGTCTTGTGCCGCTTTGGGAAACAACCTTCGGTGTGTGAGACCATCGGATTTAGGAGACGATGATGATGACCCATGTCTTCAGACAGTATTCACTCCTATCAAGAATGACAGCCGTGGTCCGTGAGTAGACAACCTCCGCGTGAGTACCATTTCAACAGATATACTCAGTATATGACGCCGTCGCCAGGTGCGGTGGGTTGTGGCCCTGCACGCAACTCTGCAGCCTGTCAGACAGGTAACCTCTGCGAGGCTGGTGAGACAGAATAATCGCTTGAAGAGAAGCGCAATCTCGGTTCATACCAGTTACTGATAAGAATTGGTTTGAAGAAGTTCAAGGCAGCTACATTGGACCGAGCACTCGTCTTACGATGGGGATACACAAGCCTCGACGAGGCTGCGATATCCAGGGGCTGGTTGGGGCGCGCTCAAAAAGATCCCTCAGCCCAGCGCCAATTTTACACTGTCAACTTGCTTTGCTTCTCAGGAACTGAGTAATCAATCATGTTTCCAACACGAGCTGATTGTAGGAGCCTCGTCTGCAGTTTGTGATCGTCCCTATTCATCAGCAAGTCATTGACGGAAGTATTGGTCTGAAAGCGCAAGACTCGCCAAAGGTTCAGGTCAAGAGCAGAATGGTCTGAGACTCCCGGAGGACTGTGCTCCACGAAACGTGCAACTCCCCCGCATCACGACGTCGCCACACCTCTTTGGCAACCATCTCGGCTGCCTCTGCATTCTGGAAGCCTGCCCAAGCGGCGTGCCTCATGCACAGTACGGCGCGGCGGCGTAGGCTATCTCCAAGCGCCTCGCAAGCCGCGATGAAGCTCGGCCACACCGTGACGCCCAACCGCACCCCAGGAAAGAAGCATTGCTTGCTTTCGTGATGCATTTCCAGATTGCTGAGGATGCTCTCGACGTAATGCTGGAGTATTATGGGGTTTGTGCCCCGCACGAACCGGAAGAAATAGACCATCAGCGCATGGTGCATTGCCGTCGCGATATTTGACTTCATGGTCTGGCCTGGATCCGGGATGCTGTTTGTGTCTGCAGGGCTACAGCTTAATAAATCAAAAGGATCATCGTTGTTGTTTCCGGCCGGTTTCTGTGGCGTCTCCCAGTGACAAATATCTCGCTCCAAGGCCGCGGCGGCTTCGACCAGGCTTGAAGGCATGTAAGGCTGAGCAGTCCCATGATGCTGTGGCGGGTCGATCTGGGCTACCATGTTGTTCGTTCTTGCGATTAGCCTCAATATGGACGCGGGCATGCCATAAAAGTCGTTGAAAGATTCCTCCTCGGGCCCACTCAACCCCAGATCTGACCAGGTCTCGTAGTTTGAGGCCAGGGTCGCTGAATAGGGGAAACTGTCCTCGGGGATCTTCTTCACCAGCTCTATTTCGTTGGCGAGCATGGGCTTTTTGCCCAGGGTGACGAGATACTGATCCCTCGTCTGGACGAAGGTGGTCTTTTCGATGACCCTGACGTAGGCAAATATCCGATGCAGTTGCAAAGCTTTCTTCGAAAACATGGCCTTCCTTCTGCCGATTTTGTTGACGATATCTTCGCATTGCAGGATGAAAAGTCGCGAGTCCCAAGGATCTCCACTGACTATCTTTGAGTTTGTCAGCCCTTAAAAACGTTCGTGCGCTTCAGAGTCTTATAGAGGACAGACGTACCCCAGTACAGATCAGGTTCATTGCACTCACGAAAAGCTCTTTGTATTTGACCTGTTCTGGTTGCTCGGTTGACAGTGCATGCAAGCATTTTCGAAAAGCTGTTCGTGCTATCTCCCTGAATTTGAGACCTTGAGAGTTCCAGTATTGCAAATTGGATGCCTGGTCGTCGGTCGGCTGTACCTCGGTCCCAGCTCCCCCAGCGTTTGAGGTGGGCTTATAGAGAGTCCCGAGGTGGTAGCAGGTCAGGGAAAGGAGGCTGTACAGGAGCAAAACTCTGGCGAGACTTGACTGGCCCATGATATCCAACTCTCCATACGCGGTCATGGCATAGGGCACATGAATCCTTTTCCAAGGAGCTTCAGTATGCGGTAGACCTGAAAGAGAGGCAATGACGTGGTTCATATAGTGAGATAGAAGAAATCGGACGTTGGAAGGGACATAGGGTGATCCATTGGACAAGGAGGATGCGGAGGGGTGTCCGTAAGTAGCGACCTTTGTAAACGTTGGTTGAGGAAATTGAATATTATCCGCGAAGGAAGTATTGGTGCCAGGGAGATTTGCCCCTGATGCGTTGAGCAAAGTGACTTTTCGACAACTTGATAGGTATCCTTACCTTCAAATAGCGGTGTATAGCCGGCATTTGTGAATGAATAGCTGTAACTTTCTCCAGCAGGAGCTGCGGCACACAGTGCTTGAGACCCAGTGCTGCTGTCTGGTATGGACAACGACCAGTCAATGCCATCCAAACACGCGATCGGCTCCTGGTTGCCATCTAGTGAGGCCAGCGACTCAGTATACTGCATTGTCACTTGCGTTTGATCTAAGGCTTCGACATCTTCAGTGTCGGGTTTGAGATTTAAGACGGAAAAGGGGCCCTGCGATATTTGCCAGCCTGTCTCAACCCGTGAGTTCTTAGACTCTTTGACCTGTTCATCGAGCTGCTCAATAACCTGATCGAGGTGTTGTGGCTGTTGTGCGGAAGATAGATGTCGGACCAGGTCGTCGGAGAACTGAGACCGCGACTGGGCTGAAGCAATCCTAAGTTTCCCACTCGACGAAAAGCATTCTTGACCGTACATACCATCAAATATTTCCGTTCGAGTGCGGCGACCCTCTGCTCCCTCTATCGCGGGGTTACCTGGTGAAGTCGTCTCAGGCTGTTCTGGATCCCAGGCGGGCAACCATTGCAGCTGGGCTTGGTAACCCCGACATTGCAAACTCAACCTCAAACAATTGTTACAGCTTGGACGGTGCAAGTCGCATTTCACCTTGCGGGCACGACATGTCAGACACCCTGTGAAGGTACGCGTCCTCACTTTCGGTGCTGGACGGCGCACTTGGGCCATGAGCATGGGGCATCTCGGGGGATGTTGGGGGATTTCGAGGAATAAAGAAATGGAAGGCGTCGGCGACGGCAGGCCTTTATCTAGGCCCAATTGGTGGCTTGCTTATCGTGAAGTCTCTAGGTGGGTGGGTCACGAACCTTGAAATGGTCGGGGAAGCTTCGCTCGGTGGGTCGGCAGCTTGGAGGGTTTGCCATCCAAACACTGTTCTGGGCGCGGATCACCGCTTTGAGTTGATGTTACTCTTTATTGTTATTATTGTGCAAAACACAGCGCCAAATGCTAGTGCCGAAGTCTGACATGGCTTTAATAGGGCATCCTTGGCCGATGGCATCTTTTCAAGATCCAGCTGACGAAAGAAGGTTTCAATACGGACGCAAGGAGCTCCGCTGCTCTATCCCGCCGTATTTTCTGATAGCTCTTCCTGCTTCAATCACAAGGCACGATGTTGTACGAGCAGGATGCAAGCAAACCACTCAACCTCCTATCAAACTGGTATGTGAATGCTACTGCTATAGTACTTGGCTACTCGGACTACAGGTCAGTTCTGATATGACTCTGCAGTGTCAAGCCTCTTCACTACAACCTCAGAATCTTCAATATAGAATTTGGAGGAGAATGGGCCTATGAGGGTCGGGTGATAATCGACGCCGAAGCGATTGCTCCTGAAGATCGACTTGTTATCAATGCCTACCAGATCGAAATACTTCGCTCTGAAGTTTCATTCGACCTCGATGGATCATCTTGTACGCTTCAGAATGACCCCTCAAGCTCTACCATTGGTGCAATTACTGAACATGTGTAGTGACGCATTCGGCTACTTCAACAATCTTGAATGAAAATGACCAGCAGGCTTGCCTATCATTTCGGGATACTATCCCAAAAGGATCGTTCCAGTTGAGCATTGCATTCAAGGGGAGAATCTCCCAGTCAATGACAGGCTTTTGTCGTGCCAGATACGAGCTGCAAACCGAAAATAGCGTCGCAGGTATCAAGGTCGGCAAGTATCACTGGCAATTAACAACTGACTTTGAGCCCTGCGATGCAAGAAAGGCATTCCCTTGTTTCGATGAGCCTCACTTGAAAGCTACTTTTGAGCTCGAACTGGAGATCCCAAAAGCATTGACGGCACTAAGCAACATGCCAGAGAAGTCAGTGCTTCTGCTTGATGGATCCCAAGCCGGATTGAAGGCAGTGCGCTTTGAGAAGACGCCAGTCATGAGCACTTACGTAAGTGAACCCAGCTCTTGTATTGTTGGAACTGCAAGCTGAAGTGTGATCAGCTATTATGCTGGGCTATAGGTGACTTTGAGTATATAGAAGCATTTACGAAAAGAGAGCATTCGGGTAGAAGAATACCAGTCAGGATCTACACCACAAAGGGTCTAACAAAGTATGCCCATTTTGCGTTGCAAGACGCTTGCAACACCCTCGACTTCTTCAGTGAGAGCTTTGGGGTCGACTATCCCCTGCCCAAGTGCGACCACCTCGTGGTTCACGAGTTCATCTCTGGTGCCATGGAAAATTGGGGCTTAATCACTTACAAGCCAACCAAGATACTATTCGATCCATCTACCTCAGACAATCGACTCATGTCCAAAGCATCCTATGTCATCGCACACGAATTGGCCCATCAATGGTTCGGCAATCTGGTCACCATGAGCGGCTGGAATGAGCTCTGGCTCAACGAAGGCTTCGCAACGTGGGCAGGTTATCTTGCAGTGGATCATCTTCATCCTGGTGAGACAAAGGCTGGGTAACCCCAATTTTTACTTCTGAGCTAATCCAGGTCTACAGATTGGAATATCTGGGGTCAATTTGTGGTAAGTTTCCGACTCGCCATTGTAAATGGCTTGAACATTTCTGACCCACGGCATAGGATGAAGCTTTAGAAGAAGCATTTACGCTGGACTCCTTGAGGTCCTCCCATCCCATAGAGTCACAAGTCGAAAGCGACTCTCGTGTACACCAGATGTTCGACAGCATTACTTACTGCAAGGGCAGCGCCATAATCCGCATGCTGGCCGCCCATATTGGTGACGAAACCTTTCTGAAAGGCATCGCGGCTTACTTGAAAAGCCGCTCCTATCAGAACGCTACGTCAAATGATCTCTGGAAAGCCCTGTCTGCAGCGTCTGGTGTAGATGTGGCAACACTCATGGATTCGTGGCTCCATGAAGCCGGATTCCCAATGGTCACCGCTGCACCGACATTTGATGGACTTCACCTGACCCAAAAACCATTTCCCAGGTATGGTGCGGAGCAAAGCAATACCTGCTGGCATGTCCCTCTTGGACTGGACAGGGAGTCTTTCACAACCACAGATAATATACTCACTGCGCCATCAGGCAGTTTCAATCAGCTGGCATCCTTGCCAAGGCTCAACAGAGATCATGCTGGCTTCTATCGAACTGACTATACTCATGGCCATCTCATGTCGCTCACTAGTTTGTCTTCAGGGCTGTCCTCTGCCGAAAAAGTTGGAATCATCACGGACATTGCATCGTTGGTCTTCGCTGGGTTGAAACCTACAGGAGAGCTTTTGACCTTTATGGGCAACTTCCGGCACGAAAAAGACTGTTTTCTCTGGTCACAGATAAGGAAGTCTGCTGCTGCGGTTGTGTCATCCGTTTCTCACGACCTGCAAGCCGTCAAAGGTCTCAAAACTTACTTCCGGCAACTCATGCGAGAAGTCAAGTCCGAGATCAGCTGGACTGGATCTGCTGACAGCTACGTGAAAGGCGAGCTGGAGAAGAGCTTGATCCAGCTTGCTGCTCTAGCTGACGATGAGGAGGTACTTGACGAAATCAGGCGACGGTTTTCTCGCTGGAATAATGGCGACAAGGACGCCATCAACCGCAATCTTCAAAGTGTAATCTTTGGTGTATCCGTTGTGAGAGGTGAGGAGGAGGAATACCACGCTATCAAAGCGGAATATATCAGAAACAATACCATCGATGGACGGGAGATCTGCATCACCGCTATGGGAAGAACGAAAATTCCGGCCATGGCACGAGATTTCCTGGACTTTACATTCTTGTCCGAAGATCACGTCACACTACAAAACATCCACTTCGTTGGGATGGCCTTGGGTAACGGGTCCTGTGCTGAAGTACTGTGGGATTATGTGAAAGACAATTGGGATGCGGTCTACGCGAGACTCCGAATAAACAGCGTTGTTTTTGAGTGGTTCATCGACAACGCTCTGAGCAGCCTCGACAGTCTAGAGGTGGAATACGACATTGCTCAATTCTTTGCGGCAAAGGACCTTCCAGAGATAGATCATCCTGTCAATATTGTGAGGGACAGCATAAAGAGGAACGCAGCATACAAGGCTCGGGCAGGGCCAGAAGTGTCGCAATGGCTGAGGGAGAACGGTCTCTTAGCTTTGGAGACCGCAAAACCATAGATCGCTGCGACTTTCCAATCTGGGGCCTGTCGCCTGCCTACAGCAACTCGTTGGCCCAACAGTGTCAAAAGCTCTCATAGTGGCTCCTTTCATTGATAAAGGAACCACTTGTCGGCAGCGATTCGAACCCCTCGCAGCTGGAGGCTGACGAATACATCTGCTATGTTTCGCAATCGCCCCAGAACGAACAACTCCATAACTGTTATCATGATTTTCCAGTCACTCAGCGACACGATCACAAGACAGTCGGGAATCTACGCAGCGGAGGCGACCTGTAGTCAGTCATCTATAAAAGCATGTGGAATGATAAGTGCCGTGTATCGTGTTCATCCCTCGCCCACGCATTCCTGAATCAAGACCTGAGCACTACTGTGTTGTGCAAGATATGGCATCGCCACTGTGGGTCAGATATCATACTCGTTGCTCTATACATGTACTATTTGCTGAGATAAGAACAGTTGGGTATCTTCATGCTTTCTTAGCGGATATCAACCCTTATCTGTGGACCATTTGGCCTCTTGATATGAATAGAGTACCCTCACCTTATGTGTGGCCACTCTAAAAACGGAGAATCGCTAGGGCCACGTGGAAATGCTCGTCCTCATTGCGAGCTTAATTCCGCCTCATGCGCCCGGAATGGGATCTTACCCGCGGAACCTGTCTTCTGCACATGCAAACGAGGTCAATACCATGTCAGGCTGTGAGGCTGGAGATTTGACGGTTTCTATGCGTGGTAGAAGGCTACAAGCAATGGAAGGTTTGTCTTCCAGTAAGGCAATCAAACAGCTTAGTGCACGCGTGGCTATTGCAGCGAGTTAGTGGAAGGGGAGATCGATCTTGAGTCCAGGAACATTGTAGAGACTAGGGACTTATCAAGTCCAGATTCAGTGGAAACGCATACAGACGTTGGTTGCTTTAACGTACGTAGATTACTATCGATGCGCATCAAACCCCCTCCCTAGCGGCAAATACCTTCAAGCATCAAATGCTCCTTTCTCGGGGATACCCTTTGCCTCTGAAACAAGTACGGTCTCAACATTCTTTCCGCTAGTCTCAGAGCCTGTGTTCTCCTCCTCTTGACCATCGATCATCGACTCAAGCAGAGTAGTGTCAGGATATTGATAAGGGAAAAGCCAGTGCAAAGTGTACGAGAGGACGGCGGCTGCGAGGCACCCCCCAAGTCAGCGAAAAGGTCAGGGTGCTTACATGTCTGGCTGGAAACTTACCAATGACGAAACCTAGGACGAAGGAGAGGGAGAAGACTCGCGTAGCGCCAGTCGCAACGGTGATTCCTGGGTTCACGGCGTGGACAAATCCCGGCATGCTGGGGACAACGGCACATGTCCAGGCCACGCATGTGCGCCAGTTGATGCCGTACCTGTACCAGTACAGGGACTTCTTCGATCCCTCGTACAAGTCGGGGATGTGGAAGAGACGCCTCTGGATGATCCAGTAGTGCACGCAGAGCAGTCCGATCATCGGGCCAAGGAAGACCGCGTAGGCTGAAAGCACGGACAAGAATCTGAGGTGTCAATCATTAGTCAGTGCAGCAAGGTAGAAACGGACACTAGTCACTCACGTCGAGCCTGAGGCCAGTTGCTTCCACGGGACTGGCGCAACACTGAGGACTGCGAGGATGTAAGCTCCGCGTCGGAGATTGATATATTTGGGGAACACGCTGGCAACGTCGAGGCCACCAGCGAGCACGTTCCCGACGACATTGATCGACAGCTGCGAGATGATGAAGACGACGCCGAGGAAAAAAGCAGCAGCGCGACCTCGAGAGCCGTGTTGATTCTGGATTGCCACAAACAATGTCGAGGGATCCCAAAGAGGCGTGCCGCCGCCGTATTCTGTCAAGGACCCGTTAGCCTTTATCTCGTGTCTTGCAGCAGGCGAGATTCAGGTGCAGTACTCACGGTTTTGTGTCGCGGCAGTAACCACTACGCCCACGATGGCCATGACAGAGCTCGTGAACATGAATGAGAATGCTTGCGTGTAGGTGACGTGGCTGGGTCGCTTCGCAAACCTGGTGAAGTCGTTCTGGTTCAAGATGCCGGATGCAATGCTGCCAATGACCGACATGACACCTCCGCTCATCTGCCATCCCAACTCGGTCGAGGAAATAGTGGTCTTGGAATTAAAGACACTTCCGTAACCATGGCTGGTTCCCACGGCCCAACCCAGGAGGACGAACAGCGTGATTGCAACCACTAGAGACCCAACGTGGAAGTAAGGACGAAGTTGTCCGGGTCTGAACCAGATGAAAAAGCAGCACAGGACATTGAAGAGGAAATATCCCAGGAATTGTGCCGAGGTGATGCCTTCGGACGCCGGGATCGTGTTGGGAATCCGCTCGTCGAGGTCCATCCAGATCGAGCGCAGGCAAACATAGATCATCTTCCCCCCAATCACAGCTTGCACGCCATACCGGGTGATTGATGTTAGGATTCTGTTGAGGATAGGGAAGTATGCTCCCCACATACCTGCGCGGCACAGATTAGACTAGGGTCGTTCGTGGTAGAGGTCATATACATACCCCAGACGCTTCTCGAAACGATGGGAAAGCCCAGGTGACTTGCAGCACCGGAGACCGAGTTGAGAACTGCGAAAAAACTTGCAAGGGCATTTCCAACCAAGATGACGATGATGGCTTGCCAATAAGTCAAGCCTGTAGCGATCAATGATGAGCCGGTTTGGTAGGTGCTTATGTTCAGGTTGACGAGAAACCACAGTTCCACGAACTGGAGAGGACCTGTGCAAGAAAGGAGTTAGCAGGCTAATGTATGCAAAGTGGAATGCACGGATCTCCTTACCCCAGGTCTGTCGTTCCGGGGGAACTGGACGGATGTCTTCATTGCTCCAGCGGTCACCCTGTTCTCTGTCAGGAAGCTCAATCAGGCGCAAAGCTCGTCGGATGGCGGACATCTTGGAAGGTCAGGACTTCAACAACGTGTGACGGATCCAGTGCGTATACTTGACGGGAGTCCCCAGACTGCGTGGTTTCTCTATATACCTCTCTTCGTCTGGGGAATGGCTGATAACGATATCGAGGGTCCAGATGGTCCGAGGTCTCCAACTTCAAGAGTTATCAGAGAGTAAAGATCCGCGTCCTCGAGGTTATGGCCTTGGGAAGGCCTGGCCGATCGCGGATGGATATCCCCGTCGTCGCCTTGTGGATTCCTTTGCGCCCTTTACGGCTCGGGAGAAGACCGATACTCCAATTGTGATAAGTCGCCGAGGTAGGAAGCCCTCGCCGACGGGGCTCCACACTTCTCGGGCCTAGAATTCCTGGAACGGCCTCTGTAAGGCTCGCCTCATGGTAAACTATGGACCCCTCTGGGCACATTGTAGGAACTTGTTATCTGCTCCACAGTAACATTGTCGATGGATCAGAGCAGCCGATGGGCTGTTGACCCGTTGCCCATCTCCAACAAACTGCAGTAACATATCTTCAATAATGGCATGATGAAGCTTTGAGCAACTTGCCTTTTGTTTCATTGATTTCGTTCTGAAGACCAGCCTGGGTGACAAGGATTCAATCGGCGCAACAATGACAATTCAAAAAGTCTACAGGATCGGCGTCGACGTTGGTAAGGCTTCCTCCCAGCCAATCAGATCGCATCCCGGCCGACTGTTAACTGTGACCAGGCGGGACAAATACAGATTGTGTCATCATTCGTAAGTTAATGGCTGCTTGCTGCCATCAAAAGTGAAGTGCTCTGATGAATGCGCTTGTTAGACCCCGGCGAGGCGCATTTACCTGATCGCGGCATCCGCAGCGCATTCAAGACTCCGACCACAGCAAATGTCACCGTGGGTATAACCAAAGCCATCGAGGGAGCCATATCAAAATGCGGCATCCCCTTAGAGGCCGTAGCGGCAGTCATGATTGGCACAACGGTGAGTCAGAGAATCTGATCAGATTTCCCCGGAAGACTAACATTGCCAGCACTTTATCAATGCTGTCGTACAAGCGGATGACCGCAATCTCAGGAAGGTTGCTGTCCTCAGAGTCTGTGGGCCATACACAAAAGAGAATCCGCCTTTTATGGACTTTCCACCAATTCTGAGCCGCATCATGAATGGCCATGTCGGTTACTTGGATGGTGGCCTTGAATGTGAGTATCAAGGCGATGGAGTAGGCTCAAGGAGAAAATTGCTGATGATAGTCAGTTGATACTCGAGAAATAATGCCTCTCAACGAGGTGCAAGTGCGCAAGGAATGCCAAGCTGTAAAGGGGAAAGATTTGACTGACATTGCCGTGATTGGCGTTTTCTCACCACTGGATATCACCGGGAAGCAGGAAGCAAGAGTCAAGCAAATCATCCAGGAGGAGATACCAGAAGCAGACGTTGTCTTATCCAGAGACAGTAAGTTCTTCATATCTCGGTTCTCCCTTCTGACTTTACTAATCTGTGCTACCTTCCCGGGCAGTCGGTCAGCTTGGGTACCTCGAAAGAGAAAACGCCACGATTCTCAATACATCAATCTTGAAGTTCGCCAGGAAGACTATCCGCGGGTTCAAAATGGCGATCCGAACATTGGGTCTTTCGTGTCCGCTGTTCCTGACGCAGAACGATGGAACCATTATTGATGCCGATGCTGCTGAGAAATGCCCCATCAAGACATTCTCGAGTGGTCCAACTAATTCCATGTCTGGAGCTGCTTATCTGGCCGGTCTTGATACCGAGGAAAAGAAAATACGAAATGCACAAGTTATCGTGGCGGATATCGGAGGTACCACAACTGACGTTTGTGCGCTGTGAGTATCAACCCTACTCTCCTTTCCATAACCACCGCTTAATGCTTGGATGGCAGGTTACCATCAGGCTTTCCCCGGCAAGCCGGCACATGGGTAGACATTGGGGGTGTTCGAAGCGCCTTCTCGATGCCTGAAGTACTATCTGTCGCTCTTGGAGGAGGCACGAAAGTTGAAGAGCGTGATGGGAAAATCTACGTTGGTCCGGAGTCCGTTGGCCACAAACTTATCACCGAAAGCCTTGTCTTTGGTGGCAATACATTGACAACAACGGGTATGATCTTGGACGTTTTGAAGAGTTTAATCCATGTCCTAATCAAACTGCCAGATATTGTTGTTGCGAGTGGTCAAGCAGACGTTGGAGACTCTGCAAGGGTCAAGAACGTTCCCCAGCATACCATCGCACAAGCTCGCCACCGCGTTAAAAGAATACTCGAGAACGCCGTGGATGCCATGAAGTTGAGCGCAGATGATGCTGTCGTGATCCTCGTAGGAGGCGGCAGTATCGTACACATGGACGATCTAGACGGGGTCGGGAAGATCATTCGTCCACCGTAAGAGCTCTTGAAAAAAGACATGGTTACAGTTTACTGACACTGTTAGGTTTCATGACTGCGCGAACGCAGTTGGAGCCGCGATCGCAAAGATCTCCGGGCAAGTCGACGTTGTCAAAGTCCTGGAAGGTCTCGATGAGGATAAGGTGGTGGAGGAAGTGTGCTCCGAGGCCAAGAGCATCGCCATCGCCTCGGGTGCGGACCCTGAATCCGTCACCATTGTCGCAATTGAGAACATGCCGCTACAATACGTCCAGATGCGTGCTTCTAGGATCGTCGTCAGAGCCGTAAGTCAATAACTTTTTTGCGTTGTATCCTATGAGACTAATGAGTTGGTGGCTAGGCTGGGACTCTGAACCAGAAAGCACTCTTACATCATGTTCCTACTGACAACTCCGAAGACCTTGTGACACTCCAAGAGGTTCTCGAAGAGAAAATATCCGGTAAGACGAACGCCGAAAAAGATCCCAAGGACTTCTTGGTCAGTCCTTCAGCTTTGGTCGACATCCGCCAATACAGACCCGAGGTGGATGAGAACGGCACATGGTGGGTATCCGAGATCGATTGTGAGTTCTTGGCCACCGGCTGCAGTACTGTGGCTTGCGGCGGCGGCGGGCCTGGCTATATGTGCTACATGGCCGCAAGGGCAGCCATCAAAGCTGGTGAGCGCTTGCCCGTAGTTGATATTGAGACCTTGCCGGACGATGGATATGTACTTGGTAGTATATCATATGGGTATGTCGCGCCATTCTTCCTCCTCAGGTCCTCGAATGCTCACACGATCTAACACCACTCTAGCGCTCCAACAGTTACGCTCGAGCGTATCCCCAGTGGTACGGAGTCGGTCGACGCCACGGACGCTCTGTTGAGTTGTTTTCCAGAGGTCAAGATGAGTGCTCAGATTGCGGTATGATCAAACAGCCAGCATTTTCAAAGGCCTCGACTGACGATATCTTCAGCTCGAGATTGGAGGGATGAACGGTATTCGTCCACTTCTAGTTGCCAACAGTTACGGGGGCATCCCAACAATAGACGGCGATCATATGGGAAGAGCCTACCCAAGGATCGGAATGGATACTCCGGCCCGTAAGGACCCCAGCGTCTGTTTTGTGAACGATCTCTGACCCAAATAGTATTCGGCTTCCCACTTGCGCCTTGCACGCAGAGCGACGGCATGGGGAACGTCGTGACCGTCCACAAGGCGTCTTCACCGGCGAAGCTGGAAAAGATTCATCGCAAGGCTGGCCAAGAACTTGGTCTGTTTTCGCAACTGGTCAATCCACCCATGTCGGTCAAGGACACGAAGACAATGGCCACGTTAGGCACCACTTCGCTGGCATGGTACATCGGTCGAGCTGTCTACCTCGCCAAGCAAGAAAAGACTGACATCATGAAAGCTATTGTAAGAAATATATCTCTCCGCTGCATCTGCAGTTCACCAGGCTAATGGCTCACCAGGTCGAAGCAAACCCTTCGGGACGAGTCCTATACACTGGGAAGATTGTGTCAGTCAATCGTTATATATCCGCCGGTGGCTACACCGAGGGTACAGTTCGTCTCAAACCAATTAGCAGCGATGAGATGGAGTACGGAGACACCGCCTCAACCGAGACACGCGATATGGTGCTCCCTTTTCAGAACGAGTATCTCTACGCCGAACTCATCGAGCCAGATGCCCCGAAGGGTACCAAGGGGGAGATTCTGTGCACAGTCCCAGACCTAATATCGCTTATTGGATCGGATGGATATGCGCTAGGAACACAGGATCTGAGGTATGGTGTCAGGGTCAGCGTCGTAGCGTTCGTCGCTCACCCGCATTGGTAAGTTATATGCACAGATCTGACTTGAAAATGTGATCGCTGACACTGTCCCAGGTATACACCAAAAGGAATTGAAGTCGGCGGTCCTAGGGCATTTGGTTTTGACATGGACTTCATACCACTTGGTACGCCCTATTACGAGCCCAAGCGGGTAACAAAGGAGTTCCGGCCGGCGTGAAACCAGAAAGTCTCCTTCTAGGAAGCCGCCATTGCCAACCAACAGCGTCATGGGTGAGAGTTTCAGTTCACAGTGACCTGGCGAGCGTTGATAACATTTTCACCTCCGCATTGAGGGCTTCTGTTGCCCGGCTCGAATTCCTCCATGTACTGTCCCAAGAGAAGGATCAGCGATGTTAAATGAGGCGCATGGCCGCAACAAGTTGGCAATGGCGCATCCCATGACTTGGGAGGCTGCAGGAGTTAATGCTGAGGTGGGGACCGATGGAGTGCCTTTATTCTGAATACGTCTGATCCCTCTTCCGGTAAAAATACCCATTGTCACCACCCTTGAGGCATTGCCTCAGAAGGACAACAAGGAAGATACTGTATATGCACCACATGAAACGAGGTCACCAGGACTCGCCCTCAGCTCCAGGTTTCATTAGTGCCTATATAGTCAATCTCATTGAAGGAGACTGTTCGCCGCAAGATGTTCCGCACGCATCCCGCATCTCGACGAATGCTGATAGGTGTGGTAGCCGATGCGAGGGAACTATTCCCTCTCAAGGCTCAAAATGGAGGCCCTAATTGCGTCTCCATAATTTCTCCACCGCTAGTCCCATTTCAGAAGCGGCAGAACCAACGTGCTCCCGGTTCAAGCCTGTACATCTTTCCTCTCGCATGCCTGCAAAGACGTCAATCCAACGAATTCCGAATCTCGTGCCACTGGCTATGATGTGTAGACTGCAGATAAGCACACTCATCCATACCCAATAGGAGTGTTATCCTTCCGCGGCTCGTTCGATAAGGAAACTCGGCACTCGCAAGGACGCTATGCCTTCGGAAAGCCAGCATGTTTTATTCCTGCTTTATCGATGCAGGTAGGATATTTGTTCAAACTATATAGAACCGCAAAGACTGAGGTCTCTGTCGTTTTGAGAAGTAACCATCCGCCCCATCGCCATGGCTTCAGCAATCCCCAGTGAAGGCGGCCATACGGTCGAGCCTATCTCCCAGGTCGTCGATGTCAAGGAGAAAGATCTGACCGAAGTATTGGAAGAGGCCCTACCTATAGGGCTTGGTGAGGTTGTTACTTCAGAAGAACCCGTGACAAGTCGACTCGAGTTATGGTCCTGGTACGCGTACTATTTCGGGAACAACTCAGCGGGACCTCTTTCCTACGCTCCGTTGAGTGGGTTTACCCCTCGAAATCGAATGTTTGCTTCGGTGTTGACTAACCTCTAATAGTCTTCCAGTACTTGTTGTGGGATGCAGGCTTCAACGGGAACGACCCAAGTCAGGATTGCAGCGATCCAAACGCGCCGTGTCTGGTCAAGTTCGGCACCAAGAATATCAACGCGAGCACAGTGGTCTTGATCTGCAATGGCCTCGTTTTCGCGTTTCAGAGCGTTCTCCTGCTCTTTCTCGGTTCAATGGGAGACTACGGCCCATGGAAGAGATCAGTCTTGATCGTGGCATCAGTCGTCTGCTGGGGCACCCAGTTCGGCTTTCTCGGCTTGAAGCATCCATCACAATACAACATTGCGATTGCGCTCTACATCTTGACTAGTAAGAAAGATCTATCTTTTTCTTTCTGAGGGGGCTTTTGCTGATATTTACAGGCATATCTTACAATCTGTGTTATGCTTTTTGGACCCCGTCGTTTCCACAGCTCGCCAGGAACACTCCTCAGGCCCTCGAAGCGAAGAGAGCGTATGAAGCCGGAGAGCTCACGGAGGAGGAATACACCAAGAAAAAATCGCTCCAACGCAACAGGCTCAGCAACATTGCATTCTGCTGCACCAGTGCCGGCTACACTATCACTCTGCTGATTGCGCTCGGAGCGGCGTTCGGTCTACACGCTAACGAGTCTGACTCTGGAAACCTGCAGGCGGCGGTGATCATAGTCGGGCTGTCCACTGGAGTCTGGATACTGGCGGGAACGCCCTGGTTCTTCTTGGAAAAATCCCGATCCACGCCGCTGCCCGAGGGCGAGACCTACTTCTCCGTCGGGGCTAAGAATTACTGGTTCGCCTTCAAGAATGTCAAGCAGCTCAGCCAGACCTGGCTGTATATTGTTGGGTATTTCCTCATCTCGGACGGCTACGCCACGACAAACCAGATATATGGCATTTGCCAGTACCTCATTGTCGACTATAGCACCACCGTGTCCACGGAGCTTTGCATCGTCCAAGGCGTCGCGAGCGCAGTCGGCATCTACAGCCTGTGGTTCATCCAGAAGCGGTTCAAGATCCGGACGAAGCCGATGCTCATAACTATCTCGTGCTTTCTGCTGGTCGTGCCAATCTGGGGTAAGTTTCCTTCACATGAAGATGGTCCTGGGGCATGTAGAAGAGCGAAAGGCTAACATGGTAAAACAGGGTGCATAGGTATCGGTACCACCAAGTTCGGCTTCCACAAGACCTGGGAAGTCTGGGGGTACTCGGTCTTCGACTGCCTGCTCGTCTCTCCATTCTATGCCTTCTCCGCCACCATGCTGAGCGACATCTGCCCCAAGGGCCGCGAGGTCAGCTTCTTCGCCATCTACTCGCTCGTCAGCAACTCGACGGCGTGGATCGGACCTATCATCAGCGGAGTCATCATCGACCGCACGGGCAACACTTGGACGGGGTTCCCCTTTTCCCTCTCGCTTAGTTTCGTGGGCTTCGTCCTCATCTGCTGTGTCAATGTGAAAAAGGCACAGGAACAGTGTGAGAACTACGTCCGCAACGATCCTAATGTCCAGAGACGGGCCGTGGATGCAGATTAAGAGGTCGGTGGAAAGCGGCTCGAGACACGCCCCCGAGGGCAGATGCTCAGACCACGATTGGGGTGGGTCCCAGGCTCGTTTTATTCGCGGTGGAAGGCCTGAACAAGCCGCACTAAGCCAAGGAGATTCTTGCGATGCCTTGCCAATCATTGGATACTACATAGGTCTAACACCTCAATACGCAAGCGCATTTCTGTTCCTTCCTTTTGGACAACAATCCTCTTAAACGTGATCGCGTGGCACGGTGGAGGAATAGTCACGTCCAAACACTCTCACACCGTTTTCGAATGCATCAAACCGAGCAGTAAGATGAAAATCCGTCCGGGTAGCCGTCATCTTATTCCATCCCTCAACGACCAAATCCAGCCCTTTGCGGCCGTATTCCTGCTTGAATTGCATCTCAGCGCATGCTGACAGCGGATCGTCGGGCGAAATCGAATAGATGCTTGTGCTGGTATCCCCGTAGTGCCAGCCGATGGCTTCAAACTCTATCAAGCCTGTATCCAAGATGCGGGTCAGAGTTTTTCGGCCGGTCTCGATGTCCTCGGTGATAGTGCCGCTCATTTTCTTGCCTGGTCTCAATACCCGAGTCTTCAAGGGTCGCCCGGTCACGGCAGGCTCGAACGGCCTTAGCTGGGAGTCCTGGTCGCTCTCAATCCGTGTGGGAAGCTCTAGCCTGCTATGAGCACAGTCGATCGTCAGCGTTGCAGCCTCTGGAGAGGGCCAGCAGATTGGGAAGTATGATGTAGACAGAGCGAGACGAAGGCGGCTCCCGACGCCAATGCGTTGACCACATTCGTTGAGCTTAATCACAACGTCGTAGAAACGCCCGGGCTCCAGCAGTGTCGGGCCTGTATGACTATCGCGATGTGTCAAGTTAAGCAGTCCGAAAGATATTCGTGTGGCCGAGCCATCTGGTAGAATCTCGGAGAGGACAGCGGCCACGATTGCGTTCGGTTTGTCGCTTGCGATGCGAAGATAAACAATCGGAGCACCAAGCAGGCTGACCTGTTGGCTGACTGACGCACTGTCAAACAGTAGGGAGCCGCCTGCCTCGGCGCGCTGGTCCCCGGGAAGATCAAGGTCGAGACCTGGGCACCACAAACCGCTAGCGAAGCCAACCGTCATTGGAGAGCAGATTGATAGCCGCTCATCAGACGTTGAGAGCTCATCACTTAGCCGCCCAGCTAAGAGTCGCAAGGTGCGAGTCGTGATATTTGGAGTCGGCCAACTTTTCTCGGCCACCCAATGGCCAGGACGAAAATCATACTGCGTGCGAGGAGGCACAGTATCCTGCAAATAACAGCGGAGTATTGGCTCGTCCATAATACCCGTTTCTTTGCCCTTCAGCCACTTGTCCCACCAGCGGAGGGATTCTTGCAAGAAGCCAATCTGTGGGCCAGGCGTAGCGAAGTTGGGATACGCATGTGCCCAGGGGCCTATCAGTGCCTTTCGAGGACATTCGAGGTGTTCTAGCATCCTGAAAATCGTGTTCGAGTACCCATCCGACCAGGCACCAACGAGATAGACGGGACACTGTATGGCGCCGTAGTCTTCACAGATCGAGGCGTGTTTCCAGAACTCGTCGCGCCGCTGATGCTCATGCCACTCCACCATCCAGTTACCCCCTGCTTCCAGACGACTCATCCAAAGATCCCGCCACTTAGCCCCAACCAAGGCTGGATCCGGAGGGGTCGGCGTGATACTGAACATGGTCGCGCCCCATGTGAAATTGTCCACAAGCAGACAGCCACCCATGTAGTGGACGTCATCTGCATAGCGGTCATCGGTGGAGCAGAGTGAGATGACCGCTTTTAGTTCAGGAGGGCGTCGCGCCGCCACTTGCAACCCATTGAACCCGCCCCATGAGATTCCGATCATACCAACTGACCCAGAGCACCAGTCCTGTGCGACTATCCACTGCAAGATCTCCAGGGCATCGTCCTGTTCCTGCTTGAGATATTCGCCGAGGAGAATACCCTCAGAATCCCCGCTGCCTCGCATGTCAACACGGACACATGCATATCCATAGGACGCAATGTACGAGTGATTGAGAGCGTCTCGCTCTGCCGTTCCATCCCGTTTCCTGTAAGGTAGATACTCAAGTATTGCCGGCACAGGTTCGACCAGCGCATCTTTCGGCAGCCAAATCATGGCAGACAGGACAATGTTGTCGGAAAGTCGGATCTCATCGTGCTCGCGGATCTGAATCGGCACCGGAAAAGAGAAGAGGCTTGCCATGTTGCAGTCTCTGATTGCGCACTCCGGATGGTCCGTAGGATAAATTCTTACCTCTCTAGCTAGGAGAAGCAGAGAGTCGCCGGCAGACAGAGCGTAGATTGAGGTTGAGAGAATAACACCAGATGTTCCTTTCCCGGAGCACGCGAGGCCATAGCAATAACAGTTATTTGCCACTACTGCATGAATAGACACAACGTAATTCTTCTTTCAGTCACTCACCCCTGCACTGGATTCTCATTTCGCAGACGCTTAGCTCGTGGGTAACATTTATCGCGGCTTGCGTTCTGACGACGTCCCCTCGCATCGATGAGCCGAAGGCCCGGGGCTTTGATAGAAGACCAGACACTCTTTGTGGCTAAAGACTAGGGCGATCTTGTCCAGTCCTTCAATGTGAATTCGCCACGCCTCCCAATTGTTTCCCATTTAACGTCCTGTGGGATCGAAGTAATATCCTCCACACCCTTTTGAGTATCAAGAGGGAGATCTGGAAATGAGTGGGGGAGGGCGCACATCTGCTCTAACCCACCATTGTCGGCACCTAAACGCAAAGACTCGTTGTTTCCATGGGGCATGAACTGGGCGAATTCTCAAGCTAAAGCGATCATCCGGTTCAATGGATTTCGCTCGTTAACCGAGGGTTGAACCCATGCGAGAAGTACTAACCATAATAGGATAATTTTTCTCACCCGTTGGAATCGAGGGCAGATAACAACTCCGGCTGGGTTCCTTATCAGTGAGCAAGGCTGCTAGAAACGACTTTGTCCGCCCAGGAGCCAAGAATGCATATGTTTACCTTAATCGGAAGAGTGTAAACCCAAGGCGCCGCAAGCATGCAGAAACAGCGAATATGGGGTTTGCGTGATCTCCAGGCGTGGAGCACTTCACCCAATGTCCTCCAAGCAGTGTATAGCCTGGTTTCTCAACGATAACGGCTTCTCCTGAAATATGCCTTGAGCAAATAACATGCCGCTATCTGAATAGTGCCTGAAAGACCAAGTGACTCCCACAGTCCTGTCATGACTCCGGAGAAAGAGCAGTGTGACTAAGCTTCAGAGCAAACAGTGAGAGATAAAGAGTGCGGCTCCCCTCTATCAATGCCAATTGCCCGCCTACACAGCAAAAGACGACTCAAGACTTCCTACGCCAGTGACCATCCGATATGGCAGCCGATATCGCGACGCCTTTGACTCCGATCCCAATGACACAGCCAGCCACGCTTCTCGATGAAGTTGAGCTGCCCGATTTCGATCCAGCCATCCACCTCGCGTTCCAACCACCTGCTCAACGCCATACTTTCGGAGAAGTAGGACTTCCGAAGCCGCACAATGCCCCAGATCTCTGCTACACGGATCCATTTCCTCTGTTCTCCGAAGAAGGGGTGCGGATTCTGCGACGGGAGATGCTCAGTAAGCAAATGCTGGACAAATACCTCAGGTCATGGGATCGTGCCCCTGCCTATATCGCAGGCCACGAAAAGGTGGGTTCTCGTTCTCTGGTGTCCTGTCGTGTTGCAAGCTTGCCAAAATAGAGACGGTTTGGATCTGACTGTGTGAGCAAAGACGGCAAAATTCATGCTGCAGGCATGGCAGCATCCCGCCACTCAAGCTGCCATCGATAGAGCTGCTGGATTTCCGTTGCGTCGACTCTACAAGACGGGCGACATTGGTATGGTCAACATTCAATTGGGTCCAGACGGGTTAGCGGGGGTCTATAAGCTCACAGAAACCCCTCTGCCACCACAATCGCCTCTGGAATTGGAGAAGTCGGCGTACGACAACGTTCCAATTGACTCCTGGCATAAAGACCAGGTTCCCGTCGTATGTGTGGTCATGCTGAGTGACACAAGTGCCATGCAAGGTGGTGAGACAGCTATCAAAACCGGAGATGGCTCAATTATCAAGGTCAAAAGTCCAACTATGGGTGGAGCGGTCATCATGCAAGGCGGGTGCACCGAGCATGCCGCCCTGCGAGCGACCAATATACCGGAGCGTATAAGCATGGTGACCAGCTACACATACGCTGATCCCAATCTGGATGACCGGTATTCTTCACTTCGGAGTGTCGACCCTGCAAACGATGATATCGCCCTGATGTGCAATGAGTTTCTCAAGGAGAAGCTCACCCGTCTTCGAGGTCGCATAGATCTGGTTTTGGAAGGGCTAGCTGAGAAGGAGAACATGGGAGAAATGATCGAGCGGGAAGAGGTTGAGCGATGGGTGAAAGAGCAGACAGAATTTCTGCGGCGAAGTGCGTGGGAGATGTTTGAGAGGATCCCAAACTTCCTGGGTAAGGATGCGCCAGAAGAGGCTATTCAGGAGTATCTCAAGTAGACCCTGGAGTATTGAGCTGAGCGGCAGGAGTTGTAGATCGTGGATAGAACTCCTCGGCCGGAGGGAGTTTGGTATGATCGACGACACCAAACGATTTCCACCTTGTACAAAGGCAACATAGGGGACGGAGTCCAGGGCTCAAGAGTCCAAATGCGTTGTGGATCCAGCATTGAGCGGACCAGATAAACTTCAAAGAGCGCTTACGCCGACTGCATTCTTTCCGTTTACAAGACTCACAGGCAAGACCAGCATATTGACTCAGACGGCTATGACTGGAGTACCTTTTTGTTCCCATTGACGAGCAAGTAGGGTCCAGTCAGAATTCGAACTTTGCCAAAGCTCCTGGAGAAAGATCGAAAGATTGGTGTAATGCTCAAACCGCGTATTCGTGGATAACATCTGACACAGGCCGCTGATGATGCCCATGCGCTTTTCGTCTCCCCAGCAAGAAGTTCCGGCAACGAACAGAGGCCATGCTAGGTTGTGTAAAGAGGCGTATATGTCCTCAAATTGGTCCAGTACTTTGAAAAGTTCACCAGTATGGACTACTACCGCTCGTTCATCACCAGAAGGTCTATACAGACGAGTATACGCGTAAAGGATCCCAGCATGATGGTATGCTTGCACGAGGCGTATAAAGTCCCGTTTGGCCGAGCTGGCCAGCGTCTGAGTGAGCGTCCCTGCAGCCAGTAATGTCGAACCACATGCCAGCTTGAATTCGTCTTCGAGATCTTCAGCTGGCTTTGCATGTTTGACGTCGTGGAGCGACATAACAGTAACGTGGTGCAAAATATTGAGGAAATCTCCAAAAGGCACGTCTTGTTGTGAAACATGCGGCAAGATGGCGCCCTGAATATGTTCGTAATTGAACAATGTTGTGCATGCAAGGACGTCATAAATGGCCAATTGCTCTCTCAGAAAAATGGTGAGATCGTCGTTGGGAGGCCGTTTCAACTCTAGCGAGTTCATCAGAATTCGGGCTGCTTGCCTATGGGATTGAGCATGAGATAGCTCTGACTTCAGTAGCGAATGGTTTGAGAGAATCAGCATGGCAGCTAGAACTCCCGCGGTGATACCACCACTAACGTCAATCTGTGGATCAATCGTGTTGCTCTCCGTCATCTGGCGCACTCGCTCGGTGATCATGAGAATGGCAGCTTCGCCTGTGGACTGCGAAAAGCCGGGTGGAAGGTAATCTGCAGACGGCATGTGTTCTGCGGAAATAGTGAGAACCGCCAGTCGGAGAATCGTATCCTTCTCGGCAAGAGGAATGACCAAACACTTATATTCATTCTTCTCCGAGTCGAGCCAGACCATCAGTGGTGCAATGTCAGTGGCATAGTACTGCAGCAGCCGTTTCGCTGCGGATGGAGGCAGCTGTTGAGCTAAAGCAAGACCAGCCTGATAGGCTGGGGCAGGAATGCTTTCCTCATTGACCCTATGCAAAGATCGAGGCTCAAAGTTGAGGGACGGGTTATGGTCTGATATATCAGGCGCGCCCCGGCCTTTGAACCGACCGCGAATGGCAATAGCGTTGGTCCAACGGAATCTTGGTCCGTATCCCGGACATTGCACGCCTTTTCTGGCGCATTTTACGCAGAATGGTAGAGCACGGTCGCAATGGATTCGTCTCCTATTGCAAACGCGGCAGTCTGAACATCTCGCTAAGCATGTGGCTCCAATGCACCGAAGTTCGTTCGTACCTTTGGTTGCCAGTGGACTTGGTGGTGGGCCAGATTCTCCTACCACCATTGCGGTGATTACGTGTCCATATTGCACTTGATCACACAGCCACCCTATGATGTGCCTGCAACAGCTTCTGAAGGCCTGAACGGTGGTTGATGAAGTGTCGACAGCCGATGTGAAGGGAGGTTCCGGATGAAAGCAAGAGAAGACGTCGTTGTCGCGACAAGCTTCGGCTGATAAGGTCAAGCCTGGTGCCCGAGTGCCAAGAGCCAAGCCATCAGCCTCGCGAGGCTAAGCGCACAATGCCGCCAGCATGGCACCGAGTACCGTGGCAAGCGTTAACAGATTGTCACTTCAAATCCAATGATTGCAATAGGACAAAATGCATTGTTCTGCATAGGAATCATGCAGAGTACCGCTCTCCCTCAACTTGCGAAAGGTGAGAGAAGCGAGAAATGCAGCGCCCAAAATTAACTTATCATGTGCACGCCCTGGATCACCAACATCTTGACCATCTACGGCACCGAATACACTCTGAAATGCACAGTGATGCTGCGACAACGAAGTCGTCTAGGTGCTGAGGTAGAGTCTTTCACGCCTATTCGCCGATACATGGGTTCGCCGCACCGATGACCGGAGTGCCATATTTCCCGATTCCAACCTGACTATATCGGACAAAAGATATCTCTTTCACAACGAGACTCGGACCTACAATTGCATTGACACTGCCTCGACAGCTCTAATGGACCACCGCTCTAAGACCTGCTCTTTGGCTACAGAGTTCAACATTCCGAGCAGTGACACCGCGTCAGTACTGAGTTTGCAACACGAAGAAACATTGATCCCTTGTTCAGATCATCAGTTGCGTACAAGCAAAAGGGAACGTCGTATCCCATTAAGGATACTTTGTCCGGCAAGTCTGAATTGATAAATTTACAGTTATGTGATATACCTAGTTACTTCTGCGTGGTCACTCTCCATGGACAGCGCCAGCCAACATCGAGACCTTATCAATCATGGTAAGCCTCGGCGATAACCAGTGATGAGGATTGATTCGCTGAGGACAAAGAGCCGCCCCCAACAACAAGAGTACAGATCATTAACCTTGTCGGGTGCCTGGTCTCCTTTTCTTGCCTCCATTGGGACTAGTTTGATCAGAGCGAAATGTGGGGGAATGCCTCAGGGCGTGTGGTGACTCTGGTGACTCATTGAGACCACAAGTTACAGAATGAAGTACGTATATTGTCTTACGCAAACTTTCTGTCTTTTAGGTTCAGCTTCACCTTTGACAACGGACCAGAACTGTGGCTGTAGAACCTGTTGTCGCTCCTTCTGGGCTTTTGGACGCCACATCATGGGTTCTATCGACGATACACTCAATGGAAGCTGCGGCCACATCGTCTCCCAAGCTAATGGACCTGGGCAATGCAGTATTCCATGCCAAAAGGGCCATCCCTGTCTTAAAGACCTTGGTATACTGCAAAGAACTCTGGCCCCAACCACAACGGCAGACCTGTTCAAAGCAGATTGCTATGGCCAAAAGCCAAAATCAGGAATTGATGTTAGGAAGTTTCTCAGTCGCGAAGGACGCGTTCGACAGCCATCGTCTCTAAAGGCCAGTGTGGCGGAGTTGGGTGAAGATATGATCAGTTTGGGCACTGGCCGTCCATCTCCAGACACATATCCGTTTGAGAGTATGAAGTTTGCATATTCTTTGCCCAATGCTACTGCTTGGACTGCCCAGCCTGTCAAGATTAACGGCTCCGAGGGGAAGCAGGAACCAGCGGTGGTACGCAAGCAAGATCCGTTGGCTTCGATCGATTTGTCAATTGCATTGTCTTACGGCTATTCTCTTGGGTGCGAACAACTCATTCAATACCTTGCCACCCACGTCTCTCATGTTCATTCTCCACCCTATTCAGACTGGGAGATCTGTCTCACTGGAGGGAACACAATGGCAATGGAGACTGCTTTTCGCAATTTCACAGACCCCGGTGATTTTGTCCTGGTGGAAGAATACACCTATTCGGGGATGATAGAGGCAGCGACACCATTGGGCTTGAAGTTGGTCCCTGTGGCAATGGACGGAGATGGATTGAGTCCCCAATCTCTGAACAACATCCTCTCCACGTGGAATGAATTCCATCCGGGAAAGCCGGCACCGCGGTTGTTATACACGATACCGACTGGACACAACCCCACCGGTATAACTCAACCCCGGCATCGGCGGCAGGAGATATTGAATGTTGCTGAGAAACACGACATCATGATTCTCGAAGACGACCCGTACTATTACCTAAATTTTCCCCAGGACCGTGGAGAACCAGACACAATCGCCCTCCCGTCTTACCTCTCGCTCTCCAACACCGGACGCGTGATCAGGCTCGACAGCACGTCCAAAATCCTTGCGCCGGGACTCCGGCTGGGTTGGCTAACAGCGCCTAAGTCGGTAGTCGAGACATTTCAAGCCGCCCACGACCTAGGATTTATCCACCCCAGCGGCCTCAGTCAGTTGGTCGTGTACAAGCTAGTATCGGAGACATGGGGACACGATGGATTCCTGCATTGGCTGAAGGCGTTGGCGGGCAACTACCAAGAGAGAGCCTCAGCAATGCTCAAAGCTATGGAAGTGGAGCTGGGAAGGGGAGTCCTGGCAGATATATGCTCTTGGAGCGACATCCGTGCGGGCATGTTCATCTGGCTCAGGGTCGACTGTAGCAGGCTGACAGACATGGCCCGCACCCCATTGGATGCAGAAGCAAGGCGCCAAGCACTGTTGAGCATCGAGGACAAGATCTACATGGAGGGGTTGAAGGAAGGAGTGCTACCCTGTAAAGGCAGCCTCTTTCGAACACCCACAATGGCCGGCACCGGTGTTGTCAAGAGTAAAGTACAACCTGAAAGCGAGCCTGGAAGATCTCTAGACAATGACGGAAATGCTGTCTTCTTCCGCCTCACCTTTGCATCTGCCGACGAGGCAAGTCTTGTCAGGGCAGTTGGACGGCTGGGCGTAGCGCTCCGCAGAATATTCACCCCGGTGTCCGGGGAAGGAACGCCAGAGACATCTTGTGCCTAGTGGCCCGAGCTAGTGCACACTGTGTGCTGTGACTATTCGTGAGATTGTGGCGCTCGTCGTACAACTTTAGTGTTGCGGAGTTCACCACGGAGATATACGACAAACTTGAATATGCCCATGTGGTAGACGAATGTCCGAGGAATCAGGAAGGGCAGAGTGTCTAGCTTTGGGGGGATGAGTAGCGAACCCTGGGAGCCAAGATATGCTTATGGCTTTATCTTGGAACAAGGGAACGACCGCTGATCTAGGCCCAGTGGAGAGATAAGAAGTCTCCATTTACCACCCTCTTTCGGGTCAAGTATATTCCTCTTCCCAGATGATCTGTCGCTCCCACCTATCGTATCATTTTACCTTGTCAGGAAGCTGGAGCGTTTTGACCAGCTGTCGAATCAAGGTCACAGTTCTGACGTCTGGTACCTTATGGTGGTATTGTGCTAACTATGGCGTGCCTATTATTTAGATAGCCTGGTGGTACTCCAGGGACAAATCTGTGTCTGGTCCAACAACCAGCAATCTATAATGGAGTCTATCAAACCTATGCACGACAAGTCGGTGGAGGAGATGAACGAGAAGCGTGTGTATGAGGTGCAAGAAGGTGAGGCGCCGTCGGTGGTTGAAAACGTCGACTCCCTCAAGCGGCGCTTGACGAATCGGCAAATGCAGCTCATCGCAATTGGTGGCTCGATCGGGACCGCGCTCTTCGTCAGTATCGGATATGGACTCATTGAAGGCGGTCCCGGTAGCCTGTTCATCGCTTTCACCCTATATTCGTGTATGCTCGGCCTCGTCAACAGCTGCATGGCCGAGATGGCGGTCTTTATGCCGGTCAGCGGCTCCTTCATTCGCATGGGATCCAAGTGGGTGGACGAGGCATTCGGCTTCATGGTGGGCTGGAACTTTTTCCTCTACGAGGCTGTCCTGATACCCTGGGAAATCTCGGCGCTCAACCTCGTCCTGACTTTCTGGTCCGACAACATCCCCAAGGTTGCCATTTGCCTGGCGTGTATCGTTCTCTATGGGTACGCTGATTTCCCCGACGCTGTTGTTGTTATAGCTCGATTGATACTGATCCTTCATAGATTGATCAATCTCTTTGCGGTCAAGTGGTACGGCGAGTCCGAGTTTTGGCTCTCAGGCGGCAAAGTCATTCTGGTTATGATCGTATTTGCCTTTACCTTTATCACTATGGTATGTGTAACCCCGTGGCCACATGTGCTGCTATCGTTTGATGACAGAATGTACAGGTCGGAGGCAACCCCCAGCACGACGCATACGGTTTCCGGTACTGGAACAATCCTGGGGTGAGACATAACTCGATTTCCACCTCATTGCCAACTTATGCTAATTTCACGCAGGCCTTCGCAGAATATGTCACCACCGGCGCTCTCGGTCGCTTCGAGGGCTTCCTGGGCGCGCTCTTCATGGCTGCCTTCACCATCGTCGGACCAGAGTACGTGGCTATGGTCAGCGGCGAGGCCATGTATCCCCGCAAGCACCTGAAACAGGCCTTCAAGACCGTGTACTGGCGGTTCGGCATCTTCTTCATCGTCGGCGCTCTGTGCGTCGGCATCGTGGTCCCCTACAACGACCCGACGCTGAACAGCGTTCTGAACGGAGGCTCTGCCAGCACAGCCGGAGCGTCCGCCTATGTCATTGCCATGCAGAACATGGGCATCACCGTACTCCCGGACTTGACGAACGCGCTTCTCGTGACCAGCATCTTCTCGGCCGGAAACACTTACGTGTAAGTTTTGCTGATCAGCAACCCCAGAGATTTAACGGATCCCGGGACTGATGCCAGCGGCTCTCGATCTGCAGGTACTGCGCGTCCAGGACGCTCTACGGGCTCTCGTTGGACGGCCACGCTCCGAGATTCCTGCAAAAATGCACAAAGGCCGGAGTGCCCATTTACTGCTTCTGCATCACTATGTTCTTCCCGCTCTTGTCCCTGCTCACGCTAGGGACCAGCAGTACGCAAGTCATCACCTGGTGCGTACTCCTATACCCGTTCCAGACGAGACAGACGCTAATATCGCAAATCAGGCTGACTAACCTGACCGAGGCATCCCAAATCATCGACTTTATCGTCATGGTGAGAGAGAGAAACCTCCTCTCTAGATAGCCCCGAATGCTCAGCTTACTAACAAAATCGTGTCTGACACGCAGTGCATCATCTACCTCTTCTTCTACCGCGCGCTCAAGGTCCAAGGCTACGACCGCAACAACCTGCCCTACAAGGGCTGGGGCCAGCCCTACGTCGCATGGGTTGCCCTGATCTTCATGATCTGCATCGTCGGCACGTACGGCTACACCACATTCCTGCCGGGATGGTGGGACGTCGGCACCTTCTTCTCCTACTACACCATGTGCTTCGTCTGTCCACTGCTGTACCTGAGCTTCAAGGTCATCAAGAAGACGAAGATCGTCAAAGCCCACGAGGCGGACTTGGTCTGGGAGAGGCCCGTGATCGACGCATATGAGGCCACCTTCGTCGACAAGCCGCTGGGATTCTGGCAGGAGCTGAGGCGGCATCTTCCGAAGAAGCTGGGAGGGAAGAAGGACGTGTAGAGACGGAAATACGTCTGTTTGGCTTCGCGCACCGGGATCGAGATTCTCGGGCTCGCCTGAGACAGCTGCCTACGGTCCACATGACGCGTATAGCTCATAACGGCAACATTTTATATGGCCAATATCCTTTCTAGGTCGGTTCGAAAAGAGCTCTTTGCGTGAGTCAGCCTAAGATGAGACCAGGTCTCATTAACCTCTTGGAAAGACCATGCTACGACTTGCCAGAGCCAGCCTTCTTCTCCTCTCGGAGCAAATCAAGTAGAGGGCCCTCCGGGACGTCCTCCCGATCAAGCATTATTTCCACCATTCGCAACCCGCTGCCGCTGGACATTTCCTTCGACGCAAGCACCCGCTGCAGGTCTCCCCACGTGCTAACCCTGGCCGTATAGACGTCGTCATCAGCGCCCAAGAAGCGCGGTGCTTGCAGGTAGCGCCAACGGGCGATATCATTGTACCGCTTGTTCAAGCCGTGGATGCATCGTTCGATCGTGTAGCCGTCATTGTTGAGGAGAAAGATTATGACATCTAGCTTTTCACGGACAATGGTACTGAGCTCCTGCACCGTCATCTGGAAGCTTCCATCGCCGATGCAGAGCACGGTCCGCGCCTGGCTGATGCCGTGATAAGCTGAAGAAGCTATAAGTTCCCTTTGCGCCAGGGCCGCGCCTTGAGCCGCCGGAAGCATATATCCAATCGAGAGCCAGGTTACCGGTGCGAATACGCGTGTGTGGCGCGGGAGTGCCATCTCCTGGACTCCGTAGCCTGCAGTGCCGGTCTCTCCTAGGATAATGTCGCCTGGACGTATGAAGGACCCAAGCAGTCGCCACAACCCATCTTGCGTGATACATTTTTCGCTAGGAAGCGATGAAAGGCACACTTTGTGGGCTTTACCAGCTAGCTCGGCCGTCGCCTGTGTTCCGGAAGACATCAAGTCCAGAGCATTCAACTCTTGCCGCAAGAGAGACACAGCCGACCTGATGGGGATGTCACGAAATGTTTGCTCGCCTATCCGAATCTCGTTGTCCGTGTAGCTGATGGTGACTGCCTGTGGAGGAATGCCGGTAGAGTCGAACGTGTTGGTCGTGCTAAAGTGCGGACCAAAACATAAGACGAGATCTGAGTTGTCCACGAAAGCCTTCGCCTTTGGATCGTAGCTGCCTCGGTAGACGCCGTGGACGTTGGATGCCGTCTCGTCCACGAGACCCTTTGCGAATACTGTTACCCAGGTGGGCCACTTCGTGGTTTGGACGATTTGCTGGACATCCTCGGTGATCCGAAGTGCTCTGCTCTCCCCATCTACCAAAATCGTGGGTCTCTTTGCACTTTTGATCTTCTCCAACACTATCGACAGCGCCAGGTCGTGGGCTGGTGTGGTCGTGTTGTACGCCGAAGTGATACCTGCTGACAGACACTCCGACCATAATCTGCCGGCTGCCACAGATGCATCTACCAGGTCAACCGGCACCTGGAGATATACTGGCCTGCTGTGCAAAAGACACTGCTTCAGAAGCACGTCGATCTGCTCTGGCGCCGATTGGGCGTTCTTGAGACTAGCCTGCGCCACCGTGATCTGGGCATGCATCTGAGCAAAGCGGTCGAAATTGCCGTCCGCGAATGTGTGGTGAACCTTCAGGCGAGAGTCCTGGACTGCTCTTTCCGGAGTGCCGACCACATGTACCACTGCTGCTCGTTCGCAGAAGGCACCAGCGATGGCATTGATAGCCGAAAGCTCTCCCACTCCAAACGTGGTTATCAGCGCTCCTACGCCATTGATCCGTGCGTAGCCATCTGCAGCATATCCCGCATTCAGCTCATTGCAGCTCCCAACCCAATGAAGTCCTGACGGCTCAATGTGATCCAACAGGGTCAAGTTGTAGTCGCCCGGTACCCCGTGGATTGAGCGCACTCCAAGTTGATGAAGGCGTATAAATAAGTACTCTGCAAGCGTGACTGTCAAAGACATTGCGTGTTTATTGGCGTAAAGTTAGGATTTGTGATCTGATAACAGGTCTCTGAAAAGGTTCTGAGATACCGATCCTACAGAGATATCACAAGCCAAGGAGTATCAGAGATTCTGTGGCCGATCAAAAACAGGTGCGTCCCGTCTCTTGATGTCCCCAGTGTATGAGAATGGTGAGCAGGCATTTTTTTGGCCCGCTCCAGCTGCATCGCGAGAGCTTGCTCAATCGAGAACAGGCATGGAAAGTGGTGCATTCCTTTCGATGTCTCCATAAATTCGACTTGACCTCTGTGAGTTACAAAATAGAGAATTATTGGGGTTTTGCGCCCTTGAGATGGCGGTTTGGTGTGGCGACGTTTCTCCATGTTTGGCCCTAACTGGGCTTAGTTCTCCTTTATATCTCCCTTTCCGTCCTTGTGGCGCCGTATTCCATGGCATTGAGTAAGCATACCTAGAAGGTAAACTTAGTTAAGTGCTTGGTTAAAGCTCCAAGTAGATACAGTTACAGGTTTAGTTAAAAAGACCCCTAACTTCAAAGCCTCACTAAGCAAGCAAAAGGGCACAATAGATGGAAGGAGGGATAGTATCAAGACCTCCTGTGTGACAGGGAATACCTCGGGTGCCTTACAGTCTGTCTAAAGAAGCTATCTCTCCATTCAAACATACACAGTCTATCTCTCTGGCCAAATTGAGGCTGCCCCCGAACGGGCTGAAGGAAGGATACTAGCGTTAATGTCTTTTGAGCGAGTTCGAACTGGAGGGCATACCCAACAAGGCAACTTGGTTAACTGATACACAGCAAGCGATCTCTTTTAGATTTTCCCTCTCTCCAAGAAACGAGTGGGTATCTCAACATGCTTGGCCCGCAGATACTCCGCGACATTCTTCCCGAGAATGTCATACGTGCTGCTGCTGGCAACTCCACGATCTAAGTGATCAAGCAACAAGAAATGAACGGCCCAGAGGTTGGGGAGCTCAAATCTCTCGACCAAACCACCCTTGTAATCATCGCCCAGAAGCTCCTTGACTTTGGCAATTGTCAGCGTCGATCGGAGCCAGTCCCACTCGTCAGCGAAGCGGACGTAGAAGCCAACGTTGCAGTTGGACGACTTGTCCCCGGAGCGTGCATGCACAATGTACCCCATGGGAGCCATGGTCGTGAGGCCCCAAGATGTCAACGGAAGCGGGTTTTCAGGATCGTACGACGGCTGATGGCGTGGGTAAGTCTGGGTCTTTGTTGGGACGGGAATGTCGAATGTCTTGTCCGAGAAGTGCAGGCGGTGGGAGACGACTCCTTGAGGGATCAGTGCCACCCAGAATTCCTGGAGACAGCAGAATCTTGTCAGCAAGTCTTCCCCGTCACATTGGAAGATCTCACGGGGCAGTTTCAACTCACATAGTACAGCTTCGGGGTGCCTTGGCGCATATCCAGAGAGAACTGCGCGCCAGGATACGTCTGCATCACGGTGTCCACAACGGGCTGCAGGAAGACTGAGGTCTGCAAATCATCGACATTGCGCGCCTGCGCAAAGACTCGCAGGTCGCAGGTGGCGGATTCCTGACTGCGTGGATTGTTAGGTGGCCTGCCGTTCAGAGACACTCTGAAGCAGTGGTATTTGTCGAGTGGGAGGACATCTCGGATCTGAGTCTCGAACATGGCCGCTTTCTCCTCGACATCAAGACCAACCACGTAGAAGTGAGTCTCGGCCTGGTACCCACCGATCGCTGTAATGCCGACCTTGGTCGTAGGTGGAGGCGGGAGGCCCTTTGCGCCCGAAACTTTGACGCGGTCTGGGCCGAGTTGTTCCATGCTGATGTTCGTGAGGTCGGCGACAACATCCTAAAAGGGAAGCCGTGTCAGTCATACCACGAGGGAGTGTAGGTGTGCGCAGAGGGATTAGTTGTTGCCTACCGAGTTGAAATACCAAGGACCCTGGATCTCATACAAAAGCTGGCTTCTGCAGGTTTCGGTCGACACCACGCCCTTTGATCCTTGCTCCTTGCTGATGATGCACGTACCATCTTTTGCAAGTTCTGCAATTGGATAGCCGAGATTGATGATGTTCTTTCCAGTCCCGAGCGATTTGAATCCCGACCAGTTGGCGCCGCAGACGTATGCGCCGCATTCGATCAAATGGCCGCAGACCAGGGCGCCGGCGAGCTCGTCCAGTTGGTCCTCATTCCAGCCATGCCACCAGATGCCAGCCGCAATCACAGGAGCTGGGTCCGAGACTCGACCGGTAAGGACAATATCAGCACCCTCGGCCCAAGCCTTCGCAATGCCCCGACCTCCAAGGTAGCACTGGGCGTAGATAGGATCGAACTCCCAGGTCGAAAAGTCTTTGTCTGTCGTAAGTCGCTGCAGTTTGTCTCCCTTTGTGTGCAGGTTTTTCAGGTCTTCGATGGGGATTTCGTCACCGGACACCCAAGCCACTTTTAGATCCAGGCCCTTCCGCGCAATAATCTCCCTGACGTGTTTGGTCAGGAGCTCAGTGCCCGAGGCGCCGGCGTTGGCGGCGAGCTTGATTTTTTTGGCGGCCAGGTGCTCCAAGGCGGGCTCCAGCGATTGAAGGAAGACCGCTTCATAGCCAGGCGCCGTTGGGTCTTGTACCTTCTCCACGCCGCGAGTTGTCATGTTATACTCACTCATCCAGTCGCCAAAGATGACATCCACATCCTCGTTCTGGGCCATGCGTGCTAAGACACCGTGATGGTCTGTAATCCCTCCTTCGCATCCTCCGATGCGCACGGCGCGGCTTTGGATGGATGGCATTGTTGTGTTGGGTGTGGTAGTGTAAGGTAATTTGGGTTGAAGTGATGGTGCTTCGCGTCTGCCTAAAAAGGTAAAAGAGACTAAAAGAAAGATGCTTGTCTTGATAGAAGTCTGAGCCTTATAAGCTTCCTTACAGGCCCTGAATGACAATACTCCTTCACAACAGGAAGATTTCAAATCTCAAGACAGCCTGGAGAACCAACAACCTTCGGATCATAGACCAAGAACCGAGCACCAACCATACAAGCCTGGTATGCTCGAGACAACTTGGAAAACTCAGTGATTTTCCCGCAGTATTAAATCCTCCATGGTCCTCCCGTCGACAAACTCTTGGTGTTCCTGTAGTTTGGAGTCAAGGACTCGGAGATCGATATCCGAACCTGGCGCCGTCAACCCCGAAATTGAAGGGCCTGCCAATCGGCTTGGTCGAACAAGCCTCTCATACCGAGTACCTTGCGGGGAATGGAGAATGAATAGCGTAGAGTGGGGAGAATATAAGACTATATAAGCGGGGACGATGGGATTCTAGTCGTTTTGGGTAATTAGTCTTATGGTCCCCACTCAGGCAGCCGAGGCTCTCCAACCTCAAGTTATCCTGTCTTTTTTTTGCCCTCTCTGGGAACAAGCAACACCGTATCCCTCATAAGAGCCTGGCTCAACTTTAATATCGCTCTATCACCCGCGTTTGGATATTGATCGTGGGTTTTCTCACAAGTATATACCGGAATTATTCGTGATAACGACCATCTTATATCCCGGTTAGATTCAAGTTTACTTCTCCACGCCTTTCCACCTCTCAGCCATGATTGTGAAAGAATCGAGATGGGACCAGCGAGGCAAGCGGCCTGCCAGAATCGCCAATGTCTCGGGGGCCAGAAGTTCGTGATCCCCTGAGTCTCTGTTGACAACCAACGCCGGTAAAGAGAGGCTAATGTTCCCTCAGCCGATCCTGGTTATCATATGCGTCGACAGGCGGAATGGGGCGACGTTGATTTCTTGACGGGCGACTACCTCGCCGGTGAGTGCTGAGACATGTCATGGATTCACCTTTTCTGGGCCTTCTCACGATGTGTGACTGATGGTTCTGCGCGTGTTGCCGAACAGAGATCAATCTACCAGAAAACAAAAAGGGAATGGATGCCGGCTTGCACGAGGGCTGGGAGCCGACTTGCTGGGACGGTTTCGTCCAGACCATTGATCTTATCGCTGAGAAAGAGCTCAAGGTCATTGTCAACGGAGGCGCCCTGAACCCGGCCGGGCTCGCCGCCAAAGTCCAACAACTTGTACGACTCTTCCCCACATGCCATGGCGAAAGTCTAATTCAAGTCTCAAGGTGAACGACAAAGGCTATTCTCTCAAAGTAGCCTACCTCTCGGGCGACGATCTGACCGAAGAAACGAAAGACCAAATCGCTCGAACGGGCCAAATCCCAGCTCATCTCGATTCCAACAACCCCGAGGTCAAGGTTGAAAAGCTCGCAGGTGCACTCCAGGATCACCAGTCTAGACCGGTGATCACTTCGCATGCATACCTCGGAGCCAGAGGACTTGTCGGTGCTCTAGAGGGGGGCGCAGATATCGTCATCGCCGGCCGCGTCGCTGACGCTTCCCCCGTTATTGCTGCCGCCTGGTACTGGCATCGATGGAAGCCTACAGACTACGACCAGCTCGCGAGTGCCTTGATCGCGGGCCACTTGATCGAATGCTCAGCCTACACGACAGGCGCCAATTTCGCCGGCTTCGATAAGTTCGATCTGGACCTGTTTGTGGACCTCCCCTTCGGTATCGCCGAGGTGGCCAACGACGGCACTGCCGTGATCACAAAGCATGAAAACACCAACAAAGGCATAGTCAACGCAGACACCATCACATGCCAGTTTCTCTACGAGATCCAGGGCGCCATCTACTTGAACAGCGACGTGTCCGCCGACACGACCAACATCAAAATTAGGGACGTGGGCAAGAACCGCGTCGAAATGTCCGGCATCAAGGGCTACCCGCCGCCGCCTACGACGAAACTGGCGGTCTTCTATGATGCTGGCTATCAGTGCCAGCTTCTAGCCAACGCTACCGGGTACGCCACGGACAAGAAATGGGAGTTGTTCGAGAAGCAGATGCGGTTTTTCCTCAACGAGAGAGGGGTGCTGGATCAGTTTGACCATCTCGAATTCCAGATGTGAGCAGATCATTCGACTTCTTTTGGGGCTTGTTGGGAAGGGTTTTTTCCCTCTCGATGTATAGCTCGTCTCCCCGGGTCCACAGAGCTGACATGTCTAAACCCCTCACAAAGTGTGGGAGTTCCAGAACCCAATCCTCGAAGCCAACTCCGCAGTACGACCTATTGTCGTATCTTTGCACAGGCTCCAACCGAAGAGCCCGTTTCCCAGATCTTCCCTGCCTGGGCAGACCATGTAATGCAACACTTTCACGGCAAGTACCACTCAAACCCGAGATATATCTCTTCCAAGTGCTGCTGTCGTTGTTGTCAAGATCCACTCTGATACCGGGTTTAGGGTTGCACTGGTCCCTCGACTACCGCACCGCCCACCCCAAGCCATACATCTCCTTCTATCCCGGCCTGTACGACCAGACCTCACTCAAAGAAGCCGCCCACATCCTAGGTAAAGACGGCCAAGTCGCCAAAACCATCGACGCCGTCCTACCGACCGAGTTCTACCACCTAGAACGACGTATCAACTTCGACGCCGACCCGTGCACCCTACGCAACCCACAGGGTCCCACGCGAACAGTCACGCTGGGCGACATCGCCTACGGCCGGTCCGGCGACAAGGGCGCCAACTGCAACTTCGGCATCTACCCGCGCAACCCGGCGCACTGGGACTGGTTCCGCGGATACATGTCGCGGAAGAAGCTGCAGGAGCTGATCGGCGACGACTGGCGGGACTCGTTCTTCATCGAGCGCATGGAGTTCCCGGAGATCAAGGCCGTGCATTTTGTGGTGTATGGAATTCTCGGGAGGGGCGTGTTGGCGAGTACCTTGCTTGATTCGCTGGGGAAGGCGTTTGCGGACTACATTCGAGCGAAGACGGTCGAGGTCCCGGTTGAGGTCTTGGAGCTGTAAAGGAAGGGGAAAATTTGGGTGGCTACCAGAGTCCTGTGTTGTGTGAAAAGATGCCGGCTGTGCTCCAGAGTTGTGACGACAGTTTGATAAACTGAATCGAGATGCTTGATCTTGGCTCAAGAATTCAACGACCGGTGGTGGCCATCAACTTTGCCATTTTCCATGTTTCACCTTCTTTACGTTTCCCCTTGAAAAGGCCATTCGGAGGCAAGTCAAACCCACAGCACTCGGTCCAAGAGTAGCTCCTCCATCCGGTCCTCTCCTCTCCTCTCCTTGAGCCGCAAGCCAACCTTGAATTCCACTCCGTCTGGCACACCAATGAGATTGCTTTTGTTCCCGTGAAAAGCTGCCCCAGTCGGGCACCCCTTTCTCTCAGTCGCTCCGGAGAACTACACCTCCGGGTCTTATTGCGAAAGAAATGTTGCGTCCACAACCCGGCGTTCGAACGCCGAAGTAGATAATAGATCCGGCAACCAGGACCCGATCCTCTAAATTGACTGCTTGGTGACTTCTTCTCTCGGCAGAACCTTGCAGTATATCCGTGACGGAGAGTACGGTCGCTCGTCATGGGATGAGTCGATCAGAGTATAGTCGGCAAGTCGATTAAAAGAGAAAGAATATATGTAGAACTTTCCCATAGTGGCAATAATGGGTATATCGCAAGGCTGCACAAGGCGGGGGGTGCGGAAAGTATGGTTTTCTTTGTGAGTGGGAAAAAAGTCCCGTAACAGAAGCTTGTGAGATCAAGCCCGACTTGTCACGGCATTTAATTTGGGGGACTTGACAAGCCAAACGGAGTGGGTAGTGCTCGCTGTTTTCAAATGGCGCCCAAAACTTCCATCTCAATTTGCCAAGGCTGTAAGGAGGCTCTTGTCCCTCGTCTATTTCTTCTTCAGCAAACCCTCGTCAACATTCACCTCTACCGTCTTCGACCCTCCAGCCTCCTTTTGCGCAACCGGAACAACAACATTCTCCAGCCGCCACTCCATTCCCGGGTATGCATCGCTCATGACGAGAATATCGACCTTCATCTCCTCCTGGCCTCTTCCCGCGTCCAATTCCGGAGCTGGGATCTTGAGCTTGACGTTTGCAGTGCCTACGGCCTTGCTCCGAGTTCCCTGTTTTGTAGTGGACCAATTCGCCCTCTTGAGAGCCAAGACATCCAACCCCTGGCCACTTGAAGCCGATCCGGGAGGGAGCACAAGGACGAAATAGCCCTCTGTCTGTGGCTTTGGGAATCTCGGGGCGTATATTCTGGCCTCATGGTCAAGCAGTCGATTCCTGCGTTTCAGAGTGAGTTGCAAATTGTCCGTGTCGCCCGTCGCCGACAAAGCAAGGTCTGGAAGTGCATTCACCGCCTTGATGAACGCCATACGGGTATTTTGGGCTTTTATTCCAAGCACGTTCATCAACCCGTCAATTGTCTTCACTCCATGCCTGGTAGACAGCACCGCGGTCATGACCAAGTCCTTCGGGACTTTCCCTTCAAGCTTTTCGTCAAACACCTCATCCACACCAGGCAGAATGCTGAGCGGGTAATCCTCCGGCCATCGCGCAGACTTGATGCACTGTAGCAGTCTAACCATTTGCACGACAGCGTCAAACCTGTTGAGCTCCGTCATGACGTCGACTCCAGCTTGGATGATGCGAATGCCCTGGTCCAGCACCGAGATTTGGTCGCCCACGTAATCAGAGATGGGGAGGTCGATGCGGGCCATGAACGCCTGGATGAGGAGGAATGCCTTGACGTGAGGATCCCACATTGGCAGATTGTCCATCAGACCCTCGGTGTCAAAGGGTAAGTTCTTCGCCAATTCGGCGTTGATAAGATCTTCATTATGCCGCACTGGGAGATCGTCAAACTCAGTAGCCAGGCTGATCCAAGCCAGAGCATCCGCGAAGGTCGCGGAAGGGCTCTTGCGCGCTTTCGACAGGAACTTGCGAATCGTCAAGTGGCTAAGGTAGTAATACGACATGATCTTGCCAAATGGAGTGCTGTCCACGTCGCCGTTATTGTGCACCAAAACACAGTCACTTTCAGCTAGGTCGTCGAGCGATTTGTCCACCAGCGTGATCATGTAGTCGGCAGCGGCTTGTCTTGCAACAAGCTGATTTTCCTTGTGCTCCTCCGCCGAGATCTCAAGACCATAGTATGTTGGGTTTTTGTGCAGACGACGGAAGAAAAATGTCCAGGTTAGGTAATCGAGCGCGTCTTGCTTGGTGGTTATGACACCAGCGGAGACCTCGGCGCCCAAATGGTTATCAAGGACTTTGTGCAGAGAGCTCTCCACGGGAAACCCGGTGTGTAGGAAATGCTTGTAGAATGCCTTCTTCGAGTCCTGGGTAAAAATGCGAGCAATCCCAGACGTATCGAATTGCGGTCGTCCGGCTCGGCCAAGCATCTGAAGAACGTCGGTCAAATCCATGTCTTTGTATCCCTCGATTTTGGCATCGAAGAATTGGGTTCCTTTGACGACGACCAGATGAGCAGGCAGATTGACGCCCCAGGCAAGCGTCGATGTCGCAACGAGGATCTGGATCTTGTTCGCAGCGAAAAGTTGCTCGGAAAGTGTTCGATCAGACTCTACCAACCCGGCGTGATGCAGGCCGATGCCGAAACTCAACGCTTCTTTTAGCGCGGCATCCTTGACAGCGGACAGAGTATGCTGAAGATCGTCTTCATTGTCAAAGTGTAGAAACCTTCTCGGGTTCTCTTCCATACCACAGAAATTAATGAGGTCTTTTGCAGTGAGACGAGTTTGTCTTCTCGACGCCACGAAGACTATGACAGGCTTGTCCGGACTGTGGTTTTTGATGGCAAGGTAGGTTGGGCGGTTCATGCTTTGCATCAACGGGCAGAATCCCCTCTGCTCGGGAAAGCCATCGATATATATCTCAAGTGGAACTGGACGGACACTGTGGCGGAAGTTGAAGAGCCCTTGATTGTTTCCAGGCTTAACCCCAAGCCAATTCGCCAAGTCGGTGGCGTTTGCACAGGCCGTCGACATGCCCACCAGGCGAATGGATCCACTTTCCGCTTGCGACGCGATGTAGTTCATCCTTGATACGATGATCTCGAGGATGGGACCGCGGTCGCCGCCCAATAGATGTATCTCGTCAATAATCACGAGAGACACCTGCCGAACGTAAGATCTGGTCTGCCATGAGCGGGATATTCCGTCCCATTTCTCAGGCGTCGTGATGATGATATCTGCATCTCGAATAGTCCGTGTATCTGGAGTATTGTCGCCAGTCAACTCAACCAGTTTCAAACCCATTGGTACGGTGAGCCGCTTGCGCCAGTCTTGCACTCTCTCTCGAACAAGCGCCTTCATAGGTGCAATGTACACGACTTTACTCCCTGGTCTTTCACGGAATGCCCACCACATAGCTAGCTCTGCAGCAACGGTCTTCCCGGAACCGGTAGGCGAACCCAAGAGGACGTTGTTTGAAGTATGGTACAAGGTGTGGAAAATCTGAGTCTGCATCGGATTGAAGAACTGGAAGCGTTGTCCATAGAGCTCTTCCAGCGCCGGATTTTTCAAGGCGGTGATCGGAAGAGGTTGTAGGTCCAGGAGATCTGTATACACACTCTCAGTGTCTGGTCGGATGAGATGCTGGAATGAGACGGGATGAACGGTCTCTGCTCCTAGCCATCGATCCGATATGACTCTGACATATATTTGAGAAGGCAGGGGGTCGGCCAGTGGTATGGTGAAGTTGAGTTCGTGGTTGTCGTGCATCTTCTTCCGGCTCAGGATGAAATACTCATGATGGTAGATTTCTGACGTTTCCGAATTTTCAACCCAAACCCAGTATGATTCAGAAGTGCCATGGTGACGGTCATTCCAGACGAATTCCGGATAGAGGTACAACCTCATACGGAGCACATCCCTATTAAGTGGTGCAGTTTCTGCCTCGACAGATACCGTCGGGAAATTGTCGAGCAACTTCGTCAAGGTGGTCCCCATTTTTTGGTTGTGCACAAGATTTCCAATCTCAGCTGGCTCCATTTCTCGCAGGCTTTCAATGTTCGAAGAGGGTGCCTTGTCATCCAAATTCTTCAAGACTGGTACAGGTAGATCAAACTGGTGAAATGGGTGTTGAAAAGGCCAGATTTGCTTCTCAATGGCCTTACACATGGACAGGAGAACTTGACACTGATAACCCCAGCCACGATTCAGAGCGATCATGAACAAAGCTCGACAAATTCGGGCCGAGTTCTGTGCAACGTATGCCAGGTCTGAAACCAAGGCAAAATCTTCAAGTTTCGCCCTCGATATGTATGACTGAAGGAGAATATTTGTCTTTGCGTGGTTCTCAATAACTCTCTGCTCTTTCTCTTCCTCGGAGCTCTTCGGGCCATTCTTTCGATCCTCGATCTCACACACGACAGCTTCCTGGCGTAGTCGGTGTAGTTCCAGCGCTTCATTGTCTCGGGACTGGATGTTGTCGAACTCGCCGCTCATGCTGATCATTTTCAGAACATCTGCCTCGCTTGCATGTGGCCGCATCATGGTATTGAATATTTCGATACTGCTCTGAAGGACATAAAATTGGCTGGCAATACGACCGACATCCTTTGCTCGTAGCTCGTCCGTTCTCTCATTGAAGATGATCATTTGACTACGGTGCAGCGTTCTGGCGGCGTCGATGATTAGTTTGCGCCGCCTTTGGCCCAGTTGAGGATCATCTTGGTACTCATTCCAATCTATCCCGTAGGCCTGCGGGTTTCGCCGCATGCGAATGAACAGATAGGTGTAGCCCAGCCAGGTCACTGCCTCCTGCACAGTAGTTACTGTACCCAGACTGATCTCAGCATTGAGGTTATCGACCATCTTCTGTGAGAATTTGGACTCAATTGGTTGCTGCTGGGTGACGGCGGACAGATAATGTTGCAATTTATCGTGAGTGGTACAAATGTATCCGACACCGCTGTCTTGAAACTGGGGACGACCAGCACGTCCAAAAATCTGAAGGACGTCAAGTATTCCAAGATCCACAAATTTACCGGCTTCAGCGCTGTAAAGTTGTGTTCCTTTGATTACGACGGCTGCCGCGGGTAAGTTGACACCCCATGCAAGGGTTGCTGTGCAGCAAAGCACTTTGATGGCGCCGTCAGAGAAGATTCGTTCAACAAAGTTTCTGTCTGATCGCGGCATGCCAGCATTATGGCATCCAAACCCCTTGGGAACAATGTCTCGCAGTTCTCGGCCTCGAGTGGTTTTCAAATCGGCCATTGCTCTTACATAGGCAGGATTGTCGGAGTCTGGCACAAACAGCTCTGCACACCCATCGTCAACAGCCATTTGGTAGAGGGTACGGGCAGCCAACACGGTGTCTTTCCTGGAATGAACAAAGACCATGACTTGCTTGTCCTGTTTCAGAAGCTCCTTGACCTTCTCGAAGGTGGTTTGATCTAGGTTCTCGCGCTGAACCTTGCTTCCCTTCCCCTTGACACCGATGAAGTGTTGTTCGAGAGGGACGGGGCGAAAAGAAGCATCAAAGTAGAACAGGCCAGACATGCGATTGACTTTCAGGAAGTCCGCAACATCGATGTAATTTGGAAGAGTGGCAGACAGTCCAACAATACGAATCAGTGACTGTGTACTTTCCACCTGCCGTTCTGTCCTGGCGACCAAGGACTCGATAACAGCACCTCGCTCGTCATGAAGCATATGGACTTCATCGATGATGAGTAGCCGGACTTTCTGGACCAGTTCAGTGTCTCCAGTGCTCTTCCGAGTAACAACATCCCACTTCTCCGGTGTCGTCACGATGATTTGGGTCGCAGCAATTTCCTTCTTCGTCAATTGCATATCACCAGTCAACTCTCGCACTTGAATGCCCAGCCATGCCAATCGCTTGCCCAGCTTTTCTGTAACTTCGGCAGCTAGAGCTTTCATCGGCGCAACGTAGACGATCTTGAAATCGTCTGCCATCACTATAAACTCCGTGGCAGTGGGCTCCTCAATTGGATTGGGTATGATGTTCTTGGAAATGGCTTGCAGGATCGTGAGCATAGCCGCATCAGTCTTACCAGCACCAGTAGGAGCACAGATTAGCATGTTCTCGGCTGTAGTGTATGCCACAGGATAAAGCAGACTCTGCATTCGATTCAAGCTCTTGTAACCCTTGAAGGTACGTTGGCACAGACCATCCATCTCGGAGATAGCGACCAGTTTCTGTCCTGCAGCAAGAGAGCCTACCTTTGAGGCCGGGATTGCATACTCCTCGTATTTTTGATAGTCATGTCGCGTACTGCCAAGAGGTAGGGCATACCTTCTGCCAGCCACATCCAACATATTACCCGTGGCGGCGACATCAGACTTGTAGACATGAGGATATTTCGGCCCTGATCGATCAAAAGCTGGAGCCAGGGCAGCATTTTTGTGCTCGTAGTCCTGTCGTCGGAGAGTTGCATCGCGCTCCTGACGAGTCTCCAGGGATCCAAAGAGGCCATCGGTCTGACGAATAGTCGCAGTTTGAGAATTAAGGACTTCCTTGCGATGAGAGATGAGTTCAATGACAAAGTCAAGGTCGTCAAATCCAACGATATCTGCTAGCGACATCTGCAATTCATCGTCCGAAGTGTCTGACGCCAACAGAGCAGTGATTTGCTGCTCGATCTCGGTGGGGTCGATGCCAGGCTTTGAGCGAGCCCAGGCAGCACATTTTGAACTTAGCCATGTCCTGTCAAAGACACCGTTGGTGTCAAAGTTGGGAGTTTTGAACCCATTTACCGCGTCGTCGACATCGTCGGTGAAAGGGCTCTCATCGACCGCGCTTTCAGCGTCCCAGATGTCGTCATCAACGTCTTCACTCAAGTCTTCGTCCAAGTCAAGATCTGCCCCATACATCTGCGGCGCGTCGTTGAGGGATGACAATTTCAAGTCGGCAATAGCTTGTCGCATAGCTGTCACTTGAGCCAGCCATTGTTCCTCGGACTGGAAAGTTTGGCTAACCATTTTGCAGATCAGCTGAACAAGAGGAGCAGAAAAGGCTTCTGAGACACCCAGTGTAATGAGAAGCAGTCTGGCAGCCTGTGCCGGAAGGCTGTGTTGATACAGGGAGGAAGGATACGGGAAAATGAAAAGTCACTTTTTGCTGGCTGATGAGTTATGACTCGCACACAGTCGCAGCCTCGCTCTAAGCAAGGCTGGGCAGTGATAGGCTCAAGGGCATTCGCGGGGGCCTGGGCTGGGCCCTAAAATGATTGGTCTAGGTGGATAATGGGGGCTGGAACTTGAGGTTGGAGGGGCATTTGGCGGGCTGGCTGCTGCTGGCACCGCCCACAAAGGCACAAAGGCAGACCACGGGAGGGCCTTTTGGTCCCGGCGCTACGCTTGTGACGTTCCCCTCGAGGCACTCGCAGGCACTGTCAATTCATCCGTTCTATCATTTCTTTACAACATCCCGCTCTCCCTTGTCTTGTGATCATTCCTTTCACAGCGGAACCGTATCCTTGGACTCTTTGCTACTCTGTGAACTTCTCGAGCGACACTTTGACCTCGAAAAACTTGTGCTTTGCAACACTCCCCCACGTCGAAAACAAAGAACACACACCGCCAGAATGAAGATCTTCTACATCGGCGTGAGCAAGACCTTCGATCACAGATTAGGCCGCAGCAAATAGATGCTAACCTTCCTGTAGGTCCTTCGAAACGAGACCGCTCCGGCCATCGAGCTCGCTGTTGAGCGAGACCTGTCCTCTTTTTCCCGCTTCACTCGAGACAGGTAGGCATGGCACATTCCTCAAGTACAGTCCGTGAAACTGCTAACGCGCTGCTTTCTCACCAGCTATGGCGAATTCATGACCGTCTTCGCCAAAACAGTGGCGGAACGCACCAAGCCCGGCGTTCGATCCGACATTGAGGAAAAATCCTACACATTCCACGCCTACAGCACCAGCCTAGGACTCTGCGGTATCATCATATCCGACGGCGAATACCCGGCGCTCGTCGCACACCAACTCCTCTCCAAGATCATCGACGAATATTCGTCCCAAAATCCGCGATCCTCGTACTCCACCACCCCGCCGAGCACGAGACCGTTTCCGCAACTGAAAGAGTACATTGTGAAATACCAGGATCCGGGCCAGGCGGATAGTATCATGAAGGTGCAGAGGGAGTTGGACGAGACCAAGATTGTGCTGCACAAGACGATCCAGAGCGTTCTGGAGAGGGGGGAGAAGATTGACTCCCTGGTGGCCAAGAGCGATGGTCTAAGCGCACAGAGTAGGATATTCTACCAGCAGGCCAAGAAGCAGAACAGTTGTTGTGTGGTTATGTGAGCATTACAAGGAGCAAAAGGGACCAGAACATCCAGGACGTTTGTACATTCGATCGACGTTGGCCTGGATCATTGAGGGACAGAAATGCCGCGGCGGAGAAGTAAACTGTTGGACCGGACTGCCGTGTTGGAAGTCGGAGTTAGATAATAGTGTGGGAATCAGGTAAAGCAGGCGTTCAGGTGTTCCATCGGACAGGATGAGACGAGACGAGACGAGACGAATTGAGAAGACATAATGTTGGCCGCAACCGTCCGACCATATCATGCTTGACCACCTGCAACACCGTTTCGTTCGCTGCGCCATTCTAATTAAATATCCCACGAATACCGTTCCGAAAGGGCTCGATGGGTTCTCTGAGCGCGGGCACGTTTTCCTCTCCTTCCCATCCCCGTGTTCATTCTCTATTAACTCCCCTCGACCATCCTACTCAGCCTCTCCAACCGTTCCCCCTCGACCCTCATACCGACCCACTCCTCCATCCTCGTCGCACCCACACTCCCGCCCTGGTAGAATTCAATGCTGGGCGTATTCCACTTGAGGACGGACCACTCGAGCCTCCGGCATTGCAGGCGCTGACACTCTCTCGCAAGGGCGCGAATCAGGGCCGTGCCGTATCCTCGACCCCGATAGGTGGGGTGCACGAACAGGTCCTCGAGGTAGATGCCCGGCCGGGCGTGCCAGGTCGAGTAGTTGTGGAAGTACAGGGCCATGCCGGCAACCTCTCCCTTGTCGTCGTCCCCTGAGTCCTTGGTAGGACCAACGGGACAGATCAAAAGCGTCTTCGCATACCCCTCTGTAAAGCCCTTGTCCAGGTCCTTGGGGTCTACGGGAAACGAGAGCGACTCGCGCAGCGACTGCTCCGTGGCCAAAACTTCGTGAAGCGCTTTCTCGTAAATGGCCAGTTCGCGGATCAGGTGTAGGATGACAGGTACGTCGCGCTCCGTGGCGTAGCGGATCTTGTACGTCGAGGTTTCCTGTTCAGCCATTTTCTGTTTGTTTGTTTTTTGTTTTTTTCTTCTGGCTTTTCCTGTGTGTTGGCGGTTTGGTCAGAGGGTGCGTTCGCCGAGTTGATCTTGTTCTTTCTCCTGTTTTTGCGAAAGCGGAAAAATTGCAAGATTTATATACACAAATAGCATGCCATCGTCCTCAGATTTGATGTTGTAGTCGCGAAAGGAGGTTGAAGCCCGCCCTGTGATCATCACTAGCCCCGCTTTGCGCGGGCGAAAAAATAGTTCTTCAAAGTTCTCGCATTTTTGCTCAATGCTCACGGAATTGCTCTCAGTCAGTCACTCTGGTGTAACCCTCATGATACATATAGGCTTACAAATCTCATGTCAAAATGTTAGCGAACGCCCTTCCGAGTTGTAATCTAACAATTCCTGAATTGGTCGCTCATATCTCTCCAAGTGACGCAGGTGTCAGAAGAGCGGAGGATGCGTCCAACGGCTTGAAACGGTGGGGTTTTTTTCGAATCGTGTTACCCTGACCATGGTATCTCGAGGACACGAAGGAGATCGAGATCAACGGGAGACAACATTTGTGGGGGATTATGGAGGCTTCATTTCCCATGGATATAATTTTCCTGCCTTCAGCAACTCACGTCCGAGTTGTCGATATAGGCCAACAATTCTGTCGATTCTCAGCGTAAGAGTGGTCCGAGGAGAATAATCACGGGAAGACGGAATCAAAAACGTCCTTTCCCGGCTTGTCATGTAGCAGGCCAATCCACATGAACGACTTCAAGACCCCGCGCATCTCGTTCCACGACTTTACTTCACATCTGTCGATGTGTTGTCGCAGACAATCCTTCAACCCTGGGTGGTCGGATGTCGTAAATGCTGAAATGGCTCCAACCATCAAAAACCAGAGCATGCTCTGGGGCGAGGCCACATCCACAAGGTTGGTTTCTAGAAGGCAGCTTTTGTAGATAGAAGGAAAGTAAACATAGGGCAACCTCAGATACTGCCACTTTAGGAAAATGTGATGTGTCAACCCCAGTAGGCTGAGCCTTACTGCTTCGTCGACCGAGCCGGCATCAAACTTCATATGGAGGAGGCGATACATGACCGAAGCCATGGTATCGTAGATGAGTGGCGGGGAAAGCATCCGTTGGGTTTCGACTGCAAGATTGACGATGGAACAGAATGTCTTCATAACTCCCCAGGCTTCGGCTAGAGACTTGTCCATCTTGTCGAGCAGTCCTGAGTCTTGTTGAGAGCCAGTGACATTAACACTGTTTCGAATTGACAACAGTTCCTGGTCTGGATAAGGCATAAAGGGCTCTGAAAGATGGTCGTTGAAGAAGACGGGCTCCGATCCACTCTGCATCGCCATACTTATATCGCATCTGTGCAACAATCAGGCGCTTCTGGAGCCGTGCAACATTCGATGGGAGCAACGGCTACGGCTTACCTGAACATTTCCGTCAGAAGCTTGTTGCCTTTAAAGGCAGCTATTCCTCCTCTTAGATCGACCATCTTGCGAAGACCCACCATGTGATGCTTGAAGGTCTCATCTTCGCCCATGAAAAATGCACTTGCAGCCAAGGTCAAAACCACAGCGATTGTCGAGTTTGAAAACTTGGTGCTCTCGTCGTCCAGTAAGAGTCTTTGACGTAGGATTTGAACCCCTTTCAAGAAATGCACAGTTGCGTCTTGGTTGGAGGTAGGGTATTGTCGACCTAATACCCTGTCCATGAAGACCTCGGCCGCGAAGACAGTCACATGAAGATAGGCAGGGTCGAACTTGAGAGGAATGAACCACTCCATGTCTCTCTGGCTGAATCCTGTCACGTTCACCAGGGGGTATAATGCTCTTGCTGCCATGTCAAAGACTATTGTTGGGTCAAGGTTAGCTCCAGGCCATCGCCGAGCAGGACTAACGCACATCTCACAACATCACCAAACGCGGCGGGATCCATCTCAGCAGCAAGCTCGATCGAAGACAAATCCGAGCCCACTTTTCCGGGGATAGCTGAGTAGTACGCGTCGACGAATGTCTTCAATGGCTCGGGAGCACCTCGTTTGGAATCAACCTCGACTGCCCAACTCGTCGATCTTCGTTGTTTGGCGCGAAGAGACTTGCCCCGGTTTTTCCCCCGCATTACCTGACTCCTGATGAGCCTCTGCGTCTCTGCATCCGCCTTACTGACGTCCGTTGTCACGATAAAATGCATCCGTGCTGGTCAACGACGGGAATTTTGTGAGAGTCCACCCTTTGGGAAGAGAACTCAAGCGAATCAAGAGTGAGGTCTGGCAGATCTGGATCTTTCTGTAGCAGACCATAGTCTCGGGACGGAGAGGGTAACGGTTTCTGATCGTTCCGACTGAATAATTGTGCGCGGATACGGAGCCTCCCATGGCCGTATCTTCCCTTCCGTCCGTTGGGTGCCTATTGTCTTGGCATTGGTCTTGGGGTTCAACTTGAAGTTTCTTGGGCATGCCTAGAAGGTATCGTTAGTCCAGAGCTTCAAGTAAATTTAGTTAAAGCTTTAGTTAAAGCTTTAGTTAAAGGGACCCCACATCTTCGAGGCCAAGAAAAGTGGCGCCCAACGGACGGAAGGGGAGATGGAATTCCTTTTTCCTCCAGGAACAAGAGATTGGGCCCACGGAACCTGGACCCCCAACTGCAGGTGTATGGGTGGTTAATGTTCAGCCGCAACGCTCGTAACGGTAGGCTGGGACCTATGAAAAAGGACCGGATCAGCATCAGTAGTCTACAGGTGCAGTGCCTACTGATCCTGGCTCGGCAGGTTCTTGCCGTTGGGGGAGATCTCGTTTGGATATCTATGGGGACGGTCTTTCGGACGGCCATGCAAATGGGCCTCCACCGTGATCCAAAGCATTTCAAATGGATGGGTATTCTGAAAGCTTTGGCGAAGTTGACTCTGTCTGTCTACCTACCTCGCTACCTAGATATGTAGCCTGTGACTACTCACTAGTCCTGCTTTGGTGTTCAGTTACTTTTGACTTGGGTTCAGCCTCGTCAACGAGGCCGTCACTCCGCCTTTTCTCGGCTATCCATCCTGGACTGGTCCGCTGGTTCGTGGCCGCATGAAAGGTCCAGTCGTAACACCAGAAGCGAAAAATCACCATTAATCAGCAAAGTCAAATTGCTTGATCATACATGGCCCCCACAACTCCTGAAACCATGTCGTGGCAATTGACCGACGGCCAAGCCTAGTCTGATAAATGGATCCAAGGCATCGAAAAGCTTGGGCTGAAAACTGAGATTTGTAAAGGTGCGAACCGGATGAAGCACCCTTGCCGTGGAGTAAATCACTTTACGATCAGTTGAAGAAATACGCGGAGAAAACCTCCGTTGAGTCCAGTGCGACTAGCGGGTCAAGATTCCATAATCTGCAGCATACGCCGTGTGCTGGCGGGTGGTCTACAAGACTCCCACTTATGAACTTAGTGCTGCTGGCTCGAAATGTAGCAAATTCGCGACAGAGCCATGTCTCTTTCGGGTTATGGAAACCTTCCCTTTTCGATTGTATATCTTCCCTGGATCGCAGCGAGGCTGGACATGGTACGAAGTCAATTTGTGACCCTGAGAGTTTGGGCGCAACGTGACAGAACACCGGGGCCATCTCAGTGCTAGCAAATACTTCGGGCTGGAGGAAACATTGATAGAAATGTTGATCGTATAATACATGGCTGCATGTTCACGGGAGCTGTGGCTTCAGAAACTGCATAGGCAGCCTGAACACGTGCCTCCGTCTGGCGCATCGCAGAACAAGTACTTGTCGCAGTCTACTTATAGTGGCTTGTTCATTTTGTCCACCCAATTTCCTACTATTGAGTCAGTTGACTGTGGTCGCGCCCATTGTCCATCACGCCAATCCTCCAACGTCGAGCGTGCCCTAAGCACCGGCACCAGAAAGGCTAGTGAGCTGCACAACACAGAGGAGGCTGCGCAAGATGCCGACAAGTGAAGCTGGCACCGGTGTCCACGAACGACTCTGGGGTCTAAGAGCACGTACACTTCCTGGTGTCACACTAGAGGAGTATGCCTTCTGGGCAAAAATCGAGCGTGAGATGGAGGAGGCAGAGTATAAGCGGTACCTCGCTGCAACCAAAAACCAAAACTTCCTGGGTGGTATCAAAGCCTACTTCAGCCTCAAAGGGGTCAACGTTGCAAGGGCTATCGAAGCCGTATCGGACACACCACTCGCCCTGCCTGATGTCACTGCGAACGAAAAGCCAGCCAATGTTGTCGCTACTACTGAGGGCGCTGACGGTGCCAGATTGAGCTCCGTTTCTCCCACTCACGACTACGACGCAGAATGGCGACGAGCTGCTCGTGCCCTCCGCACCTCTGGCTGGATGACTGTTTTTTACTTGATCACCACCGACATTCTTGGCTGGAGTCAAACACCTTACGCGTTCGCTAGTGCTGGATATGGCGTGGCGGCAAGTTCGTTCATTGTCTTCGGAATCGCGGCCAGTGCTTCTGGTTTCATGATCTGGAGAACGTTCATAGGCCTTGACTCTTCACGGTACCCTATCTTGAGCTTCGGCGACCCCTTCTTGAGGCTCTTCGGCCCAAAGACGCGAACCTTTATCAATATACTGCAGGCTTTTCAGATATTCTGCACTGTAGCGGTCATCTTGATAAGCAATTCCCAAAAGCTCTCACAGCTCGTCCACGCCAAAATCTGCTATATCGCCATCGTTACTATCGTCGCAGTCATCGCTATGCTTTCGGGCTGGCTTCTAGCTCTCAGGCACCTTGGCTGGCTGTGCAACTTTGCAGTATGGATCAACGTTGTCAGCTTTATCGTCATTATGGTTGCAGCTGCAATCCATGGGCCGGACACAACTGTCGCCATCCAGACGACACTTATCAAGAAGAGCGAGCCAGTCAAGACCTTCGTCGGCGTTCCGTCCCCCCAATACCAGCAACAAACTACAAACATGTTCGCAGCAGTCCTCAACGGGATCGACACTATCGCGTACGCCTATTATGGAGCTCTTCTCTTTATTGCCTTTATGGCGGAGATGCGCCGACCTATGGACTTTTGGAAAGCTATGCTCCTGGCCCAGGTATTTATCTGCTTAATATATCTTTTGTTCGGCGCCTTTGTTTACCACTTTCTTGGTCAATACTCTATCCCGAGTATTACGCAGGTTATTGGTCCATACGCTTTACAGGTGCTATGCAACATTCTTTCTCTTATCATTGGCTTTCTGGCTATATTTCTCTACTTCAACGTTGGCTTGAAAACCGTATACCTTGAGGTAGGACAGGAAGTCTTGGGCTTGCCAGCGATGACCGAGACGAAAGGCTATATCCTCTGGCTCGCCCTGGGTCCTGTTTACTGGATTCTTGCAATGGTGGTTGCGGTGTCGGTCCCCAGCTTCGCTGGCCTTACCAACCTGATCAGTGGTTTACTTATCGTCAACTTCACGTACAGTATACCGGCCATTATGTACGTGGCATACATCATTCAGAAGTACTCGGAGTTGCCAGGCGAGGGCTTTGACCCGCACACTGGGGTCACCACTCGTTATGACGTTGGCTGGAAGCGACATATACGTGGACTCAGGAGAAGTTGGTATATCAGCATTCCAATAACCCTCTTTGCGTGCGGTGGTCTTGCTTGCTCTGCTTTGGGCTCTTGGTCGGCGGTCGAATCCCTGATCGAGATCTTTGGGCCTGGTGGTACTATTCAGACATCTTGGGGATGCACTCCTGTCGGTTAAGGGCTGTCGGGTAGCCATATAACTAGCCTCTGAAGGAGTCTAGATTGGAGCGTCATCCCTTCATAGGTAGAATTATAGTGATTAAGACAGTCCTGTGTACCCTTATAGAGGGTTTGGTGCGTAGCTTTTCGGAGACGTGAATCCCTTTTCCGGCTAACTTGACATTTACTATCAATACTGGCTCGCGACATCTGTCATTGACATGGCCATCGACTAGAGGGAACTATCGGTCTCTTTTGCTTACGCTATACCCAGAGCAGATCGAGACCGAAAAAGTGGAATGTTGTGAGAGAGAAAGGAGGAGATTCTTTTCACCAGGTAGAACTAAAGCATTTGGAGGAACTCTAAAGAATACGGTTTATTCAGGTTATCTTTTGACCTGGATATGTGGGGAAGCCATTACTAAGACGTCCTTAAAAGCACGTGCGGATGACTAAGAATTTGAGGCAGCAATCCTAGTCTCTCCTGAACGTTACAGTGCCTGTGCAGCATCAAACGATGTGAGCTTCCGCCTCCCAATGCTCGTTGCTTGGGATAGGCGTAGACGAAGCTGGCAAGCTTTCCTTCCCAACTAGCTGAAAGCCTTCAGCCTCGTAGAGCTGTTTCCCAGCGACTAGGTTGCTCTGGGTCCCAGCACCATTCCGACCAGATCCTTCTTGTCTCGCACAAGCAACACAGCTCCCGAACCAATGCTCCACCTACACCCAGACCCCTGGCCGTCGTCTCAACCAGCGGACTCATACCTTAGCCGTTTTCGAATGCGATGGCGCTTTCACTGGCATGACTCAGCCTCGAGAGGCTCCACCGCGCTCGGCAAACCAGCACCCCTCTTTCGCCTCTAACGGAAACAGGGAAATGACCATAAAGGCACAAACACATTCCCTTTCCACTACTGCCGCTGACACATGCAGAAAGGCTGGAGACATGCTTCTGAATTGTGTCCCGTAAAGCTCTGGGCCTTCAGTCGAGCTACAGCTACGCTTTAGCGCACTATTACTCCCAATCAGTTCTAGCTTTAGCTCGTCAGTCCTTTATCTCATGTTGGTGAGTTCAGACTTCACACCCCCAGGAAATTGGTCAAGTCGGAAAGCTCTAGGCATGGGAAAGTCTTCATTGCGGAACTGGTCCGGTGAACCTTACCTAGCCTGCTCCCTGCATTTACTAGCATTCGTTGATTATGGAATCAACTTCGTCGCGACCTCGGACCTCCTGAGTTGTTGACCTTTGCTAAGGCTATCGGCAGCCGCGAACCACGTGGCGTCGGCAGCTACAATTACATACGTGACTAATTGCAGCGAGGCCCTGTGGTCTTGCTCCATGCTACTTGCGCGCTCTGCAAGACTAGAGCAAGCAGGATGGCCAGGAGCCCCCCAACCAAACCAATACTGATTCGAGCCGTCACTTTGAAAGGTAGAACTGCTATCTTGACCTTGTAGCTGCGGGTGGTCCACCTGCCGGCTGTCTCACTCCGTTCCCCTCTATCATTTTCTTATCGGAAGCGGGGAACCTCTTCATTGCGGACAAGTTAATACGTTGTTGACCCTGAGTACTCTTCCTAACCCTTTTATCTGACGGAGCAGTCAGGACCGTCACCTTTCAGAGACAGCAGACTTGCCTTGAGCTATTCCCTGACGTTTACGCTTTCCCCACATCATGAAGCTGTTCTTCATTGACAGCAAAGAACAGTTATCAAGGCAGGCCCGCGAGCTTCAAGAGGCAGCGGCGCGCTCGCATGCTGCGAAGTTTTCTCATCAATACTCAAAAAGGTGGAGCAAAGCAAAATCAAGATCACCGCCTGGTACTTTAGTTGAAGCGCAGCACACGCGCACTAAGCGCATCGAGATATCCGACCAGAACAGCTCAAAAGATGCGGGGAGCACACCACTTGTGCAGCATTGCTTAGATGATGATGACGCTGCTGCTGAGGATGCTGATGCTGATGCTGATGCGGTTTGGTCTGCCGCTGAGATCATGCTTATGTTATTGCCACAAAGCGTTCTGATAAAGGGACAATCAGATCCGTTCGATGTATCGCCGGTTCGAATCGATTCGAAGGCCCACGAACTCATCTTGTACTGGAGGGATAACTATCTCTTCCCGCGACATCATGTGAATGCAAAGACATGGGATCAAAGTGCGAGCGCAGTTTCGGACTGGCAAGATGCAAGACGGTCTCTATCGGATCAGGGTCTTGGGTACGCTCTGCTCGCACAAGTGAGCGCCTCGATAGCCCTCGAGGCAGACTCGAAACAGCTTCGTGAATCGACCATTATATATTCCCACCGAAGTACTGTTGCTCTTCGCAGGCGACTCGAGAACAAAGAAGACGATTTGGACTCCCTGAGACTTTTGCGACACGTGGCCCTGCTGCAAGGCGTCGAAACATATGCTCGTAATCGGGCGGCTGCATTAACTCATGGGAAAATGCTCAAGCGCCTATATGACGCCTGGTTCCTTCGAGGGAAGAGCTTCGATCTGAAAATATTGATGTTGACCCTGTACGCGGACGTGCATATGGCCATCACATTTCTGGTTCGACCACACTTCAAGCCCTCAGAAAAACTAGTTATGGCCTTCTACGAAGCCAGTGGTGCTGCAGCCAGAGAAGAGTGCAATGTGCCCATCAGTCTCACGCACCGCCTAAACAATTCAATTACAGAGACAAAGTTGGAGGCTATATTTCTCATGTGGACCCAAACTCTTGCGATCAGATCTTTCTATGGCCGAAGACTATGGACTTTCCTGAATCAACTCAATGTGGTCAATCACATCTTAGATGCTGAAGAGATGACCAACCATCCGCATGACCCGATGAATGCAGCCTTCTTTCATATACAAGCCTACATTTCGCTGGCAGCACTCTTCTTCATCCGTTTATCTACTCTGCCGGAACATTTTGTCGCAAAATCCCACTTCTCAGCTCATGCAGCTCTTCTGGGCAGATTGCGTCATCATCTTCAAATCAGTGATAGCTTGGAAGCCGGGCATGTTTACTCGCAGGCAAGGCTATGGGCGTTATTCGCTGGCGCACAGTCTGAATATCAAGCGGCTCTATTGAATAAGCAACCCCGTGCTGTGGCATCTAGAGGCTGGTTCAATGTACAATTGGCGATGCAATTACGAAGGTGTGACCTTCTGAACTGGGTCTGTGTCAAAGAAATACTACAAGGCTTCATGTACTTCAAGATGGAGCCGGATCCGTCCGAGTGGTATCCTGAACTGTTAGTTGGAATGGTCTGAGGAAGGCTGCTAGTGCTTCAGTGACTTCGTACTTGGTACACTCTTCAGGTCAGTTTATCGAGCCTCAGATCTGGCTCAGAAGGTCACTGTCTTCATACCGTCTCTGTGCTAGGGTCCCGCCAACTATCTTAGATTGTTCTTACCCAAGCGTAATAGTCTTCGTGGAAAGATTCATTGTACACGAACGACCCTGTCTCCTCTCAATGGGTGGATCAATCTAGATATATTGTGATATATAGTGTGTTGTATCACACAGAAAAAGGCATCTCGTCGCTTCACGGTCCTCGGTCTTCCTGGATAGTCTCTGCAGTCTCTCTGGCATAGGCAATGTCTCCAACAAACAAAAAAATTGGCTGAGTTGGTGTGAGATACTGTTGATGGACTTTTCTCTCGCCATAAAACCCCCATAAAAGATATCCAACTTTGTCACGCAAGCCCTATATTAACTTCCCGGTTACATGATGATTGATGCTGTAGATGTAGTGGCACGACACGAAGCGGATGCGAATTTGTCCGGCGTTGCCAAGCCCTCGATTGTTTTCCAGTTCTGGCCAAAGCGGCTCCACTGCTTGAAGCTTCCAACCCCCATCGAGCCCCATCTACCAACCACAACAGTGTGTGAGAACGCCCTGTGTAGGTCACTTAGGTACCTATCCAACACAAACGTTGCGAGTCCAACTGACAGGTTATTTTCCCTACTTGCTCCGAGGCGCGCTCTCCAGGTATAAAGGTAGGTAGGTTGGACTTCTTGGATTAATATGGCGTCCTTACCCCTCCTTCCTTCGGCGGTCACCACATCCACGGCTTTCGCAAAGACTACAGGATCAAAATACTAGTTAGCATCTTACCAAGATTCATCAATGGCTTCAGGACTCAAATCTGCCCTTATCACGGGCTGCTCTGCAGGCGGGATAGGTGGAGGGTTGGCCGAAGCGTTCCATGAACACGGATACCACGTCTTCGCGACAGCGCGTGCGCCGTCAAAGATTTCGCCATCTCTCGCCAATGCACCAAACGTCACCGTCCTGACTCTGGACGTGTTGTCCACCGAGTCGATCGCAGCGGCTGTCGAGAGCGTCACGAGGGTCACTGGCGGCAAGGGGCTCGACGTCCTCGTCAACAACAGCGGCAAGCTGATGGTCATGCCGGGCTTGGACACGGCGATCGAAGAGGCCAAGGGAGTCTTCGACACCAACTACTGGGCCGTCCTGGCCATGATCCAGGCGTTCGCGCCGCTCTTGATCAAAGCAAAGGGCTATGTCGTGAACAACACCTCCGTGAGCGGGCTCGTTCCCTTCGGAGCCTTTGGGAGTATCTACAACAGCTCCAAGGCCGCTGCCATCCTCGGCAGCGAGACCTGGCGTCTCGAGCTCGCGCCGTTGGGGGTCCGGACCCTGACCCTTGTGACCGCCGCCGTCAAATCTAACGTCTTCACCAACATGGGCCAGCCGAATATACCCGAGACCTCGTACTACTACGGGATCCGAGACTACATTGCAGGACTGTGCGACGGCAGAATGCAGGAAGACGGTATCACGGCGAAGCAGTTTGGCCTCAAGGTTGTCCGGCAGGTCGAAAAGGGCAAGACTGGAAAGTACTGGGTTGGCGGAGGTGCATCGTCCGCCCGCTTCGCCGCATGGCTGTTGCCGGACTTCATGATGGTGAGTTCATATCTTTTGGTTTCTTGGGTGATTCGCTGACTGAGATTGGCTAGGACATGCTGTTGGCCTCGCTCTTCCCATTTGCTAAGATGCTACAGGCCCAATCCAGAAGAAAAGAGTGATTTGGTCGACAAGGATAATGACAAGGATGGACGAGCTCGAGGAAACGGATCCTATAGCTTCCAGCTGGGCAGGAGAGACCTGCTGTCTGGCGGGACAAAAAAGCCTAGCATCAGTGGGTAGTGTTACTTTGGCAGAAGTGGATGAACTCCCAAGCAGGACCGCACGATTTTCCACAGGCTTTTAGCTGGTCTGCCCCCTTCACCTCAATATCCAGATATGGAGAAATCTCCTGGTGACTTCGGAATTCCTTTGCTCTAGAAGTCATTCCCTGTTCTCGGCCCTTCGTCAATGTAAAGCAAAATGCCATCCAACATTCCTGTCGCTAGACAACTATCCAACACTCAAACACCAATCGCCGAACTTGTCGTAACAATCGTCCTATTTCAGAGTTGAATCCTCTTCTTCTCTGGACTTCTGCTTCGCGCTCGATGCTCTTTGCTGGGACTTCGAGGATATTCTAACTGCGGCTGGCCAGCAAAGCTAGGATCACCGTGCCAGCCGACATAAGGGTGTTGTCCGTAAGATGCGACCGGAGACAGTGGGAATTGACCCATCTGTACAGGATGTTGATGAGGATGCACATATGATCCAGAAGGTGCCCGATAGACATGCTGGCTCTCTTGTTGCCGTCGATACAGGGTAAATGTCGCATTGTTGACCACCAAGCCCACCACAACCAGTGTAATAGTGAAAATCATGGTTTTTAGGCTGATGGGCTCGACGAAGCTGTTGAAGATTTCGGCAAACGTATGTGCACTCAACCTCGCCCGCTTCACAGCACTAGGATCCCGCTTCATGCACAACTCCCAATTGCTGCATACAGCTTCCAAAGCTGGCAGCCTGGTGTCGGCGGCACATCGATTTTCGATGAAGTTCTTCGAGCACGCCGCCATCTCCGCCAACACTTCGGCCATCGCATCCTCGCTTGCTCGGTCCACATCTGCCTGGATGGTGGCGTAGAATGACCAAAACATATACAGGCAGCCACCGAGGATTGCGGCATTGAAGAAAACCTGGAGGTATTTGGCAATAATAGAAGGTGCGTCAGGATATGTGTGGATAAAGGTGAACAGACCAGTAATCCATCCTGTTTCTTGCACCGGCGGTTTCTTGAGCTCCGGCTCAGTCGGACTTTGGGTACTCTCGTCGTCACTATCGTCTAAAGAACCCTTTCTCCCTACCATCAGTTGTCTGTCAAATTGCTGAGCGCGCCGTCGCTTCTTGTGAATCCGCCTCGCAACGGCATCGCTCGTGGGCTTTCTGATCTCTCCTCTTCCCGGGCTTGGAGCGAATCTGCCATAGAGGCCAAACAACGAGTTTCTCTTGTTCTCTGCTTTTGCGGGATGGCTTTTGAACTCAATGGGCAGCGGAGTGGCGTCTGGTGTTTCCTCGTTGTCTGTTGGTGCCAGCGGCGAGGAATTTTCAGGAGGGGATGAGAAATCGATATCGAACGGTTTCCGAGGGGTTGTAAACGAGGGCGTCCGAAAGGGAGAGGATTCAGGCAGCGGAGCCGGGGTTTCTGAGAAGAAGAAGGGCTGATTATTGGGTTCGCGCAGCGCTGGCATCGTAGCTTTCTGGGGAGATTCAAATTCGCTATGGGTTCCTGCCACAATCAAGTCAGCATAGCAACAACGTGGAAAGACAGCAAGACTCACGCTTTTTAGCTTGCATCTCGACTACACGTTTATGGTAGGGAGAGGTAGGATCAAGGGGGCCGTGGCCCTGCCATTCAAAGTCCATAAAACTTTCTGTTCCGCGAAATGCCATATTGCAGAGGAAAGGCTGTGATGCAAAATCAAAACATAGGCGATCAAATATTCTGCCAGTACCACTGGGAAGTGCAAGGCAATGCTGAGTGAAGATTCCGGGATTTATTTGGTAGGCCAAACAGATGGCCTGCCGAAGGGGGCAAAATAAACAAAGCATGCAGCGCAGCGCAGCGACAGCGGGATCCATTTGCTAGCACGATTGGCAACGATCCCGGATCCATGCAGGGCTGCATCCCCATCGCCTTGTTCATCTCCAACTCGGATTTCTAAGTCCCCATCCGTCCAGGAGAAGCTTTAATTCGTCCATGTCTTATACAAGTCTACATCTTCAGTCATGCCTCGAGAAAAATCAGAAGAAGCGCAGTGGTGGTATGAAGCCGTGTACTCGGCCATTCAGCAAATCCCCCACGGCAAAGTCACCAGCTACGGGCACATTGCCCTCCTCCTCGACTTCCCCAAACGCGCCAGACAGGTTGGTGTATGTCTCAAGCACCTGCCCACGTTCGACCCTGCAAATCCGGATCAATACTTCTTTCACGATCAGAATGTCCCGTGGCAGAGAGTGGTCAACTCAAAGGGCGGCATCAGCCCGCGCGGTGATGATGGGGCAGCAGCAAACAGGCAGGCGGAGAGATTGCGTGCCGAGGGGGTCGAAGTCAACCCCGCCAGAGGTATTGAGGAGATGACGGTCGACTTAGGCGCATATGGTTGGTTTCCATCAAAGCTGCCGGATGAGGAGAGTGAGGATGACATGCAGAGCCGATAGAGTGAGCGAGGACCAGATTGGGGTTTGACCGTAGAAGCTGACATCGAATATCTGTCTCTCAACCACCAGGAAATTGGAATATCATCCCCACAACACGCTTACTACGCGCAGTGAACGGAAGTGATAGAAAGCTGTGATTCGAACAGGGAGTTTTTTGACATTCAAAGTATATCTACTGATCCTCATCCTTCCACAGCTCGAGCTCTGTCGACAATCCCATAGGCTCGACTGAGCTCTGAAGATATCATACAGCGCTATGGAGCCATTCCTGCTCACGTTGTCGAACGATGCACGTCTCTCAGGCTTTTGTTCCATCCCTGGCAAGACTACTACCACCCCACGGTATCGCCCTCTGATAGTCGCCCTACATGGAGGCTCCTACACTTCAAAGTACTTTGACGCGGTCCCAGAACACTCTGGTGGGACGATATCCGGAACAACTGGGGTACCTTTCGTGGCCATTGATCGTCCGGGATACAGGGAGAGTTCGAGCCTGCCCGCTGTCCCGCATGGATCTACGTTTGCACAAGAAGAAGGGAAATACTTGCATCAATATATCCTACCCAAGATCTGGGAGGAATACGGCGTGCCATCAGGGGCCAGCTCGCTAGTGGTGATGGGTCATTCCCTTGGCTGTTCTCCCTGCGTAGTGGCTGCAGCCTTGCATTCTCAGGAGGCTGAGCCGCAATATCCATGGGTGGGAATGATCCTCTCCGGCCGTGGTATTGTGTCAGCATTTACCCAGGCACAGGGCGAAGAACAGCTGGCCCGAGGGAGACAGCTTGGCTATATAGAATACCCCCCAGGCGTGAAGGACTTTCTCATGTTTAGCGACCCTAAGCTGGGACTGGCGAGCGCAGAGATACGGCGGATTTCGGAGGAAATCACGCATCGGGCACCATTCGGAGAGTTTGAAGACAGAAGACTTCATTGGGACCATTACTGGAAGGGATATGCCAAACAGGTCAAAATCCCCGTGGTGACAGCCATCGGAGAGCGAGATGCGCTGTTCCAGGCGTCGCAGCAAGACATTGAGGAATTTGCCGGGGCATTCAGCAACTCCCCGAAAGTCGAAGCTGTGCTGGTTGCTAACGCTCCTCACTGTCTGGAACTGAGTCACTGGGGACCTGCTTGGCTGTTGAGATGTTTTGGGTTTGCGATTGAGTGTGCGACCAGTGCGGCGCTACAGCCTGTTGGAACTGAGCTGAGAAAGTCAGAAAGGCAGTGACACGAGGGCTGGTCTGGAAGTTTCCGGTTGACTGGAGTAATAACGGAAGCACGTCGTCCAAAGCAACTTGAGTCATTCATTGCAGGGAGTCATTTGCCAGTGCAGTCGTCATGGCACGGTGTCTCGGACCAGATTTTGAAGACAAGGAGTGATGATCACGGTGGTTATGATGGTCATGGTGCGTATCTACTAGATAGGTATTCGCAGGCAAAGGTTGTATGACATGAGCAGTGGACGAGGTGAGCAAGACGGTGGCTGTGAGGATCGTCACATGGCCACGAGGCGAGCAACTTGGACAGGCAGGAAACGAGAGAGTGAGGTCATGGTGTGCTTTTGTCCCGGCGCCATAGGCAGTGAGGGGTGCCCTGGAGGGCCGCTGAGGGCCGCTGTTCCCTTCTAAGAGGCCCCCCAGAGAGCACCGAGGCTCAGGGTCATCGCTGATGACATATGTACTTGGTGCCTACAAGCACCTAGGAACCTGGCTACGGGCCTGTTTGTCTCCCTGGAACAAGCATCAGTTTCCCTGCTTTGGCACCCCCCCTCGCTTTGTGGAGGTACCTAACAGTGTTGTTGTCCCTGTTTGGTGCCCCCTCATCGCTCGGTGCCTTGATCTCCGTCCCCAAGCCACCAAATAATGACATGCTTCAGAGTTCGCCAAGTCGCTCACTGAGATTGTTTTTAGCAGCTGGTGGCTGCCGGAGGTGACGCCGCCAAATGACTCCATTCGCAGCATGCTGGCAGCAGCTGGCAGCAGATGCACCAATCCCACGCTTGTGCCTTGGCCGCGTGCATGATTCCCGTTCAACTGCTAGTTCGGCATCCCGCGTCCAGCCTCAAAGCTCATGCATCAGCCCCTCCTCATATCACCGTTCATCGCCTCCACATCTCAGATCAACACCCGGTGGGTGCCAGCAGCACCGATAGTACCATCCCATATCCTATCTATCGAGCTTCGGTGGGAGTCAGATACCCATCCGAGGCCGTCCTCTCGGTTCCTAACCGCCCCGCGTGCCAGCTTCTCAGCCAGTGGTGACTGCGTGTGGACAAAACATCCCTCCATCTCATCATCCTCACTCCGGACCTACACGCTCGACGCCTGACTCAAATAACAGAGCTGCCCTTATTCCCAAGCCTACTCTTTCTCTCTTCTCTTTCATCTCTGTAACACCTGCTTGGTTGTTACTCGCTTCTTTGTTCCAGTGCCTCGTCATCAGCCACACTTGCCCGGTACATAGTACTTGTACTCTGCGGTCGCTCTCCTTTGTCCCTTCCTCCTACAGTCTTCTCTGCACGCGTCATTCTTTGACTCAACTGGGATCTGACCCGGTACTGTCCCTCTTTGCAGCCTCCCGGCTCCACGAAACCTATAGTTCTCCTTCAGTACAACACGCATCGACACCTTTCTTATCTGACACCACATCACCTACCTAGTTCATCCCAAGCCTATACCATGTCCGCCTTGCCCAGCAACGACCTCCGCAGCGCAGCCAAACCATACCTCCGTGAAAAGAATCACAACAAGAAGTGGGCAAGAGGAGCTCAAGAGGCTCCGGAACACCATTGCCACAAGCACGCGTACCCCGAAGACAATTGCCGCAAATGCATGGGCAGGCCGAATCGACGAGATCAAGATCGGAGAGTCGGCCGATCAGAGGCCAAACACAAGCATGACCTGCACAACAAGCTGAGCGGCCACGCTGCGACCCTCGCTCGCAAGGCTTTCCGCAATGAAGTGGTCGATGCCATGGATGGTCCTTTGGCTCACGTCTCCGACACTTCTGAGGAAGAAGAAGTTCCGGACGCGTCTGAAGCCCCTCTTCCAGCTGAGGGTGACTTTATGTACAGCTATGACCACGCGACTGGACCGCGAGCCGGCAGTGACATCCTCAGCCAAGCCATCATCCAAGCTGTCCGAAGATTCGAGAACAACGAGACTGAGAAACTCATCAACACCGAATACAATGTCATTGACGACAAGGAAATGGCCGAGGTCTCTGCCGAGGACGATGACGACGATTTTGAGCTCGTCGACTACTCTCACTTGAAGTGAGTTCCCGGTGTGATGCGCGACTCTCTGCGAGGTTGTGGCAGATCTGGGATCGGCGTTGTCGGCTGCTTTTCACACACTTGTAATGGTTTTCTAACAGAGCAACCGAGTTGCTTTGTTTTCATGTCTTCATTTCATCAAAGATACCCCAAGGACTCATTAGGGAAGCGAGGCTGTATCAATAGAGCAATCATCACGGGTACTACACGGCGCTTCTTGAGGATATGAATGACCTTGGAGAGGAGGAACACTTCGAGACATAAGTGGGTGTTCCTATATTATTATTGGCGTTTGATCATCGGAACACCATCAGGAGCTGGGCGGCAGGGCTACGAGTGAGCAATACATAGCATTAGGAATCCAGCACCCAGCCTCATCGTAACTGTAATGGATCCTCAACCACTTCCTTCGAGATCCGGATTCGCAGCATGTGACGCGTTCAGTGTCAACAACAATGACGTCTTCTCAACCTCGCAAACCGTGCAAACTCGACAAACGTCACAAACATGGGGGCCAAAAGTTCTCCAACCTTCTCGCGGGCCTGCTTCAGTCCTTGCAGCAACACAAGGTATGCCCACGAGCCGACCTTATAAGGTGCACAAATTAGAAGACGCCTGTGCCTCAAGACCCTCATCACCATGCCTGGCGCAAAGCTTGCGGAATACCTAGCGAAGAACTACCTTACAGCCGCCTCGTCGCAGTTTGCCTCCCAACCGGACAAAGTCTCAGCAGATTTCCAAGATTCAACTCGCCCAAAGAAAAAGCGGCGGAAGAATAAGGATGACTCCGCTCTAGCCGGACTCGTGATCGCCGATGACGATGAAGACCTGTCTCTTCGCGGCACTGCTTCACGAGGAAGGCGAGGGGAAGAGGACGAGGATGGAGATATGCCAATATTCGAGGCGGGCTTAAAATCAGCAGAGTTCAGGAAAAAGAAAGGCGGGGGGCCTTGGAAAGTTGTCGCAACTGGAGCCTCGACCGCGGCTCAGGCATCAGACAACAGAGATGAGGATAAAGAAGCGGATCGCATCCTGGCCGAAGCAGCAGAAGAATCTCGACGGCGTCGCCAGGAAATCGAAGATGAAGACGCTCCTGCAATTGTTGAAGAAACAGATAGCGGACCCCGCATGCAGTCTGGCGTTCGTGCGGGTCTCCAGACTGCTGCAGACACTGCCGCCCTCGTCGCGAAGGAAGAGCGTGAAAAACAAAGAGAACTTGAATCACAAAAGGCTAAGACCAAGTCAAAGAAACACAGGGATCGGCCAGCTCAGGAAGAGGAGACCATCTACCGTGACGCCACTGGCCGGCGCATCGACATCAGTATAAAGCGAGCAGAAGCCCGAGCCGCTGCGGAGGAGAAGGCCCGAGCCGAAAGGAAAGCGAAGGAAGACGCGATGGGTGATGTGCAGCGACGTGAGCGAGAGCAACGCAGGAAAGATTTGGAGGACGCAAAGTTCTTGAGTCTGGCCAGAGGCGTGGATGATGAAGTGATGAATGACGAGCTACGTGCGAAAGTAAGGTGGGACGACCCTATGGCTGGGTACATCGCACAACAGAAGGCAGAGGAAGAAACAGACGGCGCAATATCAACAAGAAAATCTAAGGGAGCCTCAGGTGAAAGAGTAAGAGTGAAGCAGAAGGTGTATACGGGTCCTCCGGCCGCTCCGAATCGATACGGGATTCTCCCTGGCTGGCGATGGGACGGGGTCGATCGAAGTAACGGCTTCGAGAAAGAATGGTTTCAAGCACGTTCGAAGAGGGGGAGAGAGGAGGAATTGAGGTTTCAGTGGCAGATGGATGAGTGATGTCCTCTTGCACTATTAATGCGGCCGTTAACGAAGGAGAGAAAGGCATAGAGCCTTTTCTTCGCGTCCGTAAACATCATTCTCCCTTCCAAGAGCTATTTGACCCAGGAATCATAGCCCATATATAGAAGGTGATGCGTTACCTGCTATTCAGAAATTCTGACCAATTAGCCGGCGCCGTCAGTTCCTCAGTGGCTTGGACCAGGTCAACGTTTCTAGGAGCTCAACGCAGACGCCAACCAATATTGATATCCCAAGTATCCTCCGCTCGAAACTTCCCTCTCAAATATCATCTTTGGTCGGATTGAGACAGAGGAGATGTCAAGTGAAAAAGATCTATATTACAAACGACTGAGCCTTCAGTCTACCTGACAATTGGCCTCTATGTCTATACTGATTCCCAACCTTTTCGACCTGTGACAATGCAGAAGTTTTGCACTACGAGGTCCCATGCCACGAGTGGACCAGACGGCTCATTCTCCTATATCTTTGCCTTTGAAGCGCTCAGCTCCTTTAATATCTGGTCATTGTGCTCTCCCACCGCGGGGATCTTGTCCATCCTCGCGTCCAGATCTGAGCTCATCCCAGGCGGCAGGAACGCCTGGATTGGCCCAACTTCCGTGTCAACCTCCCTGAACCGTCTCCGCGCCGCGAGCTGCTCGTGCTCCCACACACCTTGCATGTCGTTGACTTTTGCGTTGGCGATGCCGGCCTGCTCGAGCCGCCTCACAACCTCGTCGGCCCCACCACCCCAGGAAGCGAAGATGCCACTGATGATTGCCTCGAGTTCGGCGCGGTTGTCGCTGCGCGACGCCGTGTCCTTGAACTTGGGATCTGTGGTCAGATCCTCGCGTTCGAGGACGTCGGTGGCCAGGATCTTCCACTCCCGCTCGTTCTGCACGCCGAGCATGACCTGTGCGCCCAGGCTGCCATCGGGCGCAACGCCAGTTGAAAAGGGGCCGTAAGGATAGATGCTCGCGTGAGAGGCTCCGGCCCGTTTCGGCGCCGTTTGGCCTTCAAAGGCGTAGTACAGGGGAAACCCCATCCACTCGACCAGCGACTCGAGCATGGAGACGTCGATCACACATCCTCTCCCAGTCTTCTGTCTTTGAATGATCGCCCCCAGAATGCTGCTGTATGCATATATGCCGGCCGCAATATCCGCTATCGAGCATCCTACCTTGGCCATCTCATCCCTGGTGCCAGTGATGCTCAATAAACCTGCCTCCGCCTGGACGAGTAGATCATACGCCTTCTTGTGCGCGTACGGGCCGTTGGCTCCGTAGCCACTGATGGATGCGTATATCAGTTTATCGCCTCTGCTTTCTCCGGGATACGCGGCGTTCATCATGGCCTTCATATCCTCGTAGCCGAGGCCCATCTTTTCGGCGTCGCCGGGCCTCAGATTTTGAACAAAGACGTCGGCCTTCTCACACACCAATTTACGGAGCACCTCCATGTCCCGCGGCTCCTTGATATCCAACGCGAGAGACTCCTTGTTGCGGTTCGTCCACACAAAGTGGCTACAGAGTTTCCCCCGGACGCGCTTGTCGTGGTGCCGCACAAAGTCTCCGGTCCCGGGACGCTCGATTTTTATCACTCGGGCGCCGAGGTCGGCAAGGTGGCGGGTTGCGAGAGGCATGGAGATGACCTGCTCGAGGGCAACGATCGTTATGTCCGATAGAGGTCGGCTGGAGGGCGCATTGAACTGGAATGCTTCCGAACCCGGGACATTGAGCGTGCTCTGAGAGCGGTTGGACGCGGCGCCTCTGTGCGATATCGAACTGGATAGGACGTTCCAGCGAGAGAGCGGTATCCGATAGTTTCTTGTCGAACCAGTCTTGAGTGAATATTTTCTGATATTACAACAGGATTTCGCTCCCCCTTCGGCCCTTCTCAGGGTGCTGTTGGGCCGGCAGAACAACCGCAAAAGGTCACGCTGAAGGACCCCCATCTCGACCGACCGCTATTTTGGTGTTGAGATGTCTGTGCAATCTTTTCTCAGCTTTAATGACACGACAATCCTGTCTGAAGCTTGGTAATCAAGTGCCCGGAGCCTAGGTATGACTGCCACAAAAAGCAATGGGACGACAGTCAGATACACGGTTGGATCTTGGGTGAATTCTCCCTCCGGACTCGGCCTCGTCGGTTGACATTGATAGCATTTCCCCGCACAAGGCTGCAATATCGGCGACACAGGCGTTATTTCTCCGGTGCGGAGAAACACCGTCACGGGCTTGCAGATGCCGAGGAGACTCCGCTCCATTCCCGACTTCGGCGGCATTCTTTCGCTTCCCCTATGTACTAGCCTTGACAACTTGTTTATTACTTTGTACGCCTCGATCCAGGCCCAGAGAGTGGCCAATCTGGTAACTGATATGATCATGCATACCAAGTGTGCTCAGGCTCAGACAGGAGCGTAGCTAATGGAATAGAAGTCGATAATGCACCAGACTACCCATGAACACTGCAAACGTGAGGGCAGGCATTCACCTTTGGAACCTCTCTGGGGCTCGTCTGAATCAGTTGCCCAGAGTCACCAGCACGAGTGCACGGTAACCATGCAGTGGGCCTCGGTCTGCATCAACCGGAAGAAGGCTCGAACCACGAACCACGGGGTAAACCTGTGCCTGGCTCGTGGGAGCGGGAAGATACAGAGACCACAGCGCAGAAACAACCCGATATCCTATTAGAAGGCATTCTCGTGGTAAAAAAAAAGAAGACTTCTGCATAACCAACATTGATCACAATCAAGTGGTAAAGTCTGGCGATAGCGCCACCCCCACCACAGCCGAGCCGCGTTTAAGCATTGTCCACTTTTTCGACATAACCGAGTGGCCGAGTCTGAAAGCATTCCCGCAAGGATTGGATTCCGTATTCTCGGTACTGCGGAGAAATGAAGCTAGAGATCAGTTCCGTCCCAGGTACGGAGTACGGTGTATTACGACACCAGATCTGCTCAAACTGGTGGCCCTGATGCTGGGGACAAAGCCCCAAGAGTGAGTGGGGCACTCGTCCCGCCCTCCTACTATCAGCCAGCTCGCCAGCTAGGCAGTGGCTAGCTGGCACCGTTGAATCTTTCTGAAATTCCTGTTCCTCCACCTCGTCAATCTACTTGAGTTCCTTGGGCAGCTGGTACTCACTCGCTGAAACGCGCAGCAACACTCTGAGTGGCTGGTCAAGGGGGCCGGTCGGATGATAGTAGGAACCAAGCAGTGCAAGCACGAACGTCCATGTTCCGGCGCTCGGTGGATTGACATATCATGATACCTTTGGGGCCACCATATCGATGCACCCTGTGTCAGCAGAACTTCTCTCGAAGAGAACACTTGCAGCGACACAAGATCAAACGTAGGACTTTGCTCCGAGTGGCTCTATGACAATGCAGCTAATTGCTGATGCCAGATATGGAGTTGCGATCGTTCCGCTGTGACATATGCTCGCAAACATTCAGCAGAAGGTAGGCTATCCACTACCTCATCAGTTCTTAGTCTTTTAGCATCCAAGGTTGATTCAACTTGTTCTAGCGATGCTCTGAAGAGGCATACCTCCATACACCGATATGCGGAAGAGGCGTCTTCCTCTTCGACAACCTCGAGCCACGATATTTCAAGCCGGTCAAAGCGGGCTTCTGCTGCTTGCGATGCGTGCTCCCGATCGAAGACTAAATGTGACGGACGAATCCCTTGTGGTCAGTGCCTCGCTAGGAGAAGACCCTGTACATTGGATAGACCACATCCATTCAAGAGACGATGTGCCCTACCAAATCATGAGCTTGCTCGCCCAAATTACGACGCCGCCAGAGAGATTCATGAGGAGATCGAAGCCGTTGACGCGGGGCCAGAAGATATACCTTGGCCGGCTCTGGAAGTAGGAAGCCCTACCGAGAGAGAAAAGTAGAGTCGCTGATCCCTTCATTTTATCAGTCTCCCCACCAAAGCATGGAGTGGGCAGATGGACAAGGTAATCCGAAGCGAGATGGAAGGGGATCAGATCGCGTCTGACGGTTAGATAGACAGTGTTGAAAAGAGCAAGCAGTCCGACGACAGTGCTTGCGACCGAGTGCCCCTCGATGAGGAATCGGTGCGCGCAGCTCAGCAGCAGCCGACGGACGCGATGATCAATGCTGCAAATACGCAACACCTGAACGCGTTTGGTCTGAGTGGTGGAGCTCTTTGGAACGACTTTTCTGCACTCGAGTGCCACAATCCATTCGACTATGAGAACCTGACGCAACTGTTCTGGTTTCCTGAGGTATTCATTTCCGACGATGTGATCCTGGGACAAGGAACCACCCAAAGTTCTGTCAACGGCGCACATGGGCCAAATGGTGGAGTCAACACAGTGGACCCATATGCAGACTGGGTTCATTCTCACCCTTTGAAAAAGGGACCGACGGTTGAAGTGATACGGATCTGCGACTTCCTGCATGATTCAAAGAGTTGGGCACAAATCAACGCACTCGAAGGCAGATTCGGCTTGAAGCAGACTTTGGGTCCGGTGGTCGCTGACGGACTCCGCGACACTGTTTCTTCTCGGATACATGTCATGGTGTCCAAGGCCCTCGATCAAGATCTTGTGAGAAAGATTCCACATCTGTTTCCGCCTCTCCAGACCGTCCAGGCAATATTCGCAGAATACCATCGTAATCTCGCCTTGCTCTATCCAATGGTACATCCAAGCACCTTCTTTGAGTCCACCTGGGGCGAGGATGAAGCCTATTCTGACATCGGCCTGTTCTTTTCCACTCTAATGTCCCTCGGCTGCCTTACTATCCCGGTGCAGGAAGCTCGATCATTCGCGATTCAGTTGGCCTTCCTCATACGCAACATGATCAACGAGACAATGACGAGGGACGAACATCAGATCAACGATATCTGGACCATGAGTACTGCGCTACTGGTCACCGTCTTCAGCGCCTGGTGTGGCAACAAACGACATGCGGAGCTCGCAGAGGCGTTTCGAGGTACCTTCTCAACGGTCAGTGAGCCCTCGAGTACTGCTTTCCCACCAATACTGGGTGTCGGTCTGATACAAACGTAGGCATTTCTCCGCCGAGGCTATTTCAGGTCTGTTGCAGCCGTCGATCCGCAGAGTGATGAATCCAACTTCAGCAGTTGGGGAGCCTGGATAAACAGAGAGCGGAAAACTCGGTATGTGAGATCCTCCCTCCTTTCCCCTGTGTCGCCCCAAGGACACTTTACCCTGCACGGTTGCTGACATATAGCCACCAGAATGGGCTATGTCTGGTATATTGTAGAACAAGAAATTGGCCTCTTCCATTGTTTGTCCCCCACAATCCACTTCTCGGATATGCGCAGCCCCATTCCCTCTGCAGATGAGCTCTTCTTTGCAGAAACCGAAGATGAATGGAGCGCGTTTGTACAGAAATACCGTCAACTGGGGGGTCCAGGCAACCATTCACGACTACACCCGCCGTCTCTGGCGGCGTTCTACTGCATGTTCCTCCGGCACGATTTCCTTGAGCTGCATTGCCATGTCACCGCGTTGCAGCTGAGGCTCTTGCTGTGTGCTATCCAGACTCAAGTCACGCAGTTCGTCCAGAGTAATCGCTTTGTCAGTACAGAACATTCCTATGCCGATGAACCACATTTCGAATCCAGCAGCTTTGCATCTCTCCGGCAAGAAGAACTGCAAACCATGCTGATCAAGTGGTACATTCTGAGACAAAGAGTCCTCGGTGGCGCCGGCGAGACTGAAATGACTCTTGCATGCAAGTTGATTTACCATTTGGTATGGCTGGAGCTGCTCATATGTTTCAGTGACATCCAACTCCTCGCTGGCCGAGAAGGGCCCGCTGGTGCCAGGCTACTCATACCACAGTTCCAACGATGGGTTCGGTCGCCGTCCTCGCTCAAGGCTCTGGCGCACGTAGGCCAAGTCCTGAAAATCTTGCAGTGTCCAGATTACAATGTCCTGCGGCCGCTCTGGTGGCCAATCGCTTTGTTCCGCGTGTCGTTGATCATGTGGGCTTATAGCATTGGATGCAAGCTCCAACCAGGCCGCACGCAACAAGCATACGACCTAGATCTTGGTGCTGCTCCTCGCATACCACTGAATGATCCAGAGCAAGATTTTGGCCCTCACGGAAGGGGTTTGCGGCAAGGAGAGGGCGTTCCTTGTGTTTTTGACACCACAGGACTACTCATTCCCGTCACGGAGACTTACGATGCCCTCAAAGTGTGTTTGGATCTGCTGGAAGAAGGGAGACTCCAGAGTACACCTATATGTGAGGATGTGTACCGCTTCTTGCAGGCTATCCGACAGTACGACTTCCTGGGCACAAAATCGTGATCTGGACAGATCCCACTTCTGCCACGCCGGTTGCCCCCAATTCACAAAGGAGGCATGAGCTTCTGTCGTCGTTCTCAGATCGAAGGGCGAGAAAACCGCGGACTCAGTCTCCTTGGATAGTACGTCGCGGGGGGGACTGTGCACGCTTACAAAAACTATGGTATCTGGAATTCTTCCTTGGATTGGCGTCCCTCTGGCGTACTATGTGGCTCAAATTTCTCATTCGATCCAGAAGACACCGGTGTCCCCCGCATTTGCCAAGCGAGCTCCAGGCCGGGGAAGCACTCCACCCCCTCCACAGCCGAACCGAACCAGGGGTTGGCAAAGACAAGGCTGTCAGCCACATGGCTTTGCGATCAGCTGTACTTCGACTGCCCGTTCTGTCACTTTATTCAAACAAGCATTGCCCCAGCACTTCGCCGCCTATCATGAAAGAGTCGATGTCTATCCTTTTTTCTTTCGTCCTGGGGTTCCTCCTTTTGCACTGCCAACTATGTGGCCCTCGACCTTTGGGGTGTTTCTGGCCCTACAAAGCTATCTCTATCTGCTAGGGATTGCACTTGTTGTATATTACGTCGGCTGGATCATATATGCGTTATGTTTCCATCCCCTGCGACACATTCCCGGACCATTCCTCGCACGAATCAGTCGCGCTTGGATCACATGGCACATACTTCGTGGCGATATGGAATATGAGCAGCGGAGGTTGCACGACATGTACGGGCCGCTGGTCAGGATAGCGCCTGATGAGGTGGCTTGTGCAGACCCCGGGGCGATCCCCATCATATATCCCATGAAATCTGCGCCTCCAAAGAGCGACTTCTACAGCATGTGGCAGAACCCCAACATTGGCAACTTTCCAGACCACTTCAGCCAGCGTGACGAAAAGACTCACGCCGAGCGGAGAAGGATCATCAGCCACGTCTATTCTTTGACGAATATCCTCCGGTCAGAGCAGTATATTGACAACTGCTCCAATCTTTTCATGCAGCGAATGGAGGCCTATGCGGACGCGGGGGAGATTGTGAACCTGGGAGAATGGCTGCAATGGTACGTCGTGAGGATATGGCAAGAGTGTGATGGATCTCCGACTGATCGGGTTTTCCGTGGAATTCTAGGTACGCCTTCGACGTTGTCGGCGAGCTCTTCTTCGGCAAGATGTTTGGCTTCATGCAAGAAAGTCACGACCACGAGAACTTCATCGCCTCTCTCGACCTGCTGCTGCCCTTTCTCAGCGTCACCAGCGTCATCCCCAGCTACCTTCGGACACTCCTAGCAGTCTCAGCCTTCATGTTCCCCAAAGTGCGCCGAGCCTTTGAAGCCATCGGCACCATCGAGGCGGCGGCAAAGAGCTGCGTGGCCGAACGTGCAGAGCTCCTGCAGGACCCGGACCAGGACAAGGGCCCGCCACGGCGAGACCTATTGCAGCAGATGTTCAGCATCCAGCAGAACAAGGGAGCGGAAGTCAATTTTTCCGAGAAGGACATGGCCAAGGAATCGTACTCGGCGATGTAAGTATACTAGACAGGAGCCCAACTCGTTCTCAGCGGCTCTTCGAATTGGAAAAGTCACAGAGGGCACCTCATCGCTGACTTTCATTCGCCTTTTGGCAAAACAGATTCGCTGGATCCGACACGACCGCCATCGCCATGCGCGCCACCCTGTATTTCCTTATGACAAACCCTCCCATCTACGCCCAAGTCATGTCCGAAATCAACGACGCAATTGCGAATGGCACCATCCCCGCCACAGGTCCCGTGGCATATTCCCAGGCTATAAAATTACCGCTGCTATGCGCGAGCATCAAAGAAGCCATGCGCCTCCATCCGAGCGTGGGATTGACGTTGCCCCGTGACGTACCTCCCCAGGGTCTCGTGATCGGCGACAACGTCCATATCCCCGGCGGCGGGACGCGGATCGGCATGAACGCGGCTGTGGTGCAGTACGACCGATCTGTCTTTGGCGAGGATGCACACGCCTTTCGACCGGCCCGGTGGCTGGAGGAGAGCACCGCAAACATGGATCGCTGCATGCTTCATTTTGGGGCTGGGACTCGGACTTGTCTGGGGAAGAATGTAAGTAGCCATTTCCCCCCTCCTCTTTTCCTTTCTCTGTTTGAGACTCTCGAATCCTACAACAGAGAACTCGCAGCTATTGATCCCGAGAATGCTCCCCTCAACTCCTCCAGTATTGTGGGTAGAGGAACGACAAGTCTTTTTCTCTCTCTCTCTCTCTCTCTCTCCCACAAGATTGATATAGAATACACACGACAAAGCTAACCCTTTGACAAAAGATCTCCCTAAGCGAACTACACAAACTCATCCCGGCTCTTCTCCGTGATTTCGCACTAGAATTGGCCACCAAGGAACCGTGGAAGACGTACAATTTCTTCTTCAACACGCAAAAGGGCCTGCTGGTTCGTCTGCAGCGGCGGAACCGGAACGTCAGCAGCGCAAGCGCATCCGAGGCTGATGCCGGGATTGTGACGCATTGAAGCTGCGAAGTGGAAAAGCGTAGTGGAGCTTCACGTTGGTTGATGTGATGTATACGGGTCCATGAATTGTGGGATCATAACTTCGGGGTTCTGTAGCGGAGGATATGATATGATATTACAGAAATATAATCTCGAGGGAAGAAATGTCTTCAAATTCATTTCCTTCCTTCCTGCTCGACGGCCTACGAGTAAGCAGACCATTTTTGAAACAGGCCGGTAACTATCTACAAAACCACAATGAAGCGTGCATCGGTTATCCTAGGGCCATGAGACCCTCTTACGGTTTCTTTTCTTCTCTGCATCTCCTGGTCGCTCGATGTCTGCGAATTCCGATGGCCAAAAAAGACAACAGACCTGCAGCAGCTGCAGCTGCCAATATGGCCCCTGGATTGGGAACTCGACGCGGTTCTGCCGAAGTACGTTGTTAAATTTGATCCAATTCTGGAATCGCAGGGAATGGACCTTTGGCCATTAGCCAAATTGGTAGGTAGATACTCTTGCCCAGGGGCGTGGCATGGCTCATTCTTGCTTCCGCGTTATGCATGCATGGTTCACCGAATCAAAGCCCGGTGGATCCCACCACTTCCGTGCCGACGGCTTTGCTTCGAAGTTACAGTTCAAGTTTACCAGAGGCATCAGGTCATCAGCTGAGAACGGATCGTTGCATATCAAGTCTCACACCAGTCTAATTTCTTTACTTCTGGAGAAGACCCGGAAAGGATCTTCGCTCATTGGTACCTAGGTAGGCTATAGCTTCAAAACTTTGTGGATAGTGCTGGGCTATGTTCAGTTACAGAGTTGCAGAATTACAGAGATGACCTGATAGGATGACTGCGTCGTGGACGGGACTGCGCGCGATATTCGACTTGATGAATGCTTTTGCAGGAATTCTTGGGCTATGGTTTGCAGTTCCTATTGAGATCCGAGGACAACGAAGGCCCTGTCCCAGACGATCCCGCGACGCTTTCTTTCCTTTTGGATTCATCTCAGGTTTTCCAAGAACAGATGGTCAACAGCTTCCCCCAAAACACGGGGAGAGTGCTGTGTCAACCACCCGCATTCGTCTTGCCCGGCATGCCATAGACATCAGCATACCACCCACCGGGCGCGGCGCCATCGACGACAATCTCGCGTTTCTGGATCAGCCAGACCCGTTCCCGCGGGTGCCAACGAAACACATCCCTCCACATGCCCCAGTGGTCGGGGCTCGCGCGGTCCGTCACGGCCAGATAGAATGCCTCCGAGTACGCCTCAAGCACGCTCACGAACGTGATGTCCACCGTCGTGACGTGGTGGCGGATATACTTGGCCTCGTTGCCCTGCACCACCTCGACCATGCGCTTGGGGTCCACGGAAACCCCGTTGGGGAGGCGGTACACACCATCCGGCGCAAACAGCGCGGCCATGGCGTCCCAGTCGGCGTTTTCGCGCGCGAGCGAAGCGTACCGGTGCATGACGGTTGTGATCTCGGCGCGAGCGGTGAATTGTTGCTCTCGTGTCAATGATGCCATGCTTTCGCTGCGTGATTGTGTCGATCGCCTTGGTTTCGTAGACGCTGACACTAGATCTCTGGAGCTCGAATGGAGCTTTGCAGTGGGTGCGTATATATGTGTATCTGTGTGTGTACTGTGTTGCTTGTAGCTGTCGAGGAAGGTGTATCTGGTATATCACTTATGAGCTCATCACCACGCGTGCCGGGTGTCGGGCCTCCATTCCCAAAATAAATAAATACAGGGCGGAGAAGAAGGAATATCCCGAGATCGCCAAACCGTCAGGCCAGACTGGAAACCCTTCGAGTCGTTCGAGGAGACGAGATGAGATTAGTATCGGTTCGGCTGTGGTGGGTGCCTTGCAGGGCAGGAAGGCTCCGTTTCTGAGCACCACCGGCAGGGGCGGTGGCGGATTGGAAGTAGAGGAACGACCTGCATCAGTAGTCTTGTCCATAGGAGTTTCATCATGACTGCATTCAGAGCCAGAGGGCCGTCCGGACTTGGCACAGAAGGACGAGAGAAGGACTTATAGACCTCTCCTGTACATGCATGTCCTCGACCTCTCGGTGCTCGTCCGGCTCTTGAAACATGGAAACAGAACAGAATACAAACGGCATGGACCCTTCAACAACAGTTCTGATCGTAGGAGCAGGACCCACGGGCCTCTTTCTGGCGCTGCGCCTTGCCCGGGCCGGAATACGGACAGTTGTCTTTGAACAAGACGCCGAGCTGCTTCCAACGCCCCGTGCATTGGGATACTTTGGCCCGACACAGTTCGCGCTTCAGCATGCAGGAATCTGGGAGGAGGTTCGAGATCAAGGGTATCTGCTCAAGGGCCTGTCCTGGAGGAAGATAACTCAGGAGACGTCTCCGGGATACAGAGGCTGGGGTGATCTGATTGCGTCGTGGGATCTGACCCAAGGATCAGCTTCGAGGGAGGGCGAATGTGGCTACGGCATGACGATACTCGGACAACATCGCTTGAGGGAGATCATCATGTCAAAACTGGCCGCTTCGCGGCTTGCCCAGGTATATTTCGGGCACAAGGTTGTCGCTGTGACCCAAGACGACCACTCGGCGAGTGTGGATGTGACGGTCCTCGACCAACAAGGGGGCCAGCGTTCATTCCGAGGATCGTACTTGGTGGCTGCTGATGGAGGCAAGTCGACAGTGCGCAAATTGCTCGCATTGCCCCTCGAAGGCATCACTTGGCCGCAAGTACTGGTGGCGACGGACACATGGGCCGATATACCTCTTCCCAGCGACGGCCCTCCCTTTGTGTACATTGTGAATCCAGTCGATTGGGCCCTCTTTAGCCCTATACAAAGACCGTGTGAGCACGGGCCCAGCTACTATCGTATCACTGTGCCCATGGCTCGCGAGCAGTGTGAGCCGGACGTTCTCGACTGGAATCTGAAACAGAAACTCGAAAGGTTGCTTCCCGGCCCACGACCAGCCAAGTATGAGGTGGTGCGGTCGCAGAGGTACGAGACGCATCAGCGAGTCGTCCCATCCATGATCTCTGGAAGATGCATGTTGATCGGCGACGCGGCGCATCTGAACAATGTACGTTAGCCCTCAGGGTTCTGTTTAGTCCTCAGACGATCCATGAACGACCATATCCAAGACAATTGCTGACGAATCGAATGCAGCCCTGGGGAGGACTCGGCCTGAGCACGGGGCTGCTTGACGCGGACTCCCTTGCCGATGCTCTAACGTACGTCTTAGGACAAGGTCTATCAGCCTCAATACTGCGACGCTGGGCTGACGCCCGGAGAGAGGTGTTTCTGAAGATCGTCAATCCCATTTCATCGGCGAACAAGCTTCGCTGTCACGATACCGATCCTGACAATCCCAGCTCTGATCCCTTCTTCAAGATGCTCAGAAAGGAGGATAATGAGCAGGAGCTTCAGGACTTGATGTGCTCAATGGCAGAAATGGCCACAGATGTGTCGCAGTTCATAGAGGACCAAGCTCAGCCGCCAGGAAACCCGCCCCACGCGAGCTAGAAAGATCAGTAATGGAGAAGCTTTTGGCAACCTGGGAGACAATGTAAAATAGACAGTTCAGAAGTTGAGCCGTGCTTTGCGCGAGCATGCCAAGCCAGAGCATCATGGAGCAGTGTCGACTGTCGATATAGGTCGGCACCAGCACAACTCAGAATCCTCCGTGCGCTCTTCTGTTTTCTCCAAGGGACATTCTCCGCCACTGTAGAAACATAGAGCCTCTCAAGTTCGCAATCCACCAATTCGCTCGTGTTCGCTTAAGATGTTCTCGTCTGAGAAACTTTGTTTGCAAAGGTCTGGAAGGCGATTTGTCCATCGAGCCTCGTATCAGTGGTCTAGAACTTCTGGGCACGGGGGCTGAACAGCAATCATGGGAGCGCTACTCAATGGTCCCAGCCCTAGGAAGGGCGTCGGCATGCCGTCTTCTTCACAGACTCGGTGGTACAAAGTTGTTCTATGACAGCAAGGTAGGCAGGCGACAAAATCGCTCCCACAGCGCAACCGCAGCTCTTCCCACAATGCTCTGTGAAATTTGCGACCAGATCCCATTTGGCGACTTGCCCTCGGAAGAGCAAGACGCTATACCGCACCAACCCAGCCTTGACGCCTTAGAGGCTTCCAAGGAGTCGTGTCAAATATGCAGTCTCATCTGGTGGGCGGCCGGCTGCTCCTTGGTGGATGTGGGTGGAATGGTGGGTTTCAGACCAGGCGTCGGGTACCCTTCAGGTCGCAGCATCATGACCCAAGAGACGGAGAGCAATTACAGCCACCTGGGAGGCATGCGCGCCATGGAGAATGGGGCGTCAATGTTCGATAACTCTGGTCCAGAGCCTGACTTGCGCGAACCTGCTTTCTTGAACCCTCGCGCTCGCTTTCCGGCCGACGACAAGAGCAGTAGCAAGATCCGACCGTGGCTGTTTGGCAGCTGGTACAAGTCGCCCTTCACAGACAGACGGCTGCAGTTGATAGGGCTAGGCGTGAGGCTCGGGACGGGCCCCAGCGTCGAGGAAGCAGAAGGCAATAGCAACGAGAACGTCCGCATAAGGGGAACTTTCCTCAGGATCCGCACAGATGATGGTACCTTTCCCTCTCTTCCAATGCGACCAGTTCTATGCTGATCCCCGACCAAGATTCTGATCTGGCCAAAACGGTGCCCGGGCGGCTCCGCACAAACGATCAAGGCTCTGCGATAGCAACCCAACGAATCAAGAATTGGTTGAAAGATTGCAATGACGGCCATAACTGCAAACGAAGTCATTCGTGTGCGGACAAAGACGCGTCTCCACCACTGCCGACTCGAGTCCTCGACGTCAACGGCCAAGGAGATACCATTCGCCTCGTCGAGACCACCGACCAGCGCGGACACTACGTGGCCCTGAGCCATTGCTGGGGCCTCTCGCATAGGATCACCACAACAAAGAAGACGTACGCAGACCATCGCGAAGGTATCCCACTCGAGGACCTCCCAGCAACTTTCCAACAAGCCGTAACCATTACTCGCGAGCTTGGAGTCCCTTACCTGTGGATTGATTCCCTGTGTATCATCCAGGACGACGAGGTGGGTTTTTCTTCGTGTCTTTCCCAATGCTTCCTCTTTTCCTCGCTTACGACATGGCAGTTTGACTGGGAAACAGAGGCTTCCAGGATGGGCTTCGTCTACTTTTCTTCGTACCTGACACTGTCCGCCATGAGTTCTGCAGATGATTCCTCCGGCTGCTACCGCGATGCGTCAAAGCCAATTGAAATAACCTTTTCCAGACCGTACATCTCAGCCGACACCTTATCCACTGGAAGACGAAGTATACCTCTCGCCGCGCCTCTGATAGTCGACTACGCAGGTGATGGCGTTACCTGCAGGACATTCACTAACATGTTCGGCATGCGTGGTAACCGCAAATCTCGTGTGTACCTCACGCCAGAGTGGATGCCTTCGTCTTTGAAACAGAAACCAAGGATATATGTCGTTGGAAGCTTTGGAGCATCAGTCCAGCCGTTGAAGCACGAACCCTTGAACAAGCGTGGCTGGACACTTCAAGAGCGACTGCTTTCTCCCCGTACGTTGCATTTTGGGACCGAGGAGCTGTACTGGGAATGCGAGCAATATGTGCTGGCGGAGGATGGGGCACTTTTGCAAAGAGAGTTTCCGACGTTATTGAAGGTCGTCAGATCAAGAAGAGACTCGATTTCCGCCGCCCAGGGCTCCACCTCCAAAACCAACGACGGCGAGGACAGCAAGAGAAACCCCTGGCCCAACGTCTGGCTCAGTCTCATCGAAGAATACACTTCTCGGAACCTGACCCGAGATCAAGACAAACTGCCTGCCTTGTCAGGCGTGGCCAGCCTTGTTGGGGGCCTGACGGAAGACGAGTACCTCGCCGGCCTGTGGCGCAACGATGTCCTTCAGAACCTCTCCTGGTCTGTCGAAACGTTCGAGCCGACTCACCAGTGCGATGACCCGGCGCATGACGCGGCAATGCCTCCCGCGTCCAAGTCAGAGGTGAGGTATCCGCCAAACTACCGCGCGCCTACCTGGTCCTGGGCGAGTCTCGACGGCAAGGTGATTTTCCATTCACTGAATCATAAGAGTCTGAAAGCTCGGTGTATCTGTGCGCATGTGGATATTGCGGGAAGAGATAAGTATGGCAGGGTCAAGAAGGGATGGATCACGCTCGAGGTAAAGTCTCTCCACCAATTTCTTTGTTTCCCAATCCTACGAGGTGACCTGACAAAACCCAATATAGGGCCCGCTGTACCTCCTCCAAGCTGGAGAATCGGATGCAAAATATCGCAGACTCCATCCGTTCTCGACCGAAGTGGACTTTCTCGTCGCTGGCGACGCCAACAAGGCAGCACGGCATGGTGGCGGAAGTGCAACCTTCGACGACAAGCCGTATTTCCCGAGCTTTGCCCTCATGCTCGATAGTCAGCAGGGCCTAATCCTCAAAGCCAAGGAGCCCTGGGAGTTTGTCAGGATTGGAAGTGTGAGGTATTGGCCCATGCCAGGAGGTGTAAATGGCCATGATAATAGTAATCCTATGGGAGTCAATAAGTCCAGCTACTCGACGGCTGAAATTACTGCGCTGTCGGTAGCCAAAGGGACGGCGCAGAAGATCACCATTTACTGAGCCGGCTGGACTACCTCGTATATGCAGTTCTCTCCCAGAGCGACGGTAACGGCTGGTGTGGCTGGCTCAAGAGGATTGGAAGGTGGATGCGTGCACGGCCCATGTTGTATTGTATTACGCTCTTCGCAAATACACCCGGCTTGGAGGTGTCTTTGTTCTAGCTCGCTAAGGCGTCAGTCCGATTCAAAAGCATGTCCCTTCCTCTCCTCCTTACCAGACTACCGTGAGGTTCCTCATAATGTGCCCAAGCTATACCGAACCCCCGTTTGTGGGATGCATCTATCGGGTGGGTGCATGATCTGTGACCTGCTGACCAGCGACGCCATAAAAAGCACGTCTCATTCAGCACTTTGATCTGTAACGTGGAAAAATGCAACGCCCTTGTTCAATTGATGGTAAGGACGTGGTGGTAGTCAGTCTCTCCCTCACTCCTTACCGCAGATTTCCACTCCCACTCACGTGGAAGGCCCGATTTAGCAAGCCATGAAGGGTAAAGCCACCAGGGCTGCTCCTCGAAATGTGACCTCTGATTCTTCACGCCGATCAAGACATCGTCATCATCAGGTTGCCGGCCTCAAATCCCATCGTCGAAAACGCGTCCACAAGCGAAATCAGGGCTCTACTCGAACAGCTCACTGGTTCTGTCACCACCACTTTGGCACCACCGCAGCACGCACAGTGCAGGGAGTCAGCTCAAGAGGAGGAGAAAAAAGACCACACGCCCGCAGGAAATGGACAATTTCAAGATTGTTTTGACTCTTTTTGAGCAACGTTGGAAGAATCTGATGACCATCCTGTCGTCGAATTTTCCCAAGCGCGCCAATAAAGGGCCACAGCAGCGCCGTGGCCTGAACAGCCCCTATCGAAGGATGGCGGTCAGCAAAGATCTGGCGAACAGCGGCTCTAGTTGACGTCTTTCCCTGCGGGGTGGGGATCGTTTGGCATCCTTGATCCCCAATAATCCCAAAATAAGAGGCCAGTCACAATCAACAAGGTGGATTGCGTCGGAGGATTGAATTTCTGCGAAGCTTGGAGCACGAGTATCTGGTGGCGCCCTTTCTCGACGGAGCACACACGTTTGAGGCCCATTTGTTTCAGGGGCAACCGAGGAATCCGAACCCAAGAAAGCCCACAGATGGCGAGATTACAGGAGCGAACACAGGCTTGGGCGAGCAATCAAGCCAAGCAATCCGGTCTCGAGCCACTCTGGAGTCGTGAGACAAACGACGACGCCGGTGTTGGCCTTGAACATGACATGGCAATATGCTGCTCAGTTCTCTGCGACCGTGGCAGAATTGTCTTTCTCCATCCGATCTTAGGCGGACGTTTCCATCTCGTGCGGAAAAAAGAGAGCTTTTTGCTTTTCTCCTCATGGCCATCCCGCCTCTCGGAAGATTTCTGGACCCTGCCCTGACATGCGAGAGGACGCCACGCGAGAGACTAGGGGGAATCTGAAGCACGCCAGGCCGGTAGGCCTCAAACACCACGTTAGGCGGCTGCATCTGTGAGTGGCTCCCTCGAACCTCCACTCTCCATCTTTCCCTCGACCCTCTCCGCTCTTGTTTCCATCACTCTCAGGTCTGCTACGGAAGTTGTTCGAAGATTGGTCTGAAGCCTGGGAAACTCCTCCGTGCTGGTGCCGCCGTCCTGAGAGCCCATCTTCAACAATGTCACTGCGCCACGACCGGCATGGCTGAAAGAAGCAATGCTGATTCGGCTATCGAAAAAGGGCCGCATTGACGGTCAGCAAAGATCGCGGCACTTGCATGCCACCTCATCCATGCAAGTCATGCTGCATCCTTGTCTGTTGTGTGTCCCCTCCTGCAACCTCGTGTCGGGGGGAGCTTCTTTGCCAATCCTCAAGTCCTTGTCCTTGCTGGGTAAACAGTGGCACGACGGTTGGTCGTTGAGTTTTTTTTGTTGCAGTTTGTGCGTCGGATTTTGTTTCTGGCTCTTCTACCTTTCGACAAACCCCAGCTTCGCCATAGATTCGACATCCTCACTCAAAGCGAGACTTGCAGGCGCGAAGACACCCGGCCGTGTCACGATGCTCACCTTGTAACTGTTTCACGGTGCCTTTGGTCCTAAACTTTGCGGAGCGGAGTTGCTTGGTCACCCGCTTATCAGCGTTCTCTTTCCTGTCACTCCTTTGTCCCTGTCTTAATCGATTTCCTTTTCCCTACTGGCTGGTCCGGGACTTTGAACATGCCGACGAGGTGGTTATCCATTCGCAAACGAAATCCTCTTCTTCACAGCGAGTCGACTGCTGAGCCGACTACGAAGCAGCAGGAATTTGATTTCGCCTTTGGGGAGTCACCCTCAGCTGGGCAGAGTGCTTCAGGCAGGATCGGGCCCAGGCTGGTTCAGATTCGTCCAACGACATCCAGTGGCCCAACAGGAAAGCGGAAACTGCGTGTCGAGGTCCCCTCAATCCGACCACGGACATCAGAGAATCACAGACCCTCGCCTTTACAGAACATCAATGGTATTTCGAGATCAGAAGATAGCTTGATAGGTCTGGCTTTCGGCAGTCCGAGTCATCCTCCCGCATTCTTCTGCGTTCCTCCTGAGGAGTCCAGCGCAACCGACCTAAACACTTTTCTACGCCAGCACCCGGACACGCCAGGCAACACCGTTCAGATGCACTCTAAGAGATGGCGGAAACTAGGAACGCTGTTCAAATCCCGGCAAGCCGCTCTGAGACGGAATGAGGTCCCATCAGGTCCGACTATAGGCCTACCGAGCGGCTTCGTGGTCCTGGACAAAGACACAACGACTGAGACACCCAAAGTGGATGCAGAGAAAGTGCGAACGAAGCAACCAGAGCACCCAAAGCGTGACGCACCGCCACCACCCCTCGAAAAGGATTACAAGCCTTCGACTCTGAAAACAACGGAGTTGGTTATTCAGAGACCCGAAGATGACTCGATATCGAGACCTTCAACTGCGACTGCGACCGATGCTGGATCAACGGGTGAGCCGTATATACGTCCGCCTTTACCGAAGCTTGAGCTGGATATCCCATTCAATATCCCCGCAGCTAAGCGCTCTTCGTCCCTTCTCGCGCGACGGAGTAAGGCGCTGGATAGCCTTAAATCCCTCGATGACAGTCAACCCACAATTGAAGGCACCAATAAGTTCGAAAACGACGACCACCAGAAGCCTGAATCGGAGCCTCGAACGCCTCTGATGCCACCGAGACGGCTCACGACGCCAACCATGACGAGATCGCCGGCAGCGAGCAAATATTCCCTGTTTCCAACCACCTCTCCCGCCCCGGTGAAAATCCACGGCCGAGTGCCCAGCTCAGATCATGGCAACCTGCCTCCACCGACTCAACTACGAAGATCAGCCACTTCCCCGGCCCGCTTGTCTCCCATGCAAGACCAGTTCTCCGTCCCAAAGCCGGAACCACTCAATCCGAACAAGGTTGCTTCCTCGACCGAGCAAACGATTCCCAGTCCAGAGGATAATACAGCGTCGACAGATCGCGAGGCACCTTGGAGCTCTGCTCACTCCTTCCAATCATCTGTATCTTCCGCAACCACGGTTGATGAAATCTTTTTCGATATCAAATCATTCCGAGATTCCAAAGGCGTGGAGGACGGCCAATTCGTCATGACTAGACCTGACTCGGTCCAGGTAGAGTTGGCTCGGACACGGTCCAAACGAGTCCCTCCTCCAAGCCACTTGCGGCATGTCGAAGCTTCGCCAGGGGGCGCAGGTGATGTCCCTGAGCACGCCACCCCAATCCCACCGGAGCCGCCGGCAGCGCCCAATGGTGCCCATTCCGCATGGACGACGAAGCACACCTCAGTCAACACCGCGTACTTCGATGAAGCAATTGCTGCAGTGGAGAGGCTCACAGCACCCACGGGCAGTTCTGCTTCGGCGGTTGAAAAGGTTCCTAGCATCCCGACCGTTACGATCGCGAACCATGACGAAAAGCCGCGTCAACCGGCTCCGATGTTGGCAGTCCAGTATCCGCGTCCGTCTGACCATCAGTCGCGCTTAGCCAGCAAGACTCACGAAGAAGTCGACCGCCTGATCCCTTCACCTGTGGTTGAGGCGAAGGAGGATGACTCTCCCAGGCCGAATACATCGCCCGTGAAAGTTGCGACTTCTCCATCGGCTCAGCAACCACAAGTGAAGAAGGGCATTTCTCCTCGCCTGGCTGCAGTCAAGCGTGTGGACCGCCCCATCGATGACTCCCCCACAATTCCACAAGGTCCTCCCAGTCCAAGAAGACCCGCAAAGTCTACGACACCGCCCTCGAACGACAAACCGCCTCCGGTCCCGAAAAAGGACGCCAAATTTATTCCTCTCTCAAAGTACGCCGCGAAGAGCACTGTGACGGCCATCGAGCAACGGGCGGGCGTGATTCCCACGAGGCCTGTGCGTGCCAACACGGAAGATCTGGCTGCGCGCTCGGCGGCGCCCCGTATATCGAAAGAACGATCTGCGACTTTGCCATCTTCGCTACAGCCTCATTCTCATGACGTGGTGCAGAAGTCCTCGCTGCGCGGCCTCGAGAAAGCCATTCCACCCCAATCCAACCCAGTGGCCTCGAATCCGGTAACTGCAGAGGTCGCAGTTGCGCGAACTATTTCGCTGTCCCGCAAGCAATCTGCCCGCATCCACGTTCCTGGGCCCAAACTCGCCGCGCGCCGCGCCGAAGCCCAAGCCCAGGCACAGGCACAAGCACAGGCACAAGTACAGGCACAAGCACAGGCACAATCCCATCTCCAAATCGACCCTTCACCGCAACAACATGCGCGCAACCTATCGAGCACGTCCCAGAAATCAAACAAATCACAACGATCCTTTCTGGGTGGCAGCCACCGGCACAAACGCACGGCGTCTTCTGCTAAATCGGCCTCCCGCGCCTCCAAAGACCTTTCTGTCAATAAGAATGCTCTCAAAGTGACCAAGCCGCAGCTGGACGGCAAAAGCGGTTCCACCTTCGGCAAATTTCTATGGAGCAAAGAGTCGGAGAAGCAGCTGATCAAGGAGGCGCGTAAGTGGGAGATCCTCGAGAAGAAGAGCTACAGTCCTGTTGTGGTGCAGGCGGAAAGAGGACATCGACCTGGTGTCAGTGTCGGATTGGTTGTGGAGAGCATGTGATTTCTTTTCCCCCTCTTCTTTTCTGATTCTTGTCTTTATATATTTTCTTCTCCTTTGTTCTTTGGGGTTTCTCATGCATGACTATCGCCAGGAGGCGTTGTGTAGGGAATCTACATACCATGATGGGGTGCATACATACAACGTTATACACACATACCGTGTGGACGTGTGTTGGGGGGAAGGGGGTTTCGCGGTTGTATATTACATACCACCCCCAAGCGGCGCTGGAATCTATATATACCTGGACATGGACACGGAGATGACAATGGGCGCCGACAACGGGAAAGGGCCCGATCTGGGGAGGGGGAATACCGCATGAGCATTCCAACCGGGGAATCCCGCGGCAGGCTGGGAAGAGCTTGGAAGTTTTATGAATCTTGACACCCGAGAAGCATATGCCGCGCGGCTTTTACTTCTTCATTTTTTGATGGGATGTGGGACTGTGCCTTGAACTGGGAACAAGACTGCATGGCTTTGTCCCAATCATTGTCTGAATATTGGGAACCACGGGGCCACATACAGAGCAGCAGATGGCTCCGCTTTCCTTGTCCTCCACGACAGGGCGATGTATGGAAGGGAGAAAGAGTGCGCAGAGCAGAGCACCATGTAAAGCCTTTTCAGATAGACATAGAATTGATTACATGGTTGTTGGGCCCGTTTTACCCAGAACTGGCATTCTTTCCACCCCAAGCTTGATGCGCCCACTTTGCAGCTGCAGCATCGTCATCATCTGCTGTGAGTGATTCCTGTCTGTCATCGTAAAAAAAATCATATCGACATTATATGCTGGGAAGGGTAGCTATTTCATGCAAGTCGTAGTCGTAAACTCATGACTAAGCCTTCAAAAGACCTATGTGGCGTGGAACAATCACAAGAGATTCAAGTCCCATCACCCTCCAATGACGGTCGATTTCCCTCCACGGCAAACGGCGCGTAGCGATGAACCAGGAGACATCATTACATATAGCCAATTTCATGCTCTTTCGTTCGGAAAAGTCATCAACCTCCAGAAAAGCTTCGGAATGAAAAAGTCAAGGGCCTATTATGTGTGTGGTGGGGGCAATCATAAGAAATTCAAGTCCCAGCGTCCCCCGATGACGGTCTTTCCCTCGACAGCGACGGCGTAGCGATGAATCAGCAGGCTGGGTGGCAGCGTTGGCCTTCTGTGCTCGTGGGCAAGGTGCTCGGCGAAGTCGCGCACAGTGTCAAAGGCGGTCAGTCCGCGCTCGAGTTCGTGGCCGGTCGCGAAGCAGAATACGCAGCCATACCTAGCGATGCTGGAGCTGGAGCTAGAGCCGGAGCCGGAGGTGCTAATGTCGCGACGGGAAGCGGTGTTGGAGAGGGTCTTCTCCGACGGCGGGAGGTAGAGATGGCTTTTCGCTAAAAAGGAGCTGCGGTATTGAATGTCCAGCCCGGCATGCTCGCGGATTTCGTCCGTGTTGTGGATGTTGGATGTCGTGCTGGCGGCGACGTGGTAGCGCACTTTGCACGCGCAGTGGGGGCACGCCCAGTTCAGGAACGCGCCGCCAAAGGCTTTCAGTTTGCGCCGGTTTTCGTCGTTGAGTTCCTTTTTCTCGACGAACGCGATGCGGCCCCGGTCGCGGTGGTTGCTGATCTCCAGTGCCCCGGGGCAGAAGTTGCCCAGTTCGGCGGGGCGGAGGTCTTCTACCGGGACAGGACCACGCCGTCCAGGGATGCTGGGGCATACGATGGGAAGTTGCCTGATCTGGTCTTGTCGGTAGAGTAATGTGTCCCGGATGGTCCCGAAGGGGCGACGCTCTGCTAGGTCGCGATCGTAGTGGTCGACGAAGATGGTCTGGATTCCCCGAACGGAGGACAAGAGCTGGTCCACCAGCTGGTTCAAGTACTGGGAGGCGAGATCGTCGGAGTTGTCGATCAGGTAGGGCAGCCGGCGGTGGAAGTCGATGGTCGAGAGGGATTTCAGTCGCATCTGTAGAATTTGGAGGCGTGGGTCGTAGGCTTGGATCGAGTTGGGCACCACATCTGGAAATATGTACCAGTCGATCAAGGTGCGAAGTTTGCGCCGGATTTGGTTGAGCGTTACTTGGAGGTCGTCGATGGCTTGTCGGATTGTTATGGGGCCAGGCGGTGGAGGGGGCATGAAGCCCGGGTCGAGAATGTTGGCGGCCATGGTTTGTGCATCTGGGAACAGAACTCAGAAGTTTCAAGATGGTCGTAGCCTTGAGCGTCAAATCCTTAATATATGATGGCGCGACACAGATTTAATCGTGGGTGTAAAGATCCCTGATTCACTGCAGGCGCAAAAGTCCTCTAGAGCCAGAAGCGGCTCGGCAGGAATGTCTTGCTTTTGTGCTGCGAGGCTCGCGCACACTTGGATGCAAATTAGGACATGAGAAAAGAGAGATGTCAGCCTCAGGAAGGAAGAACTACCTTTTTGAACCTCGACGCGGGAAGACCGTCTCCTTCATGGAGGGTCACGCGGAGTTGATGTTGTGGTCGCCTTGTGGGCGAGTTAAGGCTTGCGTTTCCCGCGCCCCAGGCACGATCGAACAATAGTTTTGCGGCAAGGCAAGAGGGTGACGAAGGGCTGCTGGAGTTGCAAAGAAAGCGGGCGTGTGCATATGCATCTAATGTGCAAATCATGCATGAAGGCGCATTGAGCTAAGTGGTCAGTGAGGCGAGGTTCGCATGGTTTTAGCCTGGAGCTGGACTCGGCCGTGCTGTGTACCGATGTCGACGGCAGCCCTGGCACCCACTGAGGCCACCCTGGCGAGGGGGAGGAGGGGGCGAGGGTGGGCTTGATGCGAGAGAAGAGAAAGGGAGGGCCAAGCTGTGGACGGTGTTGGAGATGGTTCCCGTCGAAGTGTAGCCGTCATTTGTGTCATTGCCGTCATTTGAAAACCATGCCATTTTCGGCCTTATATCAAACTCCATCTCCAACAAGCCGCACCAACGAGGTGCCAAATCTTTGTATTGGTATTCGCCTAAGAGTGTCTCGAGAAGTACGCATATCATGCCGACCGAGTTGGAAGAGGTAAGTCCAGTCCGCATGAAAGCCGTGGCGATCATGGCTGAATCTTCCCAGCTAGTCGAGTTTTTGCACCATGGAAATACTCAAATCCGACAAGTTGGTAAGTACAACCTCCTTCCAAACCCATATCTGTGTCGTCGTCTCCTAGGATGCGTGCATATGGGAAGCTACATTATGTGAACACTGGCGTTGACACATCCTCCCCCATCAGCCTGCGACCATCTGGTCGGCCACTCCTCAGATCCAGCAATCTTCAAGAAACCTCAACTAGTCCCTGTCAAAGACTTGAAACTTCTCGTCAAGGACTATCCTGTGAGTGTGATCCTGGACGTGTGACCGATGACACTGTTCTGACGCAGGCCCATGCTTCCGCCTCTAGCCCATAGCCAAGAATGCTCTCACAATTTTAATCAATATCAGTCATGACACCGAAATTCTCGACAATCTGGCGGCAGACGATGAATTTATTGAGACCCTGCTCAGGAAGGTAACAGTATGTAGGTTGGAATCCGCCTCCAGGCCCTCGGATCTGTGCCTACCGTACTGAGACGAAGCTGACTGGAAATCGAAAAGGATCCGAAAGAGCAGACCGCCGATGAAATTGCCATGCTCCTTTCAAACCTAGCTAAAACGGACGAGATGGAAAAGTTGATTAAAATGAAGCGAGCCTTGCCCGCCAACACAGTGTCTACGTCTCCATATGCTCTCGACCAGCTGCTAGACTGTTTTGTGAAAGGTGCCGACGGGTCGCTCAATAAACACGCAAACTTCGACTATTTGGCATACTTCTTAGCCGATCTGTCAAAGCACAAAGTCGGCCGGGATTATTTCCTGAGCAAAAGGGATTACGACGGGGTGGTGCCCATCAGCAAATTGACAGTCTTCACGGAGCACAAAAGTCACATTCGGCGGAGAGGAGTCGCCAGCACAATTAAGAATGTTGCCTTTGAAGTTGACAAACACCCTTTACTTCTGGCCGACGACACCGAAACCGTAGATGGAGTTCCTGGCGTCAACATATTGCCATACATCCTCCTACCGCTTGCTGGATCGGAAGAGTTCTCAGAAGAAGAGTCGGCCAGTATGCTCCCAGATTTGCAACTCCTTCCACCTGATAAGGCCAGAGACAGCGACAACGACATTCTTGTAACTCATCTCGAAACATTGTTGCTGCTGACCACTACGAAGGAAGGACGGGACAAGTTAAGAAGGGTGCAGGTTTATCCGCTGATTAGAGAGACGCACATGCATGTCGAGGACGAGGGTGTGAGAGAGGCATGTGACCGCTTAGTACAAGTTCTCATGCGAGACGAGGAGGAGAGGCCAAAAGTCGAAGAGGTGGATGAAGACGAGGAGATTGAAGAGATATTTTGAAGAAATGAAGTTGGGGGCCGCAACACTCCGGATTTACCAGATTTTCCGTGCCGAGAACTACGGCAGTCCTGAGAGCTGTCAATGGCAATCTCTACGGCGAATCATAGACGCTGTCGCGTACATGCCACTACCGCCTTTTTTCCTCTTCATTGACGCGTCTGTAATTCCTTCCCAATAAACTCCCGTCGACATGTTTTGTATGAGAGCTTATGGCGCCAGTGCATGCAGCACGACAGACGAATGGCTTCGAGCCTCCGCCGTCCTCTCTACTGGCCACGCACGTCGTCCATGGAAATGGAGTCACTGATTTTGATCAAGACAATTTCAATCAACTTTTGGCTGAAGCACTGGGATCCGATGATCAAGGTCAACCCAATCTGGGTGCCGACGTTGCCGTCAATCACAAGCTGATCTCCATCGTCTTCCAAATCGGCATCGAGCCTGTCCTTGAAGAAAATCCTTTCCGGTCCGCAACCGCTACAGGTAGGGGCGACTCTCAATTCAGAACTTGCCTTGAAGTACTTCAAGTCGCAATCGAAAGATCACCCCAGGTTGTCTATGTGAAATCAGATGCCCAAGGCGCGCCCACCGCCGGGAATGGACCACCTCTCTGTTCCTGGCTGATTCCGACACTTCTTCCCTTGGTTGCTTTAGCCCAGGGAAATTTGGCCAGGGATGTTGTTCTCGAGTTGTTCAGTTCGATGGTGGATGCTGACCGAAAATGTACAACTACTTACTCATGCGATATCGTTCTCGACTTCCTCAGGAACTGCGTCTCAGGTCAGTCACGCGACGTTGTTGGATTTGGTGTGTCGGAACCTGACCTTAAGCAGGCATTCTCAGCGTTGTCGAGTCGCTACCACCTGTTCAACAGAACAAAACCATCGTCGTTGATGGGGAAGACTTCGCTTCTACAGTTTCCAGAATCACTAATGGCATCGAAATTAATGTTCCCAGCCTCAAATTTCCCTCTTTGCAACAGTTGCTACTCGGATTGGCCCAGGTTTTGAAGGTAGTGTCTAGACATTCTGAATCCGCACAGACCAAATTGCAGTTCCGCAAGGTCTTCTTGCGATTTCGACGGTTGGCTGAAGAAAACGAGAACCTGTTAACGGGCAATGATCAAGCTGAGGTAAAGTTCTATATCTCATATCACCCTATTACTGCTCACCACTTGCCAGAATCTCAGTCATGAAATCCGCATTTTGAGTATCACACCTCCTGCGCCGCCGAGACAGCTGTCCAAAGATACTTACGAGCCCTGGCCTGATACTGATCGAGCTCGGAAGAGATTACGTCTGTCAACCGATGACGAGGATGGGCTGTTAAATGGTTCCCTGCAACAGAAAATCTGCCGCAGACTGACCTCGGAGTTGACTGGAAACGCTGCTCCTGATCTTGACGGGCTGAGTCAAACATCATCGGAGAACTTCAGGCGCCTGCCAGAAGACAAACAGTGCAATGCGCTTGGCTTGCTTGGCCTGACCGCGTGCCAGCTTTCTTCGCCTACTTTGGATGGCTATTGTCCGATATGCGATGAGGATTGCGAAACAACCAGTACTGGACCTCGTTCAATTTCACCTGCGAGCCAAGAATTACTCAAGACTTTGGTAGTCCTCATTCAAACAATCTCGCGCCGTTCACGGGCAAGAATATTTGCCATGTCTTCACTCCGTCGAATTATCATGCACACAAACTCGACTGAAGACTTGAAGCTCGGCCAAACACCTGCTGGTGACTGGTGCCTGCAGTCCCTCAAGAGCTCCTCCAGGGACCTGAGAATAGTCGCAGGCCGGACTGTGCAGGCCTACGTGATGAGAAGAAAGCAACATGACTTGTCTCTGGCGCGCGAAAACAGAATCACAGCATTGGACTTCCTTGACAGTTTATGGCAGAAAGGAGATGCTTCCTTGCAGGAGACAACGGTCATGGCCCTGACGCAAGTGGCTAAAGTCGTCGGGGACGAAGAACTAAATATCATCCTGGTGCGACTCATGGAGTACCTTGGTCACACCAACCCATACCTCAGTGGTTTGGTATATGCTGAGATTCAGCATCTTGCTCAATCCTTGCAAATCTCAGTATGGCTTCTCTTTCGGCCGTTCTGGCGGACCCTCGGTGTGGTATTCGCGAAGTCTCTGATGTCTCGGCCAAATATTGCCCATCAATTATCTGATCTGCTGGGCATGGACATTACAGGTCTGATGGGGCATGCCGCCGAATTCGCTCTCCCATATCTGGTCCTGCACAAAGCAAAGGATGTTATAAGGAAGTTCGCCGAGGCGAATGGACAATCAACGACCCTCTTCGATCTGTGTACACAGCGACAGAATCTTATTGCGATCCTGTCATTCCTCCTCGTACAGCCGTTTCCTGAGGCGGAACAATCAATTATCTCAATCTTGTCAGAGGTATCTGACGACTTTTGCAAGACTGATCTTGCGGATTGGGTCGCCCTGGACCCTATCCACATCACCTGCGAACTCCTCAAGGCCATCGGGGATAGTGGTCAGGGCAAATCATCCCGGATTTATCAAGCTCTGCAGCTGTTGGCACAACTGGTAGCTCGTCAACGTGGACAATCATCTGGGACGAGACGCAGTGATAGCATGGGGACCTTCCTGGAGAATAATGTTCTCGCCATCGTCACGCATTTCACTGTTCTCCTGAACGATTTGGAGGCAAAGGAGTCCAAGGTCGACAAGAGGCGCTGCCTCGCTGCCCTTGGTGAGGTAGTCAAGCTGGGCAAAACTCGGATTGTGCGAGCTCTTCCTCAGATTTGTGCTTGTCTCAGATCCGGCTTGGATGACCCCGAACTCTGTGATGCTGCCTTTACCTCTTGGGCTGCGATGGTCAAATCGCTGAAGAGAGACGATTTGAGGCCCCTGGTGGACCAGACTCTGGCAATCATTGTCCGAACTTGGGATGCACTTGACAGTCCATCCCACCGCTTAGCATATGACCTTGTCGGCGATTTGCTCAAAAACCACACCGACATCGTGCGAAATCACTTTGCCACAATGCCGTCATTGGCTTCGATCCCGGTAATGGCCAACTTCGAGTCTGACATAATGGCCCTTAAAGGTCAGATGGATGAGCGTCACCAACTCATTGCTTATATCGAGAGACTGCAAGACGAGAACATTGCTGTGGTTGAACAAGCTTTGGTTGAGTTAGCGCCACTTCTATATCAAAAACAGGACTTTCTCCAGAGATCCATCCTCAGGGAACAACCCGATGAATTTGTCGCCGACTTGACTCGTGCATTACTGGATTGTTGCGTGAAGTTCAACACAAGCAATGAGGTCTCGAGGCTGTGTGGGCAGTGCCTAGGCAGTGTAGGATGCATGGATGCCAGCAAGATCGAAAGCCTGAGAGATCGCAAGATCATGGTCGTCCTGGCAAATTTTGTAAGTGCAGACGAGGTTATCGAGTGGATTTTCTTCTTCTTGCAGCACGTCCTAGTCAAAGCCTTTTTGTCTGCGAATACAACGAGAGCCCAAGGCTTCCTCGGCTGGGCGATGCAGCAGTTCCTGAACTCTTGCAGGCAGGATACGTCGTCGGACGAATCTGGCAATCTGGCCTCGAGCTTGTGGAATCAGCTGCCTGAATCTACCCAGAACGTATTGACCCCGTTCATCAGCTCGAAGTATACGGTGCAGGAGGTCCGGGCTCCCGAAAAGAGCCAATATCCTCTTTTCACGCCCGGCATGAAGCATCGCGACTGGCTGCGAACCATTACGTTGGATTTCCTTCACAGAAGCACTGGAGACAACGTCGAAATTATCTTCTCCATATGTTGTCGCATAATCCATGGTCAAGACGCTTCCATTCCAGCTTTCCTTCTGCCCTATGCTGTGGTCAATCTCATTGTTAGTGGCATAGAGCAGGACAGTCAAGATATTATAGCCGAAATCAGCTCAATTCTCAGCCAGACGCTGGACGGCCATGATCGGAAAGTGCAGGACGACATCAAATTGTGCAGCCAGACAGTCTTTGAAATCCTTGACTACATGTCTACATGGCAACAACAGAAGCGCAAACAGTATGCCATGGCTCTCGCAAAGTCAGATCGTGGCCTCAATGATCTGCTCTTGGGCAAAGCCGCGGACCAAATACGCAGTATCGAGCGAGTGCTAGAACAGATTCCGCCCGACGTGCTAGCTCGACGGGCTTTGGAATGCAGGTCTTATTCAAGAGCCCTCTTTCATTGGGAGCAGCACATCCGCAAATGCAAGAAGGACGACGTTGAAGCCGAGCTCCAGAGGCTGCAAGACATTTATGCTCAGATTGATGAACCCGACGGTATTGAGGGTATATCTTCTCGAATGCACGTACTCGATATCGAACAGCAAGTCTTGGAGCACAAGAAGGCAGGTCGGTGGACCGCTGCTCAAAGCTGGTATGAAATGCAACTTGTCGCTAGCCCAGACGATAGTGATGCGCAAAAGAACTTGATGGCTTGCCTCAAGGAATCTGGTCAGTATGACGCGCTCCTCCATCATTTCGATGGCATCAAGAGCCGCAGCAGCAGTTCCACGACGTTACTGGCACCTTATGCTCTTGAGGCCGCATGGGCAACAAGCCGCTGGGATCTCCTATCCAGTTACATTCCTCGAGAGGTTGGACACGATTTTGCTTCTCAGATCGCAGAAATCATGCTGGCCGTCAATAACAAGGATGGTGCAAGGGTGAATCAGCTACTTTCAGAGGTATATCGCACCACTGCCTCTGAACTCAATCCCAACAGCATCTCTTCATTCCAAGCCAGCCACGATACGCTTCTGCGCTTGCATGTTCTCAATGATATGCGATTGATCGCAGAAAGCCCCAAAGAAGATCGTGCCGCCGTGTTGGATTCCTTACGCGGGCGTCTCGATGTGCTAGGATCCAACGTTGCCGACAAACAGTACCTCTTGGGGATCCGCCGCGCTGTAATGTCTCTCAGACCAGACGTGTTCGCCTTGAACGATGTTGCGGCCGCATGGCTCTCGAGCGCCCGACTCGCGCGCAAAGCACGTTCCACCACTCAGGCTTTCAATTCCGTTCTCAAAGCTTCTGTGCTTGGCGACAAGTCAGCAGCAATTGAACAAGCGAAATTGATGTGGTTGGAAGGACACCATCGGAAGGCCATCCAAACTCTTGAAGGAGCCATCGAGTCGGGCGCATTCGTGGCCCATGATTATGTGGCTGACAATGGCCCGACAACAATGACGGTCGAACAGCGCCACTCTCAAAACGAGATCACCGCCAAGGCGCATGTTCTCCTTGGGAAATGGTTGGCACAAGCTGGTCAGACGCAGTCGGAAGTCATCAGAAAAACATTCAGGAAAGCAACAGAAACCTTCAGCAAAGGGGAACAAGGCTGGTACCACCTTGGCCGCTATTACAATAAGGTTCTTGACTCGGAAAGAGCAATGCCTCCTGGCAAGGAGAGCCAAACGTACCTGACGGGAGAAACGGCGAAACATGTCATTGAAAACTATCTACGATCGCTCCTCACTGGGAGCAAATATGTTTTTCAAACTCTTCCGAAAGTGCTGACACTGTGGTTCGAGTTGGTAGATGGGATGGACCTTCCAAGAGATGACCGACGAGGTAGCGCCGAGTTTCACTCCAAGGTTGCGGCGCAGCGAAAACGCATCATTGAGGAAACGAACAACCAGATCAAGAAGTATATTGACCGCCTGCAGCCAGTTTTGCTCTATACAATCCTGCCGCAGATTGTTGCTCGGATATGCCATCCCAGTAAGGTCGTCTGCGAGATTCTCGGCGGTATCGTGGTTAAAGTAGTGAGAGCGTTCCCACAACAAGCATTCTGGACGTTATTGGCAGTGGTGGAATCACAACAGAAGGAGCGGGCGCTAAAGGGTTTGAGCATTGTCAACAAAATCATCGATGTCACAAAGAAATCGAGCAAGGACTCGTCCGCAGCCGAGCTCAGGAGCATGTTCACCAGTGGTCAAAAGTTTGTCAAGGAACTCCTTCGTGTCTCTGAATTTGAAATCAGACAAAAGGTCACGAAAATCAGCCTCGCCAGGGACCTTGGTTTCAACCACAAAATCGCCCCTTCGAAACTGGTGGTTCCCAATCAGGCTTGTCTCATCCCCAGCATGCCCACGAGCTTCGACCCGGCACAGCTGAAGGCATTCCGCCCTTTCGCCAAAGAACCCGTCACGATCAGCGCCTTTGTCGACGAGGCCCTTGTTTTGGCCTCTCTCCAGAAGCCCAGAAAGCTCACTATCCGTGGATCTGATGGCAACATGTACTCTGTTCTCGCCAAACCGAAAGACGATCTTCGCAAAGACCAGCGCCTCATGGAATTCAACAACATGATCAACCGCTTCCTCAAGCGTGACGTCGACGCCGCCAAACGGAGGCTCTATATCCGCACCTACGCCGTGATCCCGATGAACGAAGAATGCGGCTTGATTGAATGGGTGGACAATCTCAAAACGTTCCGGGACATCATCCTCAAGCTGTACAAGGATAAATCCATCCACCCGAACTACGTCGACATTCGAAATCTGCTGGACGAATCCTGCTCCGGGGATGCCGAGAACGCCAAAATCTTCACGACTCAAATCCTCACAAAATTCCCACCTGTGTTTCACGAGTGGTTCGTGGAGAGTTTTCCCGATCCGAGCGCGTGGTTCAATGCCAGATTGAGATATACCCGGTCCGCGGCTGTGATGTCGATCGTGGGCCATGTCTTGGGTCTTGGGGACCGACACGGCGAGAACATCCTCTTTGAAGAAGACAACGGCGGAACCTTGCACGTCGACTTCAACTGCCTATTTGACAAGGGCCTCACATTCGAAAAACCCGAGATGGTCCCCTTCCGGCTGACGCACAACATGGTCGACGCCATGGGCGCGGGCTACGGCTATGAAGGACCTTTCAGAAAGTGCTGCGAGATCACGCTGACGCTTTTACGGTCGAATGAGGACGCCCTCATGACCATCCTCGAAACATTCCTGCACGACCCGACCACGGATTTCATAAACTCCGCGGGACGCCAGAGGAAAAAGGTCGTCTCGGGAGTGCCTAGCACGCCCGTCGAGGTGCTCGAGGGCGTCAGCGCCAAGGTTAGGGGAATGTTGCCAGGCGAGTCGGTGCCCTTGAGCGTGGGCGGCTATGTCGACGAGATGATCAGTAGAGCTACCGACGAACGTAATCTGTGTAGGATGTATATTGGTTGGTGTGCTTTCTTTTGATCTCTCATCATCGCGGCGTCGTCAATTCAAGGACGGAGATATACCTTCTCCTCGAGGCATTTTGTGAGGTGGCTTCGTTGGCGTGATTGGGTGATGGCAAAGACAGAAAGACTCGCGAAGAAACAACCAAGGTTCATTGACGAGTGCAGTGAATTTATCTGTGTACGGTGTAAGTAGTTGTTGGCGAGGACTTGTGTGTAGAATTGGGAGTAGCACCAATTCACGCTTATCATTGAGCATACTGCATCTTGTCATAAGTACTCGGTATACGCAAAGGAAAACCTTGATCCGCTTCCAGCCCAGCCCTGGCGAGCATTTCTTTTCCTCCTCTAGTTCTCGTATCTCTCACTTTTTTGCATAAAACCTTTCTCTACGAAACAGAAGTTCCCATTCTAGCACCATCATATTGTAACACCCACTGATGGCCACGTCAATAAGGGGATAGGAAAGGGCCAGTCACCCGCCAAATCAGTCATTCTGAACGGGCGAAGATGAAAACATATCGTCGGCGTCCAGACCCTGGGACTCTTCCTTCTCCTCCACTGCAGGTGCTTCTGCTTCGATGCTGTCGCCAGCCTTGGATGTTTCCGCGTCTTCGCTTTCGGATGCCTCAGACTCTTGCGTTCGGGCGGCAGGAGCAGTGAGGCTTGATGATCTCGGTCCAGCCGTGTCGGGGTTGGGGTCCAGGCCAAGCTCAAGCTGTCCAGAAAGTCCCAACCCGATTGGCGCTGTGCCTCGTAGGGGCGATGAGGAGAACATGTCTGCACCGTCGGCGTCGTCGGCTTCATCAGCGACAGATGGCGCAGGACGGAAAGTTGCTGGCCTGGCTGCGGACGGTGAAGATAGTGGTGCTTCGCTGATGACATGTTGGCGTGCTTCCTGCTCGGCGATCAACGCGTCCAACTCGTCATCCTGGGTTATTTCCTGGTCCGCTGCTGGGGCGGTGCGCTCTTTGTTCTGAGTGATAGATGCCTGTCTGCTGCTAGGCTTCGATTGAGCAGTGCTGGGTTGCATGCGCGCTTCCTGCTCTGCAAGCAGGGCATCTAGATCGTCCATTCCATCATCGTCATCGTCACTGTCGCCTCCGCCAAAGGGCGAAGGATTGAGCTTGGGCGCAAATGTAGACGTGTGCTGAGATGTAGGAGGCAGCGGTGGAGGTTCACGACTCATTTCCTGCTCGGCCAATAACGCGTCAAGATCATCATCGCCCTCGGAATCATTGTCCTCTGTTGGTTTCGACATAGACAACGGACGCGTGGTGATGCGTGTCTCCTGCTCGGCTAGTAGTGCATCGAGATCGTCGTCGTCCGGCAGCATACCATCGTCATTACCATCATTTGCTTTGTTGCGTGCGTCCGGAACGAATAAAGAGTCATCCTCTGCGCCGCCGACAGCATTCACAGCCTCCTGCTCCACGCTCTCTGCTACCGGATGATCCCCAGCAAACAGATCATCCGTCTCCTTGTCTGCCATTTCTTTTTCCTTTTCTAACATCTTCTTCGCCTCTCTATCTCTGATATATCCCGGCTTCCCTTCATCAATCCACTCTTTCCTCATGACTTGCATGCGTCGGCTGTGCCCGACCTTCTCGATCAATTGTAGTCCATCAGCGAACTTGGCCCGTGGGTAGAGATTGTCCAGCCATAACTGATAGTAGTTCAACAGCCGTGCGACGTCGGAAAACTCATGGCCTTTTCCCTTGAGACGTAGCTTTTTGGAAAACTTCCCAGAGCGTGCATCGGCGCGTAGCTTGGGGATTCCTGGTGCCGAGAGGAGTCTTGCTTCGTCAAGTTTTGAGATTGGTTTCCTCTTCTTTGTGACTTTGACCTCCTCGTCCAGACCCAGACTGGCGTCCAGCTCGTCTACTGCTTTTCGTTTGTAGCGCGGACTCGTTGATGGGCGGTCGTTGAAGGGATCGTCATGGTCAGAGTCTTCGATGTTGAGCAGGCCATTAACGGTTGCTGCAGTCAGTGGATCTGCCGCCATACTGTGGTATTGTCCTCTTCATTACGAGGTACTGTGTTGTAGAGAGGTTGAGCAGCGGTGGGTTGTATTTCAACGCGGGAAACGCGTTCAATGAAATCCGGACGCGTCGTGACTACGTCATTTGAAACTATAGAGCTATTCCAGATTTGATCTAGTCTCTTGGCACTCCAAGCTCCGCATGCTCGTTGAACCTCAAGATCCAATGCTGAGGAACGTCGACAAGTAAGGACTGTCGCTGCAGCCATGGCCGACGAGCAGAAGGTGTTTATCCCACCCAAGCGGGTGGACACAGACTATCCGGTAAGGTCGAACGACAATGAAGGACAGAATGAAGCTGACATCTACCGACAATAGATTATCGACACAGACCCGTACGTCCCTCCTTCATCACACGGTTGAGAAGCTTCTCACGACCTGCTACTGACAATCCAAATCCCCAGTCACTGGAGAAGAGCATTCGGATATGCGAGAAGAGAAGACTGGTTATACGGAGCCGGAATGGCAGCCGTGGGCCCGGCGTTCATGCTCGTCACGGAACGATACGCTCCCTCGTTTGCCGGCAAAGGCGCTTTTCCCATGGCTTTCCGACTCGGCTGTGCCGTCGGCATACTAGCAGGCGCAGGATTGGTTTATCAGAGGAGTTGCTGTAGGTGTCCACCGCGAGAACGAATGCGCAGATCGGCTTGGGTGAGCTTGGACTGACGAAGACGGCGACGACAGTGAGATTCTACGGCTGGACGGAGAACGAACGAGAAGTCAAGATGGACATGAGAGAGATGGTCGACAAAGTCAAGAAGGGCGAGCCACTGTATGGCAAGTCGGACCTCACCCCTTACATGCAAGGTGTCGCGGCGCGGAACAGCAGATACTCAGCACTGATGGCAAACGTGGTACCGTGGGCGAATTTCGTCAACCATAACCAGGTGAGTATATACCCACTGAATGATCGGAGACGTGACGAGCTGAGATGTGTCTTAGCACGGTGTGGACACTGCCAAATATTACCAGCAAGCAGAGCGAGAGTTGGAAGCCGAGAGGTTATCGAAAGCCAGCAAGTGAGAGAGATGAGAATTTCGAAGACATGAAACAGAAGACGAAAGTTTCAACCCTGCTGCAAGCGTCGACTTGCTTCTACTCCCGCGATTGTACATAGGGCACATCAGGTCAGGTGATCAGAAAGTACGCCGGACGGCCCCTAGAGCGAATCGACCACGTCTGGACAGCACACTGAAGTTCTGACTTTTCTTTCTTTCCGCTTGTCTTCTTCTCCATGAGGTCTAGTATATATAAATACTACTAAACGGAGTCCAGGATCCCCAAGGCTGGATAGATCCTTGCATCTTCTGACCAGACAGATGTATCCTTTCACACAGACTGTTTTGCACCAGCTCTGCCACCTTTCTTTCCGGGTAAGTTCCCAGATTCAGCGACTTGCGAGATAGGAAGATCAAGGTGAAGGCGCCAAGGTGTTTGCTTTGCTTCCTCTGCCAACATTCACGATGGCAAATCTCGCTGCCCTAACCATGTCTTCCTGTGAATATCGCCCTTTATGGGTGTTGTCGAATCGTTCAAGAATGGCGTTTGCATCTCTCACTCTGCACACATTGCATCTCCGGTTCCACACATATCTCATTGTCTAACCAAAATGCGCGACCAACCAGGAGAGAACAAATGGGCGGATGTTGATGTCAGCTACACTTCGGCTCTCTGGGAAGAGCGTGGTACGTGGTCATAGCCCCTACACTGTCCACTTTTCCTTTGTTAACCGCGACTCTAGGTGTCGTCGCCAGCGAAGTATTCATTGTCCCCACCGTCGTGTCCGGCAAAGGCACTCGTCACCTCCTGTCCATCACAGACCAAGGCATCAGCGACCTCGGCGCCCAAGCTACCGACCTCGCCGACGAAGCCAAAACCGTCGACCACGAACAAACCGCCATCAAGTTCGCTCTGCTCCAGGAGCACCGTTTCAAGCAGCAATTAGAGCGGCGGGGGTTGACAGAGCTGTCGGCACGAATCCGCGCGTTCCGCGTCCTCCAGGATTTCGAGGCGTACGCGGCGTTGGTGGACCAGGCACACCAGCTGGCAGAGCATTTGCTGGGCAAGTTCGGGCAGTTGCAAAAGGTGGCACAGCGCGTGCTTGCCGAGCAGGAGGAAAAGGGCGACGAGCTCACCCGGACGCCAGAAGCGGTCAAGAAGCTCACCATCAGCATGAAGTGCGTGGATACCATCTGGGCCGACATCATCTCGTCGTGGACGAAGCTCAAGACGTTGAGGAACGAGGTGCAGGAGGCGAAGGTGGCGTTGCCGCCGATACGCCGAAGTGTGAGGGTTGTCAGAAAGGACGATGATGGTGTAGAAGATGGAGATGGAGAGGGCGAGGGCGATGGCAATGGCGAAGCAGCGCAGGAAGATGCTCAGTAGAATCCTTGCGAGGAAGGCAAGGGAGAGGGCGGTCCCTTTAAGTGTCGTTTTGCGCCAGTTGGGCAAATAACCAGAACCAGAACCAGAACCAGAACCAGAACCAGAACCAAAATCAAAATAACCACACACACACACAGAGAGAGAGAGAGAGAGTCCTTCATTCTTGACTTTGACCCCCAGTCCCACTCTCCAACCTCACAATCGCCTCCCCCAGCATAATCAACCTCTCCTGATACCTCCTCCCCTTATTCTGATCCCACGCATTCGCAAACTCAATGACACACAGATCCCTCGCCTTCCGGCGATCCAGCCCCAGGTCGTTATTCACAATGGCCCTGAACCGATTCCTGGTCGTGCAAAACAGGTACACCAGTTCCTCGGCGTACTCGCCGATAAAACCGCGGACCACGTCGCGCGTGATACGGTCACTGGAAAACGAGTAGGATTCGGTCCCGTAGATGGAGTGGAACAGCCCCGCGTCGCAGACTTCTTGGGGCGCGCCGTGGGTTTTGAGGTACGTGTAGACGTTGAGGAGGTGTTGGTAGAAGGATTTTTGGATGTGGCGTTGCGTTGCCGTGATGGATTGGAGGAATGTGAATTTGTCTTCTGTATGAGGAGTGGCGGGTTCGGGATCGGAGATGGACATTAGTACCTATGGACTGACTATTGGGTGCTGGGGGCTGTTGAGGACTGGTTCCTTTTTACGACGTAGGGGGAGCGGGATATTATTATATTGTAGATTGTAGATTGTAATTAGTGATGAGACGGATGAGATGAACAGGCTGAGCCACTCAACTCATGATGAGGCTGAGCCAAGTAGAGCCAGGTCACATGATCCCCGAGTGAACACTGACCAACAATGCCATGCTAGATCTTCTCACCGTACCAAGCACAGGGTATGTCGTTCTTGAATTTATTCAGTATCACTTATGCTACTTTACATAGCGACCTCGACAATTCCGTGTAACTCTAAATTACCTATTGTTCGGGTCCATTTGATCGGCTTTCGCCAACTCCCAAACCCATCGACCAGCGCTGTCATTCCTACATTCCCTACCACACCTGCAGAGATTGGGCGGATGGTGGAGCATGATGCGGATGCTATCTTGCCATCCACGGCCTGTCGGAAATTCTTGACCACGCCGGGCACGCCAATTGTAAGTATTGTTCCTGCTGGTACGAACAGCGGCAACCAGACTATTGATCATGATGGCCAGGGTAGAGATGGGGGGATTACGAGACAGCTCCAGATACGCGGTCGCCAACTGAGGCGAACATGGCATTGACCTTGGCGTCCACCTCTCTCCAATCCCTGTCCCGGAGAGCGTCTGCCACAGCGTCAGAGTGCCGTCTCTGATCGTGATAAAGATAGATGGTGCCCAAGTCCTTCAAGAGCTCCGTGCGTCTCTCCTTGGTGCGTATCTGGAGGCCTTGATGGCACTGTGGAGTAACTTGTCGATGCTCAATGTCAAGGTTGACAGACCGTATAGAACAGCATCGTCGATCTCCTGACCGCTTCGACGTATAGGTCGCCAATGAGAAATTGACGGACCTTAATCTCACTTGAGTCTGTTGCACTTGTCGACAATGTCATGTTCGCGAAGGAGGCTCTAGCCGAGCTAATCCCACTGTCGTTGTCTTTGACGGACCTCTTCGAGGCATCGAGGATACTCTTCGAGCTGTGCGCTGGATGTGACTGGAATCCGCCGGTAGACATACGCCCGTCCCTTGCGCTCTCCAAATACCTTTGGCGCTGCAATCTTTCCTTGTTCGACAGCATCTTTTACCAGGCAGGGCTGGGGACCCCAGAAAGCCGAGCGGTCATTGAGCCTCTCTTGTGTCCGACTTTATCGTCCCGCGAGAACAAGACCTGTTGGACTTGTTTGTTGAAGCTGACAGCCTTCCGGACTGGAGCTTTTTCAAGGGCTTGCTCTGATTTCAAGCCAGGGCGCGAGCTCATATCGAGGCTGGCTCTGCTCATCACCACCTTGGCGTAAGCATGAGAGCGACAGACAATTGGCCTTAGTGGCGAAGGCCGCTGCTGCTGATTCTGCGGCAGTTTCATCACAGAGATGAGGTCCGTGTAGGAATATGGTACGCCGGAGACACCGCCGTACTCGCAGTGCTCAGAGCCAAGGGCGGTGTGACAGCATCTCTTGACACCATGAGGAGCCCCCTTGAGGATGGAAGTGGCGATGAAGCGGGGGACTCGCGTCGGTGGTTTGTCGAGGGCGGTAGCCTCAACAGCTTTTTGAGAAGTACTGTTGATGTCGGACATGTTGTTGAAGGAGGTCTATAGAGATAGAAGAACGGAGAAACTGGTAACGGTGTCTCTCTGATGAGCAGAGAGTCGCGAGGGTTGGTTGAGTAATATGTGCTAGGTTGTATGTTCGACGAGGAAAGATGAGACATGAGAGATGGAAACTGAACTCTGAGACTGAAATGGTCAGCAAAACCGTGCATCCTTATATGGGAATTTGCGTGAGGACCTGTGGTTGCGCGTGGTTGGAACCATGGTACTGGGTCGGCGTGGCGGACCACGAAGGTAATTTGATTGAAATTCCCCATGAGTTGAACGAAGCAGGAGGTTGTAGACTTCATTTGCGTCTAATGGAGTGAGCGCAACGAATTGAATAGATACTTGACCTTGATTTCTAGGGAGCGATGGGGAGTTCCTTGCGAGGAGGCTTCTTGCACCGTGACCCGGGAAAAGAGACTTGGGGTTGATGGCAGGAATTCTGTTCCAATACTTTAGCTTTGCCATAGCTTAGACGAAAACCACGTTCTTTTGAGTATCCGCTCGGAATATGCCACTTCTAAAAGACCTCGTTGGCTTGAATCATCGCATATTATATCGTGACAACGGGCAAGGCTGAGGCTCAAACGGACAAGCGAAAAGGAGGCGTCGACGTCACAAGGCCGCGGGCCCCTGAAAAGCCTCGTTTGCGGAAGGTGGCCCGATCTCAATTGCGGACAAGTTTCATGTTGGACACCAATTCCTCCGCAACACAGCACAGACTCAGCCGGAGGATTGGCTGTTCCTCTGCGATTTCAAGATGATACTGAGGTCAGAATTGCTCGTCCTCTCCCATTTGCTCGCATCCCAGGCCTGGGCAGCAGAAACAAGAGCCTCCGAGTCTTCGCGGCCCAGAGGCGTCGGTCCTGAATGTAAGAAACGAGCCCGAGATCTCAACACTCTCCAACTCCCGCCCTCAATAGCGTCCCTTTCTTGGTGTTTTCATGCTCTCAAAATGTGTCCAGACAGCTAAATATGGGGCCGTTGTCTTTTCCGCAGTTGCAAAGTTCTACAAGAGTTCGCCGTCAAATACATTCACATGCATCTCCAACCCCTCGATATCCATCCCCTTCTCCCGCGTCAATGACGACTTCTGCGACTGCCCCGACGGCTCAGATGAACCGGGCACATCCGCCTGCTCCTATATATCACCTCTATCTCCTCCACAATACCACCCCGGACCAGACACACCTGCCAGCGTGTCGATAAACAGCACCCTGGCCTTGCCGGGATTCTACTGCAAAAACAAAGGCCATCTCCCCGCATATCTCAGGTTTGAGAGTGTCAACGATGGCAGATGTGACTATGATCTATGTTGTGACGGGTCAGATGAGTGGGCAAACGTCGGGGGCATCAAGTGTGAAGATCGGTGCCAACAGATCGGCAAAGAGTACAGGAAAACGGAAGAGACGCGACAAAAGAGCCTCAGGGCGGCGTTGAAGAGGAAATCTCAGCTTGCGACGGAAGCAACGCAGCTGAAGAAGGAAGTCGAGATAAAGATTGAGGATGCCGAAATCAAACTCAAGGGGTTCCAGATCAATGTCAAGGAGGCAGAGGAGAATCTAAAAGAGGTGGAGAGAAGGGAGAAATCAAAAGTTATCAGGGGAGAAGCTGGCGGGAAGGGCACCGGCAAGCTTGGTGTCCTTGTCGGACTGGCTAAAGCTCGAGTGGACGAGTTGAGGGCTCATTTGGAAAAGACAAGATCCCAGAGAGACAGTATGGTCGCCCGGATCACGGAGTTGGAGGGCATTCTGGCGGCGCTCAAGGACGAACATAACCCTAATTTCAACGATGACGGGGTGAAACGTGCCGTCCGCGGGTGGGAAGACTACGCCGCGAGAGACACGGACGATACGTGGACCGAAGCCGAAGACCGTGACCTTCTCGCCGTTCTCGCCGAAGATAGTGAGACAAACGGGATCAACTGGGCCGAGTTCGAGAATGACTCCGCAGAGTCCACGGCGGAATCAGACGTGGCGGCCCTCTACAGTTTCAGCGCCTATTTGCCGCCATCGCTCCGCCTGTGGCTCGACGAGACCCTTGTCTCGTTCCGCAAGGTCCTGGTCGAGAATGGGATATTGGCGGATACGTCCGGCGATCCCTCTGCCACTGGGCAAGAGTCCAAAGCCGTGCAGGACGCGAAGAAGACGCTTTCCGACGCAGAGCGGGACGTTCGCAATGCGGAGAACGACCTCAAGCGATTCCGCGAGGATCTCGAGAAAGATTACGGTCCTGAAGGTGGCATTTTCCGCGCGTTGAAGGATACGTGCATCTCCAAGGACAGCGGCGAGTATGAATATGAACTGTGCTTCATGGGCTCGACGAAGCAAAAGCCCAAAAAGGGAGGCGCACACACGGGGATGGGCAACTTTGTCGGCTTTGACACGGAGTATGTCGATGAACCTTCTCCAACCGCTGACGGCAAGGGATTGGGCACCGGCGAGAGGTTGGTCATGAAGTACGAGAACGGCCAACATTGTTGGAACGGACCGAATCGGAGTACGAGGGTCATTCTTGCCTGTTCGGAGAAGGAGGAAATCTGGAAGATCAGCGAGAGTGAAAAGTGCGTTTATCGCATGGAGGTCGGCACGGCGGCGGTGTGCGAATCGCAATTGTCTTCGAAAAAGGATGGTGGAGTTGACGAGACTAGGAAAGATGAGTTGTAAAGGACGGACGGAGTTTTGAAGGGTTCTAGCTTTTCCTGGGGAACGACGGCGAGGAGGTCCGGAGTCGATCTACTATATCGAGTATTAGTTGGTCTAGCTTTGCCAAAATCAATGCTCAACGTTCAACCCGCCCCTCTTGATTGCTACAATTGGAAATCGAGACGATTCGAACGGTCACGAGCTCATCATGTCGCCTTGCGCAAGTGGTGACATGTCTCCCAAAGAGCTCCCTGATCTCCTGGTGGTACGTACACTGATATTACCAGGATCAGCCGCTCCGGAAGTCTGACCACTGCCGACCGTCATGTCCAGAGACTCGATTCAGTACTTGCTCTGCCTCCACCTCTTTAAACACTCACAGCATGTGCTCCGGATTGGCCGTCTCCCTTCTCTGCACGACGAGGGGGATGATAATCTTGGTCCACTTGTGATGCCCCCCATAGGTGTTGTCAACAATCGGCGGCCTTGGATTGTTCCGCGCATGAGGTTTCTTGAATCGCAAACGACCCGTCAGGTCTTGGCATCTTCTCGTCATTCATCAGGCTTGTCGTGTATTCTTCGCCTTGCTTTTCTCACATTGAGCTGGATCATGTGGAAAGCTTCTACCTCATGTCGAGACGGGGAGAGCCTTTCAGCAGCAGTTCCGGCTGAACGTCGGATTCGTGTCGACCTCCGCATGGCACGCATTTCAAGACGCTGGCGGCGCACTCCCGGCGCGGATCCCCCCATGTTCGTCCAGAACAGCTAGCAGGTTTGATGTTGTCCACCTTGATCGGGTAGAGTTCGTCTCTCAGCACTCTGATGCCTGCGGCTCCTTTCGCTTCTACTGCCTTCTTGACCATGTGTAGCTCTTCTTCATTCCTGCATGCAATTTTGATACGGCTCGTCACCGTTGCGTCCCTGGTCATCCAGAGCCAGTGTTTGCGGCGGTGGTATTATTCGGGAGGGCTCGCGTGAGTCTGGTTCGGTTTGCTGCGATTGATGTCCACGTCTGCGTCGAGGGCAGCGACATTGAGAAGGTATTGACTTGGTCCCAAGGCAAGCAGACTTCATTCTTGAGCTCATCGTTCTGTTCTTCCATATTGTTGTTCCGCTTTAAGCTCCTTCAACTCGGCTTGAGCCTCTTGGATCGTCTTATCTTGTTGGTCAATGGTCTCTTGGAGTTCTTTGACCAGCAGAAGGTCTTCCAAGGTATTTGCGGTGTTCTCATTTTTTTCCTCATAATCGTCGCCACTGTCTTCGACATCTTGGAATTGTGACCGGTGGGGGCTTCGGGCTCGATTGGTTCGGCGCGTACGCCGGATCGTCTGGTTCTCGCGGACCTTTGTGGTCGGTGCTGTAAGACGTTTGCTTCGAGGTGCTCGGGCGAGCTTTGCTGGTGATTGGGTGATGGTTGCTCTGTTCGGCGTGCGACTCATCATAGCGATTGGGAGCGGCTGGAGCCGGCGCTAAGGACGCGGGGTTCTTTGCGGGGCCGCGCTTACCCTTAAAGCTTGTTTTTTCCTCGCTAAGGGCTTTCAGAAGTGCCACACTCAAACGTATTATCATCCGTCGTCGTCGAATATACCGTCGCGGTGGCCCAAAATCCTCCCCCCTCCAGACTGTCAAGTTTTAACGAGGGCCTAAAGGAGGGCTTAGGGGGTCCCCTGGGAAGGCACCACGGGCACATTCCCTCCTTCACCCTGCGAGAGCGAGTCGGTTCTTCCATGAGCGTGATGGCCTCGCACTACGCGTACTTATGTCCCTAGCTTGAGAGGGTTCCTAGGAATAGTCCCATGCCCCGTTCTAACGTTTTAATGACTTTCTACCTTCCTTGTCGTCTGCTCTGTCAAACACTTACATATGGAACCGTGCAAATCCTCTGCCACCGCTTCAAGTTGTGCAAACAGAGCTTCTCGGCATTCCTGCCCATTTTGCTATGTAATGTATGGTAGCTTCGGGCCACTCACACGGCCTCTAGTCAAAAAATTGTCGCCGCGCGACCTGCTAGGACGAGGATGTTGGGGAAACTCCCAGGTTCATGTTCTTTTGACTTTCTACTTATTCCCTAGCATGTTCAGGAGCCAGCCCGCGGGTGTAGAGCAACACCCCACCTATCCTTCTACACGTACAACCCTTTGGACAACACCATGAATGCACTTCTCTCATCACGACTGCGAGGGTCGCCAACAATCGCGTGCCAGAGTCCACCCTCGGTGCAAGTCCAAGCCGGACGAACCTCGACCTTGGAGAGGTTGCCAGCCGAAGTTCTGCTGTGTATCGTCTCCCTTTTGCCAACGAGCTCTGTCGCCTGTATGAGCCTGACCTCAAAATGGAACCACGAAGCCCTCTTCGACCAATTTGATCCAAAATGGCGAGACAACGATACAGAAAAAGCACGCTTCCTTCGGCTTCTAGAGGAGGACTTACCCGAGATGATGGTATGCTGCAGCTGCAATATTCTGTACCGTTGGGAGAAATCATCGCGGTATCTATGTCCTAACCGTCATAACCGCCATGACCACACGTTGTTGAAGCGTGGCGCACCTTGGTGCTTTACCCACGAACCCGTCCTGATCTATCGTAATGTGGTCGACGCGTTCCTGAGAGGATTTGCCAAAGGCTCGCGATACGGTCCGCAGCTCGAAGAACTAAATCACACCTGCCAGTCGAATGTCGTTGCACTCTTTCCCGAGGGCGTGTGTATTAACAAGACGATTGACGCTCGCGTTGTCAGAGGGAAGCTTTTACTTCACAGTGTTCACAACCTATCCGTATCATTACTAGCTCAACCATCGAGCCCTCTGATTTCACGAGTCGATCTAAGTCAAATTGTCTCTAATAGACTTTTATCTGCAATCTATAAATTCACCGCCAGAATCGGCTGTACTCATACTCCAGACAGAGTCCCCGCGGTCATTTTATATGCGTTCCGGCTCCGGGTAGGCTGTTCCGGCGACCGAACGAGAAGCCTGGATCTGTTGAGCTGTGGTCGCTGCGCCACCGACCTGCGAGTCCGGGTGGAACTGGACTGCGGCGGTACGTGCGCCCAAATTGAAGTCGAGATATGGCAGTCTTTTGGAGGTCGAGGCTCTGACAACAGGGACGAGGCAGAGGATGCACATTTCTCTGAAGAACCTATGATAGATGAGCCCTTCGATATTAATCATCCTCCTGTTCGCGACCTGGAGAAAGTGTTCAAAGGAGGAGTTAAAGGAGAGTGCGCAGGGTTGTGGTCCCCAAATCAGCCTCGAAGTCGCCAGAGCTGGATCCAGTTGTGGAAGTGGCACTATGACCCAATCATGGCTCAATTGCGCAGATACGGTGTCCCCTGCAATGATGACAGGATGCCAGCTCGAATTCAAGACCAGGCGCTGCCCTTGCAATGGTGACGGGATGCCAACCTAAATTCAAGACAAACGCATATTACTCAAAAATAGCTAGATTACAGTGTTTAGAAGCGGTGGGATCCGTTCGAGAGGGGAGCTCCACCGACGAACCTTCCCTATGTATGCTAAGAAGCTTCCATCGGACCGTTATCGAAGCAACTCCAGCTACCTTTCTGCCATGGTGATGGAAGCCAAGAGCATAAGATGGAGCGAAAGCCCTTAAACGGGAAAGCACGCTGTGTGAATCTCGTTAATAAGGGAACTAGGTGCGGGGAGCTGAGCTGCTGTCGCTCTTGCTGAGATTGCTAGTGTCAAGGCCAGGGCCAAGGGGGAAGGCGAAGACGGTTCCTACTCTTGTTCGGTTCGGTTCTTCTTAGCACGGGTCAATGAAAAGAGGGCAGTTATCTTGTTACCTCGAAAGCCCTTCCGCATTCCCCTGCCACCATAGAAAGCTAATGTGATGGAATCTAAAAAGACTTCCGAAAATGGAGGATTCGAGTTCTCTTCTGTTTCGGAAACACTCTCCTTAATTATTACCCTAAAAGTTCCACCGTTCATAGCTTGCGGTGAATTGCGCCTTTGGGCAGCTGAAGAATGCATAACTCGCTGCAAATCTCCAAGTTAGTGGTACGGCACAATCAAGCATCTATTTGTCCCTTCAAGTCAATACTGATGTAAAGAGACTTCCATAATAACCATCAAAATGAAGTTGATGGCACATTTCAAGGTGCTCTCCCTCGAGCCACATCGTCGAACCCGGTCATCACATAATCTTGTAGACCAGCGCCTCGTACCTGCTACAACTGGGTATCAACAGCCACATGATAGAGAAGGCCCCGGACTCGGAGCCCGCCTGCGCACAGTGCCTAGACGGCCCTGATCACAGTGTTGCATGGTCAAGTGTACGCCTTTTTGTAACACGATCATCGGAAATATGAGGAGAGTGAGGTGAAAGTATTCACCTAGCTTTTGGCCGAAAGTGTTCTAGAGGTAAATTGGCAACTTTAGGCCGGGTGCCAGTAACGGCGCCCCTGGCCCAGACGTAGGCCCTAATTGATCCGTTGCTCAGGCTGAGTTGATACCATGCTCAGTCACGTGGGGCCGCACCTCAGGTTGAGGCGGCGAGGCTCAGGATATGCTCAGGTCCAGAGATGGAGATGGAAAGTCCTCGTGTCGAGATTCCGACCTCGAAATCCCTGTTTCCATATATTCCGGAAACAGCACGTCTATCTCTTGAACAGATCGATGATCACTTTATGTCTGGCAGACCGGCATGGAAGACTTCTAGCTCACGAAACCAAAAAAAACTCAGACTGGAGTCGCCGTTGATCACACCGTCGAGATATTTCATTAGAAATTTGAAGGTAATTGAACGAGAGAGGGTGAGGGTAAACCATGTCGAGGACACCTTGTACTTGCTCGAATCCAAGATGAAGTGTTTGTGGTAGATCGGATGATGAGTGGCCCATGTCAAATAACGCAAATTACATCAAACAAGTATTTCTAAGTCAAGCTGCTTTTCTAGCCAGGTTACTCCGGTCAAAGTCCCTTCGCGGCGGTAAAGATTTGCCCTTGTTTGTTTACAGATATACTGTTCTACTAGAAATCGCCAGGCACAGTTGTAAGTCGCAGCAGAACTGATAGTCATATTTTGTCTGACACACTGAGTCAACACGGTTACAGAACTAGACGGCGTGTATCGAATTCCTTTATAGAGCTGGTTGGGGTCAGTTGTCTCGAACATGTGACGTGAATTTCCTGCGGTCTATTTCGCTGCTATCCATGCGGCATTGGCACCGGTGATTCTTTGGATGCTCTCACTATCGTCCATACCAGGTAGATCAGCAGGGATTGCGTACCCCAGCGTCGCCAACAGAGCCCCGAGATATCTGTAGCTCTTGCGTTCTGGGCCTTTGCTTTCGAGGTCTAGAGCTCTGGTAACAGCAGTGGGATATGCCGGTACAACGGCCTCCCGAACGTAGATGCACTCCAATGACAACATCTTCCACGCATCGTCAACCTTGACCAATCGTGACAAAAACCTGGAAATCGAGGTAAGATCATACTCGGTCCCCTCTTCTGTGAACCGAATGGTGATGCTACCTGTCGATTCGGATATTGCCCTGTCGCCGCTGGCATTCACGAGGATCTCAACCGGGCTAATGGTGTGCAGCGCAGAGACGCCAGCGGCATACATGCTCTCAGAGCCTTTCACGAAGCCATCGATGTCGCCGGAGAACCTGAAGCAAGCTGTTATCATTTGTGAGACCGGATGGGCTCGCTCTAGACACAAAATGGTACCATGTTATATTAATAGAGGTTTGGGACGCGTCTGGGTGATATGATGATCGCAACTTCGTCCACTGCCCGGTGTCTCTGTAGTATCTCTCGCGTTTGAGCAGAGATGCAATCAGAGATTCAGTTTGGGGATCTGCTGATGCCATTTGGGCGTTGGATGACCTGATAGTTTATGAATTTCTGATGGGAAAAAGAATCGAATGACAATCGCACGGACGATGGGACCCCCTACAGAGATTAAAACCCCTCGGTGAATCCCTGGAACGATATCCACACGTTCTTTTCCACCGTGTTAAGCGACAACTGCGAAGTTGTTCTGTCACCCATAGGTTGGAGACAAAGCCAGAAGATGAGTCCCACGTATACCCCAACCGAGGCAATCTTCGAGTCCCACCTCGCTAATATCTGGCCCCTGGTGCGGTACCACACAATCCTGCGCAAAGATCCTGCCATTTTATGTTCGAGATCTGGAGTTTCTCTCCTGGGGATTCTATTTTCTGGGGCAGATCCCACTATACTAGTTGGTGGTGTACCGCTTTTGGCGTAACTCAAGCTCCATCTCTTGGCTCCCTGCCTTGTGTTGGCTGCAATGGTCCCACCACTGACGTTCCGGCAACGGGGACCTTGAGACCAAAGCCCTTAGGAGTATGTCATCCTAAGCGACATATCTCGTTCTAGCTTACCACGGTCCCACAGCTGATCGAATCTGCGGGGGACGACGCTGAGACCGGGATTGGTAAAAACAGGGTTGAATATCAGTGCTGTGGCTCTTCTGTTTATATTCCAGCCCTGCCAATCTCAAGGTCACTTAGCCATACATCACAGAGGAACCTAATGCCGTGACATACCTGCCTTATTGAAGAACTAGACACAAAGCAAAGCGAGGATGTATCTCATTTTCGTTGGTGGCGCCCTGCTCTTTTCCTACTGGCTTTTCCGAACACTCCGAGACAAGAAAGCAAAACCGCTTCCACCTGGGCCACGTCGTCTGCCATTGATTGGCAATCTGCATCTAGCTCCACAGGAGAACCCATGGAGAACGTATCAGGAATGGACAAAGCGTTATGGACCAATATTCAGCCTGCAGTACGGTCTGAACACAATTATCATGTTGGGCACATACGAAGCGGCCCACGAGCTGCTCGACAAGCGCAGCAACATATACAGCTCCCGACCACGAGTAGTCATGGGGGGAGAGAATGTCAGCCGCGGGATGAGAACCCTTCTGATGCCTTACGGGCCGCAGTGGCGCAATCACCAGCGACTGCAGGCGTCGTTTCTCAATATCCGCGTGTCCCAGGCCTATTGCGATCTCCAGGATGTGGAGAGCAAACAGCTCCTCAACGACCTGCTTGCACCAGATGCCGAGTACTCAGATCGATTCCATCGTTACGCATCAAGCTTGATATTCGCCCTCGCATATGGGCGAAGACTTCCGACCGGTCATGAACCTGAGGCAAAAGCCATTGACACCGTCATGGAGAACTTCCTTTACGCTGCCCGTGTTGGTACCTGGATCGTTGACGCAATACCGATTCTCAACCATCTGCCCACCTTTCTGGCTCCGTGGAAGCGGTATGCCGCTAAACTCCATGATTTCGAATCGGAGCTGTACATCGGTAATCTCAAAGATGGCCTGAAAACCGCGTCCTGGAATTGGTCAAAGCAGGTGCAAGAGATGAAGGAGTCAGACGGAATGTCTCTTAAGGAGTTGGCGTATGACGTTGGAATTGTGTACGAAGCCGGCAGTGACACAACGACTATGGCTCTCGAGGTCTTCACCCTTGCCATGATATTGTACCCTGACGTCATGAAGAAGGCGCAAAAAGAGATTGATTCCGTTGTTCTCGGCTATCCGTCCTACTCGGACAGACAGGTCCTACCATACGTGGATGCGGTCGTGAAGGAGGTGCTGCGGTGGCGACCCGTCTCCGCGGGAGGAATTCCCCACGCTGTGACTCAGGACGACGAGTATATGGGTTACCGGATCCCCAAGGGAGCCACCGTGATTGGAAACCACTGGTCGATCCACCTAGATGAGGGCGTCTACAAGGATGCCTATTCCTTCAATCCCGACCGCTGGATCCAAGAGCCAGACCTGCCACTCGCGGCTTTCGGATTCGGACGTCGTGTCTGTACGGGGCAACACATTGCCAAAAACTCACTCTTTATCAACATTGCCCGGCTTCTGTGGGCTTATAATATAGGATATGCGTATGAGGTGGTTGGAGGCGAGAAGAAAAGGATCGAAGTCGACCCTTTTGCCTTCACCCAGGGGTTCAACTCACGGCCCATGCCATTCAAAGCCTCCTTCACGGTAAGGTCACAGGAGAAGGCGGCTGTTATCCGCGATGAATGGGAGAAGGCCGACAAAGACATCGATACCATCCTAGCCAAGATTCGAGAGAAGCAAAGGGCAAAGTGATTGACCAGCACCTGGGGTGGAGTAAAGGTTGCCAGTAACAGAATCGCCGCCAGCTGGAGGCGTTGCCGTTCATTAGGGCACACATTAATATCCAAAGCCCAGTGGTAGCGGATAAGCTCGACGCAACCTTCCGCCTCCAAGAGAGGCTTCTCGACCTCGCTATTGTCCAGGCCATATCCTTCCGTCAACCGCCCTTCAATAAACTGTGGTACATGCTTCAGCGGTTTGCGTCTTCAAGTTGCCAAACGAGGTCGTCACACAGTACTTCCCCAATACGACGGATGAAGATAAGGATGAGTAAAAGTATTGCTGGATCAACATCACCTTCAACCCGATGGAGATATCTATCCACAATTGCGAATGTTTTCGGGGTATTTGACAGTGTTGGACTGCTCGTTGTTCCACAGAACTTGCCGGTGTGGAAGCCGTCTGTTGTGCCAAAGGCAATTTCGCCGACCATTGAACTTGAAAACGGCCGTTTGGTCTGGACCCAGATGAGTGCAGGAAAAGCCAGTTTCAGTGATGGAATACCTACAAGCCAGGGGATTTGTCGAAGCAAGGAATCGAGAAGCGGCGCTGCAATCTTCAATGCCAAGCTCTGCCGGGATTTGTCAATGCGGAAAATCATTGATCCATAGCCTGCTCTCCAGCGTGCAGTGAGGACCTTAAGACGTGGACAACCGGTTCGCGCTCCATTGTAGTTGTGAGCTATTGAAGAACGCCCTTGAGGCGGGACAGAGGGACATAGTAATCGGCTGTCAGAATAGAGTAACAACAACTACTTCATGTGGCGATGGCGCCATACTTTGGTCGAGTAGTAATCAACTGCCGATACTAATCAGATCATTTCCGTCGAGTTTACGACAAGGATAACCTTCCATGTGCAATAATATGCAGCTCGAAGCCCACCATGGACACACTCCACTGTTCTCAACGGCCTCGTCCCGTTTTCGTTCAGGATGGTACCCATTCCCGAACTTCCAACTGAGATCTTGGCACAGATTGTGCGGTATGCAAACCTCAATGGAGACCTTCCAAATCTCAGGTTGAGCAATTCGCGTACTTTGGCGTTGGCCGATCGTCAAAGTCATCTATTGCTCGACGACCTGTGCTTGAGATATGGGATCAGTCCGCGAGTGCGGGATCTGTACTTGTCCCAGAGGACAGGCGATAGGTCCACATCTGGTATTCGTCATCCGGATGTCATCCATGTGATGGCCTTGGGCAATTTTTTGCGCTTGACAGGACTCCTTGCTGCAGATCTGGATAGCGCAATCGGACACCCCGCGAATACCGCTGTGCCTACCTTGAGAATTTGCAACCGAGAGCCTTTCGTGCTATTTGCAATCTTCAGCCAGGTGCTGAACTCATCTTTGGGAGTTGTACATTCGACAATGGCAGATTTGCTAGCCCCTTCCCCTGATGCCGGGCAATCTTTCTCAAAGCAGTTTTCAGAAACATTCATCCATTTTCTGAGACAAGAGCTCGTGCTGGAGGACTTAGAAGGTATCATAGGCGCTATTAACGTTTGCTCAACGCGACTCTGGAGCACCGTCTTCCTCTTCAGACCTAAAGATTACAGCGTCAGCAGCTTCGGCAGCCTCAGCGGAGCTTCATTCAACATCGATCATGCGATTTTGACGGAACATGTCATCTGGAAAGGCCCACTTTGGGCATCGCAGATATTGAGGAAGTATGGTCCCGCAAATGCGTGTTTCGAATATCAGACTGCAGGGGGAGCGGTGGTGGACGACAGTCTTGTCAAGGAGGGCATTTGGAGAGGTTTGCGCAGTGAAGGGGCTCGGCTGGCAGCGAATGGAGTGGCCCGACTCCTGTGGAAAGAGAGACAGCAGAAGATTGAGACAAAGACCAGCGCTTCTGCTGAAAGGATAGGCATTACAGATATGAGATTGGATCCATCAGTGTGGCGAGGGTCCTCAGGAGATCTGTAGAGGGGTGACAAGCCGGAGGGGAGAGATGCATAAGCGTTTAGATTGTGGCGGCATTGGCCCTTTCAGCGACTGAGATGCGGAGGGGTATTAATGCAGGTCATATGCAGGAGACGAACAATTGATGAGGTGGCATTTGTTCAGTGGGTGAGGCTGATGGGATGGCAGCAGATGGCACCAGGACAGCAGAAGGGGCAAGACGCACCCTGCAGGGCGCAGGCTGAGAAGCGCTGGAGATTCAGGTACAGCGCCGTTACGGGACTAGCTCGTCTCTAGCTCGTCTCTAGCGCCTTGGCATTGTTTATCTGATCGGGCTCCACAACTGGCACCCACTGGCTGGCTGGCTGCAATCCCAATAACATTGACAAGGGGCGCAACGAAGGGGAAGCGAAGCGAGTTTCTATCTCTTGTCAGTCTGTCACCCAGCGCAACGACAGCGAGGCGTGCCTTGAGTCCTTGACACACGAACAGGTCGACCTTGGGAGAACATCACCCGCCCACAGGATTCGGTATTTTTCTCTCACTCCCACTCTCATGGCTTTTACGACTGTCTCTCACTCTCTCAACTACCTAGCCCCCGGCCATGTCCCTCACCGACACAATGCCTGAGCCGTTATCTTCTCTGTCGCCCGCCAAGCAGAACTCCAGATCCTCCCCTGTCAAGCTCGATTCTCCCCAGAAGCCTCCAGAAGCTCTTAAATCTCCTAGCACCATGTCCACCACTACTCTTGCGCAGTCTGCCCCGACTAATCCTACCAATATTTCTCTTCCTGCCATGGACGTTCCTATCTCGTCCCCTACCCTCCCCGGTCCACCCTCCAGTCCAAAGAAGCCACTGTCGCCCATCAAGTACCGCTTACAAGACGAATCGAAAGTTGACAGCTCGCCCCCGGGCTCTCCTGCAGAGCCCACAGTCCGGTTCAATGAAGGCCTCACGCGTGCGATCGACGCGATGCAGAAGGACGCTGATGCGCAAGATGATTTTCTGGACGAGTCAATAATACACCACTTTCTGGACGATGGGGTCGATGTAGCTACAGAATGCGAGAGCCCTGCCAAGGGGGCATCTGATACTATGACCTTGACTCTGAGTTTGGGTGACAAAACTATCCACGATGATACAATTGGAGATCTGAGCACCATCTCTGCCATCCCCACAGACCTGACCAGATTCGCAAACCTGAGGGAGACGCCGTCCCAATCCCGCCACGAACCTTGGTCGCCTTCAAAACAACTCAGACCCTCCGTCATTACTAGCACACCGGGTACTGCTCAGCGCCCTCTGCGCCTGCTGTCTGCTTCTAGGCGGAGCATTTCATCAAACGAGGAGGATGAAGCAACCCCCCGAAGAAACACCTATTTCAATGACTCTCCAACAGATCTGCTGAACTTCACCGGACAAACCAATATCTTAATACCCCCTCCTGGGTCTGCCCAGCGCCCCATGAGAAGAAGTCCCTCTGGAAGGAAAGGATTTCCTATCAAGGTCAATCCAAGCCCAGTACATCGGTCGCAAGCTTCAGTGGATCGCGAACGAGCTTCAGGCCGTTCACCACAAAAACAGGACCAAGCTCTATTCGGAGACAAACCTGTCCCAGCGACACCCGCTAGCCAGAGGCACAGCATGTATGGCGCAACAACCGGGCTAGGAATGGACCTATTGGATATCGACCTTGAACCAATGGCTACGCCGCGTTCCATTCCCACCATCACCCCCCGGGAGCTAGAAACCCTTCGGTCCGAACTCCAGTCGCGTATCTCCGGTCTCGAAGCGACTCTCTCGGGGAAGGAGGCTGAGGTTATGGCTTTGAAACGTGCCGTTACCGATGCGGAAGTGCGAGTGGGAAAGACTAGTGAGGAACTCCGAAACGAGCGTGCCTCTCGAGAAGAGTTAGAACATGCAAAGGAGGAATTGGAGCGCCGCAGTCGAGAGATGGAGGAGGTCCTTAGGGAGGTCAAACAGAACATCTTTCTCGAGGAACGGGAAAAGGAGAAGCTGCGAAAACAGGCCGAAGAAGCCGAGCGAAAAACAGAGGAGCATGAAGTGCGGATTCTTGAGCTTCAGGCTTCCCTTGACACCCTGCGGTCTGAACGCGTAAAGTGCACACCTAGCCCCGAGAAGACGAACGCTCCTGCAACCCCCGGGCTGAGCACTGACATTGATTTTGCCGTCAAGGACGCCACAGAAAAAGTGGCCCGCGAATTGCATGCGCTGTACAAGAGCAAACACGAGCGCAAAGTCGCGGACCTGAAGGTCAGCTACGAAAAAAGATGGATTAAGCAAGTCGAACAGCTTCGAATGGAGCTTAAGGCATCTCAAGAGGAAGTGCTTAAGCTGCAAACGGAGAAAGAAGCAACCATGAGCGGCATCATTCCGGGGCAAAGTGAAGCTATCTCCAAGATGGAGGGGCAGATTGAGGAGCTTCGACGGTGGAATGAGGAGACTAATGCGGAGAAGAAGATGCTCGAGGCCGAGGCAGCAGGGCTTCGTGGTCAGGTCGACTCGCTTGCCGCCGAGACCGATTCACTACGGAAGGAGATTGAACAAGAAAGGGTTGAGAAGGGCGAATTGGTCGCCCAGGTGGATCTATTCCTGACGATGAGTGCTCAGCAAGAAGAGCAGCGGGTCATGCAACAACCGCAACAGCCCGTGAGTCCACCTCGGAGTGAGGATGGAAACGGGCGACCAAATTCAGCGTCTGCATTGGCCAGTCCGAACAGGATCAAGAGCAGCACAAACGGCGGAGAGGCCAGGACAGCTGTACCAGGACGACCTCGACCCGTTAGCATGCTGCAAAAGCCCACAGCCGGAAAATACTCGGGTATTCCAGCCCCCGGATCCGGCCTGAAGGCACCTTCAAGCAACAACAAAGCTGCTGGATACGGGGGCCGCATTCTGGAGGGTATTGCCCGTATGGGTGCCGGTGGGAGATAACTGTCATGGCCATTCTTAGCTCTCACGGTGTGATGCCCCAAGACTGGCGCAACCGGCCAATTTTGGATACGACTCGCATGATTGACTCCTCGATGACCTTAATGACAACGGGGACGGAGTGGCCACGGCGTTTTCCATTGCAAAGCATGTCAGGGTCTGAGCGATTCTGTAACTGCGACTAGGAGTTGTTATTGTTATTAGAAGACGCAGCAAATGGCTGAACCAAATAGTACTCGGTATATGGAAGAGGATGAAGCGGTGCATCTGAAGGCATTCCGGGTCAAGGTGGAAAACAACGCCTCTAACGCCAAGAGATCCGCTGCAAAGGCCAAGACCCTCCATACCCGAAATGGAAAAGCTCAATATCTGTATATGGTTCCGCTCTTCACCACCTCCTCCTTCTTCCCTCTGCGTGTGCCCGCAGGTAAGGAAAACAGTGCAATTTGGAAGATAGTTTGTTTGATACAGGGATTTCTTCTACTGCATGGTGTGAACATTGATCAAGTTAATCAAAGCAGATACGCAAAATCGCATCCCCGCATTCAGAGTTTAGCCGGCCGCTCTCTCGTCTTTCCGGCGTTTCAGCCGCCATCATTCCGAGACCCGAGACGCTGCACGATCTGGCCGAGTACTTCAACCTGATACACCCTTCAACCATCTTTGACTCCTTCACACACCAAAGCAATCTCATCCAACGGCCTTTTCTCCCTGCGATCGAGGCCTGAGGCTTCGAAAAATGGCTCAATGCTCGATGCAGTGCCACGTGTTAGCCTGGTCAATCTGTTCCGTGACATGGCCAGCGCTCGGTGACTCTCTTCGGAATCTTGACATCCCTGCCTACCGTCTTGCTAGCCTATGGGGTGAATTGACACCTGAAGGATCGAGCTACCATGGTCAGACCTGTTCTCATCTCTCGGTAAGATCTTTTCGTTACGGCTGTGACAAACTTTTCTCTAGAGGCCATGGTGAAGATGCCCAGACGTTTGAGGGACGCCAGACCTAGATTGAGGGGTTCTATGCGGGAAGTATCCAGGTCGACCAACCTGAGGCCCTGGGTTACATATATACCGGCTGCTTTCGTTCTCTCTACTACGTCTTTCCAGCCTGTTGATCCAGCTCGATCGTGACCATTCGTTCTCACCATCACACTCTCTTTCTATCTTCTTGACATTCAATTCAAAATCGTTCCTGGAGAACTGATCAGGCCTGAGGCCTCTACTGTGTTACTACATCAGATTCAACAAACTTGATCAACGACCACTGACGCTCCTTACGAGACTTACGACGGCATAAGCACATATCGACAATCACCCAAAATGAAACCAGTCATTTGTCTTTCCATTCTCCTTGCTGCGGGCTTTGATGTCGCAGCTGCACGCCCAGCAAACCTTCATATCAGGCGGAACCATAACTCCGGCATAGAGAAGCGCTCTGCGGTCTGGAACGCGAAACTTGGCCGACGTGAGGTGCCGCAAGAACACTCGCACGAGAAATTCCTCACGACTGTCGACCAGTTCCTAAATATGGACAATCCGGACGGTATTGTGGATGCCGTATTTGGTCTCCTTGGCAATGCGGCTGCTGCTGGTGGGCAGGGTGATATCTCCAATACGGATTGTCTTCAACAAGCTACTGCCGATAGAGCCTTCACCAATGCCAAGGCTGCTGGAGATGTTGACGGTATGACAGCTGCGTTGATCTACAGAGCTCTTGAACGCAACACCGGAGCTGTCGGGCAGGCATCTGTTCCTTGTACTGCAATCCAAGCTGTAAACCCGGAAATTGCAGCTATTTCCCAACACCAAGATCCAGCCTCTGCCAACGCTGCCACTGTCAACAAAGACATTATTCTGGCACTCGCTGTTCAAATTGCCAACATTGGCGGCAATCCTCTGGATGCTCTGCAATCCGGCACTTTTGCTCCCGGTACGATCGGTGACCCGACTGCCAAGGGAAACAGTTGTGATGATCAAAACGACCCAGTCGGCTGTATCTTCACCCAGAACCTGCTTGTTGAAGACGCCACGGAAGACGAGGTCAATGCTGCTGTCGCTGCCTCGGCCACTACTTCTGGCGGAGCGGCTGCAGCTACAGATACGTCCAGTGTTACTGCCACCACTACCGAATCGGCCGTGGCGACAGAATGCACTGTCCCCCCTGCTGCAGCAGAGACTACCGTGTCAGCCTCCACTACAGTAGCTGCTGTGGCCGCCACTACGACATCCTCTGCGGCGGCTGCAACTTCCACTATAACCACAGGATCTTCCGATCTGGATTTTGGTTCCTGTCCCGACCCGACCATTATCGTGAGTCACCCCCTTCCTTTTCTAGCGACATCACGGCCATCAAATTCCCATATGTCATTGGCACATAGCTCACTGAAAATTCGCAGTTTGCCAACGGTCTGGACGGGCGCACTGAGCCAGCCTTCGAACCTCACGACGAAACGAACTTACCCCATGGCTCCGCACAAAACATCCAGGTCATCACGGACTTCATTTGTAAGTCATTGTTTCTTGTCTTTTTACACGAACACTTTTCGCCAAATTCTTCCTTCTGGAGCTGGTGTTCGTCCGAGGCTTGTCGATAAGTGGCTGATATGGATACTCTTGCAGGTCAGCAACTCGGGCCCAGGTGCCATGCGTCTCAAGCAGCCACAGACGCATGCAATCAGGCGGCCGCCGCGGCACAGGCGCAAACGGGCCAGGCGGCTGCCGACGCCTTCAATCAGGCCCTTGGCTTTTAGCTGGGTTTAAATCCATAGTCAATGCAGCAGCAGAGCTTAAACGACTATACTGAAGAACAAGCGATGTTTTTTGGAAGAAGGCTTTTCTTTTCGAAACCCCAGTGTGGCAGGAGAAGATATGGGGGTGGCAATGAGGCCAGACTCGAAGTTTTCCGTCGTGCATTTCGATGTATAGAGTATATACATATGCATCACTTAAGAGCGATTCTTAACGCTCGTCTTTGACATTTGTCCCGCCAACAAACAATGATCTTGTGGTCCGACATTGCCATAGCCAGAACGAAGGCCGTAGGCAGGATAAATCCAACCGAAATATTACACAATTTTGGCTGTGCCACCTGAACAGTTGAGGATCAGACCAGACTGGGCTTCCTTTGCTGAGGAGGCTCATCAGCCAACTTGAGAACCCTCTGGACCATGGCCTCGCTGTATCCGAGATAGTTGGCAGGATCGCACAACTTGGCCAATTCCTGCCTGGTCATCTTCTTGCTAATCTCGTCGTGCTCGCAGAGCAGGTCGAGCAACTCCCTGTCCTCGAGCTGCGACTTGCGGCACAGGTCGTAGACAATGTCATGCGCGTACTGGCGGCCCAGGGTCTTGCCCAGGCCCATCATGACGGCCTCGCTGACGATGGCGCCCTTGGAGAGGTCGAGGTTCTTCTTCATCGCGTCCTCGTGCACCTCGAGACCGGCGATCAGGTCCGCCGTGTGCTTGAGGGTCGCGTGCGTCAGGGTCGAAAGCTGCGGCAGCACGATCCATTCAATCTCCCACGGGCCCGTGCTTCGCTCGTGGTCCTCCACCATGGCCTCGAATAGGCTCGCGCTCAGCTGTCTGACCGTAGCAGACATGGCGGTGATGTACGCGCAGGAGATGGGGTTCCTCTTCTGCGGCATCGTGCTACTCGAGCCCCGATGCGGGACGTACGGTTCCGACGCCTCGCCGACCTCCGTCTGCATCATGAGTTTGACGTCCAATGCGAATTTGGCGCAGGTGCTGGTGAGCATGGCGCACCACGAGCCGAAGTCGGCAATGCGGTCGCGTTCCGTATGCCATGCAATTTCGGGGACTTTGAGATTCAAGTCCTTCGCCAGTTCGCGTTGGCATTCGAGGCCGAGTAAGGGAAGATCCTGGGAGGGGGGTAGTGTCGCCAGTGTCCCTGCCGCGCCCGAAAATTCCAGCACCGTCAGCCTCTCCTCCACATCCTTGAGCCGTTCACGATGTCGAAGAAAAGTCGCAAGTAGCCTTGCAAGCTTGAACCCAAAGGACATGGGGACTGCCTGCTGCAGATTCGACCTTGCGGCCATTGGGGTAGATTTATGCTTGTCAGCCAGCTGCCGCAGCGAGGAAATGATCTCCTCGAGCGACTTCTCAAAGAGGCTCATCGTGTCCCACAGCTGGATCACCGTCGCCGTGTCCGTGACGTCCTGCGTGGTCGCCCCCCAATGCGCCCACTCCCCGAGTCCCGGCTCGACCTCGTTGACATGCTTGACCAATTGCTTGACCAGTCCCAGCACCGGATATCCGATCAACTCGGTCTGCTGGCGGAGGTCGTCAAAGTCCACGTTCCGGATGTCCAAGCAGAACTTGATGATCTCGTCGGCGGCCTTTTGCGGGATGATGCCCAGCCGCGCCTGGGCCTTAGCCAGGGCGCCTTCGAATGCGAGATAGCACTGGGTGCGCGTCTTGTCAGACCAGATCGCGGCGGATTCCCGGGTGGAAAAGATGTTGCCGAAGATGAGCGAGTCTTGGACGGAGGTCATCTTTGAAATGCACAGGATTGCCTCACTCTTGAGGTTGGTATCTACTGAAGGTGGCTTTCTACGATGAATTTCTGTCGCGTGAGGTTTCTGGACCGCAATTCAGGTCCTTGCATGCTGATGTCGCATGCAAAGAGACACGGCCAATGATTGATGTTCGGAATCATGGGCGCAGGAGATGGGGTGGACTGCCTTGCTTCCGTTTTCCGGGGGAAGTGGAAGTTGGAGGCTCTCCCGGGACTCGGAGTCGGGGTAAGACATCGGGACCGGGGAAACAATGTTCCCTGTACCGAACAGTTCGGCATATGGCTCGATGGGTACCTACCTAGGTACCTAGGTAGCGAGCTATGTAGTAATACTCGGTAGACGGATACGCATACGTCGAGCTCCATCATCCCACATCCCACATCGGACTTCTTTCGTATGACGTGGAACTTGACTCTTTTCTCTTCCTTCCATCTTTGTCTGGTCTCCAAAAGCTTTCGATGAGACAATCTGCTTTGATTGTTTTCAAACTTATACAAGGCTCACGATCCCTGCTCGCCCACCAGCGACCACTCGACACCCCTCACTCCTCAGCAGCCAACTTCAACCTTTCGAGAAAGACCAATTGCACTTCAGTCCTTCTCAAGCCCCTTGTCTATAAGCGTTTCCTTAATATGGCCACCTCGACGCGCTCTTCCAAGCGCCAGAAGACCGGTACCGATACAGCAGCTGAGACAGGCGATTCAATGGCCTACAAATTGATCTACTGGCCCGGTATCCCAGGCCGAGGTGAGCACATCCGCCTCGCCTTTGAGGCTACGGGCACTCCCTACGTCGACGTGACCAATGCAACCGATGCCGGAGTCAAAGCAGTCATGGGCCAGATCAGCGACAAAAATATTGGCGATGACCATAACCCACCGCCGTTGGCTCCACCGATCCTGCAACATGGAGACGACATCCTCCTGTCCCAGACGCCCAATATCCTAGCCTATTTGGGTCCCAAACTCGGACTGGTACCGGACGTCGCCGAGGATAGCGTTGGAATGTATCATGTCAATGCGCTCACATTGACGGCACTTGATGGCCTCTCCAATGAGCCGCACGATGTCCACCACCCCATCGCCAGCGGAGCCTACTATGAAGAACAGAAAGAAGAGGCTCTCAAGAAGGCGGCCGACTACCGCGCCGTTCGTCTGCCCAAGTTTCTGGGGTACTTCGAACGAGTCCTCTCGGGCCCGGCCTCGGGCGGTGGCGAGTGGTTGTACGGTGGGAAAATGACCTATGCCGACTTGGTCCTCTTCCAGACATTGGACGGAGTGACCTATGCCTTCCCCAAGTGTATAGAGAAATTGAAGAGCGGTGGCAAGTATGACAAGGTGTTTGCGCTTTATGAGCGGGTCAAGGCATTCGACAAGGTCAAGAGTTACCTGGAGAGTGACAGGAGACAGAAGTACAGCATGGGGATTTATAGGCATTATCCCGAGTTGGACGAAGACTAGAAAGGGTCTCGGCCTGGAGCAATGGATGAGACATCCTGGAGCGGAGGGAAGGGAGCAAAGGGCACACTTGACTTTGACGCGAGAATCAAAGAAAAAGAAAAGAATAGATGCCCCAAAAATGCAAAATGATATCAAGGTATCTCTTGAAAACCATATCAAATCCGGTGGCAGTAGGAAGTCTATGCTCGGCCGTATAAACTGTTACGGTGGATCAAGCGGGGATTCCCCCGCCTTTGCCGCTGATTCTCAAACCCAGCCTTTCTTCGCTTTCTCCGTAGATATCTCTACCTGGTAGATACCATTCTACTTCTGCTTCGACCAACGAGTTACCGCTGCTATGTGTTCCTGCCTCATTCCCACAGATCCGAACGTCCGAGAAGGACGCATTGTTTCTGTAAAAAGATGTATAGCCCGATTTGTTTAGATGGAAGTGTCTCTCCAGGTGGACGACAGGTAAGAAGCAACATTTCGTCTGCTGGTATCATCAAAGGGCATTTCATTGCTTCCACTATCTGAGGCTCCCTGCTGCCCTAGCCTCCACATCTATGAAACGTGGATGTTCACCCTAGGCGGCCACTGCCCATCCCTCCACTTGTCAAGCTGCGCATTAATCTTGTCCACATCCAATCCCTCAATGACCTCAAACGACGTGGGCCTCAGCACGCCGTCATCGATCAACCCTGTCAACGCCTTGTAGAACTGGGTGGCTATTTCCCGGAACAAGACCGGTCGGCATACAAACTTCCTGAAGTTATAGCCCTGCTGCTTGGGTCCGACCTTGGCCTCGTCGACAGTGTTTGGGCGCGAGACCGCCAAGGGTACCATGGTGCCTTTCTTCGAGTCGGACAACATGCGGATGCCCTTTGAGTGGTCGAGTCTGTTGATGCAGTCGAGCACGTACAGCAGGTCTTCGCCGACAATGTCTCGGACCTCGCGCTGGATGTCTTCGTCCGGGAGACTGCGGTCGATGACATGTGTGGCACCGATCGATTTGAGGTTATCTTCGCCGGATTTCCCTGCGACGGTGACGATGGTGCCGATGCCGACCCATTTGCAAAGCTGGATCGCGAACCTCCCACACGCAGAGCTTCCTCCGATGATGACGATGCTGGTGTTACTGTAGTCAAAGTTCGTCTTCGATCCAGATGCAGCGAGTGGCGACGGGATATCCAGACCGAGGGGCGATAATACTGCGATATATGCCGTCAAGGCGTTCAGGAGGATCGTATCGGCCTGGTCCGGGCTGACCGAACGGGGCAGATGTGCGATAAAGTCGGCGTCGAGTACGGCATATTCTTGAGACCCCTTTGTATCCGACACAGCAGGGTCTCCCTGACTCATGACCTTGTCCCCGATCTTGAACGTGTTGTCGACGTTTTCACCGAGTTGGACGATTTCCCCGACAATGTCGATTGCGAGTACACCGGGCAGGTTGTCCTTGCCGACAAAGTACCCGATCTCTCGCACCAGCGCATCATGCGGATTTACTGCGTGGGCACAACAAAGTTAGCGGCCTGCTGCATCCTTTACAACAAGAGGGTCTTTTTGGTTGGGTGGCACTCACGTCCTGCGATCAAGACTTTGACCAGAACTTCGCCCGGGCCTGGCTTGGGGATGGGCCGTTCGATCAACTTGACAGGCTTGGCTGTCTCAACCACGGCGATTGCTTTCTGGACAGACATCTCTGATACTCTGAAGTGTCGACGTTGTTTCTCTTTCCCCGTCGAAGATGCACGTTACAAATGATATACCCACACCCCCGTTTGCCGGGTCACAGAGGATCATTTATATCGACCTCAATGCCAACCTGTTGTGCTCTGTGGCTTACTCAATCTGCATGTACACCGAAGCCAGATTTCGAAGCAGATGTCGTGCCTCGTATCAGAATGACATGGTCCATGCAGACGTCTCTACACCGCACTGCGTCAGCCCAAGTACGGCGCGCGGTAACACAACAATACAACGGCGAACTTTCGGCAAAGCGCGTATATGCACATAGGTCGCAATCACACTCGACCTTGACAGTAAATTGGAAACTATCAAATGTCTGGGACGAATGGTCATATGTCCATCAAGGTATGTATAATGCAGGATTAAAGCGGCACGCATAAGCCATCGTGGCACGGCCCTTGTCATCCATTACAAACTTGCACGGGCAGACTATATCTCTAGGAGTTATGTGTATGATAGTATCATCATATGTAGCATGACAAAGCAATCACTAGGGGATCAAGCTATAGCGTCGCACAAGTTCCTGAGTTATTGTAGTCGGGACAGCTTTTCCGTGGAAACCTTAGCTTTGATGACTATTCCAGGGATCTATAATCATCCTCGAACGGGTGCGAATGTGGTTATGATTATGATTACCAACCGAGTTCATAGGCAGTCAGCACTCTATTTATCGCAGCCCTGCATCCGCGGTCCATGATACGCAAAGCATAGCGACTGAGTGATCTGGTGGTATTTTGTGCTGCCTTGTTACCGATGCCGACCGCGGCGCCTTGTGTAGGGGCTTAGGGGCCCTACGGGAACGACTGGGTTAGATTTGAACAGAGTTGAGGTGCCAGTGATGCTCGGTCGCGGTCTTGGCGGCAATGGCTCCGAACTTGAACCTCGCTGCCGCACAACATGCGGAGACCCAAGACATGATCATTGACAATAGGTACACTGCCTATGTACCTAGGTAGCTATCAGATGCTATCCTTCGTGGTTGAAACCAATATCGCCATCACCGTGTGTACCTCTCATACCTCCTTCCCGAGACGCGCCTCGATAGCTTCATCGGCAGACGCACTTTCAGAATGAGAAATGCTCTGGTCTCCTTCGGCTGCAGAAGCAACGGCATCGTTGCCAAAGTGTCTCACTACCAGCCACGCCGGCAGCAGCGCTGCTGCCCACAGTCCGAAGTTGATATAAACTCCGCCTACTTCAGCAAAGATCTTGATTGAATTCAACCCGTAGCTGACAGCTTGCCAGGCGGATTCCGTCCTACGTTCATCAGCTTGTTGTCGGCCAAAAGGGAGATAGGGAAGCTTATCAGGATCTCTTACCCACGAAGCAACGCCGCATACCGAATGATCTCGACCGGCGTTGTGGCCAACTGTGCCATCATGAAATAACAGTACAAGTAGTTCAGCTGGAAGCCTGTGGTTAGGAACAAGAAGGGAACAAAAGCATGACCGAAGCCACTGCTGGTCCAGTCGTACGATGGCCTCGTGTGTCGGAATTTGGTTACAAGGACAGTTACCCAGATCCACCATCCACCTTGCACCACAACTATGGTGAAGAAAGCAGTTCTCGACCTGAGCTTCACCGAGAGTTTGGTTCGATCAAGGTAATGACCGAGCACATTGCCACATGTCACGGCAATGATACCAGACAAGAACGAGCCGAGTGCGCGAGCACGGACACTGAACCACAATGAGAGATAGGTGAAGAAAACAGCCTCGGCGTATACGGCCTGACCGATAAACAGAACCAGCAGCAGGTATTCCTTGGTGAAGAACGTCCGTATTGTAGCCTTGAGCTCGCGCCACGGATGTTCAAGGATTTCCAACTCGACCCTGAGACCGTCGGTGCGCTCGACTTTGTGAGGCCGGTTCAGCAGCGCCCCAACGAACGGGCCCGTTGCCTGCAGCGCGATGAAGACCAAGTACACCGTATAGCTGACCTTGCCCGCCTCGCTTCGATCCGCATTGATGCCAAGGTTGATTGCGCCGCCCAGAATCTGTCCACCAAGGCGGTAAGTGAGCCAGTACCCCAGGACTTTTCCGCGATTATACGGCTCAGGATATGCCATCGCAATAGCGGCCTCTGCAGACCAGAAGACGCCAGCCGAAATACCGCAGAGTGCTGCTCCCAACAGCACCAACCACTCTGTGCCGAAACGATTGTTGGTGTAGAGTCCTGCCGCATAAGGGGCGTAGCCCAGAGTGCCAAAAATGAGAGAGCCTTTGATGCCAATGTACTTTGTGAGGACAGGGGAGCAGGTGCACGACACCACCATGAGGCAAAAGGTCAGGGCATTTGCAGCGTTGACGAGGTACGGTTTCTCCTCCCCGCCAGCGCCGAGAGAGTTCATCGCTCCCCAAATACCCGGTGCAGCAAAATTACAGAGGCCAAGTACTGTGGCGTTGTAGAAGGTTGAGCGGTACCAGCGAACTTTGAGTTTGGTCAGCCATGCCTCTTTTACTCTAGGTGAACAGACCGACCTGGATGTTTCTGAACAGTTGATTCTCTGACATCTTGAAGCTCGGGATGCTTTGTCGTGACTGATGCCGAGCGAGACATGGTTTATACACCCGTCAAGTGCGAAGTGATCAAAAGCCAAGGTAGGACTACGCTCCGAGACGCTGGCGGCGGAAGAATTGTGACAGCCCTGGTTGACCGGAAGAAAGTAGCCCACTTCAAATACGCCAGGAGCAAGTGTGTTGTGACTGAGTCAATGTACAACCTTGAGGCTTCGACCCCTTTTCTCGCACGCGTCTCGACCGCACGATGACCTTTTTATCTCATCTTTTCTACGCCCCCAACGAAAACCATATTGGACCGAGCCTCCAAAATTTTACGGGCGCGATGGAGTCCTGCAAAGACGTCAGACACGCGAAGAGCACGTCATGGACCAGAGGAACGGAAAAGGCACAGGTTTCCAGTCATCATAACGAGAATGATACTGTGCAGATCCTAGGGCGTTAGGAGGAGGATCCAGGTTCCTATACTAAGAGCCAGCAGTCCCCGCCCAGTGGAAGTGTTTGGTCTGCTGCGAATGGTCGACGACGTTCGCAATGGTAGGTTGTATTTCTCTCGTCGTTGGAGGCATGTCCATCGAAGTTGTGCGACAAGTGCTCTAGCAGAAGTGGAGTCGGCAGCCAAGAGGAGGAAGCAACTTCGTGATATATGGAGAAGATTGCACCATCCACTAACCACTTCTGGACACTATCTACCGTTTTCCTTCTTACTCGGAAAAAACAGACAGAACCTGAATGGGCGAGAGCACGGACATCAGCGCGAGTTTTCTAGGACATCAAGTCTGTTTTTTGCAGAAAGAAAAAAACCCCCGGTTGTCGCTGTACAACACTAACATCGCTACGTAGGCGAAGTACAGGGGGTTTCGAGTACCAAGGGCACCGCGCGGAGTCCTTGAGGTGTGCGAGATCAAGCAAGTTTGCTATCTTGACTACCAATTTCGGTACCATGTCATCGATCAACGGGCCTGGTCCAGGCCCCGTCAAGAAGCAATGGATCCTGAACGCCTTCGTCGAGACATGCTCGGGCCACCAGTCGCCGGGGCTGTGGAAGCACCCAGCGGACAAGTCGCACGAGTTCAACAAGCTGTCGCACTGGACGGCGCTGGCTCAGCTGCTGGAGCGCGGCAAGATCCACGGCATCTTCATCGCGGACGTGCTGGGCGGCTACGACGTGTACCGGCAGTCGCTGGCGCCGGCGATCAAGTCGGGTGCACAGTGGCCGGTGCATGAGCCCTTAGCATCGATCCCAGCCATGGCGGCGGTGACCAAGTCGATCGGGTTCGGGGTGACAGTGTCGACGACATACGAGCAGCCGTACCACCTAGCCCGCAGGCTGTCGACGCTGGACCACCTGACCAACGGACGACTGGGGTGGAACATCGTGACGTCGTACCTGGACTCTGCGGCGCGCAACATGGGGCTTACCCAACAGCCGCAGCACGACGACCGCTACGCCATGGCCGACGAGTACATCCAGGTCATGTACAAGCTGTTGGAGTCGTCGTGGCGCGACGACGCCGTCAAGCTCGACCGCAAGACCGGCACATACACGGACCCAGCGCTGGTGCGCGAGATCAACCACCAAGGCAAATTCTTCACCGTGCCGGGCCCGCACATCTGCTCGCCATCCCCACAGCGCACACCCTTGCTCCTGCAGGCGGGGACGAGCAGCAAGGGCAAGGAGTTCGCAGCGCAGCACGCCGAGGCGATCTTCGTGTCCGCGCACACGCCCGAGGCCTGCGCGGCGTCCATCGCCGACGTGCGGCGTCTCGCGCGGGACAAATTCCACCGCGACCCGGCGAGCATCAAGGTCCTCGCGCTGGTGACGCCGATCCTGGGCCGCACCGAGGAAGACGCCCGCGCAAAGTACGCCGACTACAAGCAGCACGCGGACCTAGAAGGCGCATTGGCCCTGTTCGGCGGGTGGACCGGCATCGACCTCAACGCGTACTCCGAGGACGAGGAGCTGCGGTACGTCGAGAGCAACGCCGTGCGCGCCACGGTCGAGAGCTACGCGCGCTTCAGCCCTTCCGTCACGGGCAAGTGGACACGGCAGACCATCGCCGAGCACGTCAGCATCGGCGGCAACGGGCCCGTGCTGGTCGGCACCCCGGCCCAAGTTGCCGACGGGCTACAAACGTGGGTCGACATCGCCGACGTCGACGGGTTTAACATCGCCTACGCCGTCTTCCCCGCCAGCTTTGAGGACGTGGTCGAGTTGTTAGTGCCCGAGTTGAGACGCCGCGGTCTGTTCTGGGACGACTACGCCGTGCCCGAGGGCACGTATCGCGAGAACTTCTACGCGCAGAGGGGCCAGAAGGGTCCGAGGGACGAGCATGTCGCGAGCCGGTACCGGTGGAGAGAAGGGGTCAAGGCGGAGGACCATAAGATCCCGGCTTAGATGGATCTATTGGGCGTGTGTGTAAGCGGTCGTTCGGGGCATTTCTTGTTGACGAGGCGAAAGTGTCCTACTTTATTCAACAAAGAACTCCGTCGACGACTAACGAGTTCATCGTTCTCAATCCCCAAAAGCCCAGATTTAGAAAACACCATGACTAAGAAAAGGAAAGGTCTCAAAACATCAAGTTCCCCTGCACCCCTGCCACTCCTGGACCCTGTAACCCTTTTTGTAAGCTAAGAAAACAAACACCCTCAAGTGGGCACAAATCGAACATCCCCTAGAATACAATTCCTCCATCAAAGAGCACATGACACTAGTGCAAGGGCATGCTTGAACCGCAATTTTAATGACTGGCTTCCGTGGCGCTGACTTTCCCTCTACCTTCTGCCCGGCGAGCATGAAAATACAGAAAAAAAGGCACCGGCGTAAAAAAGCAGGATATCGCCGCGAAGATCGTCAGTGCATGGTGCACGTCCAGATCTTCAAACATGGGAATCGACACGACGACCATGCTTCCGGCAACCGCATATCGGACAAAGGTGTTCGAGACAAGTGCTGACGCTGCAACTTTCGTAAACCGCTGCATGATGTACGCGTAGGTGGAGATGAAGAGGCACAGCATGCTGAAGCCGAAGAAAGCAGCACTGCAAGAAGAGTAAAAATATCAGCATTGTAGGTGCTTTGGTGCCTCTCAACCAAGGAGATGCATACCTAATCATGGGAGACCAATACGAGACGGAGCGGCGAGATGACCAAGCCATCCAAAAGACTGAGATGGGCAGAAGCGGTCCTCCGATCATGGCCCACCACAACATCGCTTCCGGGCCGGCATGGCTTTTTCCTCGTGCCACGGCACGCGCGTGCTCTCTGCCGACCAAGGTGCCAAATAACGGGGTAACAAGCGCGCAGATGACCAGGCCGACGGAGATGCTCAGGAACATGAGGTGAGTGCTGCCCTGGTCAAATCCGTACGTCTGTCCAAAGATGTACTGGGCGCTCGAAAAGAAGCAGAACGCAACGCTGTATACCAGGGTCAGGTACCCCGTGAATATGGCGATGACGGGATCTGTGAAGAGTATGATGCCCGGGCGCAGTAACGCGGATGCCAGCCTGCGCCGCATGGGGAGTTTTGTGGGTGCCTGAACGTCGCTGTTGCTGCCGTTGCTGTGTGCTCGAATTATTGCTTGTGCCTTCCAACGAAGAATCTCCATTGCGTCGGTCTCGGGTAAGAACGCAACCATGATGGCCAGGATGCCACAAGAGATGAAAAACGTGATCCATTCAACCCATCTCCAATCCATCCCAGCTTGTCCAACGTACCCGCCAACCACGGGGCCCAACATCGGACCCAGGAAGGCGATGCATGCAAAGAATGGGAAGATCTTGCCCCGAATGCCATGATCGAAGATATCCCCCAGGGTACCACCTGCAGCTGTGAACGGAGTCGAGCCACAGGTACCGGCAAGGAAACGGAAGACCAACTGTGCTCCAATGCTGGGAGCAAGTGCAGCGCCCAGGATCCAGCAGCAGTACAGCGTAAAGGTTACGAGATACACGGGATTGCGTCCACGTTCCTCAGACAGGGGGCCAGCGAAGGGGGCGCCACATCCGAAACCGACCAGGTAGAGCGTCGTGGCCAAAGACTCGGTCACTTCGCTGACGCCAAAATGCCTCGAAGCTTGTGGAAGGACTGCCGAGTCGATGGACGATCCAAAGCCCACAATAAATGCGACCAGAGATATAATCATCATCACGCCGGCCTTCTTCGAGGGAGGCCAATTCCGCGGGTTCGCCAGGTCGTCCTCGCCATCGAATGTCACCACCGTGCGCTCCTGCGGCGCACCTTTCCCGCTCGGGCCAGCCTGGAAAATCACTTTGGTTACTACCGCATTGGGACGGAAACAGGGTTGTAACCTTACCTCTTCTTGGTTCTTTTCAGCATCACTTTTCTCTGTATGAGCCTGAGACATGCGCTGGATGCGCTTCATCTGCCGGTAGGACTGCATGCTGCCGTCAGTGGCTTCGTCTGTCAGGTTGGCCCAGGGGTTGAATAAAACGGATGAGAACGTCTGGGAAGCAAATGAGAGGAACCTTACTGGCTGCGAGCCTCACGGACTATTTCAACAATGCATTCACCATGATGAATTTGAGTGAATGAATAAGAAAAAATGCTTTATGCAAGTTATGTCTGTTGCACAATACTCACTTGTAGGCACGTCGACAGGCACAGCAATATCCTTCGATGCCTCAAGATATGTAAACACGAAAAAGGGAAGGCAGAGACAACAAAGTACCTAAACGGGGCAACAGCCAATTGGAGAAAGAGCAAGCCGGCGAGATCAATAATAGAGCTGAGTATCGTCTTCCTCCGATCTCATTGCGCCTTTATCGCTTTGTCAGCATTTCATTTCAATAGACGGCGTGAGTGCTAACAAGGACACAATCACACCTCCAAGCATAGGCTGTTAGGACCGTGGTATTTCCCGTGTTCAATGTTTTGCAGCGCAAAGCTTCATTGGTCATCAGCGGAAGGCTGATAAAGCGAAAGGAAAAGGTCGCATTGAGGGTCGTCAAGACACTTGTGCTATGCACGGTTGCTATGCTCATTGCTATGCGCAGTGGCATAGAGCATTATAACTGTTCATGTCCATGAGCAGATCACCAGGGTGGGGTTTCGCTTCATAGTCGGCTTTCTGCAGCTAGATCAAACTTCTGTCCAACAATGTCTTCACTGAGTTTCCAAAGTCGCGCAGCCGCCCTCCCGTCACTTGCCCACCCTGCAGGCTCTGCAACCTGGCAGTCGCTTAGATAGATGATCTCCGGGTCCACAAGGTTGGGATCAAGCGCGGCGACCAGGGTTGTTGCGCTACCCTGATCAAGATCCTTCCAAAACCCACCGGTCTTCTCGATCAACGACAAGTGCTTCTCGTCCAGATTTCGGGAAAGATCCGTCCAGATAGACCCTGGGTGCGTCGCAATCGATTGCACCCCCATACTTGACAGATGCTGATTGAGATAGAGTGACATGAGGATGTTTGCAGTCTTTGATTGCCCGTACGCCACGAAAGGAACATACGTCTCACCTGGAGGCGGATCAAAAGACATACCTGGCCTTGACATTGGCCGCTCCTCGGCCGGAATGTCTTCAGGTCGTTTATGGAAACTGTGATCGCTGAATCGTATTGGAGATATCATATGACCCTGGCTCGTCACATTGATGACCCTTGTCGACCCCTTCGCCGAGCTTTGTGCCGCTCTGAGAAGCTTGGGCATAAGGAGATTTGTAAGGAGGAATGGGCCAATGTGGTTCGTCCCGAACTGAAGTTCCAGGCCTTCCCTCGTGAACGCATGCTTTGTCATCACAACAGCTGCATTGTTGATGAGTATGTCGATTCGATCTACCAGATCGTTGATAACCTTGGAAGCTTTGCGAATGGAATCGAGAGATGACAAGTCGACCTCAACAATTGCGAGCCGCACCTTCGGATGATCGTCCTTGACTTTGGCAGCTACTTGCTCTATCTTTGCCTTCGTTCGAGAAGCCAATACTAGGAGCGAAGGCGAATGAGCGGCCAGGGCAGTAGTCATTGATTCGCCTAGACTTTGAGGTGATACCCCTACAATAACGACTGCATCCGAGTCATTAAATGAGACTTCCAGAGCCAAGGAATGCAGAAAAAACTCACCTGTCTTATCCCGGACTACGTTACTGAATGCCCTTGCGACCTCTGTCGCCGTTGTGTATTCATTGTACTCCGGATGCGACGCCATTTTGAACCGATGTTGTGACCGGCTGTCAGGTCGAGAAACTTTAGCAAGCCAATCAGCAATCTGGAGGAACGACCTTTTTGTGTAAGAAGGTCATACGAGGGCAGAGGCTGAGGTTTCAGGGAGAGCCTGCTATCACGTGAAGATGCGGCGATTGGAGAATCGGTGAGCAACTGTTTCAGAGATCGGTCGAATTGATCGAGGCGAGCCCGGGACGAGCAGATAAACCTCTCCGACCTAGCGACGCCAGAGGAGATCAGACTGTGCAGCGGTCGGCAGGAGACCCGAATTACTCGGTTCAAGTGTGAACCGTTCCACCCTTTCGGAGATAAATATTCGACCTTGACAAAGATGGACTTACCCGTTTGGATCGTCGCGGAAGCCTGGTTCTAGAACAGATGTTGTAAGCTGCCCAATCATATCCTAAATACAAGGCGAGTGGGCTTGCGTCTGTGCTGGGATCGGAGGCAGACAGCATTGCAATTACCTTCTGCGGCGAAAGTCCACTCCTTGAGGCGTTTGATATCCGCCACCACCGTCAAGGCTCTGCAGAAGTGACATACAACAGAGGGACCAGAGCCTGTTGCACAAAAGGGGAGAAGATGGGGTGAGGATCATGAGTGTGGAGAAGAATATCCACTGCAAACTGGGCCCAATCATTCCCCACGATCATATGTTCCATTGTCTGTTTTAGTACAATGCATGGGGTCGGCACTTCAGTTGGAGAAAGCTGTACCCATCTCCGAAGTCAATCGGCCACTCTAGCCACCCGCTTTGCATTGCACGTGAGGAGGGACTGATGAGGCGGTCGTGGGGCTATATCGGCCTGACATGCTGGTCAAAAGGGGATTGGGTGTCGCTGGTTCTCGACTTTCTGTCATAAAGATTCTCAAACAGTTCCTGTTCCCTTTCGGAGATCCAGCATCGGTGTAAACCAGAGTTGAATTCTGTTTTGCAGCGAAGAACAAAGTAGGAGTACTGAGCAAGGTTTACCAAGATGATTATGGCAGAAGAGGAACCCTTTGCAAAGTCCAAGACAGGCATCAAAGTGATCATCGTCGGGGCAGGTATGAAGGTCGAGTAGTACTCCGGGTAACACTGCAAAACTGACAAACAACTAGGTTTTGGGGGCCTCACAGCGGCGATAGAATGCCATCGTCAAGGCCACCAGGTGGAAATATATGAGTCGTTCCCAGTGCTTAAGTCTTTGGGAGACATAATATCCTTTGGCTCAAATGCTGGTCGAATTTTTCGTCGATGGGGTGTCGACGGCTCGATAGCCAACAAAATGAGAGCTCTAAGTATCGACCTCGCAAGGCATGGATTCAAAATCCACAAGTACACTGGGGAGCATATCATCACTCAACACACGCCTCCAATGGACCCCGAAGCGCCAGTTTTCAACGGCCACCGTGGGGAGTTGCACGAGGTTATCTTCAACTACGCCAGGGACGACCTCAAGATCCCCATTCACCTCGGCCAAAGAGTCGAGAAGTATTTTGAAGAGGACGACAAGGCTGGGATCGAACTAGCGAATGGTGAAAGAGTATGACCGATCTGTCCGTTTGACAATCGCACAATGTTGCTAACGGGTCTTCTTCAGGTTTATGGCGATATGGTAATCGGATCGGACGGTGTGAGATCAAAAGCACGGGAGCTTGTCCTGGGATACGTCGACAAGCCGAAGAGCAGTGGCTATGCAGTCTTCCGCGCCTGGTGAGTTTGGACGCGGCGAAGAATGTTGCGAGCAGAAACTGAAGCTGTTCAGGTTCCCCAATACCGATATGATTGCCGACCCTCGGACGAAGCATTTCTGCGACAATGGCGATACATTCCAAGGCTGGATCGGACAGGATGTGCACTTCCTTTTTTCAACCATCAAGAACGGAAGTGACTGCTGTTGGGTGCTGACACACAGAGTAAGTGCCAAAAAACCTGTGTCTTTGGCTCGCCTAACTCGCGCAGGACGAGGCAGACATTGACGAGTCCTGGTCATTTCCCGGCAAGCTAGAGGATGTGTACAAAGTATTCGAAGGCTGGGACCCTCTCTGCAAAACTATTGTCTCGAAAACGCCTGAAAGCCATCTGGTCGACTGGAAATTGGTGTACCGAGATCCGCTCCCAACATGGGTCAGCAAAGGCGGTCGTATCGCCTTGCTGGGTGATTCAGCACATCCATTCCTGCCGACCTCGGCTCAGGGTGCTACACAGTCGATGGAAGACGGCGTCACTATCGCAATTTGCCTCAGGCGTGCCGGAAAAGGTCAGGTTCCAGATGCCGTCCGAACGTATCAGAGAATTAGGTAGGTGATGTCGAGTCTTGTCCCAGCCTCAAACTGACATGGTCTCTAGGTACGACCGTGTGAAGGCAGTGCAAAAGACTGGAGAGACGACACGAGACATGTGGCACAAGGCGGACTGGGATAAGGTCAAAAAGGACCCCAGCTCCGTGCAGTTCCCACGCGAGGACTGGATCCACACGCACGACGCCGAAAAACATGCTGAGGAAGTCTTTGACGAGAACTTTGCTGCAACTCAGGCCGCGGAGAAGGGAGTTCCCGAAAAGCTGGTGAGCGGAGTGGACGCGGTCAATGGTGTCAACGGCGTGCATGGAGTGGCTGCCGTAAATGAAGTGAATGGTACTCACTGAGCATGCTTATTGGTTCCTTACGGTGGCTGAGATCATGGCAGAATCGACGCAGCTACGGGCAAAGCTGTGATGATCTAGTCCAGGGGTTTTGAGCCGGTGTTGGATGGGAATAGAGAAACGGAATGCGTGCTGGAACTGACCAAATCTTCGTCACCCTTCGGACACAGCCAGTCAGATGGGTAGTACTTTTTGAAATTAGCGGCTTTCAATAAATTGTTGTTCCAGGTCTATGACACTCGGTCAATGTCGAATGAGCGCAAGAGATGGAGATGAGAGTGAGGTTGCAGAAAGAACAGATGGCCACGATGGCAGAATCTTACGCTACGGCGGATTATTCAGTCCCTGACACGTAATATACGTTGAAGCTTAGACACCATCAAGTGCAACAAATTTCCATCCACATCAACATCATTGCGTCTTTCCTCGTCCGCAACTGCGCTACATATTGACAGTCTCGTGTCAATCATTCCATCTCTCAGATGGCGTTACGCGGCTATACACAATGGGAATTTCACGATTGTCGCAGGATCTTTCGCCTTACGCGGATCACGTTGTCCTGGGCACCTCACCCCAAACCCCCCTACCGCCTGAAGCAACCATCATCAAAGATCTGATCGTCGATGGACCTTCACTTGTATATTGGGTCTATAACAGGCTTGTGGCGTATCAGCGGCTGAACAGCCCTACAAGTGCAGCCTTGCCACCTACATACCTCGAAATTAACAACACACTGCACCACATGCTGAATGATTTTCAAGCCCATGGCGTCAATATTCAACACATTTTCTTCGATGGTGGTCTTCCCGCGTCCAAACGTAAGGTCCGCTTTGAGCGGATGGAGAAGCTCCGCCAGCAACTGGAAACCTACCGCAAGCTCTACCCGGAATTTCCACCAGTTGCTGCTTTACCCGGTCCTCTCGACTTGGAAAAGATGCTCTGGGATACTCCTGTCTTGTCGACGAGGAGGTCTATTCTCCCAGCTCCACCATTCATGGTCGCCAGCGCGATTGAGTCCTTAAGCACAAGTGACTGGAAGGATCGTGTTCATGTGGTCCCAGGTGAAGCCGACGCGTTCTGTGCTCTTGCTGCTCAGCAGTCTGTCCCGGTTGTGGCCGTCCTTACAAATGATTCTGACCTATCGGTTCACGACCTTGGACCCAATGGTAGAGTCGTGTTACTACACAGCCTTGAAAACAAGCAAAGGCGCCCACACAAGGAGTCTTATATCTCTGCGCTGTCTCTCGACCCGAAGCTCGTTGCAAACAGAATGAAGGTTTCCTCCTTGCTTGGATTCGGGTTCGAGCGATTTCTTGACTCCGGAGCATCATTCGCAATCATTCAACAGCGCGCAAGGGATTCCTCGAGGCTGGAGAGATTGCAGGACGAATATAGGGTTTTTGCGGAACCATTCATCCCGACTCCGCCACTATCAATGCATCCCTTTTCCCGTCTCGAAAATATCGATCCTCGAACAGCAGAGATTGTCAGCAACCTCGAGGATCCACCACACATCTATCTGACTCCGCTACTGGAAGATCCTCAACGTGATTCTTCGTGGTCATATGGAGCAAAAATCCGACAACTCGCATATTCTCTTCTCTTGATGACCTCTCCGAGTATCGCTATGAGGAAGTCGTCGCACGTAGTTGAAAGCGCCAGAAAGGGACAGAGAATCATATCCGTCTCGGTTGCATGTTTACAACACTCCGAGATCACTGAGCAAGCAGCAGAACTCCTCCAACTCCTGGAAGCCTACATTTCGGGCCCCAATTGCTCCCCCACGGTCCCCGATGGAAGCATGCTCCTAGAGTGGTACTCGCTTGCCGTCTATCTCATTCAGCAGGAGAAATTCAGACTTGGAAAACCTCCTCCGACACTACAGCAGATCTTGCGCCTCTTGGGCTTAGGTTCGACGCCGCAAATTCCGCACAGAGCACCGATGAGAGTCACCTGGGACGACATCCACCTGCTTTCAAATATCCATGCAGTGCTGTACTCTATTCGAATACTTTCGCAGATAACCGAGTATCTTGTCAATCCTCCCGAAGAATTTCCAGCCAGGACAACCATTTCTGAACTCGCCCAATGCGATGATATTTCAAGACTCACAAACAATATCCGTCTTAAGTTATCAGCATTGCCTCCCATCGAGAAGTTGTTTCTAGACATCCCAAATCTTCGCGCTCAATTGAGCAAACAGGACCTCGAAAAACAGAGCTCGGAAATCACACTTTTTAACCGCCTGCTTAATCCTAGTTCTGGTGATGATCAGATGGATGAGCATGACACAAGTGATGCCGCACAAGGACGTGACTTCAAGGACGAATATTGGACTACCACAACATCAAAGAAGAAAAGGAAAAGGAAATCGGAGTGGCAGGGCAATCCTGAAACAATTACAGAACGGCGCAGAAATGGGTTTGACCTGTTACCTGAAGAACCTGGGTGACCTCTCACGCCTAGCGCGCAAGTCTATCAACCTGTCAACACTCTCTTGCACCAACACCCAAACCCCGATTATATCAAAGTGCTGTTGTCTAAATCTGGACATCTAACCCAGCCAAAACCTCCTGGACAATACTGTCCATCTCCTGCTCTGCGTCTACAGGAAAGACGTCCGTCTCATCGACGCCGGGTTTCTCGATTGCATCCAACTGAGATGCTATCATGTCAACTTTCATATAATGTCCCTTTCTGTGGGCCACTCTTCGGAGTATTTCGTCCTCAGTGGCCTGCAATACCACAAAGGTAGTGTTGATGCAATCCGGTTCTGTCTCCTCGTTTGATGGGGACAGGATGTTCCTCAATGCATCGCGATGGGAGCGGGCAAGTGCAGAGCACGTTAGTATAACATCCTTTACGTTTCGCGCGTCGGCTCGCGGCCGATCACCACGGATAAGATGACTAGCTCGAACACGTTCCAGTACCTCAACTTTGATCCTACTGAGCCAGATCTGCCTGTCTAGGGAGGTAAGAGGGATTCCCTGGCTCATTTTTGCGATTGCAATGGCATCATGAACCGCATCCCCTTCAATCACCGGGCAGGATAGGGATTCGCCAAGCTCAGCAGCAAGAGTGCTCTTGCCAACGCCACATGGACCCGACACGACGATGAGCCGAGTCTGTTGCTGCGACCGCGCACCAGCCGTTGACAGTTTAGCCGCCCAGCTGGTCTTCAGAAAATGCCCGACGAACTTCTTCACCAGGTCTGCGGACAAAGCAGGCACGATGCCGAGCTCAGGAGAGACCTGTTCTGCTGTGGTTGTTACATAGTTGAAGTTCTTCCTCTTCGTAACGTCGTTGTCATATTTGTTTGCGAAGAACTCCACGAGCTTGATTGTGGGATTCTGTTCGGGGTCTGGATTTGACGCACGCAGGTGGCGGATCCATTCGCGCTGATTCACTTCAGCGAAGGATAGACCTGCACTGTGTAATGCGGGAAGGAGTTCTTTTGTCCAGTGAAACGTGCGGGGATTGACAATGTTGAAGACCGACTTTGTGGTGCTTGAAAGGGACATGTCTATGACGGTCCTCGCCACACTATCCACCGGCAACCAGCGGGGACATTCATCAAGAGCCGGGAGAGTTCCAATTGTGGTCGCTGCTCGCAGCATTAGGGGTATGGCCTCGGTGTCATTCCAGATCCCATGCGCAGTGTCCGCAATGATCTGTCCCACGCGCAGGACACGGGCCTCCATTCCGGTTTGAGAGGCGGCTCGGGTCACCAGGTGCTCGGTCACAAGCTTGGACTGCGCGTATCCCATGCCCTGAGCACACATGAAGCTTTGGGGAAGCGCCTCTGCGACAACCTCCCCCGGAGTGTTTGCCACGGTGGAGACTGACGAGCAGAAATTGAAAGACGCCGGTGTAGGTTGTTGGGCCGAAAGGCAAAGGAGCATCAAATGCCGGGCACCTGCAATGCAGTCTGCCTCGAAGCTGCTCAGATTTTTGTTGAAATTGACTGACCAGGCACAGTGCACTAGGCTTGTGATCTTTGCTGAAATGCTGGCATAGAGTCTGTCATCGAGGCCGAGATCTGGTTTAGAGAAGTCGGATGGATAGCAGGAGATCTTACGACGCAATTCTAGTGGAATTGTGTGATACACGGCTCGTTCCTGCATCGATTTGATGACCCGTTGACGAGCAGACGTTTTGGAACTGGCTCGTACCAAGCAACACACCTCAGAAACATCCTCCCGGCGTACAAGTTGTGCGACAAGGTGAGCTCCCAGTGACCCTGTCGCGCCTGTGACAACGATGCAACGCTCTTCAGCCTTCGACCGCACAGGCACATGTTTGGGAAAGGTGCTGTACTTATCAACAAGCTGTTCCATCTCCTTGACCACATCCCGGGTCTCGCCAGATTTACGATCACGGATGTTGAGGATCGCAGCGGCCAGTCTAGAGATGGTAGGGTACTCAAAGACAATGTTCTGTGGTAGTGGGTTGCCATTGAGTTGAATCTCCTTCAATATGTCGGCCCGAAGTCTCGTCGACTGCAAAGAGTCAACACCGAGTGAGAACAAGTCAGTATCATCCGTAAGGCTGGAAGGTTCGTCTTGAGGGCAAAGCTCCAACAAATGTGCACGAAGGAATTCTCGCAGTCCTGGTTCCGAGAGCATGAGTGTGCCAGCCGTCCTCGACTCTGCCTGTTGATAAACCTCTTCAATGTCATTTTGGAAGGCTCGGTAGAATGCCTGACGCATCAGCGAACCTTTGTCGGTGCAAGGATACGGAGTACCCGCCGGAAGGACTCTGACCATGTCTTTGGCCAGTTGCGCATAAGCAGGCAACGGCTTGTTCTCAGCCATGATTGTTGGCCAAAGTGACTCGATCAGATCTCGGTCTTCCATACTAGCTCCTTGCTCGGAAGCAATGACCATCATACCCAGCTGGCTTTTACCAGTCCCAAACATGACGGCTTCTCGAACCAGCTTGTTCTGTCGCAGCGCCTGCTCCATTGCAATTGGGATGGCTTTCTCGCCATTAACCAAGACAATGGTATCATCAAGTCGTCCGCAATACTTCCACGCTCCTGGTATTGACGGGTGGGGCTCGAAAAGGTCTTTTGTGGCGTACGATCCATCGTCCCGATTCGTCGCAACCTTCGAGGGCCAACCGTCCAGAACACAAAGCTCATAAAGGTTCCCACCTTTGGAGTCCATCCTGAGATAGGGTTTCAGCCGTTCGTGCTCTCGAACGTAATTCCAGGCCTTGTCATCGGCAGGTCTGAAGGATGTCATAAGCTGACCCGTCTCAGTGGTTCCATAATGGCTGATCAAGTTGACTCCACCTTCAGTCAGCAAGTCACCCAGAGCATCCGGACATGCTGAGCCTCCAAACATGACCACTTTCAGCGCTGCCAGAGCGTCGATACCTTCCTGCGTCTCGCTTAGGAGCTTGAGGGCATATGGAACGGCGAGGAAGATCTCGAACTGGTGGTCCGTCAGGATCTTCAGCAGGTGCTGGCTAGTCAGCGGTAGGTTGGCGTTGTACATGTATATCTTCTTGACGGCGGTGATACCACGAAAGACGTTGCTGAGACCAAAGGCGTGGAAGAGGGGCAGCGTGACGAAGCCACGCATTCTCAAGCTGTTTTCATAATTCTTCAGTGCCGCCTTGTGGGTTTGGTAGATGGGTTTCGGCAGGCCAGTCGAGCCAGAGGAGTGAATGATCCAGGCAACCTTGGAGGACTCCTCGTCCAGATCAAAGTATTGCTCTGCCCCAGCATCTCCTAGGTTAGCATCGGTCATATACTGTGCCCGGGACAGAATATCCACGACCTCCAGTCCATTGCTCTCAGCCGCCAGCGCATTTGCAGTCTTCCGGAACGACGGATCGGTCACGATGTGGCGGCATTTGGTCACGTCCAGTAACGACAAATATGCTGCCTGGGATATTCTTGTCGACAGAAAGAGCACCGTGAATCCTAGCCTGGATAGAGCTAACAGTGTGAAAAAATAATCCAGGTTAGATGGCCCCAGCAGGGCGATGACTCGAGCCGCTTGGGCGGAGTCGGCCCGGCATGGCAAGCATTTCGAGTATCGCCGGGCTGCTTGAGAAGATATTCTCACGAGGTCTGAGTATGAGTATTCGAGATAGTCGAGATCGTCCGAGGGATAGCCAAAGATCGGCTCGTCGGGAAACTCTCGCGCCCTCAAAGACAACAGCTCTGTGATTGTTCGAGGGGTCGGCAGTGGTGGTGATAGCGGTGGCGTTGGCGGTTGCAACGACGTAGATGTGACTGAACTGACTTTCGAGACAGGCACGGGAGAAATCATTTCCACGGGCGCCATTCTGACTCTACGTCGCGGAATGATGTTCCCAGAAATCTACCGGCTTTACCAGGTGAGATATATGGCCAGGATGGAAATATAAGATTGTCAACGCGTCCATTACTGGATGCCCACCAGTGACGGAAATGCTCTCTCCGAAGAGGAAATCCCTTCTGGGATGTGTGGCGGCGACCGTTGCTGGCCCACTCTTTCCAGGGAAATATGTGACGAAGCCATAAGACAATCCTTTCTTTCGCGACGCGGTCCTCAAAATATCCGTCGGCTCAAATCGGGTTGGTCGATTGTTCGATCCAAGTCGCGGGCTTGTCCGGGGCTCCATATCCAGCCCAATGTCCGCCCGATACTCCGCAAGCAGTGCCTATGCCAGTTGGCTGGTTCTGGCGTAGGCGGTGCAGAGCCCACTGTTCGCTGAGGTGGGCATTCACCCTGGGAGGGGACGGAGATCCCGTCGTGGCATCCGACGGAAAATGCTGAACGCTCATATCACCCGAGCTTGGCAGAGCCCAGGATGCTCGCATTCTTCAGGGGCCCAGCCTTATGGACTTGTCCCAGTGCCCTTGGCGATTATGTGTCTCGATAGAGAGATGGTTGGGCTATTATTACCTGGCCGAGTCATTCGGGCTAGTCCGTTGGACTGTCACGAAGCAACTGGAAAGGCAAGTCCTCCCCTAAGCAAAACCAAAGGGACAACGACAACCAGATATACACAGGTGGTCGAAACGACGAACTCTAATGACCAAGGCAGGTCCCATTCAGGTTGGACGTCCTTTCCGAGGCTCTATCAGGAAGTAGGTTTCTTTGTACACTCTGTCAATACAATACCTTGCCGTAGTCTTGCGGACAACATCTCACACCAGAGTCGTTGTCCCCTCCTCCAAACCAAACGACTTCCTTTCCCAAAAAGCATCACCCAGCCATCCGCCTACTCAGATGAAGATATTGCCCTAGAACCCGGACCGTCTACCACACACATCAGACACTCCTCTCTCACCCGCCACCCCAAGGCTCGAGACCTCCCATTCCGTGCCCCACGACCCGTCAGTGTCTCCTATAACCAGCAAGGGCCATGAGCTACAACCTGACGGACCAAGCAGCCCAAACACCCTCATGTCTCAACATCCGCCCGAGACTGCACCAGCAAGTCGTCGTCGGTACCGCCGCTCTGCTCCCTCCGGACCATAGATCTGCTGTTCGCGCATATACCTCCTTCCTCCCCTGCCACCATACCTTCTCCCCGAGAGTGGATAGACGGGGTATGTGCTCATGGGCTCCGCAAACGCCTGTTGCTGGGTGGATTCACCCGGGTGTGGATGTGGGTAGGGTGGCGTGGACATGTTGTCCTGTGGTCGGTCCTGTCTTTGACCGGCCTCGCATGCCTTGAGCAGGGCCAGAAGCAGGCACATCCTGTGCTCGCGGTAGGTTGGTTGACTGATTTACAGATGTCTTTTTGGAGGGTGGTAATAATGATGGGTGCAGCGTGTCTCGCAAAAAATACCTGGTATCTGGGCGTAGAAATTCAGTGGTCGATGGTATGGTAGAAGGAGAGGCCAGAGAGAGATGCTGGATATTCTCAATCGTTGAGCGAAGACTCCCGACAGAATACTTTTCGACTCTGTATCCTCGCAAAAACATCTCCCCCCATTCAGCCGCAAGCCGGGTTTATATGCTTGTTTGGGGACCATTCCTGGACGAAATGTCATCATCGCAGCACAAAGGGGGATGGCAGGCCTGAAATAGATCGTCACTGCGATATGTCCAACGATCCATCAATCGCTCCAACAAAAACACCTGATCTCACTCGGTAATATATTGATCGACAGCCTCAGGCACTCACGTGGTCGCGATTCTAACCCAATTAGGGTATTGGTGAAGGGCTCCAGGCGAGGATCTGTTAACTAGCAAGACTTGGTTCCCTGGATTTCAGGCCAGCGAAAAGGCTGATTGCCATATACTCACTCGGTTGACCTGATTATGATCGTGGTTACGGAGGATGGACGAAGTCCGCCCAATCCCGAGCTTGGAGATCAGCCTCACCAGCCTTCCTGAGCGTCATCAATATCCTGCAGCGCCCCGTGAAGATCCTTCGCTGAGAACGATATCCATCTGCGCAGAGGGGAGAATTTCTCCAGATCAGGACAGAGTTCTGCCGTTCTCTATCATCTGCCGTGGTTAAGGACGCTGGGGATGATTCGAATGTAAGAGCCAGACATAGGGAGAACAGCATCGTCCGAGGGACTTCTTATCCAACAATATCAGCCACCCACCTCCGAACTAGCAGCCCAGAGCTCAACTAGCCAATACCCAAGTGTGACTATCAAGCCTACATGGGAGTCAGGCTTGATAGGGACATGTATGGGAAGCACCGTGGAGGGACACCGCAGAAACGCCATGGCATTTGCGGATAGATATGCTCGGAACGAAGATGTATCTCGCATGCCACCTCAACGGCCGAAAGCAGTTCCAGAGATTGGATGCACATCGACACACCCGTCTCAGGGACTGCCGACTGCAAGTCATTTGAGCCAGAATCCATGGCCTCTGTGGCTTCTTGGCTCGAGCACCTATGCTTTAAAGATTCCCAAAAAGGATCCTTATGGCTGGAGGCTGAACAGATTCCCTTCCCCAGGAAACCCAACCGTGTCCAGACTCTCCCATCCCCAGCCCAGGAGGTTTTGGAACATGTAGTCGTCGTCGGACGGCGTGAACTGCCCTGCGACCGCCGCATCCGCGCCGACCCCCAAACCCGGAGCCATACCGCTGCTGTCGCCGCCGCCAGGTTGGGCATTGCTGGAGTATCCAGATTGACCCGCGGACACTGCTGCCATTGTGCGAGACTGAGCTAGCCGGGGACTCATGCTCTTCAAGTCTGTGGGTTCCGAGGGCAGATGAGGTGTCGATGCCACCTCATGAGGGGCTCCCGTCGACGAGACAGGAGCGCGCTCGAAAGCCGCCGTCGTCATCTCGCTGTTCCTTTTCGCGCGGACAGCGTCCTTTTCCGCACGGAGTCGAAGCCGACTGAGCAGCTGACAGTGCCGTCGTGCCTGGCTGCCTTCCGGAGCCATCGCTGCCAGTCGGTCCTGGCATAGCTTGGCCTTGTCGAAGAAGGCGTTCATGTCAGGAAAGACACCCGGCGGGATGTTGGCGCGGCTGCTCTGGATAACAAAGACATAGAGGGTCGACACTGCGACAAGGGCAATATACTGCGTGAACCAGAAGGACTGGTACAGCGCAGCTCGCTGGATCAAGTCACAGGTTGTATTAAGGATGGTGCTGACGGCACTGGCGCATTCGCGGATCGGGTTCAAAGCCCTCTCGTCCAGCACAGAGGACGCTCTCCGACCGAGCCGGCTGAAGTCCGCAAGCAGGCATCGCCGGGTGGCAAGGATCCGTAAATGAGCGTACGCGAGCTTCAAGACGGTGTTCTGGCGCTCGAACGTTCTTTGTCCCACCAGCGTCTTATCGCGGGGTTTCAGGAAATCAGGGAGACTTTCCTTCCACTCGAGCGTGGCCTCCAGCATCCAGTTGGTGCGATCGAACAGTTGATCTTCCGACAGTGGCTGAATCGGGTAGAGGAGATCGCTATTGCGTCCCATCAACTTGGCTAAATCCGCATGAGCAATGAACGCTTCCAGGTTACCGTGCAAGGGCAGGTCTTCGGGCGATTCGGACGACAGCAAATCTTGATCGTCAATGTTGCGAGGATATGGCTGGTCGATGTCTTCGTCGCGGAGCATTCGTGGCCGGCCCAGCATAACGCTCAGATAGTCATCCAAGACATATGCGCCCCAGAATGTGCGTTTGCGCAACTCCAGAGTCACTAGGTCTAGCTTGTGAGCGGAAGATATCTTCCTGTGCAGCCCGATAGATGTCAATAGCGTGCAAGCGAGACTAAAGCAGAATCGGCACTCGTTGATCCGGAAAGTGCTGAGAAGGTACAGGCACATGGCGAGCCTGGCCTGGACGCTGGCAACGGACGCTGGTCCAGGTTCTTGATTGAGAAGAGACTTGGCCTTCTCGAAATCTGGAGAATGGAGAGGAGTCAGCAATTTCCGCTGCAAGTGTTCGCTGACGCAGAAAGACCGCTAAGCACTGAACTCCTGGAGGGATGTGGTAGTCATGTGCAGGGGGCGCAACCACGAAACATGCCTCATGATCACTGTGGATGTACGGTACGTAGGAACCACTTACAGAATTGACTCCGGTTAAGATCCTGGTCGCCGCCGTCGACATATCTGTCGCCTTCCCTCGTGTACAGAAGCGACTGCGAGAACACCAATAGCGTACACGCGGCTTCTGCCGTCAACATACGGGCCCCCGTCAACAGTTGAGATGTCCACTTCTCCAGAGTTGGCCGATGGAGGAAGCGGTAGGTTGGCGTTGAGAATCGAAAGTAGCGTTCGAGCAGCGCATCTGCTTCTTCTCGCTTGGGCAGCGGCTGATCTTGTCGAACTTGGATCGGGGGGATGTCGCCGTGGCAGGTCAAGGGCGCCGAGGGCAATGCAGCCTCTCCCTCCACTGCATCGCCTCGATTCCACGAATGGTAAAGGAAGGACACTCCCGCTGTTGCGCTGATATGGTGGCCTTCGGCAAAGGTTGGTTCTAGGGACGGCCCTCGAGAGATGTGGGGTGTATGTTCGCGTGACATGACAGCTACTCGGTTCGAGGGCTGCGCGATGGCAGTCGTGGCCGTCGCACGTTCGCCTGGTAAGCCGCCAGGCGAAGTCCAAGTCGCCGGGACCTGGTGGAAACTTGGACCAGAGCCTTGGGAATGGCCGAACGCCCCAGGAGGTGGCCTCGCAATGCCATCGTCGTACTCGCAGCGAACCTCCTCACCAATGCAATAATCGCAGGGTTGGGTGCCCGAACATCGCACTTTGCGCCTGGAGTATTATATGCCATACATGATCAGTATAGGTGCATGGAGGGGGCATAGATCAAAGATCCCAATGGAGCGTTGGTTTGGGGGCTCGCTCTGGAGACCAGTCCTTGCCATCGTGGGATCGCATACCTCCTGCAGAACATGCACGCCCTCGCTGTGCGCGGATGCTTGAGCTTGCGTCTCTTGGGAGGGCTGGATGGTAGAGCATCGTTCTCCGTCGGAGAGGAGGCCTTGGACTGCTCCATATCTCCTCTCGCTCATGATAATACACTTCTGGATAAACTGGATTCCGTAGGAACGGCTAACGAGCGAAGGATGATAAGCTGCTCTGATTGAAAAGTGGGTGGCGGGAAAATAGTGGCACGGCGGAATCTCCTCGGCTCCCAGCGCCTGTGTTGGATCATGAGCCATAGGCAGACCCAACAGCAAAAAGGTGTCAGCAGCCCTACTCAATGTCGAGATCAGAATCGGCAACCGGGCAACCCCTCCGTCGGCAAGCTGTACCTAGGGAAAAGCGGCTCCCCCTCCACCCCGTTGGTGCTGGGATCCGATTTGACCAGACGATCGCATTTGAGACATCGGTTCAATAGCCGAACAAGCCGAGTGCCCGGTGGAAAAGTTTCCTGAGCAGGAAGCGGAAAAACGAAAAGGAAAAGCAAAGGAATGCTCCCTGGGATGCAAGAAAAAAGATAAGCACAGCTTCTTGCAGAGAGAAAGAATCCAGGCTTTTCTCTCTCAATATACAAAACCACTAGGATCCCACCTCGACCATAAATAAATATACAGAAACCCAAAGGACAGCGGCTATGGCGCTCAATCGGACGTTCACTCTCAACACAGGCGCCAAAATTCCGGCGGTCGGTTTCGGCACGTGGCAGGCTGCACCGCACGAGGTCGAGAAGGCGGTAGAGATAGCTCTCAAGGCCGGCTACAGGCACCTGGACTGTGCAGCAATCTACAGAAACGAGACCGAGGTCGGCCTGGGTATTCGGAAAAGTGGCGTCGACCGGAAGGACATCTTCATTACGACGAAGCTGTGGAACAGCAAACACGACCCCAAGGATGTGGAACCCGCACTCGATAAGTCGTTAAAGGACCTCGGTCTCGACTACGTCGACCTGTACCTTATGCATTGGCCTGTGGCTTTCGCGTCGGGGGACCGATGGTTTCCGCTCGACGAGCAGGGCGTGTTCCGGCTGTCAGATGTTCCTTTCACCAAGACGTGGAAGGCCATGGAGGCACTGTTAAAGACCGGCAAGACGCGCGCGATTGGCGTCTCCAACTTCAACGTCCGCCGTTTGAAGGAGCTTCTCGCCAGCTGCGAGGTGGTTCCCGCGGTCAACCAGGTGGAGGCACACCCGTACCTCCAACAACCCGAGCTGCTCGACTTCTGCAATGAGAAGGGGATCTTGATCCAGGCATATAGCCCTCTGGGAAACAACACGACCGGCGAGCCAAAGACGCTTGATGATCCCGAGGTCCATGCGGTTGCAAAATCCTTGGGGATGGACCCTGGCCAAGTCCTCGTGAGCTGGGGAGTGCAACGCGGCACGGTCGTGCTCCCGAAGAGCGTTACCGAGAAACGAATCATCGACAATTTCAAAGATGCCATCCTGCCCGACGAGGCAATGAAGAGGTTGAACGCCCTCGAGAGACACAAAAGGTTCAATTTCCCCGCCAGATGGGGTTACGATATCTTCGACGAGCTCGGGGAAGAGCAGGTTGCCAAGATCGCAAAGGAATCGGGCCCAGAGAATTTGCAAAAGTTCACCGTTTGATCATAGAGTCCAGACTACTATAGACCGCATAGATCAATTTGAATGGTCGGCAAATTTTGCGTCTCACATCCGGATCTTGATTCTTTGCCGTGCGGATGGAGCATCGGTGTATGGTTTCGTTGCTGCTCATTATAACCCGATGGCAGGACAGACTCTTTGGTTTTGGTAGTTCCAGTCGAAAGCAGCCCAAACTCCGTACAGATGTACCAGACTTGCAACCACCACCAAGACGTGGAAGAACTGGTGCGATGAAAACCAGATGTCAAAGTCGCCGGGCCATATCGATTCAGGAATCCGAGTCACGAAGAAGAAGGCGCCGGTTCCGTAGACGAGGCCTTCCAGAAACCAGTAGGGCATCCCCGAGCGTACCCACATCTCGCTCCAGCCGTAGAGGCAGAGGCCATGGATGATGGGTGCGAAGCCCGAAAGCGCGGTGAGTATGAAAGCCCACGTTCGGTGAGTGCGGTACTTCAACCCCTGAAGCCTTGGGTGCAGAACCAGGGTGGCCATGATAAGGCTGAGGGAGATGATCATGCTCCAGTAGACCCAGCGGAGCAAGGGTTCGCAATAAAACCCGACGTAGATTCCGGAGAAGAAGCTTCCCAGGATCAGCGTCAGGATCCCCACGTAGTCGACCCTCAGCATCAAGTTCTCCACGTCCTTGGAATGGCAGATCATCGTGTGGTAGGTCGAGGAAAGGAGCATTGTGATGATTGCGGCGCCGACTTGGATGCTGAACACGGCGTAATCGGTCACCGACGCTTCCGGGTAGAAATAGCTGAGACCGCGGTAGACGAGAACTTGTCCCACAGCAAGACAAAAGGCCGGGATCAGATGAGTGTAGATGTTGATCGACTCGTTGTGCAGGTGTCCTAGAGACAGGACGCAAGTAAACCATGAGTTGGCCACCGGTCGATAGCCCGACCTTACCAAGTGGTTATCTTGGTACCACGCGGGCAGTTCTTCGAACTTGAGCAGCCTGTAGGGCTTCGATTTGAGCTTCGAGAGGTTTTCATGGAGACTGATACTGGGTGCACGCGCGCGTTCCCTTGCCAGCTTTTCTTTCGGTCTTCGATAGGCAAGGATGAACGACATTTTCTCTGACAAGAAAAGGGATAGAGTTTGGTAGAGTTCAGCCACAGACAGATCTAACTGGCTGAGGGTAGTGGGTGTGGGCAGAGGGAGCGGGCTAACTGGACCAGTATATTATATATTCCCAAGATACACCGTAATTGCGCCTTTTAATTTATCAACATGGCAGATTGAAAAAGGAGGAAGTCTCGGACTTCCCCCTCACATTGCGCGAAAACGTTGAGAATTTGGCCCAAGCCGCCGATACGTTGATCTGCAGATCGAGCTCTTGGCGATTCGCCGCACATTCCGAAATTGAGCTTCAAGCGCTGCGCCAGTGAATGGCTCCAGCCTCCTCCAGCCTCCTACCTACTAATATGAAGTATTACTCCAGGGGCTCCGTCTAGCCGATTGATTCCGCGGCTGCACCGGGACTCAACTTCGTCATCGTTCGCTTGCCACTGTGCACCGCTGCTTTGTTGGTAACGAGTGATTTGTGTTGGCCCATCTATTTGAGCTGGCCAACCCTTCCTTCGATGCTGACTTTGTCCTTGCTCATGCTCAGAATTTGGAAATCTGCGTGCGAGGCTTCCGCCCCATCTCGGGATACCTTCAGGTCCAATTGTGCAGGGACAACCACGGGCCGCTTGAAAGTAATCTCCATAAACAATGGCTCATTTTCGCTTGGGAGAGTAATATACTTGGCAGCTAAGGCACCGACATGGTTGCCGTGAGCCAGTTTTCCTGGGAACCCAAAGATTTTTGCTGCGATTGTTGAGGTATGAATGGGATTGTAATCCTTGCAGAGCCTTGCCCACTGCGCCGGATCATTGTACTCGACTGCAAGTGATGTTACATTCGACCAGGCCGGGTTAAATACCCCATTGCGAGCAACATCCTGTTGTTGAGCCATTTCTCGTCGAACCCTTGCGAACTGCAAAATCGTAAAATTTTGCCGAAAGACCGTGATTGAGCTGCCCGAATCCTTGCTCGGAATATTCAAGTTGACGACAAGGTCGACCTCGAACCCTCGTTTGACGACGCGATCATCTTTTGAGAGGGTTGCTGTCAAGAAGGCTTTCTTTAACGCTGTCAGTGCCTGCCCTTCGCATAGTAAATCAGGCCTTAGCAGTTCGAATCGGTTTCTCACGTTGACGGAACCTAACGGCCGGACTTTACACGACGGGTGCGCAAGCAACAGCAGCATAGCTGGCTCACTCAGAGCAGACAGGAAGAGAAGCAATTGTGCGCCCGACAACTGGTTGTTCCTACTGTCCAGTGGGTCCTTGATAGCAGCGGAATATGTAGTAAGGTCGGCTTGCGTGACGCGAAACGGCATGACCAACGAGAGTTCGTCTGCGTCTGGCGATTTCGGAACTTCAGATACCATATTTCTGAGCTTGAAGATGCGGGTGCATGTTGAGAGGATTGAGAATCTGACAGATCTCAAGAAGAAGATAACTATGACGATAGTGATGTCGATGCCAGAAAGTTCGTTTGGGGAGAAATCGAGCTTGATCTGACGATCGTGCTTCCACAGAGGTAGTAGGTGCTTGCATTTGAAGGCCCCGATGGTGAAGAGTAGTAGGAGGAGAGGAAGAGGTGCAATGAGAAAGATATCAGTCATTACCGACATTGTAGGTGCTGAGATATGAGGTTGATGTGGACGCACATGAAGTGAAAGAACCTATGAATCACGGTAAGTCAGCTATGTATAGTAGTATAGGAGGCTTATTGTATGAACGAAATCCCAAAAGAGTACTATGTAGCCAAGATAACTTGAAGTCTTCAACTGTAAGGTGGTAGCACAACGGTAGTGCCCATCGCAAATAACAGTTTCAACTTGAAAGTTCCGGCCGAAAAGTGAGAACTATATCAAATACTATGTATGTACTACATACTATGTAGTACTATGTAGTATATGTAAGAGATTGCGGGATGACTAATCATATAGCCGTACTAGTACATAGTACTATGTATCACAACCCCACGACGACGTCAACCCTCAACCCCAGCGCCCTTCAAGTTGTTGATTCGACTTATTAGTCCCAGTAGCGAGCTAGTACTCTTAATTTCGTAAGTACTAGACTTAATATACTATACTATATATCTATTAGTCTTCCCTAATACTACTATGTACTTAGCCTTCCTGGAGGGTGTCAACGCGGCTGGGAATCGATTCCAGACTGATTCCAGATCGATTCTAGACCGGTTTGAAGGATTTGGAAGCGATCTGAAAGCGGTTTGAACCCGATTCGCCGAATAAAATCGCCTAAATCGCCTAAATCAGTTCGAAGCGGTTGAGGCGGTTTACATAGGTGATCTAGACGATTTAGACGATTTAGACTATAAAGAAGTGAGTTCGAGTCTCAATCTAAAAACGTCGACTTTTTTCGAAAACTTGAATTTCTTTAATTTCTTATCTATTTATATATATATTTTGTTTTTAATAATTTTTATAAATTACTAGGTTTATAATATGTATTTATATATACCAAGTATATAGATTAAGGTATATACTTAGTACTATATACATAGTAAGCTCGAGAAATTTAAAACTACTAGTACTATATACTATATATATAGTACATATATACTTAGTAATCTAGAACTACTAAGTATGTACTATATATATCCGTATCGCTTAGAGTAAGAGATCTCCTCTAATTTCTATAATTATATACTTACTATAGTAGTAAGCTAGGACTTAAAATATAGGGATAGACCTAGAATAAATTTAAATTATATAGTATATAGTCTAGATTTTTATTAATTTAATCTAAGCTTAATCTAGGTCTAGTTTGAGGTCAAGAGTGAAATAGGTCACCTAATTATCCTAAAAGGGAAATTTCGATAAAGATATATACTATGTAGTTTAGCCTCGCTTTTTATATATATCTAAGTTACTTAGGTATAACTTAGAGGTAAATATTATATAGTATATATACTACTAGTATATATATATATATATAGTGTATACTAAGTGCCTATGATAGTATCTAGTACTCCTAAGTCCTAGCTTGGTACCTAGGTAGAATATTGAAGTTATATAGTATATAGTATCATAGTAGGTCCAGTAGCTATATACTATATACTATGTACTATAGTATATATAGTACACATATAGTATATTAGGGAGTAACGTATTGTCCTTTACCTATTACATACTCTCGGTAACCCTATACCTACCTAGGTACTTACCTTTCTACCCCTGATAGACTAGCACCCTAGTAGGAGTGACCACATAGTATACTATGTACTTAGTAGATAACTTGAAAGTCATAGAAATTCCCTCCTGAATTTTCCATTTCGTATTCCAAAACTCGGATATCGTCGCCAAGGGTCTGTTTACCTGGGTTATTCCAATATCTGACCCTCCTCCTCGTCCCAAATTTTCGTATTCCCATATTCCGGCGTCATGAAGTCGTTAAGCTCGTCGCGTTATCAAGTGTCGGGCCGCATCCTCCTTCTTCTATAGATGACACAGTGCAGTCGAAGACTCTTTCTGCCAGCTCTCGCATCTCCATGCATCGGCTTTCCACATGGCCATTATCACCATAGGTTCGCCCTTCGTCACTTGATTCATTAGGCTCTGGAGTCAATTGATGATATGTTTGTTCACTGTCCTTCCGCAGCGCTTTTTCATCCCTTCTCGTAACCACGCTGGACTCTCGAGCTGGTTGCTCAAGCTACGGCTTTGTGGGAGCAGATGCCGCTGGAGGTACTGCTGCTGGTGAAGGCGCGGGTGCCACTGGCTTAGGACTTGTAGCAGGAACATTCGTGGATACATGCGCTTCACCCTGCACAGTGGAGGTTTGTGGAGGTGCTAGCAGAGCGGGAGGTGGTTGTTGTCCTGATGGTTGGGGTCGAGGCTGCTGCAGCTGCTGTTGCTGATTTGGAATGCCTGGCGCTGTCCGCGAGTATTCCTCGATCCCAGAGAGCATACCGTTTGTAAGTGGCGGCTGGTCGACAGTCATATGGCCACACATAACCACGTCGGCGTCTCCCATTGGTTGCCACCTGACATTTCTCAACCTCGTAGCGATGGGTCGTCCGCTATGGTCAACTGCAGTACCTGGAGAGACCATCACCCCTGCACTGCCAAAAAATGTGGGAGCAATCGTGAGAATGATAGAATCGATCAGATGGGAGCGACGCATTTCCAATAGCTCTGAAAGCACGATCCCACCGCCTTCAACCATGACGCTCTTTATACCCTCTCGAAAGAGCACATGGAAAATGCCTTCCCAGTTTAGACCTGCTTGTTGCCCCGGAACTGGATGGTAGTCATTGATCATCAGGTATTCTCCACCATGCTCTTTCAGCGTGCTCACAGCAAAGGGATGTAGCATTGCGCCGGGAGCAACCACCACCCAAGGCGCCTTGCCCCGACCCTCGGCAGCTGTTTTGAGTACCTTCATGTCTGGCAGAATTCGCAGGCGTGCATGAGGATCAATGATGATCGGCCGTGGTTGGAACTCCCAAGCCAGCCCACCATATCCGCCCGGGTTGGCAAGTCGACAGTTCAGCGCAGGATCGTCCGCCATGGCTGTTCTAACACCAATCAAGACGGCATCGTGTCGACTTCGCAAATAGTGTGTCATGGCCTTTGTCTCTGGACCAGATACGGCGGTAGGAACTCCGGGCACTTGACTGATGCGGCCGTCAAGGCTGCTTGCCCAGGTCAGAGTGATGTGGGGACGATTCCGAACCGCCGTAAGTTTGGGATCGGGCACATATGGTTCTAAGAAACCTCTAGCATGATGGGGGTACTGTAATGTGTCCCAATGAATAGTTGTTGCGGGCTCGTTTCGTGCATCTCCTTTTACGGGTTCCAGTCGGCCAAAAACGCCAGGCTGCATGGAGGGTTGGAATTGAGGCTTTGGCGGAGGCGGAGGTGCTGCTGGCGGCTGTCGTGGTGCGCGTTGTTGATTGAAGCCCTTGTGTGCTTTCAGAACAACCTGCTGATGTCCCTGGCGCCAGGCATATTGAACATTTCGGACATCTGACATTTTCATAAACTTTCCACCTGCAGCATGCATCTTTTCAGGCTCCGTCCACATCTTCCAAAATATCGAAGCCGGCAGATAAGCTTTGGCAGCCTCACGGCGAGCTGTGTCCATGATCCCGGTGTTTCGCTTGGTACTATCGACGTAGTCCAGGTCATGTGAATGTCTCATCACACCATCGGTAGCCTTGGAAATGGTGCAGGTCTCTATTGGACCGTGATTGTAGACCACCTTCATAGTCATGGCACATGTCTTTTCCTCCCGAGCTCTTTTCTTTCTCTGTTGTTTACCCTCTGGGGTTGGACGGGGCGTGTGAGGCTTGGGGACGGCTCCGCGACGAAGTCTGCAGGCATAATAGTCGACCGTGGCAGCAACGTCCTCCGGCTGGGATTCCGTACTTCTCATCTTGCGCCAGACGTTGTCGACAAAAGGAAAGTAACTTTGCCAGTCCGCGACCGGCAGCTTTACGGGGTCTTCGAGGGAGAAAAGCCTCTCGCGCATTTCGGCGAGATTGGGTGGGTTGTTGAACACGCTGTAGTCTGGAGGTTCATCGGACACGGTGTAAGGTTTGCCATTTGGCAGTGTTCGTTCAGTCTCGGCATCAGCTTCACCTTCGCCCTCAGCGGCACCTTCATCCTCTTCCGCATCGTGCATGCTAGCGTCATTGACAGCTTCATCGTCAGCTTCGCTTTCTTCGTCATGGTGGTCGAGTCCGTCAGGCGCATCGGGAGTCTCGGGGTCGGTGCTCATGATGATCGACGCGCGTAGTGTACAGTGGGCTGACGATCGACTAATGGGAGGGCTGTGGATGCTCCGTGCGGCGCAGGAAGAAAAGAGGACGCGTTGTCATTCGGAAATACGGACAGGGAGAGGTCTGGGAGAGATCAAGCGCCGGTCGAGGAAGTCGAGAACATGGGCTGCTTCTTCAAAGAACTGAATTGATGGATTTCACGTCTCGCTCACTTTTTGCATTGAATGCGCACCAGAAAGTGAAAGTGAGCGGACAGTGAAATTTGGCGCGGCGTCGGGGGTCGAGGATTCGCCAAAACAGCAAAACAGAGACGCCCGGTCACTGAACGAGGCTCCACCTACCCGCCAAGCGACCCTCATGCAAGGAACCAGCATGCCAGCTCAACTAAAATCACCCGCTAAAATCAGTCGAATAGGCTGTCGACACCGCCCGAGCTCAAGCAGAGCGCTAAGTAAAGGTGCCTGGGCCAGAGGGTACTTGTTACCTAGGGTAGATAATGGGTTTAAGGACCTTCTCTGAGCTTTTGGTGCTCAGTCACATTTGAGAATCGTCGTCTGCACCAGTTTGAGCTTTGACGGATGATAGACAGCAAGACGTTGGCATTTGTTGAGACTTGAAATGACCTCTTCCAGTCATTCATCTATGCAGCACTTGCCGTGCGTCCCTTGTCCCAAGCACTCGATCCGACCGACACAAGAAAGTCCTCGGTCCTTTGCACAAAGTTGCCAAACAGTACATTTTGGGTATCATTCGTATTCTTCTCCTTCTTTCGTGGGGATAAAGTGACAGGCCATCAACTCTCATCCAGCTCATCTTCTTCCTCCTACCTGGGTCTGCTCCTTGATCGACTTCTGCTTCTGCTTCTACTTTGGCTGTAGCTACTCCGGGAACTGTAACTTGGACTGCGTCTCCTCCGCCGTGGTGGACTTCGAGCCGGTGGGCCACGTCTTCGGGGCGGTGTCCTAGATGGGGATCTGGAGTATGAGGGTGACCGTCGACGCCGTCGAGGCGGTGAAGGAGACCTTGAGTATGTGTCATGGGGGATGTACGTGTCGTCTTCGGCTGCTCGCCTTCCTCCACCATACCCGCCTCTCCTTGGGGGTGGGCTTCGATATCTTGGGGGAGGGGGTCCTCTTGGTGGTGGCCCGTAGCGGGAGGGCAGTGGGCCATAGCGGGAAGATCTGGCTGGAGGCGGTGACCTTGAGAAGGCCCGGCGAGGAAGTACAATGCTCACGGATATGACGACACCGTCCAGTTGGGCTTCATGCATGTGGGCAATGGCAGATTCCGAACCTGAAGGGTGATCATAGAGGATGTAGGCGGTGCCGCGATTTGTCATGACTGTTCCACGTTAGACGCATTCTGGATCAGGCCAATGTGAAACATACATTGCTTGTTCAGTGGGAGGTCGACCGACTCGATGCGACCGTATGAGCCAAAGATCTCGCGCAGATGGGCCTCGGTCACGTTTCTGGTCAGCTTTTCCACCACAATCTTGGAGCTCTGCATCCGTCGGTTGTCTCTACTGGGGCTGGGCGTGTAGCTTCTTTCTCGATACGACCTTCTGTCACCGCGACTTGGACTCCTGCTCCTGCTGCGCGAGGTGCTTCGGCTGTGGCTTCTAGCCCGGCCATGCCCATTGCGCCCATCGCGAGGGGCAGGCGACCGAGTGATTGATCTGGATCTCGACCGAGAAGGAGAACGAGAGCGTGACCGTGGGGAGGGTGATCGACGCGGCGAACGAGAACGATTAAAGGGTGGAGAGGGTGCTCGTTGTAAGGAAGTTGGCGTATGCGATCTTGTAGGAGATCGCCCTCGTGACGGCGATCGTGAGGGCATCTTGGACGGTATCTGGGGAGGGTTGTAGACAAATATGTGAAGAGAAGGGTTTCAGGACATATCGAATATGATATTTTGTGAAACAAGAGAGAAGGTGAGATGTCTGATGTCCGCGCAGATACCTAGTTAGTTGAACTGGTGGTGAGTGTTCCTGGTATATGGATGATTTTGGTATGGCACCCTGCAAGTTTCGCAAAATGGGGATCTGCGGGTGATGTCGCAGTACTTCGCCGTACGAAAATTGGCTTGGCGGCGCCATCAAGTTTTCCTACTTTCCATCAATTGAGCTGGAGGGAGCCTTCATCATCACTCATCTTCCCCGCTACCACCATCGGACCAGCTTCCACCTTCCATCGTGAGGCGACTCCAGTCCTGCATACTAGGTATGGACCCTCTTCCCTGCAGGCGCTGATCTGTCCAATTCCGATCCGGGGAAATGAAAGGTATCCTGTCAACTGTCCGCTCCCAAAACATCCGTTGCACAGTTGCCGATCCATGACCGTCTCCCCGCAAATGCTGTCACCTTCCTGAAATGCAATGTTTTCCACCAATGGCGCGATTTGCAAACCTGGGGAATTTCTGGCATCAAATGTGCCGAACCAGTGCCCCGCGGAATGCTGGAAATAAGTAGGTTTTTGCTCACGGACGTCCATGCTGGGACGGCAGCCGCAATAAAAGAAAAAGGGTAGGAGGGAGCTGTCAATCCTTCATTGTTCAACCATTGTGCCGTCCAGTGCCCTCCAAAATGCTTGTGCCTTGTGTTGTTGCTGGCCTGCTCCTTGCAGAGGTAGCTACGTGCGCTGTTTCCTTGTCACTCGCTCCTCCACAAAATGCCAGCAAGCCCCTTCTTGAGTCCTTCGTCTCGTACTCGATCGAGTTTGCTTTCTTTCCGGATTTCGCAGGTAAGGTTGTAGAGAAGCCGTATGATCTCGTCACCAACTCTCTCCAGGGAACTCCAGTCACCCGAACAACTTTTCATACAACCTGTTGAACAACTTGCGTGACCTCCAGGGGTCGTATCCTATCATCAGAGTTGGCGGGAATACGGAGTACGTCGATCTTAGGCTATATTATTGAGTGACTAATGCCGAAGGAACTGTCAGAGACTACGCCACTTTCAACGCTTCCCAGACGGCCGCCCTGGTTGGGACTTTCAACTTCACGCGGTCGGCAGACTACCCAACAACAATATCCATCGGCCCCAGCTACTTTGACTCTTACTCCACCTGGCCAGGTGTCACGTATATCCATGGCTTCAACTTGGGAAAGAATGGCTCCAGCGGCTACGAGACCTTGGTGGGAACTGCTCCTCTTGTCTGCAAGGCTCTTGGGACAACCAAAGTCGCCTATTGGGAACTAGGCAATGAGCCCGATCTCTACAAGACGAGTGCCCAGGGCCCGGTGAGACCGAGTTGGTGGAATGAGACCGATTACGTCCAAGAATGGCTCAACAAAACCCGCATTATCCGACAACTGGTCCAGCAGAATTGTCCGGACATCATTAGTCAGGGGAAGTTCAAATTCTACGCCCCCAATTTCGCAGGAACTTCCAACAGTCTGAACTTGATCACTACATGGCGAGCTGGATTGGATGCCGACAACGATATTGCTTTCATCGACAGCCACAAGTGAGTCGTTTGAAAAGACAGGTCTATCCTTGCTGACAGCTTCCAGTTATATCGGAGGCGCGACTCAGCCGGGTGTGACTCTCCAGGGCACCTTAATGAACCACACATCGACCGTCTTGTCAGTCAACAAACACCTCAACGAATCAAGCCTTCTGGCCTACACCGGACTCCCATACATCCTGGGCGAGACGAACAGCTTGTATAACGAAGGTGCACCGGGCTTGTCTAACTCCTTCGGTGCTGCTCTGTGGGGCGTTGATTTCAACCTCTACTGTGCCGCCACAGGTATTGCTCGAGTTCATATGCACCAAGGCACCAATTATAGGTACGCTTCATGGCAGCCGATCCCCACCGTCAACGAGACCTTGGGTACAAAAGCACCATACTATGGAAATATCATGGTAGCCACTTTTCTGGGGGATTTGACCAAAAACAATGTCAGCATCAGTGACATCGAACTCGGGAGCACATTTCAAAATGCATATGCAGCGTACGTCGATGGCCGGCTGGAGAGGATAGCTATCATTCAGATGAATGCGTACAATTACACCTCCAACGGCACGGCCACAGCCAAGCCTACTACTCGGCCCAGCGAGACGTTCAGCTTCCAACTGCCAACGACTGGCACCGGATCGGCTGTGAAGGGAGTCAGTGTGCAGCGGCTGATAGCAAATGGCAGTGATGCCATCACGGGCATCACTTTCGATGGGTGGTCATATAATTACGAACTTCAGCAGGGGATGCCAGTGAAACTAAACAATGTCACTTCGGGAGAGGTGTTGCAGGTCGCCCAAGGCGGCCTGCTTACAGTTACAGTGCCATGGTCTAGCGCAGCGATATTGAATCTACAGTGGTGAATGGATCAAACATTCTGCATATGGTACGCAAATGGGCCAGAGGACCGCATTGGGGAGAAATGCGTTGCATAAACAAATGTAGCTGGGTATATAGCTCCTCGACAGACTGCATACGAATAAGCCCATGCATGAATAACATTTTTCAGTCGCAGAGGGGGTATTGTTCCGCAATTAGCTCGCCCGCGAAATAAGGAAATCCACAAGTACTGATCGAGCGCGTTCAATCTATTCTGCTAGTCGACTTACCGTTCTTCGTCATCCGCGGGTCGTCGATGTGGTTGGAAGGCAAGACTGGACTTAATGTGGTGGAACCGCAGTGTCTTGATCGTGTGGCTGGGACGCTCTGTGCTCGACATCGGGAAATGCTGTGAAGCGAAGCCTGCTCAGCGGGAGATGTCTCTTAGTGGACAAGACTAGGCAGGTTTCTGTCTCATCGATTTGTCGCTTCCGGGGCCCGAAGTTTCATGACAACCTCTTCTTGCAAGTCGATCGAGTGTTCGAGATATTCATCTATGTCCACGGCGTCATTTGGCTCCTCAGAATTGAGAAAAGTGTCAGGATTCAAGCATAAACCCACAGCTCCGGCAAAGTCTGGTCCCATCGAGGATCTGATTTCAGCTTCGATAGAATCTCTCGTACCGCCTTTCGCCATTTCATTGAGTACATCCGAATGTGTGTAGATAGTTTGACGCGTTATCTTGTCAAATGTCTCGGGCATGATCCATTTGAGAGGCTTCCACAATGCAATTTCAACCAATACCACCCCCAAAGAATACAAGTCAAATCGAGGGCAGAATGGTTGACGTTCTTGCTGACCTTGTCCCGTGGCCTGTGGGTGTCGATAGATCTTCAACTCGGGGTCTTCACGGACCTCGTCAGAAATATCTCGCGGATCGTTCTGGCGAGCATATCCGTAGCCCACGAGATACGGACCTTGAAACGACCCACGAGCCGGCCACTTGGACTTGCTGAACGGCGTAAGGAGCACATTGTCGGTTCGAATCTGTTTATGAAGCAAGCCGGCTGTGTGGAGATTGAGGACTACCTCAGCCAGAGCGAATGCCAGTCTAAGTCGCTCTGCAGGGTCGGCCTTCGCCAATCTGACATCCGAAATAAGAGCTTCGAGGCTGACTGTGTCCGCGTGAGGTGGAGGCTCTGCGTCGGGGACAGAATCGTGAGGGCCCGCGCTGGTCAAGCTGCTCAACGGCGGCTCAGGGAACTTGTATGCCAGCACTATGCTTCCATCGTCCCAGTAAAAGCCAGCAAAAGGTAAAGTATGAAACTTAGGCGACTTGAGTTCACTTAGCAGAATCGCTAGATTCTCAACTTGATGACGTCGACGGTCAGCTTCAGATTTCTTGCTTGGCATCTCCACATCTCGTCTTTCAAGAAGAACCCAGCTCGAGCGGCCTTCGTCCCTTGCAAGCTCTCTGCATCCCAGTCGCCAATCTCCTTTGACCACGAATTCCGTCGACTTTCTTTTCAGATGCTTCAGCGTCTTTATTCTCTGCTTTTTCGAATCAATGAACGACTGGAATTCTGCTTGCTGAGCCTCTTCTGGAGTTGTAGCGTCCACTCCAAATGCAATTCGATGGGATTTGAGCCCCGCGAGAGTTGAAGTGTCTTTCACCGTCCTTTGGCGCATAAGGTCGCTATCCAGACGGCTTATACGACTGACAAAGTCGATGTCATCCGTACTCGAGGTCGACTTAACGGTCATTCGAATGAGGTATTCGAGCGCCAGGATGATGGTGCGCTGCTGTAGCATAGATGTCATGTCTATGAGTCGGCTGATAAGATTATGGACATCCTGAACCAGTCTTGTCATAATGCCCTTGTCGAATATTGCCCAGCGGAGCTTTTTGAGGGTACTGTTGCGCGAGTTGATTGCTTCAGCACTGACAGTATCAAATTTTTGTTGCAGTGGCGCGGGAAGACGAATCCAACTTCGACCAGGTTTGTCCTTGATTTCTTCATCCGTATCCTCAAACTTCAGCTTGTATCTCTCTTCAAACTTTTCACCTTTAGGTAAAATGGACTGGAGCTCTTGAAGTGTTTTCGCTCTTGCTGACGTGTAGGGATCTTCTGCTTCCTCACCCACAAGTCCAGGCAGAGGAAACCTGAAGTCAGAGTGCTCCTCCCACATGAAGAATCTGAAAAACTCATACTCCATATCCCGTCGGAGCCTATCGGCGTCTGAAGCAAAGGATCGTACGGAGCAAAGGAGTATCAAACCCTGGTGGATCCTGTGTATGGAAGTGTTTACCATGCCGAAGATCCCAACTGCTTCTCCGAAGACAGACATGCTGTCTGCGCAACACAAGGTCGATGATGGTAGAGTTATGAGAGCAAGCAAGAGGCTGGAAGTTTTGATGGGCAACGTGATCACAGCTGAGTTGGCAGCCTATAATTCAAGTTGAATACGAGGTTTTGCCCCTCCCCCACGTGATCTGGGTCGCTCCTTTCTTCGCCTACACTCGAAGGCAAGAGGAGAAATTTGAGGTGAGTTCCTCCCTAACATTCAGATGTGTCTCTTTCGATGATAAGTGCAGAATGAACGGGTTGAATCACCCAGAGACCCCTCGACCTGCCACAGCTCCTCTTCGACCGAGTTTGTCGACATTTATTGATTTTACACGCAACGCCTCATTCACATATTTTCCCAGCCGCAGTCTTTCCCAGCACTTCCGTGAAGCTCAGAGTGTAGCTTCGTCCATCACAATTGGTGAAGGAACTTCATACATCATCACGCGAAAAGACAGTCCTCCTGCTCGGGTGGATCTACCTCAACCAGTCGAGCAGCAGGGTGTAAAAGTGTCCTTGACCACTAAGCCAGCCTCACAACCATCTCCTATAGATCGAGTGGTCTATAAGATACCGGATGTTCGGTTCCAGGAAACCGGAGAACCGACGCCCGAGTCACGCTCACGATTTGCCTCTATCTTGCTGGATTTCCTGGTCCTTACCCACACCCCCGTCACAAAGCACAAGAACATCCTGAGTCTGCTAGGCCTAGCATGGGGAAATCTACCCGGCGAGCGGCCATATAAATTCCCTATCCCAATCGTTTTATGGGCGGACTATGGTAGTCTTGCAGACATGCAGAAATCCAAGCAGATATGTATCTCACACAAGTCTCGCATACTTATGGATATTGCGACAGGACTGGAGTTTCTTCATCATTGCGACATCATACACGGCGATGTTAAAACCGAAAATATCCTGATCTATTCCTCGGCTTCTTTCCGCTATCTAGCAAAATTGTCAGATTTCGGCTCTTCTATCCTAGGAGGTCACGGGGTCTTCGATTTTTACACAGGTGGTACAAGAAAGTGGGCTGCGCCTGAAGTGTTGAAGGGGAACCGGCCCACAGCCGCCAGTGACAGCTTTTCATTCGGATTGAACGCCTGGCGAATCGCCATTGACGGGATCGACCCTTTGAGCTCGTTCATACTTCTCAATATCCCAAACTCACCGACTTTACCCGAAGATGGTCTGGACGCACGTCCTGTGCGACACCTCGCTGAGCTCATTGAATCCAACCAGCTGGCAGAGGTGTCGGGGTCGAAACATTGGCTCCCAAGTTACGTGCACCTACAATCCAACCGAAAACTGCCGAGCTGCGATCATGAAGACATCTCCAAGCAAGAAGCAAGCAACGGCCAGAACTTTATTCCGGAGGCTGCATTCTTCTCATGCTTAGACAGGATACTTAACCAGACTCTTCAGTACTGTGAGAGTGCGAGAAGTGTCCTGCAGGCGAAATACGATCTCGAGAGTCTTAATGGCCGTGATCACAAGTAAGTCATACTGCATTTGCATGCGAAAAGTCGTCTCAGGGCTCACATACGTAGTGTTGCAGCACCCGAGGCACAATCAATCACCTCGACGCGTCAATATCAGACATTGATAACAGGCGGGGTCAGTGTGCTCTTTAGTCCAGCGCTCATTTTCTGACGGGTCAAAAGTTTACAATGTCTTACATCGCCATGAGAGAGCTGCCATCTCATATCTCCAATCTGGTCTTCTCACAGATGGTCAAACTCAACACTGATCGAGAGGAGGGCAAATCGAATCCCAGTATTGAAAGCTGCCTAACTGCCGGTTTTATGAGCGGCATGGGCTCCGACCGATACTTTGACGCCATGAGTTCTGTTCTATCATGCGCTCGAGGTGCTCAAGCGGGTATTACCGGCCTTCGGGCAATTGTTGTTCGTCTGGCTAAGGTGGCAGGAGCGACTGTCCAAGAGAACATGGAGAAAACTCTCCAGTGGAATGCTGAGCGAGGGTCTCTGGCCGCCATGGAAGAATTGAGAGAAATTTCTCCAGAGAAGGCTGAACGTGCAAAAGTCTTTATGCAAAGACATGGCTGCGGCGTCGGAGCGAGGTTTTTCTCCAAGGTTCTCGGGCCCTTTACTTATCCCCAACTATCTGACCTTACGGTGATTGACAGTCACCTTCGAAAGACCGGCCAGACCCCGAGAGACATCATTGTGAACCCTCGAGGGGATACGCTAATCCACGCGGCTGCATCAATGGGTAGCAAAGAAGTTGTGCTAGCCTTGCTTGACCGATACAAGGTGCCGGTAAATGTGCCTAATGCTCAAGAAGAAACACCACTGCTATGCGCAATGCGAGCGGGACACGTCGAGGTGGTGATCGGTTTACTTGATCGAGGGGCAAACGCCGGTTCTATCTCGAAAAACCGCGAAACAGCACTTCATTGGCTTATCTCCATCTCAGAATCCTGCGCACGGGAGATTCTTTCTGGCCTTATCGAGAATGGTGCAGACATACACAATCCGCGCTGGGCACTGAACTGCGAGTACGCTGCGTCGATGATTTCAGGATATCTGAGTCGATGGGACCACCCTGAAGCGGGCTCGCCTCTGCACTGGGCAGTATCACGCAAAAGAAAGGACCTCGTCGCGTTATTGTTGGAGCACGGGGCGGACCACTACGATCGTGGTGATTTTGCAACGAACACAACTGCCTTCGAACAAGCAGCATACTTCCACGACCACGAGATTCTGCGGATCATTATTGATTCGAAGTATCCTCGACCACGTGTGCCGAGTTTTGATACTGGCTTTGACCAAAACTTCCACAACCAACGTGACGAGGTTCCCGGAGGCTCTTACCTTTGCGGACCCTCTGGGTTGATCCGTCAAGCCATAGAAGGATCAGACCGTTATCTAATGGCAGTCAGATGGGGAGCAGCTTACAAGAAACAACTCCAGGAAACCTTCCAGCTGCTAGGCGAGGAATTGAGGTATGTAGAGCTGATCCGTGGAGTTGACCAGGCAGGCCGTTCTCCTTTACAGTACGCCGCTAGCCGTGGATTCCACGAAGCAGCAGAATGCATCTACGAGTACATGGATGGCCCCCGATGGCTGAACGTCCCTTACGACCGAGACGGAGGCATCACGCCCATCTTCGAGTCGGTCAAGCGTGACAACAAGACGCTGTTCAACTTTCTCCTCAGTAAACGTGCGAAGATCGACATCAGAATCGACAGTCCTGGTATGCGCAATCGCTTCGATTGGTGCATCTTGCACACAGTGGCTCAATACGGTGACGCCGAGGTTGCCGACAAAATCCTTGGACTTGGAATTCCACCGGACGGATACTGTGTCGAAGGCCAAGAGCCCACGGAAACGCCGCTCGCGGTGGCGATCGAGAACAACAATTTCGAGGTTGCGGACTATCTGCGCGAGAGAGGCGCTGATGTGAATGCCCTGTCGCAATGGTCCCTCAACAGCAATTTGAGGTTAAGCTGTCCTATGACTATCCTTGGAAGGATAATCGCCAGCAATCTTCGTGACTATAAGCGCCGGCTAAAGTACCTGCTGGGCCACGAGCGACGAGATCTTGCTCAGCCAACATTCGTCGTCGCGCCTGCCCAACGCCTCACAGCGCTCCATGTCAGTGTGCTTGGGGTCCAAGCTCTGCATGCTGATCATCAACAGGAACGTGATGATTTGGTTGCAAGCAGGATCCTGGACTATCTGCTCGAGTTATTCGACGGTGACGAACAGATAAATGCTGTGACGGCCGACGGCGCCAGCAACACAGCTCTGCATATTGCTGTGCACTCTCTTAACGTGCGGGCCGTCGAGCTTCTCTTGACTTCTGACTTCATCAGACTTGATGTCCAGGCGGCGAACGGGCTATCTGCGATCCATTCTGCTAGAAAGGTTGTCACGGAGCTGGAGCGTGACGACAAACAAAAGGGTTTGCAGGCTAGAGAGATCCTGGATATGCTTCTGGAGAAGGAACAAAGTGACCAATTTTGATAGCAACGTGGACCTTCGGCTCATCTTGCACACCATCTGGGTACCTGGGTAGTAATGACGGTTGTTGTTCAGATTGTTTTTATCCAGGCAACGCGACCTTTGTTGACGACATTGGCCTTGCAAAATCCTCCTAAGAAGGGCCTGCTGTGAGAAATACTTGTCCGCATCGGTAGTGCCCATATTATATCACGAAAAGGAGGGAGATTAACTAGGCACCAGGTTAGAAAGCGGTACGGCTGGGGTGAGTCGCACGTGAGCTACGAGCAGTTTTTACTACTCATCTTTAGTCACAAAGAGATGGACTTTCTCACATAGCAAACCTCCTTATTCTAGCAGGTGAAGGCTCCAATCTATTATTAATATCGCTTTGCCATCCATGGATATCTACGAGATACAAAGTATGACATCTTACACCCAGACGTGTCTACGTGCCTCTCGTAAGCAACCGACAGGGATCGGCTTCCTCTTCAACCATTCATTGGACCCTGTTAGCAACGCGGAAAGAATGCACCAATGCCACTACCCGGGCACCACACCATGAGGGCTGCTCCGTCGGACCCGACCCCTGCAACCGCGGCAGGGGCAAAACTTGGAGCCGTCCAAAGTAAGAGAGAGAGAGGATCTGAGGCTTGGGGCCACAACGACTTGTGAGATGGATGAACGCAGAGCAGCGTCAAAGGAGGAGGAAATCAGCTCGACCCAACCTGCTGCTCATGTTTGAAGTAACTCCGATGCCTGCCGTTGCCAGGACCGCCGCCACATCTTGAACAATTTCCCTGATGCACAGTGGCACAAGTCGATTACTTTGACGTAGCTGCTTCTCTGGCTGTCCATGGCCCACGGCACCGCTTCCCAAGGTCCGCAAAGCCTCATGGGACCTGCTCCGACCGTTCGGAAGCAGAACTCATCTTGTGATCCATGCCGGCGGTCGAAAAGACGATGTGCGTTCGCGGACGGTGTCCAGCCTGGCTCCCCAAACAGCTGCCTGAACTGTACTCACCTCGGCCATAACTGCACGTTTGATTTTGTCAATTCCCGACTCACTCAGAAGAAGAAGGCCAAGCAACCAGTCTCAAATGTACAGGAACAACCTATCGCTCCCGCCACCTCCAGACCCGAGAACCAGTTCATTGTCCCTTTACCCGCGGATCCGGGGCCCCTGGACACCACTCAAGGGACCGCCCCAAATGCCTACTGGAGCGGGATACCCTATACCGGTTTCCTCGATGTCGATATGTTTATGGGAAATTTGGTGTCAGAATGGAACAACTTGGACCGCCAGGTGTTGACCACCGAGGCTCCAGCCACGGAGCAGGATCAAAGCAACAGCACATCATCGTCAACCACTTACGGCTCAATTGGCCACTCCCAGACGCCGCCCAGATCGCCTAATGACTTATTTGCCCGAAGGAATTCGAAGCTTGGACTGTGGCGGGGCAGCCCAATCCACCTGCTCAACTCCAGTGTTGAGATACAGAGAATAAATCAAAGTCTCGGTGAGGTCTACAATTCCATGATGTCCGGGATTGCAATACGATATCTGGACTATAACTGTAACTTATTCGCTGGATCATACAAATATTCATTTGATCCCGATCAGTCAAACCCTTCGACCTTGGATATCAAGGGTGGCCAATCTGTGGTCAACATGTTAACTCCCTCATGGAAGAAAGCTGTAGGAGACACCAACAGCCTCCAGAATGATGATTGCATCGCACCGGAGAAAGTTGCGAAGCAGATCAATAAGGTTACCATGCTTGGAGTGGCCCGATTTTTGGACAACTTTGGCGCCCTATACAACAACGTCATTGATCAGAAGACACGCAGCCAGACTGAGCGTACCTTGATAGCCGTGCTGCAGGCGTTTGCTCTCCAGTTTGCACCATCTCGACAGGCGGATGGTCCATTAGCATGGCTCTTTGAAAACCCCCAGGGTGGTAGTCAGTGCTCGACATCAGGCCCTATGCCCGGAGACCGGAGCACCAACAGCCAACACGTATTCACCGCCGCCTGGTTCAATGCCCACTCTCATCTGGTTTCGTCGAGGAAAACCCGATCCTTTGTCAAGCTTTACTCGGTCTTCCTCTTTCTGATGACCAGCGTACCACCAGAAGCAGCGTCCATTCCGTGTTACGAAGAAACTCCCCTCGGGCTCCTGGACGACGCTTTGCAGCAGATGGAGGAGCTGCAGGGTCTCGTGCAAGGCTGTTGTAGCCACCTGGGCCGACAGTCAATTTACCGATTTCTCCTTCAATCCTCTGTTGGTATTATCCGCTGGTACGGCTATCTGCGGGACACCATAGATTCTGTGCTTCATGAGCGACCTTGTATGCTGGAGGACGCGCCCCCGAGATCAAAAGGTAAGGAATATAACAGACTTTTGCTTTGTTGTAATGTTTGACAATGACTGCAGGAACGCTGCTGAGCGGTCATTTGGCTCCAGACTGGCAGCAACCAGACGTATTCGACCGGGAAGTCCCTAGACATTGCCAAAATGCGGCAGGAGACCTTTTTCGAGTCTTTAGGGGGGCGATTAATCTCAGGCAGATCCTTTTGACTGGCGACACAACTGATAATGTATTTACATTGAGACCTGCGATCACGTTGGCCATGGGCATCAACGACGAGTTTGCATTGACTTATGGTACATGGCTGCAGCACTGCAGCATATCTTTTTACTTACTTTCTGAGAAGTCAAAGCTAGCTTCGGGTAAAGAATCTCATCTCCAACCCCTCTCCAGTACAGATTCGATGCTAACTGTCTGGCACTTCAGCGTTTATGCTGTTGTTTTGGAGCCTAGGCACATTGTTGCTCGTAGAGCAGCTTCATCGCGCATCCAGCATACTACCTGTCGCCGAGAGACAGCCTCTTCTGGACAAAGCACTGTCTTACCAGCGAGGGGCAGTCACGTCTCTTCTCACAATCGCACAACGTATTGTGGACGTATCGGCAATGGGTGAGTTTAGGCTCATCAACAGTGTTCAGGCAAAGATGCACTTCATCTCACACCACGCAAATACGGTCCTCGTGGTCCTGGCTTTGTCTAAAGCAATCGAACATACTATCGACCTATATGTATCGACTGCTCAGCAAGGCGACCTGACTTCGACGACGTTTCCCGACATGGAACCTGATTCGGAGTGGATCGCCAACATGAAGCCTCTGCTTACCTGCTTGTTGACGCTCGACTCTACTGTGTCTGGTGCAATTACAGCGAGGCCGGCGCTACAGAGACTGATGCAGCAATATGGTGACATCCTGATGGACTGCTGGTCACACGATGAAGGAGGCAATCTATCATGATATTCGTTTTTAGCGAACCTCAGATCTTCCAATGATTGCTTGGTCTGAAACAGTCGATATGAAGTCACTTTGTCACGGCATAGTCTACTGAACGAAGAACAGTACGCCTTAGTGCATCCAGCGGACCTTTCAAGGGGCGCGGACGTCTCGGTTTCCTGTCGATCTTCTGCCTACGGGACTGCGGCTCCGATGTCAGCCGCACCGAGCTTTGTGCTTGCGGATCCAAAACCGCGGGCGGCCTCAATCTGGGTTCAAACGAGTACGGGTACCTACTCGCCACCCCCATGAAAACCAAGCAACCATTTCAGGAGGTTACCTTTTCAACAAAATTAGCAACAACGATGACCCGAAAGCTATCCAAGTGATTACCTATTTAGCTGCTTTTCTGTCCTGTCTCTGTCCTTGTTCGAAGGAACACTCGGCTCCTGGAACACGTCAAACCTCATCGATCTACAGAAGACGCTGAGCCAAAGCAAGTCGACCTAAGAACTTCAATATGCCCTACAGATCACGATGGCAATTGACGCCGCCGACTTTGTCAGTTCCGACGTTTATGTTTGGTTCTTCGTCTTCCAACGTCAACTCAGCTGACAAAATCATCATTGATGCAAAACGCCCCGATACCCACTTCCTCACCCTTCATACGTATCGCGAATGGTCAAAGAGATTTGCTGCTGGCGTCCAATCCGCAGGACTTGAAAGTGGAGATCGCGTGCTCCTATTTTCCCCTAACAGCATCTTCTATCCGGTTGTTGTCATGGGTGCTTTGATGGCCGGCGCCATCTACAACAGCGCCAATCCTGCCTATACCGCGCGTGAACTTGCCCACCAGCTCAAAGACTCCAATCCCCGAATCGTCCTCGCAGCGGAAAGCTGCGTAGACAGAGCGCTGGAAGCTGCCGATCTCGTCGGCTTTGACAAGGGATGCATCTTTCTGTTTTCCGAGATGCCTATAGACCACACCAAAGAAGGGCCACAAGCAACCACTGCCAAAGTCCAACATTGGAGTAAATTGCTTGCAAAGCCTGAAATTGGTCGAACATTCGTCTGGGAAGAGCGTTACACTGAGGCATTTTCCGAGCGCACTGCGATCCTGATTTATTCCTCAGGCACCACTGGCCTTCCGAAGGGCGTGGAGTTATCTCATCGGAGTCTGATCGCGAATATGCTTCAACTCAAAACAATCCAGATGAGTGATCCCGCTGTTGCTGCTCGAAGGGCTCTGTGTGCGGTTCCAATGTACCATGCACTCGGGTTATGCTACTATACCTTCACAGCGCCAAAGTGGGGCCTCGAAACGTACCTGATGGAGCGTTTCAATTTGGCAGATTTTCTGAGTCACGTTCAAAGGTACAGAATCACGGAATTGGTGCTCGTCCCCCCGATGTTGGTTGCCATGGCCAAACACCCTTCGGTTCGCGATGGCACCTGCGACATCAGCAGCATCAGAAAGGTGGTCGCAGGTGCGGCGCCAATCGGTATGGAAGTAACGCAACAGTTCGAAGAGCTCTGGAATGGTAAAGTAAGAGTGCGCCAAGCTTGGGGAATGTCAGAGTAGGTGGCAAAAGCTGGTTGTACTACGAAGTTTTGCTGATGGAGCTGTCTTCAGGACACCAGCAATCACTCTATGCTGGGACGAACTTGAGAGCTCGGGCCCGTCTTCAATATCAATCGGCGAATTAGTCCCTGGGGCAGAAGCAATGGTGGTCAAGGAGAACGGCGAAGAAGTAACGCAGCCGGGGAGTACGGGAGAGTTCTGGGTTCGCTCCCCGAACGCAATGAAGGGATATTGGCGCAATCCCAAAGCAACTGCCGAAACTATCAGCGATGGCTGGCTAAAGACCGGCGACATAGCATACCGAGACGAAGCTGGAAAGTGGTACATGGTTGATCGGAAGAAGGTGAGCTTCGAGGGCGCTAAAACTCCGATGTTTCTCATATCACTCAGCCTACTAACTCGGACCAGGAATTGATCAAAGTCAAGGGTGTTGCAGTAGCCCCGGCAGAGATCGAAGCCCTTCTTCTCGAACATAACGATATTGTGGACTCTGCAGTGATTGGCATCAAGACGTAAGTCGACGACTGTGTATGTCGAACTGTTCAGTGTTGTGCTGACAGCAGTGCCTCTAGGGCGACTGATGATGAACAACCACGCGCGTACGTTGTGAGGGCACCAGGATCCCGACTTACCGAGAAGGATGTCGTGGACTTCGTCAAGGACCGTGTGTCAACAATCAAGCACCTCACAGGAGGTGCGGCGTTTGTTGATGCTATTCCCAAAAACCCGGTGAGTGAACAAAATATCTATTTCCCACATCGATACCATCTGTGGTGTTGACTGATCTCTCTAATAGTCGGGAAAGATACTGAGGCGGCAACTGAGGGAAATTGCTGCAAAGGAGACGGGCTCGAAATTGTAGACATATTCTAGCGACGAAGGAAGGCCACGGTGTGCGAGCAGTGGACAGCGCATCTCCTGTCAAAACACACAATTTGCCCTGTGAAGGAATTCCCAGGTCACAGATGCGACCCGTTCAGCCTCTGAAGGCCTAGGAATTTCACCACCTGTCCAAGATGATCAAATCCCCAGAAGAACTCCTCCCGCCCTTCTTCATTTACAACCTTGACCCAGGGAACACCTGGAGATCCACTTGCAATTGCGGCTTCGGTGTTGTGTTTCAGGAGGGACTTGACTTCCTCTGACGTGCTCTGTCAGAAAGTTGGTCAGCTCCCTTCGTCAGGTCACGGCACTGGCTTTTACGTACTCTGACCAGGATCTTTGCGGCCAATTCGTTGCCGACTACTTGGGCAATCATTGGTTCGTGGACCTCGGGCAGTTGTACACCCTTTTTCTCACACCAAAATGCATGATATAGGTTGCATATCACATCCGGATATCGATCGGGGCATTCAAGGGAAGTTGCCACCAGCGCCCTTTGTACCTGTTTGAAGACTCGGCGGGCGAAGCTAGTAAGAATGGATGGGAGGCAAATCACCTTCAGCGTGGTTGCTTTGAACGGATAGTTCGCCGGCCAGCCTTGGTTCCAGGGAATTTTGAATTCTCGACACCATCTGGCGACGTCTGTATGTATCCAATTCACCTTGTCTAACACCATATCAGAATCAGGTCAAGTGGCACGAGCATGTGGAAGGATGGGGATCTATCGGCCACATACTAGGACTGCTCCAAGGTGGCTTCAATCCGACCGCATTTATATATGCCACTAGCAGAACAGGAGTATATGTTATGTCGCAGGCTTCGAAGACGGGGGAATTCTGTCGAGTCATGTCAGTTCCAGCCGGAATGGCTTTCCAGTCCTTTCACGAGGCCCTGGACGGCGTCGAATCTTTCAAATCGAGTACCAACCTTGATTATGTAAAATGCCAAGTACGAGTATGGGCTGTGTAGGTCGAAGTACAGTGTCAGTTTCGGCTTAGCCATTGTCGCCCCAAGCACAATCTCGCGTTAACTCGAGTAGCGAATTCGAGGAGAACATCTTATACGGTCTTTCGAATTTATGATCTGCCTAAGGCCTGCTAGGTCAGGCCTCCTGCGCTCGCAGATTCAAGCCAAGTGGATTCCCGGACGGCCGATACCGAGGTCGAGCAGCAGCCATCAACGGCTCCGCGGTGCAACCTCACTCTTGGTGGATGTCTACGCCAAACTAGAACAATACCATGTACTCCACCGACAGCGAGGGACGCAACTACCGCAATTTACTGTGGTGAATGGACCCCGATCTAGAGAGCACGTACGTGAAGTACGTCAGCTTCCTCCCAGCAGTTCTGCGTGAGAGCGATGGGTCTGAGCGCGAGGCCCTCACAGCCGTCGACCCGGCCGGATTTTTTATACGACACCCTCCAAAGCCACACGAGCTGGACGCCGAGCTTACAGATGAATCTCAACTGTTCCAAACCATCCATATGGGCGCTGCGGTTGTAGATGAGAGCAAGTGGAAGCTAGTGGTGGACGGACTGGTCGAGCGACCGTTCTCCGTGTCCTTCGCGCAGCTGAAGAGCATGCCCTCGTCCACCATAACCGCGTTCCATGAATGCTATGGAAGTCCCATCGCTCCGCCGATCCATGCGTTGTGGAGGATTGGGAACATCAAATGGACTGGCGTCAAGCTCGCAGACCTGCTCCAACTAGCCAGGCCAAAGCCTGAAGCAAGATACGTGTGGTCGCAAGGACTGGAATATGGTTCATTTGCAGGTGTTTCAGCTGATCGATACGAAAAGGACCTCCCCTTGGAGAAAGCGCTGAGCTCCGAGGTTTTGATAGCCTACGGAATGAACCACGAGCCACTGGGAAAGAATCGAGGCGGACCGGTAAGAATGGTGGTACCTGGATACTTTGGCACGAATAGCACAAAATGGCTTTGTCGGCTCTCGCTACAAGGTCGCCGCGCCGTCGGGCCCTTCACCACGACTTTTTACAATGAGATCGATCCGACTGACCCAGAGGGACAGAGAACACGACCTGTGTGGTCGGTTGAGCCTAATTCCATGATCGTTAGGCCGGAGCCGGGGGCAGCATTACAAGGACCAGACATTGACATCCGAGGACGCGCTTGGGGCGGCGAGGAAATCAGCCAGGTCGATGTCAGCACTGATGGCGGTGAGCGTTGGCTACCTCGAGCAAATATTGCATTGACGCCGCGGAGTGAATTTGAATGGCAGTCGTTCCAAGCAAAGGTATCGGTACCCAAACCTGGAAGATACAAGTTGATTGCGAAGGCGACAGACAAGGCTGGCATCTCTCAGCCAATGACGGGAAGAAGAAATCATGTGCATACGGTCGAGATTGAAGTACTGTGATAGTGTCTCGCAAATATAATCGCTGGAATTGGCTAGGCGATAGTCAGAATGCCCTTGAACCAAATGAGCTCAACATCTGTAAGCTGGCAGTGGGAAAGGGGGGAGGGACCCCAGCCTTGCGGCCAGTTATTGACTCGGCTGACCTTCCCTTGACCTGCAGTCTTTCTACCAACCGCGCCAGCCTCGTCAACACTCGTCCTCCCCGCACTTTCACCTACTTACCTACTTACTCAGTACTCATCCTTGCGTCCGGCGGCATGTTAGACGGATTGCGGCGACCGAGGACGTCGAGATGCGCGGTTGCAGCTTCGCTAAGCCTCTCCGACGATGCCGGTCGATCAGCAACAGTCAGCAGTTTCAGTCGCACAGGAAGACGGCTCTCGCGAACTGCATGACAGTGTCGAGACACAAACTCGCACGAATGGCCTGAAACCGAAGGCGTGCAACAACTGCAGACAGCAAAAGGTGAGCTACGGCATTTTGTAGTCTCCACAGGGTAACAACTAACGTCTGCAGTTGAGGTGTGAGTTAACCAAGCTTGACGCTCCGTCGTCAAATGCCTGTTCCCGCTGTCAGAGGCTGGAACTGGACTGCAGAGTAGATGATACCTTCAAGAGGACGCGGAAGCGAAAGTAAGAGAGGCAATAGTTGGACTTCAGAACGGCGAGAGGCTGACCCTCATCCGCGTGGCAGAATATCCACAGAGTTGGAAGAAGAAATAAACAAACTCAAGCGTCAATTGTCCGTCTACGAAGGCAATGCTCTTCCGGACGTGGCTGCTCCCGCTGTCCCAGATCCTGCAGCGCCATCACTTGCTGAAGGAGGTGGCCTTCATGGCGACAAAGACGCAGGCACAAACGAGGTCGCCGAAGACTTATCCGACCCTCTGACGAACCGGATTTTCTCGACCACGGTTCCTGGCGGATTGTCACCACATTCTCCAGATGGATCCTGCTTGCCAGGAGCAACGACAATTCCGAAAAGCAGTCTACTCGACAGTGGTTCCACTAACAGGAGAAAGATGATTGGGTCGCGGAATCTACGCGACATCGAACTCTCGTCGGATGTGATAAACGACCTCTTCCGCATGTATGTTTCTCCCGCTCTTCAGGGCTGTGGACTAACAACTATTCAAGGTATTTCTCGCATTACCATGCGTATCTCCCATTTCTTGACCCGGGAGTCTCTCCCGCCCAATATTACGATAACTCGATCCTTCTATTTTGGTCCATCATTTCCGTTGCATCTCGTCGGTATCAGCCAGACCCAACTCTCTTGACAAGGCTCGCTCGGGCGGTGACAGATCTCTTGTGGAAGTCCCTGCAGACAATTCCACATTCCTTGGGTGTGATCCAAAGCTTGGTCCTCCTATGCACCTGGCCCTTCCCGACTAGCAGCAGCACAACTGACCCGACGTACATGCTCTCCGGGATGATAATACAGCTTAGCATTCAGATGGGCCTCCACCGTCCCAGAAGCCCGCTCGATTTCACAAAGTTCCGCATAAAGCTCAGTCCTCGCGAGATCGAGGATCGGCGAAGGACATGGATTGCTGGCAATGTCGTCACTCAAAGGTATATTGTTTACATTGAAGTATCAGAGGAGGCGCGACTAATGCGCTCTAGCATAAGCTTGGGTCTCGGCCTCCCAACTCCGGCCCAACTGTGTGACTGGTCCATCGTGGCGTCTTCGCTCGAGGACTGTCGGGGAGATGAATATTTGCACGCTCATCTAAGATGTGCCTCGATGTGCAACAGGATATCTCAAGCTCTCACTTCGAACTCTTCGGACCTTACCGGGCTTTTGACATCTCGGGAGAGGCTCCCTCTTTATACGATTCTCAATCAGGAGATCGTCGACCTGGAAAGCAGTAGAGTCTGGAATCCAGGTGAGCGGTCAACCTGCTGTGGCCCATTGAAATCAATGTAACAGGTCTCCTGACTGGCGAACTCAGACACCACCGCATTCTATCTCCACGTTGTCAAACTTCATCTCCACGCATTCTACCTTGTCGATGACCCGTCAGCTTTGGGCTATGTGGAACGTATCGTAACGCTGTATTCGACCGCGACGGCGATGATCGAACATGTCCGCGACCTGGACAACCAATCTCGGGATTTCTTGCAGTTCTGTCCACTGTTCTGCTACGAAGCATTTCTCTGCGCAGTATTCGTCTTGCTCAAGGTTGTGAAGAATGATTATTTTGCTGCGATAATTGACGCAGGTTCGGGGAAAACGCTCATCAATTTCTCTGTCTCGGCATTACGGAAAATGTCAGTGGCCAACAATGACCTACCAGGGAGACTCAGTGATGTGCTCGCCTACCTCTGGACTCATCCAAATCCGTCTCTTCTTGGGGGTAGTGGGATGGATGGACTTCAGCTGAAGGTCAGAAGTCGAATGAGCATGAGCATTGTCTATGACTCACTCCGGAGATGGCGGGAGCAGTTTCGTACCGAAGCTGAAAGCGCCGAGTCGCAAGACCTAAACAATGGTGATCCGCCTCCCCTTGGTGAGAGAAATGAAGGGCTGATATGTCCAGATGCGCCCGTAAATGCCGGCCCCAACGAAGACTTTGACTTTGACCTGACGGATTTGGAGGGCATATACTTGGATGATTTTCAACTGGACTGGCTCGCGTAAGGGTCGGATCACTGACAAGAAATGGTTCTGGTGCGTCTGTACAGTGCTTATCAAACATACTAGTACCCAGCCAGACCCACGCAGTTCGAACGCAGGCTGTTCGTACAAAAATGTTTGCCTGGAGCCGTCTCCTTTTTGCTGTGGCTGCGTGATACTATATATTGGTTTGCGGGCAGCGTCGGTTCCCGGCGAGTTGGCTTTATCTGTGCTGAATGCTTTCCAATTGTGGTATATTCGGCTAACACAAATCTATCTCCAAAGAGGACTCACTTGTCACTCCAGCCGCGCCTCGACTTTGACTCGCATACGCATCCTCCCGGCCTTCTCCTACGGCACGAATCGCCCTCTATACCCTGCTGTACAGCTTGCCGCCTGCTGCGGCATCGATTGCGGTAGCTCGTTCCAGACCCACGGTAGTAAACAGCTTCTTTGGGGTGAAATCGGCAGGGATTCCGGTTCGCCCTGTGTTCTTGACACTTTCCAAGGCACCGCGGATCGCATAATACGCAGGTGCGAGCGTGACGAATGGAAAAATCATGATGCGAAAACCAAGCTCCTGCGCCTCTTCTACGGTCCACGAAGGCGTGGCCCCGTTTTCTACCATGTTCAGAAGAACCGGCGTGGGTGAGAGGACCTGGCATATTGTCCTAGCCTCCTCCTTTGAAGTAACACCTTCAAGAAATGCGACGTCCGCTCCTGCACTGATCGCAGCCTTCAGCCGCTGGGTAGCCTCCTCGAAATCATGTGTCTGCAGACTATCGGTCCGAGCAATGATGACGATATCGGAGCCAATTCTTTCTCGGGCCTGTGCGGCGGCGGCAATGCGTTGCGCAAAGGTATCAATGCTGACGACCTCCTTTCCTGCGAGGTGGCCACAGCGTTTTGTCTGAATCTGGTCCTCAATGTGCAAGGCCGCAACGCCAGACCGATGATATTGTTCCACTGTTCTTGCAATGTTGTTGGGGCCACCGTATCCCGTGTCGGCGTCGGCAATGAGAGGAACGGATGGATTGAGATTGGCAATCATTTCAGCGTGCTCTCTCATGTCGTTAAGGGTTGCGAGACCCAGATCGGGCTGTCCTAGCTTCGAAGCGCAGGTACCTGCTCCTGTCTGAGACGGTAGTCAGCGAACGTGCAACTAACAAATGGTGGCCAACAGTATGACCTACCATATAGAGGCAGTCAAATCCGACCTCTAGGGCAATCCTGGCGCTGAAGCCATCATACGCTCCGGGAGCCACAATGATATCCTCGCTATTCTCCAGCAGTTGTCGAAGGCGATTACCAGGTGTGAGAGGCGTTGTGGAGTGGCCGTTGGTGTGAGTGTTGGAATGTCCGTTCGTCATATCGATCGTAATGTACTTAGTAATATTTCTTAACTGCTGATTCGAATAAGGTGAGAATAGTCAGTCAGTCGACCAGCATGTATAGTCTAGATACTATGTAGTGTGTTTCTGGAATTCTAAGCTTCAAGTTCTTTTTCCTTAATTTAAACTTGGCAGACTCTCCTTCTTTATTAGGACTACCAGATGCCATACGTGTATCGAGAAGAACTTGAAGCGTATCCGCAACCGCAAACCCATCTATCTACCCTCCCTTTTACATAATTCTCCACTTCAAGGCGAAGCATTTGACCTCCGCATCGGAGGCTGCGGTCACGTGGAACCTCCGATCGGAGAGGCCGACTCTGAGGGTAGGCACTAACATACACCGGTTTGGGAAGGGGCCACCTACAAATATAGATTATCACGTGATAAGACTTGAAAATTCCAGCTAAACTGTGTTCAGTGTACTTTATATCGCGTTTTGGTATGTTAAGGGGGTTTAGGTTAAATCGACTTGAACTTTCTCTGAGAGGTTTCGCTCGATTTGAGAGGCCGAAATTCAGATGGATTTACTAGATTCGATACTATATATGTATGTTGGATTCGATTGCCAGGTTGGAATTGCCAGATTCAGTGTACTAGAATTACAGTGGTTTGCGAAATTTAGATTTGCTAGATTTGACTCTCAAGTGAGAGAGAGATAGAGAGAGGTTCAAGTTCGAACCGGTTTGAGAAGTTTAATACAGTATATACATACTACTAAGTATGTACTAAGTACTATGTATATACTACTTAGTATATACATAGTAGTACTAGTAGTATATGCATGTGTTTGAATCAATTTGGCAAGTCTAAAATGGTTTGGCAGGTTCGATTTGGCAGGTTCGATTTGGCAGGTTCGATTTGGCAGGTTCGATTT